CGATCAACGTTGGCGCGATGCCCTGAGACACGTCAATCAGAGAAATGCCGAAATTATGTACGAGAAATACAACACTCACCGTAACCGTTTAAGATCGCCTGTGGATACACACTCCTTGCATCATCTCGGGCGAAAAACGCCAGGAAGATGATCAAAGACACCGCGTACAGCGCGCAGCAGACTCGATGACAATCTCGATAACCCCTCTGTACGACCGAAGCGAGACGGCATGGCTAGCGCCACGTCCCATTGTGGCAATTCGGAATACCACAAGACAGGTCGAAAGAACAGTGGTGATCAGCGACATCGTGAAGTATGCGGTACCCCAATCAACAGCGTCCGGTCCCCAGTTGCTCAATGAAGAGCTGGAAGTATGCCCTATATCTTGATACAGAAAGAATCCGTCGAAAACTACAATGAAAGAGATGAGCGGTCCAAAGTGGACAAACAGTGTTGGAAACTGACTGATTTCAAGGATGGCACCGATTATCGGGATGACGACGATTTTGAAATTGCGATCCCAGAACCCAGGCGCGCCAAATCTGACGTCGGTGAGAAGACGGTAAGAGTTAGAGTTGGAAAGCGGGGACGTACCAGGACACATCCGCTATCAGGATATTCATACTCGCAAACACCCCACTCACGGCCCACATCCAGCGATAATCCTCATTCAGGAAGGATTGGTATATCGCCATCCTTGAATCCCCATTGACGATGAACGCTTGCCGTACCCAATACCATCGTACTCCCAAGTGAACGGTTTCGAAACTATAAAGCACGCCGATAATGGCAGCCATGAACAGGCGATTGCGACCTCTTTTGTTGAAGACTGGAAGTAAAATAGGGTGAGAGATTAAGACCTACAGTATGAGACAAGTCTTACGCATATTCGAGAGGCCTGAAAGCAGGACAGCCGTATACAACCCTAATTTTCGGTATCAAATGGCTCGAATCAGTCTTCAAAAGATAACACTCACCATGCATTAGGGACTCAAGACATAGCGAATTGAGATATCCATCCAACGCTTGGTAGATGAGTTCTGCTTGTTCTTCCGAACTCGACATTGGCGTCGTCGATAGTGAAGGTAATCGTATATCAAAGTCAAATTGGGGTCACTGCATTTTATACCCTTCGGCATATCGGGATATATGAAGTAATTGCGATAAACTGAGTTATGGAATACGCGTTCCGAATCAGTGATTTAATGTTATCTAAACATCAAAAGACAAACGAGACGAAACAGACGTTCCCTCGACGATCAGTGGTTTTTTTATTGGATGGCAGTCCGCTCAGTTACGCGAGTTAAACGCCGCAATATAATCCAAGACGACAAGTTGAGGCCAATCCTCAATGACGCGTAAGCCGTGGTCTAGGCGATGCTGTCAAAACCTGACCCTGATCTTGGAGAGGTTATGTCAATGATATTCAAAAACAACACCGGTCATAACAGGAATGTAACATGACAAACTCATCTGAACAACGGAATAACCGAAATGGGTTGCATCGTCAAGTGGAGAAGTGGGTTCCTTTGCCGTTACCGATAGATCAAGGACGAAGCGAGGGTCTTCAGGAGACGAGGGATTACGGTGACGTAATCCTCAGGTCCGGAAACTATAGTAAAAACAAATACGAAGCTATTCCTCGAACATTTCCTCAATCGGTGGAGACAAGAATGTTCAGCGGTAGCAGAGGACATGAGGCGTATCAGGGCCATTCTAAAGCCTATAACTTGGAACCCTCGATCCGGCATCGCCATCTACCGACGGTATGAACGCTCCCATTATCCATGTCACCGACACGCTGAGGCGTGGACTCGCAATCAAACGAGAATTTCGTGGGAAAGTTAAGAAAAGATTCTACCATGGACGGTTCGTGTTTCATCTCCACACCAGAAATAGAACATATCATCGTGGTAATTTCTGATTCTTGGTTCTGGAGCTCCCCAGTCAGCATCTAATTCGATTAGCGTGCCGAAGAGAGCAGAACCAAATGATACTTTAGTTGCATGAGCCAAGACTGACACCCATGAGGAAAGCCATACCCAAGTAGCTTAACGTTAAAGAAGATTGCCCGTGGGACAAAGGCTATGAGATAGCAACGACGAGAAAGATAAAAAGTGCACGAATGGAACCGGGCACATGAACGACACGGGTGCAATGTCTGTGAACGACAATCAGAAAATCACTCCGCGCACAACCTAAGTGGCGACCTGCATCATGTAAATGCACGTCATACGTACTTGCCTTTGTTAAGGACATGAGATACTCCGCATATTCTGCCGGCTTTTGGTCATGATCAATAAGAAAGTATAATCATCAACCACACGCGCTAGTGGCATCCAGCAGAGTTTCGTCGTACTAGTCCTGCGGAAGCTCTTAGAATGATAACAAGGGGTGAGAATTATGAAAATTCCTTACATCTTTCACTTTAGGGGCTGGTGGATGGATGGATACCTGTACTCGTTCACAGGGGGTTAATCAAGGGACTACACTGAGTCACTGGCTCCGTGAAGAGAGAGAGAATGATAATCAGTAAAGCGCCGTAAGCGCTTGAGCACCAACCACGGAGCCGTTACAAGGGGTTCGGTGACTAATATGTGGCGCAAGAAGCCGTGGTGAGAAAATGGCCGCGCCTAGAGTACGGGTTGAGTGAACGTCTGTGAACGTTTGCGTTTGAACATCACGTAGTACTAAAAGCCAATTCATCGTGATTGCGTTTAACTGAAACCCGAAGTGTGAGATATACCGCCTGTGCTAGGAAACTTAGAAATCAGGACACGACACGACCGCAACTCTGAAGCAAATAAGCACTTTTTTCGAGTGATATGGTTCCATTATAATCTGGGCTGGAGTGGAAATGTATAATCATAAGTAAGAGGTTTGGAGACGAGAAATTGCAATTCTAACCAGGACGACATCATGGGACCAGATTCGCTTTTGGGTGCCGAGATTCCAAAAATATACTGCAGGCCGAGTATATAATGTATATCCCTTCAGCAGATTGAGCGTGTACATCTAGCGGTACTAGCCTACAGGCACATGGTCCAAGAATTAGGATGATGCAAGCTGGGAAAACAAGGTAAAGAGACTCCGGCAAAACCCGAGTATCGTGGAACCGGCCCGACCACCGCAAAATATATTATTATCAGACGGGAGCGTACTCTCATTTCTATTCCTTTTTGAAAAGCAGTACAAACCACCGCCCTTAGATCAAAAAATCTGAATATCGGAGATGGTAGATAATATCACTCGAAAGTCAAGCGAACTTGAAACTAATGTCATCAACAGCGCGCTGAGGAATTTGAGTACTTACCTTGTTCTGTCGTCGCGTTTCTGGCACCGATTCACAGGGATAGGGAGGAATTTCAGTTCAGTAGAGCGAGCACGGTGATAGCTGCTTTAGAAGTAGCTATGACAATAAAGAAGCCTAGGCTTGTGACGGTCAGGATAGAAATATTTCATTCATATCAATTCATCTCTTCGCAGTGTACAGCGAAACTATTTAGCTTTCCAGACCGCACTCGATGATATAGTCTATCCGATCGTAGACCTACTTTTTAAGCACAGCTACAAGCAACGGGATTTGCGGTCCTTCCTCTGCCTTGCCTGGAACGATGGGACTCAAAGCCATACCGGCGGGACCATGCTGTAATTTAGAAGCACCTTTCGGCATACTAAATTCAAAGTTGTCCAGGAGCTCTGTAACCACAGACTGCAGCTCCATGACACTACAGAATAATCAGAGCTCAGAAAATATCATGAACTGATCCGTACGAACGCAAATCGCCATCTGCAGATAGAGTAACAATAGGTCAGCGCGAACCTTCACTTGCTGCGTTCAAGGTACTCACCCAAGACATCCACGAATACCAGCACCTATTGTAGTACAATCATCAACGAAGGCTTCGGAAAGAAAAATATGATCGCTTACTGAAGGTCAACCTGTCATACGATTGTGGCAATATCAGCGGGTGAAATAAATTTAAAGGGACAAATCGTACAAATTCGCATAAACCCCAAGGGACGTCTGCTTGTTCTCCCGGCCGTCAAGGAACCGGCGGGGATTCCACTCCTCGGCATCATCGCCCCAGACCGATGGAAGTCTAGGACCGACATCAGTCAGCGACTCTGCACGAATAATGAAATTTAGAAAACTACAGACCTATCGTAGGTATACACAGAGGTCATGACAACTTGTCCCTTGGAGATAGGGACCTGCGCGCACAATTTGCCATCCGAAGTGGTGATAGGCTCGGCGAGGGGTAGGACATCGTCCTGAGTTGGTTCACGAAACAAGCCGTACACCAGAGGGTGGAGACGGAGAGCTTCCTATTGCAGACCATGCATTAATACTTGATAGCTAATGTTATACCATAGAGCAGCAACCCACCTTGATACACGCATTTAGCCAGAGCATTGAATCGTAGTCATTCGAGGTGAGCGCCCCCGGGGCATTCGATTTGGTTTGAGCAATCTCCTGGCGTATTTTTACTTGATCATCGGGGTGAAGACTCAGCTCATAGAGAAGCCAAGCCATAGTGTTTGCCGTCGTGTCATGACCGGCTATAACAAATGTTCTGTTCAACGCAATCAGTCAATCGAAGTAACGTATAGTCGAAAGGACCAACGCCAGCTGGGAGTCGATTTCTATATCGCTCATCTTCTTCTTCGCGTCGTCATTGAGATAAGACATCGCTGGGTAAATATGAGAAATACGTGGCGTGGTGAAAATCCATCTCACATACCGAGAACGTTAACGATATCCTTCTCAGCAGGATTAGGATCGTTCGCCACTTCTTTCAGCTGTTGCTCGAAGATAGGTCGAGATACTTTCATCGCGACCTCTCTGAAGCGAGTCATCCGAAACGGTCTCTCTACTAGGTAGCCATGCGAGAGGTAAAAGCAACCACTCAGGAAGTACGCGCCAGAGCGCCGCGTACAAAAGCTCCAATGGTGTCGGCCACATCCCAGCCTCGGCGCTATTAAACAAAGAATGCGCAAGACATACAAACGAAGAACGAGTGGGTAACACGTACAGGAGATTACTAAGTGCCCCCATCAACTCGGTTTGTCCACCGCTGAGCGAATTGAAGTGATATCGAAATGAAGCTGGCAAATCAGCCGTCAATCACTGGCAGGCATGAATGAAAGATAAAACCATACTGATGCCTATGATATCCAGCGCGGCCTTGTTCGTCCATTCCAAAACATCGAGCACCCTACCATCCCCAACACGGCTCGTTAATTTTCTCCGTAAGCTAAGGCAAATAAGTGAGCCACCACCATGAAAGCTCATGCACCTGGCGCACCTTCACAGCTGACGCTTGGAAGACGGTCAGAAAGAGCCGGAGTTGAGACGCCGCAAAAGCAGGGCCGAGAATTCTCCGCTGCCGTTGATGGATTTCACCTAAAAAAACTCCAATTAGACACAAAGACAGATGACGCAGAACCCATTGACATACCCCCCACAGTAACTACGCCGTGTCCCGTGAGAGCCTCTTGGATGCGATAGGTGTCTCTTGTCTTTGAGAATCGGTACCCAGATGAATGGAAAATGTATTGCAGTGCTTTAGGGGTCACCGACAGATAATATATCTTGCTGCACTAAATATCAGAACCATCGATGAAATTTGGACAAGAGTCACTGACAGCGAAACAACCCTTGGTGCGGTATACGGCACCGTATCGCTGACGCCATTCCGTCTCTAAGTCACCTACGTGTTGACGACTCCGGAGGACGGTACTCGTGACCTGACCAACAAGGATTTCAGAATACAGTTTTGGGCGACTGCGTGGAGGCGAACAAACCCAAGAGGAATGAAGGACTCGGTGGCCCACGGATCTTCCGAATAGCATGCTTGCGCCCTTTGTAACGCAGAAAAGCGAAGGCAATGAAAATACGACTGTAGGGAAGACGATGTAATGGATGACGGACTGCATCGGATGCTGGAATGGTACCATTGCGACCAGCCTTTTATTAGTGCTAGCACTTGAGCCTATCGTAAAAAATATCCCGAGGTTAGCGAAGGACTTCAGCCATACGGCACCGTCGGGTAAAATCACCTGTGTCAAAGCATCGGAATAAGTATGGTCCTAGTGCATCGTATACAATGAATTGGCATTTTGAAATGAACTTGCAGATAGCTTGGACACCGACTGAAGGTTCAAACGGACCCGTCGAATTTTGGGATGTGGCCCGTCGTGTCAGCTGAGTACCGTCATCAATTTCAAATTCCTCTCATCGCCGATTGGAATCCCTTATAGATAGATAGATACCGGTCCAGCGGTCTTTCGGATCCCACCCCTCATTGTCGTAGCGTGGTAGCTTTTCGATGGAAAAGGATACGAGAGTGTCGTAGCGCGGTAGCCTTTCGACGGAATGGCACGAGTCACTCGTTAATGTGTTGGACGTCCTCAGAAGCAGCGTGCCAACCTCTATTTGCTGTGTGGGAGACATCCAGATATCTTGCGTCACATCCATCGAAACAAGTGCTTTCTGAGCAACTTGAGACATCGCATGATACCCTCAGAGGCCTGTATTCAAATGGGGAGGGACCACGACCAGAGGGCATGCAGCCGTGGCTGGAGAACTCGGTCAGAAGGGAGCAACAATACAGCATCCTAGGGTATGAAATGCGGAGGCGTGTGATGCCTTCTTTCTGTTTTCTGTGTACAGTGTACAGGCTCAGCAGCCTTCAACAAGCAAAGAGGAAGAGATAGCGTCAAAGACAAGTTGATGACAGCAAAGACGGGGTCATCGTACGAAGCTCTATCGACGAAGCACACGAACAATGAATGAAGAAATAGCCAAAAGACGACATGAGAGAGGGAGAAATAGCGTCTGAAGACGACATCTAGCAGCACTGCAGACGCTGGTGCGTTGTTGATAGCCTAAAACGGGATTTTAAAAGGTTTCGATTTAAGCAGCTTCGGTTTCTACGTCCTTGTTTTGAGTGCTGTACTGAACAGAGGGCAAACGCAAGACAAAATTGATCCGTCAAGTTCGGCCGGATCCGAAATCTGATTCATATCACGTGTGATTTAGGGCAGGTTTATCACGGTCTAAATACTTCTGAAACAGTCTCGACGCGATTTCATTGTGGTGACAACACGGAGTTCTCCAACGGCCTCAGCTGATTTCTCTCATTGGATCTCCTTCAGTCTTTTCTCTGTGGCCACTGACGCTGCCTTTTCTTCACGACATGACTTGTGGCACCTTCTATCGCTGTATATGTGATTGTCGTTCCGCCCGCTGGACTACTCTCAAGTAACACAACATTACAATAGATTCAGCTCCTCCCAATAATACTGCACATCTTCCAACCCTCCCTAAATCTGTCTGATTGAAACGATGCTTACTTCATGCTCTGGGACAACGCACCAACTCACCTAATTAAGCATCACCGGCGATGATAACTTGACAGATTATCGTCGTGTTTGGCCCTCTGTTACCTCCACATCGGCGTACATGTATGGTTCCCGGGCTTTCTAGGCTCTAGCATTCAGCTCAACTGTTGCTAAGATACCGCTACATCTCATTTAGTTCCTATTTGGCCGACGTGTGCTTGTCTTAAGCTCCTTCGACATTTTAATCTCAGGCTGTCGACTGTGTCATGATGGAGGACGATTCACAGGCCGTCGTTCAGCAACGAAAGGGGCCTTTGCTGGCCCTTGAACACTATAAATGCCCCTCTTATCCTTCGCTCTCATCCATCCAATGATGCTCACCAAAATTGCTTGCTTGTTCCTTTGTCATTACCTCGCAGCCGTAGCTACAGCCGCAGGATTTGCCGCGGACCCGTCCATCAATGTCTCCGCTATTTACGCCGCTAGTCAAGCCAGCGCAAAGGCAAGTACCGGCACCATTGATAGCTTCCCTGCAACATCGGGGGATGGGAACAACGTCCCCATCCAGGGTGATTGGCTCAACCTTGACGGTGTGTCGGCATACCATTTTACTGCAGGTGAACACATCAAGCTTTCCTCTGCTGAATACACTTAACGTTAATTTAGATATGGACGTGGATTGTGATGGCGTCGACGCATGTTTCTTTGCCTTGATCTTTATTCAAGCTGACGTTTGAGACTTATAGTTCCAGTGCTCTGTACGTACTATCCACTCCTGATAGGAGCATCCTTTTAACGACATTAAACAGGGAAATCCTGACGGTCAGCCCGAAACCTCATTTGGCGCTCTAGATGCTACCTCTGTGCCATGGTATGTTATACCGCAGACATTCTGGGACGCCCACCAAGACATCAAGCCTAACGCGCTTGGTGCTGTCATCTGTGATGGGAAGATGTTTTATGGCATTTTCGGGGATACCAAGTACGGAGATTGTTTTGCCCCGAAACTACGGATATGCAGTTGACCTACCTTTTCAGCGGCGACGACCCACAGGTTATTGATGAAGCCTCGCTCGTGCTGGCCCAAACATGTTTCCCGGGTGAGGGTCTAGGTGGTAATAAGGGTAAGCTCCTTTGTTCTATTCCAACCCGTCTTTTCATTTTTCAACGCCTAGGTCATACTCCGTTGGATGTCCTCTGTAAGTCTTTCGGTATTTTTTCCCTTATTCCCTGTTAATGAGCCATACAGACATCATCTTTGGGTCCAAAGTACCCTCAGGCGTCAAGAAGGAAACAATTGACATTGGTGCTTTGAAGACACTTGGGGACGAACAGGTTCAACTCCTTGCAGCTGCCCTTGGTGGTAGTGGGAGTGCCAACAGCACGACTACCGACCTGTAATCCTGCGATTAACATCTTTCCTTTCTTAACCGATATTTACCTCCTTTGTATACCCAGTAATAGAACAACCGGAGCCGGTCTCACTGTAAAGCTTTCGTGTTACGTTTGAGCGGACGCCAGCCCCATCAGCTGCACGCTGCACTGAACCATCTCCGAGAAGAGGTCGGGGACGGGCAGATTCATCAATATTTCTCTTTACCGCAACTCCGGCAGGAAAGATCTTTCCGACATAAATGCAAGGATCGCCTTCTCACACGATATCGAATGACCTTCACTCTCCCGCAATGCGAACCCTTCAGATTCGGGCATATTTTCCAGCAGCGCGATGACTGTAACATCGCCGAAGGCTGCGTCATCGACCATCAGCATAAGCCGCGACTCGGGCACCGAACGGAGGGCGGAGCAATAGACGGCAGCATTTTGGTGCAATGCATGATGTCCGGCTCCGTCGAGTCAGGAAGAGAGAAATCTGTTTGCTTCGAGAATTCCCTGGATGAAACGCGCATTGTATAAGAATTGGAGAGGGAACCTGGAGTACGCGCCGCGGTGGCGAAATGACGCTGTCTCCCGGTTGCGCGCGAGGGCACATGGACGCCTTTACCGTGATGCTCTCCACACTCGCGAGCTGGTCCGAGATGAAGGAACTACGAAGGTTAGGGTAGCTCATACTAGTGGTCTCTTTCCTAGGAGGGACAGAAGGCGAGGAGTAGCTCTCGCAGACGGAGCTTCTCAAACGGACATGGCGAAGTTTGAGCGTTCGTCCGACGTCGGACGAGCTACAACACCTCATTTAGGCCTCACGCATCGTTTATGCTTCAGCATGAGACGATGGTCAGAGGTTCGGGTAGGCCAATCTGCCCTGTGCCTTGTTTATTTCGTTGAGAGAAATCCGGAAAAAGTGATGATAGTATTAAGCGAGGGTCACCCAAGCACCATGCATCAAGCTCTTGGAAGCACATTTTCATAAAACTCTCATTCATAGGGATGCGCAGGGTTGTAATTTCTAGTTCTCTGCGGCCTAAACGGGCGAGATGGTCATCAATAAATTTATTGTGGTAGTAACGTCCTATAATGATGGACGACCAGAAATCTGGAGAAGCAAGGACGATAGTGCACTAACGAGAGCCTACGAGCGAAAGACGTATTGGAATTACGTGTCTCCATGTTGCTGAGAAATAAATGGTTAGAAAAGATGACGAGAAGTTCGTTTGGTGGGAACGCGGTTGATGGATGGGGGTATCGGGATCGCGTTTTGCGAAAAGAAGGTACCGTCTAGTCGTACCTGCTTGGAAGGTGTTGTTCTTGTCTATGCATGCCGAGATTCAGAAGATATTCACGAATGAACAGACACCCACCCATCCAGATAGTCCCCGCGTTTATCATTACAATTCTATTGTATCCGAGTAAGAATTAAGATATTCTATAGAAGATTAAATACCATATTAGCCAAGAACACGAGCAGCAACTAAGAACCTACTGTTTTGTTTTGGTGCAATTGAACCTAGTCTCTCGTAGACAGACAGACGATACATACCTATTGAGGGTGGGCGGACGGTATGTACGAGTCTGTTGTTTATCTGGGGGGTCTTGTTATCACCGTCGGTCTGGTTACGTAATTGAATCACGTGCACTACAACACTTTAATTTACAACCTCGTTCTGGCGCGTTTCTTGCGTGTTTCTACATCTCCCCGTGCAGAACCTGCGCGTTTTTGCACACAAATGGAATTTTATGGTCCTATCTTCGCCGTTGAGAATACGAGTAATGGGTTGCTCTTGAAATGGCCGAAGACCATCCTTCCAGCTCAGTATTCGCTTTGCGACAACATCCCTGACAGTTTAAATACTTTCAGGGTCATTTCATGAGAGATTTATGGTCATAACGATATCAGATAATGATAGGAGCAAAGGAAAACGCGCCGAAACACGAACGGACACGGTGGTACTGGTTCAAGGAGTGATGGGAAAGTCCTTCTACATATGGAAGCTGACGTAACGGATTCGACGGTGATAACAAGGGGGGCGCGATTAAAACAAGACTAAATTGAACCCAAGTTACCCACGGTGCAGACTACCGTCTTCATAGTTGCAGTGATCGCACGGGCGAGCCTTACCATCTGCATTTTCATCCCATATCTCATTCGGGAGCCGTCACAACCCACTTGAGTAAATGAAACTCTCGCAGAAGGCTACCTTTAACATGACAAATATCTATATCCTAAAGAAACAACAATCGATTTCATGACAGACTGACAGGCACGTAGGTAGGTAATATTACACAGCAGTGTCCACACGGTGAACACCAAAAGTTCAAAAGAATAGCTCGGGAGGAAAACATGGAGCGTAATCATGGGTTCAAATCATTCAGAGGGTTTCAGTACTAGAGATATTTGGATAATAGCAACGGCCGAAAATCACTACAAAAGACATTTTCAGCTTCATCAGTAGTTAAATAGAGCATCACCTACCATGAAATACATCCTCTTCGACTGCGCATCATGCACCGGATGGTACTGGCCTTTATGCGTATTAAGTGTCTCTTCTCGCGTTTGCGTCCCCCCAGACACGACCGATGCCGGAGCACCCTGAGGGTCATAATGCGTCTTTGCCCTACTGCAAACAATGTGGGCATCTGCCATATACATAAGCAAAAGAAATCACGGAGGATAGAACAGGCGCACAATATACAGGTGTAGGGATGGACACTGAACGTGTCGACCTGGCGTAAGTGAAACAAAGGGTATAAGCTAGCGATTGGATCGCGTCCGCGCTGTAAAAAGTGTGAACCTGGTGTGGACCTCAATCAAGGAATGGAAGAGCTACCCAAACCCGAATTCCTGTAAAGCACGGACGATGGTTAATGTCAACGTAGAACATGCCAAGTAAGCAACTCACATCGTAAACAACCTAGATGTCAGGTTGTTCAGCTAAGGCATAATTGTAATCAAAAGCTAACATACATTATAGTGTGAACTTTTACTGGTACCCAGAAGTCCACCATGGCTCTGAAGATAAAAGTCGAATTCCACCGGATTGGTGATAGCCTGATCGATAACAGTACCGGGAAGGAGGTTCCCACTTTTCGCGTCTTTGTCTCTGTCATTCTTTGGGAAGAACCTGGTAGAAAAACGAATCAGCAATCAATGTCGCAACAGAAATACAAAACGAGAAACCTCATGTGATGGCGCTTTCCGACAATGATAAACGTGATTTTAGGAGGGGGATTCAGCTTCGCATCAATGCAGGCCTCTAGGAAAGTCAGAATGGTCAGAATGGGAAGGTATGATGAAGACAAAGGTTAGTACCATGGAGTAGAGGAAGCTCTGAGGAAGGAAGGATGTCAGACAAACTGCATGAATGGAAGTGCAGACACATTGGCAACGTACCTAAATCCAAAACACGCTTAAACTCGCCTTCAGATACACCATCTACAGATGCGAGTCAGCATCTTCAAGAACAGCGGCCACTCAACAACCTACCCCGGAAGAATATGAGTCGCTTTGGCAGTGTCGAGACCTTCTCCATGCTACTTCGATAACCCATATAGGCTAAAAGAAGATCCTGTCATCCCATGAGTCACATATGAATAGCTAGCATAAGGGTTTGACCAAACCTTCGCCATTGAACGCAAATCACCAATCATTTCTTGCCTCCCTAGCTGAAGCGTGGTTTTGGCTATATATCGTGCGCCATCAGAATCAACGTTTGCCACGACCGCAGCGTACGAGGGCGATTGACTCCCCGGGGCTGGATGCATGACGTCTGCGCCTGTATGCACCGTCAGCTATGTCATGAGGTACCTTGAGACAGCTTACCCATGACAATCGTAGGCTGCCTAGGATCGGAGATGATTGGCGCTGACTTCGGGTCTGGGATGACATTGACACCGCCCAACTTGGCATTAATCCTGGACGAGGTTCGCTCAGTCTCCTCATGTTCCACGATTAAAGACAATCATAACTTACTTCAGTGCAACATTGGCCCAGTATTGTGGTCGGGCATTCTTACATTTACCGACGCGGAGACATTGAGTAGCGACACCTCTCTGCAAACAATCACGGTAAGGAAGAATAATAGGCGAAGAAATGCCATGGTCCACAGACCCTTATGTCACCGCAACTAAAGATGGTAACTCGTCAGTAATGCGCCTAGGCCTGGAAGTGAAAACTGTACTTACTGTTTGACTGCCGTATACAAATCCGCGTTGCTCCCGTCAGGGAGGATACACACAACGAACGTTGGTGTCGTCTTGCGCTCAGATCTGTTTTGCATCACTGCATCCGAGATAGACTATTAGAAACCAGTATAATTTAGAGTTGTGTCAAGAGTCCAATCGATGTCCACGAACCTGATCTACGTTGCTCTGGGGATTCTTATAGACAAATAACGGTTGTTTTTCTGGAACTAGCATGCCTGGGAGGACTATTCAGAACCCGCAAGCATCCCGGAAGGCGGGGAGTAGCTCACCGACGGCTTCACACCCTTGAACGAGACCGGTTATTGTCCGCTTTGCGTCATCCGGATTGAAGCGGTTCTGGGGTATGAATATTACAGCAATCCAAGTCCCAAGTGACATGGGCTTGGAAAACTTCTTGTCAACCCTAAGCGGCGTGAGATCGTTTATGGAACGACGACTGTGCCGGATCAATACTTACAGATTCCAAGCACCATCCCTCGGCCGCTGATAATTGACAGTTTAGCGAGAATGTTCATATTTCCCTCAGAAATCGAGTACTCACAACGGTTGCTTGTTTAGATCCCGGTCCATATTTCAGCTCGGGCGCATTGATCATACGAGCCGGGATCTCCATAGGTAGAGAACCTGTCTTGATGTCTAGTCCGAAATCTCGGACGTAACGGGATTGGCCATAAGCGAGGACCTAAAGGGAAGAGAATGAAAAAATAGCATCCAATAGAACAGAAATCCGACCTGAATGCCAGTCTGAATCGCGCTCAGTCGCTGATCAGGCCTCTTCGTAGCGAACTCCACCATGGCTCGCGTAGCATCCGGGTTGAGTTCAGACCGAGAGAGCTGGCCGGGAACGACATCACATCGCTCGAGAGGTATCACAGCACCTTTCGCAGTCTAGCAGAGAATCAGCGTGTTTCTCAACTATGAGGACATGGAATATACCTGCAAGCAGATAATGTTGGGATACCGTAATCGCTGGTTGGCCTGAGCGTAGTACTGCGCTACGCTGGTCTGTCTACCACCAGACGGAGTAAACATTGTTGTTGCGGCGTCTCGCTCTGTCAGTTTGTGGATGGCGAGCAGTTTCTTTCCACTCGCTGCTGACTCGCTCTCGACCTTGACACCGAAAAGGAAGTTCTGAAGCCGGCGTCGCTGCACCGGAGGTACCGCCTGCGGACCGGAAGCTCGTAAAAATCTGTCCGGGTTCTCCCTCCGATTCCCGGTGAAAAATTCGAGACATAGCTCGATAAGCGAACCCGGTTTGAAAAAGACGCCAGTCGAAATGTCTATGTTGACGAGGAGGCGGTTCAAGGCGGGTCGAACAGACTGGAAGTACCCTTGCCAGGCTTCCAGCCCCGTACCAGCTAGCGATGCTTTGATCTTGTCACTGTAGAATGATCGCACCCTAAATGGATGTTTGAGAGATGGCTCCATGCGAATCACGATGTTCAAAGCCTAAAGCATTCTCAGGTCAAGCCAAGTCATCCACAAAAGACGACACATACCGTAAGACCAGTAGAAACGTTTTCATCCCAAGATTGTTGACCAGCCGTATATCTGCGAAGGACTCTGTATATGATCAGTTCTTATCTTCCGCTATGAAGATGAACGAGATTTACTCCATATTGATTTCCCTCGCTTCCGTGATCGTAATCTTAAAATTTGATACTCGATTCTCTTCGGTCCAAGTAACGTCAAACTGTGTGTATTGAGATAAGTCGAACGATACTTCGGATGAAGAAACGTACCTGGCGGGAATGCTCAGCACCGAAATCCAACCTATAGCTCGTATACAGATTCTTCTTGCCATCATAAACAGCTGCTCTGATAAATACGCCGGGGTACTGGCTTTGTAACGCTTCGATCAGCTTCATGTTGAAAGCCGCCCGGAGCGACTTGTCCATAGCTAGAGAAACCAAAGATTATTCGACCCATTCCACAACAGATCTTGAAACTACCAACCGACTAGAAACGTGTAAGCTATCGAAATGGAAAGAAGAAAAGCATCTTACCGTCGTAATGATACACCATGATATCTGGGATATTCATCTCACATGCATTGACACGAACGGTAGTCGCCCTGCCTGCATTACCGAATCCAGGACGAGGAACACCAACAGCCTGAACAAAGGCTTCAAAAATCAAACGATAAGGAATTGAACAATAATGATATATTTTCTCTTTCTATATGTCGTAGAACTTACGGGAAACGGAGACCCTGGGCGCGCCTTGTTGCCCAGCGACTCCCCCTCCTCGCCCGCCACCTCGCCCTCGAGAAGGTCTTCCACGCTGCTGCGGAGTAGTTGACCGAGCAGGGTATGGAGTTCCTCCTCGCTGACCGGGTGCCATTCGCGGAGGCGTCATGTTGGCAGAAAATGTAGAACAGAGAAAAAAAGTTAGATGACTGTTAGGAAGGCGATCCCACGTCTAATCAGATCAAAGAAGCGTCCCTTTATAGCCTGTGGATGGCCGAGATGCCGATAATCACGTGCACTCTTATCGGGCCTAACCGACCCTGAGGCTTGTTCGCCGCTTGAGAACAAGGGTAAGAAGTTGCGAAGAACCGTCTACACGACCCGTGTGTGATCCATGGCTTGAAGTTATCAAAAAGGTTCAGAAATAAGTATCATATGTCTCGGCATCTTTCAATGTGGTGTAACTTACAATGGCAGTAAGTAGTACCATAGGTAGTACGGGGTCCAGACTGACACAGTGCTGTTGAAATGAACTCAAATAGAGCGAACTTTCAAAGTTACGCTGACAGAAACCTGTGTCAGACACAAGATGATGGTGCACGAACATTTACTCACAAGAACCGATAACACCCACAGCTGACGAGTCTGAATCGAGTAATAAGTGCCAGAGAACCATGCTATCCACGTAAAGATATCACAACGAGGCAAATGATAACTGACAATAGAGACCGGGGCTTGCACATATGTGATAAGGGACGTGCCGCAGCCTTGCGTGATATCAAGATGGAGAAACAAGGCGATGCCCTGTGGTTCTGTGAAAAGGAAGGTCGTACACAAGGCCAACCGCATAGAAGGGAAGACCCACTGTGTACAAAACATCTTCTCACATACGTCTCGTGAATGATCAAATGCATCGCTGTGCGAAAAAGGGCCCTCGATTTCCTGCTAGTCGCAGCGAGAAGGAGCGAAGGGACGTCAAGAAGCTATCCGATGAACAAAACGAGCCAAGCTTTGAGCAGAACGAAAGGGCTGAAAGTAGTAAGGGTATAGTGTGCCTGTCTAGCCACCTGGCGGTAGAGGGATAAATAAAGCAGGAAGACGGTGCCAGTAGTGCTTACATCTGTATCTGATAGCTCCCGATGGCCATTGCTTTAATGAACCCAGAGCGGATATGAATAATTTTAGCAGAAATCGTGGCGACCATCTGTCGTGCTAGCGTAAAGTTTCATCAGACAGAGTTAGCGAAGGTTAGAGTACAAACCCGAAAATGGCATGGCAGCAGCACTAGAATACCCCACGCCGGTAATGCGGAACCAGAATAGCCACAGGACGCAGACCAGGGGAGGACCGTCGAAAGATAGGTCAATTCCCGGCCTGGGGAGTAATTTACGAGTGTCCATGTTCCACTCTATTGCTTCAGGTAAGTAATGAACCCCGGTCGCTGAGTGGTGATGTTCCATTAGAGAAATATGCTCACAGTCAAATAATTGTTACAACTTATTAAACCACCACCACTCCCATTTCTCCTTGTTCTATGACCCGACTCTACCATAATGTTCTAATGTTGAAGGACCTAGTATTACACTACCTCAGCTTCCACCTCAGTTTTCTTCCATCCCCTTTCTGAGTCTAAATCCCTGTCTGTCACCGCCGATGATGAAGACGTGCCGGAATCTTCATCATGAATGTCAAGGCACGGCACGGTTGCGAGTGTATTAATCGGATCAAGAGTGCGGTTGAATTCTAGAATTGACTTCGGGGGCTCTTGGTATGTCGACAAAGGTCTTGTACTACCGATTGTTACTCGTGCAAGTATAAGTGTGGGGGCTAGTCCCTGTTGACCATTGCATTAGACTCAAATTGCTCATGCGCAAATGGAAATCCTACAGTAATTGTGGAAGTGATAGAGATGGGAAAGTTTGCGTTGAGAGCCCCGTGTTGGTAGAATGCCAAAGTGACAATCATGGATACGGCGTACATAGCGGCTGACTCGACCAGGGTGCAGATAACTCTGCTGAACTTATAAGAACGGTGGGACGGGAGCTGAGTCAGTCTGTCCGTTTCGCGATGCGAATTCCAAATTTTGAAGACGATAAGCGAGGTGCATCCGACGGTAACCGCTACCGATATACAAAAGTATGGCAAGAGCCAGTCGATTTGAGCGGCGCTCCATGCACTTCCTGGTGGTGGCGTAGTGGCTTGCTGGAACAGACTGAAGCCAGCAAAAACTAGAACACAAGTTAGAGACGATAGAGTAAGGAAAGTGCACTGCATGCCTATCCCAACGATGTTGGCGAGCGAGGGTATCGCACCAACTATCCAATTCCGTCCCCAGACATTCCAGCAGCGCCAAACCTTGAGTGTTGCGTTAAATTTTTGTAAATATGCGCGACAGATTTGCCGTGACTTACTACGACAAAGTCCGCTATAATTGTATTCACAGTGAATGCGACGCTGCTGGCAAGCATCCATTTTGGTGCATTGAACAGGTAATCAAATGCTGTATCATCCGTTTGCCCGTGAATGATGAATGATCCTCGGATATAGCACCACCGAAGTGCCAAGTGCAGGGTGGCGATAAGATACATCACAACAATCACGACGCCCATAACAACTCGTGTCCTGCATTTCTCATGCACAACTAGGATTCAAGTGTCAAAATAGTAAAAACACGAATTAGGGAAGAGCATACCTATCATCCATAAAGTAAACACAACGACCGTGGTATAAATACCTACCAAGTCACGTTAACGATTGGATTATCCTATTCGCAAAACAGACTACGTACCATGCGCTAACGACTCCATTAGAGTCACGTTGAGCATAGTATCACGGTATTCCAATGAGAACTCTGGAAGGGACGACATGACTGTTAGAGATCCAAGGACTATAGCACCACAGGTGCTTTAGTTATATGCCTCTCCGTTAAGCACGCACTGCTTATATCCGGTACCTTTGATATCGGAGCATTAGTCTGACCGGCCCCCTTGGCGCAAGAATAGGCAATGAGGTTGTCAAACTCGTACTAGCTCGAGTAGCGTGCTATTCCTGGGCGGCCTCTCACGAACGATAAAGGCGTAGCGCGCACATGAGAAGGAGAATAAATGACGGATAGTATCATCTACGATGAAAAGATCGATGGAAAACCCCGGACCGATGGAGCCGATCCTGATCTATCTGATAATGATATTATGGCGATCTGAAGATCGTTATCAAAAAAGGCACCACCGGTGACCGTGCAGCACCGTGCATAGCCGCACACTGTGTACCAAGCAAACATCAAATAAATGGACCCCATTTCTGAGGAATTGAAAGTAGTACTTCATCAAGTACCGGCTCAAACTGAAGCGGAGAAGACCTGCATCGCGTTGAGATGCGTAATGACCGACCCTGATCATGGCGTCATCATAGCTATTCTAGCTCAACTTGACGTTCATAATACTGCATTGGATAAAGGAAATACGCAGCTGTTGTGAGAAAATGACAGGTACACCAAGCATTCCATTCCTCAGTCGTCATGAAGGCCAAAGAAAGAATGTGAGACGATAATCACAAAACATTCATCTGATCGAATTGAAGCTGCCTACAGGCTGAAAGCGAAGCGCCTGTGTACAGTGTACCAGGAAATGAGCAGAGTCCGAGGCTAGTCTAGACATTCGGGTAATTATTACATTACCGGTGGGCTCAAACTTCACAAAAACTTCACGACATTATGCCGCGATTATGACGTCCCAAAAGGCAGTGCCCAGGCGACAATATGTTGATTCGTCGCCACCATCACCACCATATCATGACATAGCAGCGACTGCCTAAACCAGACTAATTCAGATCTTCAGGGATGCAATGATCTTAAGAGAGACGCTGTGTGATCGATGGGGCACAGCTGGTGAGAAGCGCTGGGAAATCGAAGAGCTCCTTCAACGAGATCTCGTTATTTTCGGCAAAAGTTCAGATGCCTAGGCGTGTCGACGAAGGAAAGCGATCAAAGCAAGAGGAGCTGCTTAATATCGGCAAGTAGATGTTAACACAACGGAGCAAAGTCACTGAGTTCGGACATAGTGATATAGCCATCAAAGTAAAAGATGGACCGGATCTCAGAAAACATGAGAGAGTGCGGAAACTAAGAATTATTCAGCAGTTGTTTAGATGAAACGCCAAAGACAGAACCAACCTGCAATACCAACAATCCATTGGGCGGCGAATCAAACACATAGGGTAAAGTCACATCGGTTTACAGAAGCCAGCGAGACTGATGCATTTTACAAAGCAAGCGTTGAACGCTTCTGCTTTGATCGCGGTAGTCAGCTAAGAAAATTGTATGCCTGCCGGGGTCGGCAAGTAGCATACTCTCCATTGCAATGAGGGGAAGCAAGAATGTTTCTCCACGGCGGAAGATAATTTTTTTATCGCGAGATGTTGCCGCAGGACTCGGAGATTGGAGAGTAGGAATATTGCAGTGGAATGTCAGCGCGGGGCGCTGAGAAGATTTATATGCTTTAGAACTTAGATGAAGGAAAAAATAGAGAAGACATACGAAGATGGGTCGAGAATTGTATTCGATGTCAAGCGGTAACGGCGCATGGAGCCCCGGTAGAATGAACCTAAAGCGATATCCATGAACTCGGCGCAACAGTGCTACTCAGGCTCGTGTCAATCAAAAAGATCAAGCAGAATTCACAGAATAGCAAATGTATATGAGCGGGTTGTACATAGATCTGAATCAGTTGTTGAATTGGAGGGATGGAGCTACCTACCTGAAAAATGCCAGCGAACAGTTCATCAGATATCTCGGAAGGGAATCTGTCAAACCAGCCCGAGGTACGAGTCGTAACCAGATGCTGCATCATACAGGTGCTGTGATTCATAGCCAAGTGTATTTCTTGGTATCGTAATGACGAAAGGGAATGGCACCAAGCGGCTACCTTTGAATAAACTTGTGAAAATTCATGATCAGAAGTATTGATACGTACGCGTTGAAAGTAGTACCAGATCGTGAAGACCCGCAACTAGGTAGCGTGATCAAGCGTAAGCCGAGCAATTTTGAATGACCGGCTCTCGGGACCGAAGGCAGGATGTAAGGAGTTGTCGACGTGAACTAAACATCTGACTCAGTGGTTGAATTCTAGAGAGATGGAACTATCCGCGTACGTTGAGTATTGCCTTGACATCTCGGCGAGAAATCTTTGGGCAGGTCCTAATCACAAGTGCAAACCAGACCCAGCAACATTAAGGCTGGGGAAGATAGCTTAAGCTTCAATTCCTAGCTTGGTTGCTTGGAATCGGGAGGGCTATTACCAAGCGCCCAGCCTTGTATGAACTTTGAAAGCACTAATATGCACGCATTCAAAGGGATACTCCATGTCGACTTTCTACGCGACCGCTGACAGGATCGAGCGAAGAATGAGCCGACCAATTTCGAAATATTGGCTATCAGAACCGAAAGCGTCAGTCGACTGAATACAGCGTGGCAGAGGATGGAAGAGAGAATTGTTGAGGGCTGGTGGAGGAGGCGAAGTTAACGTCATGTTGAGTCTTGACGATGCAGCAATCGGCCGCCTATTGCCGAACAAGGTATGGATGCTTAGTCAGCGCTCCTTTTGGACAAACGCCGGCCCGGAGCCCCTCTGCTCGCTCCTTCATCGGCTCCTGTGATTTATTTTTTATCCTAGTAGTTACATACACTTCGACCTGCTAAGCTTCGATGTAAGGAGCATACAGCATTGCAGCAGATTTGGTTGATCTTCTTTTTTTCTCTCCTTTTTCCCCCTAATTCCGGTGCCCGTTCTTCGGGTGTAGGCGAATATTGACGCGACAGATGTTCTCAGCGCTAGACCTCCATCACGTCTTTTGTTAATCTCCCGTTGGACCCGTCCCCGATGATATTAGCATGCACCCGCAGAAGGGTCGCGTCATCGATCTCGACAAGGTCATGAGGCTGATGTTAACAGAAAAGTATGTTTGGACTACTAGGCGGAATGTTGCTTACGCTCATATCGCATGTATATCAACTGCTATGTGCTCCCATACAGGATCTACGACTCACCGCTGCCAACGAACAGGCAAAGTCCACTCATGGCTCGGCTACGCACTCAGTGCCCTGCCGTTACTACTTCCATGACTGTCCATCGTTGAGAGGTCGTTCTCGGACCCATGACTCGCAGGATGACGAGCGTACGCATATAGTTGCATGCCTGTGAGGTCATGTCAAGCTCAAGCTGTCAATAATTTAAATGTTTTCGCCCACATCTACGTCCCTCATCCAGTGTGAAGCGAGTTTGTTACCGTTCTTCTCCTGGATCATGCAGTGCAGTGAATCTTCTGAATGTCGGAGCTATGCTTCGAGGTGTTCACACCTGGCATAGCCGCCACCGCCGACTCCGCCTTATAAATATACGAACCTGCTTCAGCAGCCATATTGGCACCCCCTTTGAACGATTTTCCATGCTGGCCCTCGATTTCTCCTCATACACGCTCAAACATTTGTAAATTCCTGTAATTGATCTGAGAGGACTCGCCCTTGCCACGCCTGTGATATCTCCCCCCTCAGAAAGTACTTTATGTCATACCACAATGTAGTTTTCGGAATGTCCTCTCGAATGAGGAGTCATAAATATTATCCATGTACATCGTATCAATCGAGTATGTTATACAATTACTACCATCTACTCCCAGTCGCCTTTAGGTCTCCAGAGGAGCAATCTGCAATGGAACCTGAGTACCATCGGCCAGTTTTCCCTTAACAATTGGAAGACAGCTCAGGGTGCCTGGTGCGTCCAGTAGCTCGACTCCATCAGGAAGCTTGAATTCAAAGTTACCGAGAAGTTCGACTGTGACCGTTTGAATTTCCATAATCCTGTGGGATTCATGAGACAACTCGTAGTCAGCCCAGTCGAGAGACTTACGCGAATCTCCAACTGCATCAATGTCACCCATATCAGCTCTTTAACTAAATCATGAAAGAGACATTACTTACCCAAGGCATGCACGGACGCCTGCGCCTGTTGCGGAGGTCGGTCGGTCAAAACTGAACTCAACAGTATGTCAGACTCACTGAACGTCATCCTATCAAAAATCAATCAGCGTGTAGAAACTTAGATGAACAAAAGGTGCCCACAAATTTGAGTATACGCCGAGAGACAATTGGCCCTTTTCCGCGGAACCCAAGAATCGACCGGGATTCCATCTGTCGGCGTCGTCACCCCAGACGGTTGGCAGGCTAAACACGCAGTGTAAGTTACGACAGATGTCGACAAAAGGAAGCCGCACTGATTATATGTATACAAGGACGCAGAGATAACTTGGCCTTTCGAGATAGAATCTCGGTAGCCACTCTTCCATCAGTGGTTGTAACCGGCTCCGATAGTGGAAGAATATCATCCTGGTCCGCCATTCGGTAAAGGGTATGAACGAATGGATGTCTTCGAAGTGTTTCCTGCCGACCGTCAGTCTACGAGCAGCTGTGATATTGATGGTATGACAAACCTTGATTGCAGCGTTGAGGAATGGCATGGAGTCATAATCATTAGATGTCAGCGCCCCTTCGCTCAGCTGTACTTGTCTTATCTCGCCTCGGATCCGCTGTTGGTCGTCAGGGTGGCGAGCGAGCTCATACAGAAGCCAGGCAATTGCATTCGCTGTGGTGTCATGACCAGCCAATATGAATGTACTATTCAAAATGATGTTAGAAGCAGGTGTCAATCAGTGATGTATAACTCACGCCAACTGTGATTCTATTTCATCATTACTCATTTTCTTCTTATCTTCATCCGAAAGATATGAAAGCGCTACGGTAGGAGAACCCTGAGTAAGAAGTAGCCATAGCACTACTAGTAAGTCACTATGTAACCCCAATCCGGATAATAACTTACATTACGTTTTCCAGAGCATCCCTCAGTTCCGTCTGTCCGCCGCTCAAAGCTTCGAAACGATATCGGAAGGAAGCTGATATGCAGTCAGTTGTGTTTCTCATGGGAAAGAGGACATATAAGCTGCATACTCATTCCAATTATATCAAGGGCAACTTTGCTTGTCCATTCTACTGCGTTCAACACGCCGGGACCACCCTTGATTTGGTCGTTCAATTTCTCGGTGAGCTATAATGACATTAGTGTCTGACCGTCTTAACAATAAGAAGACACACCAGGGAAGCCGAGGATTTGAAAATAAGAAGAAATTGCCGGAGCTTAGAAGCGGAAAATGAGCCGTTCAAGATCTTTCGTTGGCGTTGATGGACATTTCCTTTCAGAAAAGATCATTGATATATTTAATAATTCTACAACACGAAACATACCTCCCACTGTAACGAGTCCCTGTCCGAACAAGGCGTCTGCTATTCGTATGGCGTCCCTTGACTTTGGAAAACGGTATCCCGACGTGTGGAATATATATTGCAAAGCCTTCGGATCGCTGACCTCCAACAGATCTTGCTGTGGCATAAAAAAACTTAGCAAACTACTGACCGTGACGACTCGAAAGGAGAAGGCGTACGCCAAAACATCCTCCGATGCGATATACAGCACCATATTGACGGTACCATTCCATCTTCAAGTAGCCGACAGTGTCTTGTTGACGAATAATCCATTCATGACCTGGTATGCAGGTTCGGGTCCAAGATGATATGCATACGAAAATCCGACGCAGCTAGCAGAAACGACGGTCGCGGTGGACCACGTATCTTTCGTACCTTGCGTCGAGAATATGATATAAGGACGAAGAACCAGATACGTTATGACCGGCAGAAAGAAAAACGGAAGGGCTGCCATTAGTTACTGTGGCTCGAAACTTGAGAAGGGGGTATACATCCATGGGCGAGATTATATACTGCTATCAAGGTTATCATCAGGAATAATTGTGGTTAATCAAGGAGCGGGCCATGCTATCCATAGGCTCTCGTCAAGCAATACCCACTCATCGTAGATTCTTTGTAGTAACGGCCCTGTTGAATAATGGAAATGACAAGTCGCGTATCCCAGGTAGGCAGCTGCAGCGGCCCGGAGAAGTGGGTAATGTGGAGTACGAACCAGAAAGTCGGTGCATTGCATGATAACGTGGGGATTGACATTGACTCCGCGTCGTCTCGGCGCGGTAAAAGGTCATATGCTACAGGTACTGACCAGTACTGAGTCATTGGAGAAACAGTGACGTGATGAACCCTTACAATGAGATTAGTATAACGGTGCGACCTTCGAATAATAATCAGGACTACACTTATGCTGTGGTAACAAGCGATTTTAGACTAAATGGACTGGTTGTTGATTGAGGCGCAGGGTGAGTTGCCGATCAGCCGGATCTTAACAATGTTGTTACGAGGTATGACATAATATTCTTGCCGCAAACCGGCATCGCCCTGTTGAGAATGCCGGTCCGACGGCTTATATGCCGACTCCATGCCGCCCAGCGGGTCTTAACTGAAAATAATGCTTGTACAGCTTTTCGTTTCCCTTTACAATGGATTCGTTTGTATGACCAGATGTGTTATATCTTAACTATGTAGCCTTTGATACTTTCAAATCTGACGCGTCCCTAATCCTGAATCCAGAAATTATGCAGGTTTCCAAGAATTACATAGTCATAGCCGATTCTTTCTCGGTATTAAAGCTTATCAGTGGTTATCAATTTCACTATCTCCTCTGTGTTGTAGCAGCAGTCCTCGATTCTAAGACAAGGAACTTGGTGTCTTCGCCGCTGCCCTGGGGGAAGAACAGGCGGAAGGGGGAACATTCCCACTATTCATTTAATAGCCAAGATATGGTTCGAAGGGCCAATACCCCTACTCTCTCATAGACAGACGACGATACACACCTGTTGACGGGAGGGAGTGACGGTGTGTATGTAGTCTGTTGTTTATGTACCCCCTCTTGCTACAACCGTCACTCTCTTACATAATCAGTTCACGACACGTGTGAGTACAACGTGTTGAAAAAGTTAATTCTCTTAGTATTGCATACATTTCAGCTATTATGACCTTCTCATAGCAATATCAACAATTTTTTTTGGCCAGAAAATGTCATTCTCTACAGGTTTTTTCGTATAACATGTTCAGTGGCACACAGCCCCAGCTCAGGCCGGATGATAACCGGTCTGCAGAGAAAAGGCCTTTATCACCTTCTACAAGGTGTATTACACTTCATGTGCATTTGAACAACCGCATATAATGTATACATGCAAGACGCCTTGGCTTTTGCTCGACCAAATTGCGAGTAAGTAGGAATTCCGTTTACCGGTAGTGATGGGAAAGTACTTCTCGATATGGATGCTGATGTGACGGGACCGACGATCATAGCAAGGGGGGCGCGGTAAAAACAGGACTACAATACCCCCAAGGAAAAGAGCCCAACAATTTGCATCAGTGATGAAGGGGAAAGCGGTGATTGCTAAATCAAGACCGGACTGGCACGGATAGTAAAACCGGGGCGATTCAATAAATTTGATTACGAAGATCATAACATATTCAAGATCTTCCCATGTAACGTGTTTCGGTCTGAATCAAAAATCATTCGCCCAACGGTCGTCCTATAAATCTAAAGAAGTGAAAAGGTGATCCAGTAGCGTCATATAATCGACATACCTTCTAACGAATCCTCTCCTTCAATCTACCTTGAGCGAACGTAGCATCCCGCTCGATTTAGCCTCTTTTAGTGAATAGGTAGCCTAATAAGGTTCGCCAGATGTCAGTAGCAGGACCGCGGGACATTCGGCCGCTTGAGATGGATTATCCGGTACGTGATGAACGAGCGGCGCGGGGGGGGAACTGGATCGCATCCGATCGGGACGCTGGTATCCGGAAAGTTTGAGTACGGTAATACTCTCGAATCGGAATCGTTTACTGAGAATGACCGGTAGGCAGTTGGTCTTCTCTTTCGCATGGCATACTTGACGAGGGAGTTTGGTAGACATTTTCGGTCTAGAGGTGCGATCTTTGGATCCCAACAAAGATTCCAAGACCACGACGTGATCAAGAATCAATGACTGGTTGATTAGTACTACATAGAAAGTAAATTGTGTGCTAGCCAAGTGCTGGTTCGGAGCTTGTTAAGAGAGGATGGTGCTCGTCATGCATCCACGCAGAAGCTAGAAGAGGCGAGGTTGATGAATACCAGCATAGCGCTAAATTTAATTCCGGCCGTATGATGATCAACATGTAATGCAGCGCGTGGTTAATCCGCAGCTGATCGGTACGCATGGTCGAAACAATGGTCCTAGCACCACCAGCGAAGGAGATGTAACGAGATAATTGAGTCCCAGAAGTAGAACGAAAGCGGTCACGAGTCGCGAGATTTTATTTTAGCAAAGCGCCTAAAATACCCACGCTAAGGGAGACTCGCGCTCCTATACGTCCCCCCCCCTCTGCCTCCAGGTCTCGATCACGGCTGCCGGAGCTAGATTGACCCTAAATATCATCGTCGTGGTGACCCGACACTGGTGACCGGCGACGGAATAATTATCGCTGTCATTTGATGTCACCGCTCGTTTCGATCGCTGTTACAGCTTCACCATTACCTCCACGACTCTGCAAACGACTGCCACGAGAGAACGAAAAAATAGCAAGCCGAAAGGAACGAACGAGGCCCCGATTCGATATCAGAAAGATTTTACGTAAGTCATGCATGGGAACATTTGCAAAAAAAAATTACTCACGCACGTCGTTGCACCAGCCCTCTTTTCATTCTTCTTCGGTTTGCGTTTCCCACTAGTGTCTTTCCTTGACTTTTGTATGGATTGAATAGGCTTTGAAAACTAAGATGTGTATGTTAATTTCTCATCTCATGACAACGGAAAACCTGATACAGCAGTCTAGCGGAAACCACCACCACCAGCGTGAGTGTGTCGCTGCCGACGACGGGGATTACCACGTCGACTGGCACGGACACAACCACTGCGACGCAGACCTCGGCTACAACGACATCAACTGAGGTACTCACCACTTCCTCGACAACCTCAACTGGTTTGACGACCTCGACGTCGTCTGCGTCGACCACAGAAACAACAAGCACCACTGGCACAACTTCCACCGCTGCGCTGACAACTTCCACCACTTCGTCGACAACTACGAACACGGGAACGACCTCGAGTGCAACCGATCTAACTACACAAGTACCCATTACTACCATTTCGACCAGTTCATCAACAAGCGAAGTTATTACAACCGATGGAGCTGGGGGGATCGCGACGGTGACTACCGTAGTCCCGATCACTCCGACTACTGTGAGAGCGACGGGCAGTAGTGCAGCGGCAACTGAGAGCAGCAGCTCGAGTTCCAGCGGGGGGTACGTTCGTTCGATTCCTGCACGTTACTCCGACTAATTCCCACCGTCAGATTTGGAATAACAAAGGCGCAGTCGCCGGTGTATTCACCGTTGTCGGACTGATTGCGTTCGCGCTTCTCATTGTTCTCGTCACCACGACAATCCGCCGACGTCGCGCACGGCAATATGACCGAGAGTTGGCCGAAGCTGCTGCTCCAGGTCCTGGTCCGGTTTACCTCGACGATGACCGAACTTCCCTGCACGCAACAAGGCAGTTGGCGGGGGCGGTGGAGGGTTCTCGGACGCCTCCAGCCATGGCACGTACGCGCAGAACCCCATGTCGACGGAGAGCTACGGGATGAGTGAAATACCTTCGACGGCTGATTACGGGCAGGCTGGAATTGGAGTGAGCAGAACGAGAAGCATGGCGCTCTTCCTGGGGGAGGAGGGTATGGCTTGAATGCTGAGAAGGGAGGCTCACCGTAATCCTGCATTCATGCAGTCTGGGGCTCCGCAGCATCCTGGATACGATGGGCGGGTACAACGACGTTACAAACACGTCCCTGTAGCGCCACCGGTAAGCGTATGGACGCGTACGGCGACCGTGTATCCGGAGAGGCAGCAGTCTCCGCCTCATTCGTACCCTGACACTGTTCCCTTGCCACAACCGACTTCTAGATCTATCAAGGCAAGGATCGCAATCCATTGCTCAGCAGCACCACTTCCCCGACCTAGTCATGGAGAGAGTTATGACTAGTCACTACCAGCCTGGTTTTCGTCCTGCCCAGTGCCTCACGCAGGTAGTCCGCAACCCCAGCCGGAACTTCGACGAGGGGGGAGGCCAAAGATTCTCAAGGTCAGTTTTCTTTCTTTTTCTTTCTTTTGTTATTACGCTGACGTGGTTGCAGGTTGCGAATGAATAATCTACTGGGACTTTATCATCGCTTGTTTATACTGTTCATTTAACCTTACCTTGTACTGTGGACTTGTTGCTACTAATTAATTCCTTCTTGTTGTCGCCTTCCGCCTTTTCCGATCCTTTCTCTTCCTCGCGCAAAACGTCTTTGTCGTGCGCCACTCACGCGTTTTGTGGAGCTCCCAGATTGTTCATTGCAGGGTCCAGTTACGGCAGCCTACACGCATACAGATACCATTTATTGATACCATATCTCTACTGCCGTCACCAGCCTTTCCGTTTGGCTTGATTCTCTTCTCGGTGGTACCAAGGATAGCACTGAAGCGTCGCCTGAGGAGGAACGCACGGTTGATCGTTTACCTAATAGATGTGCTTTTGGTTGGAATCGAACTCGCTTTGGATCGTGCCGGACGCGCAACCGCTGAGCTATCCTTACCCGGCGATTTATGCCGTAGATTTTTTCCCCCTGTCTTGCGTATTTCAGAGCTGACGAGTATTTTCCGGAAAGAGCTTCGCAAGAACTTTCTTGGGCCTCATTCTACGCGCACAACGTACTTTTCCGGTCGATGCAGCTGCCCACTTTGGTCACTTCCATTACTCAGCGGGACAGTCGTTGCCAAGATTCTACGACTCCTCGGTGTTGGTGGGAATTGGTTGACGAGAGTGAATAATCAAGGCCAGCTGGGTAACAGTATATAGTCTGCTCCATGGATAGACGCCCGTCCTCAAACTGAAGTGCCGACTCCCAGGTCACATTTTTAAATGGCGGCCTTTCTGTTGTTCTTTTTTCTGACCGCAGCATATCTGCTCTTCGTCACTGTCTCTTATTTTAGACGCAAGGTACGAAAGGTTAGTGGTCCGCCACGACCATCATTTCTGCTAGGTGCGTACCTCCGTCTATAACATATAATGTCCGACGTTAACGTGTATACAAGGGCATGAGTGGATTATCCGTCAACAAGACAATGTCAGTGACTTAAAAATGAGTTGGTACCACCAATATGGTACGGCATATCGCATCGGAGGATGTTTTGGCGTACGTCTTCCTCTCTCGTTGCTAAGATTACTAGGTTCCTAAGGTTTTTATACTCCAGCAAGACGTTTTGGTGGTCAGCGATCCGAAGGCTTTGCAATATATATTCCACATGTCGGGATACCGTTTTCCAAAGGTAAAAGATTCGGTCCGAGCAGCAGATGCCTTTTTCGGACCGGGTCTCGCTACAGTGGGCGGTACGCTTGGTACTGTGATGTCGAAGTGGGCTAACGATATTGTCTGACAGGATCCGTCCATCAACGCCAGCGGAAGATCCTGAACGGTTCGTTCTCCGCTTCGCAGCTCAGGAAAATTTTTCTTCTTTTCCAATCCTCAGCTTCTCTGGTGCGGCATCCTACTTTTGAAATGAAAAACGCTGATATCAGCATAGCCCACCGACAAATTGAACGACCAAATCAAGAGTGGTCCTCGCGTGTTGAATGCAGTGGAATGGACAAGCAAAGTTGCACTTGATATAATCGGAATGAGTATGCCGTCTACACACTTTCTTTTCAGTGAGACGCAAGACTGATTTCACATCAGCCTCTTTCCGTTATCGTTTCGAAGCCTTGAATGGCGGACAGACGGAGCTGAGGGATGCTCTTGACAACTTGATGTAAGTATGTATCCGAATTCACGGTGCACGGTGACTTATCGGCGGCACTATGACTCAGCACGGATTCCCAAATGCATCCTCGTGTCATCGATCTTCTGTTCATGGCCCTTTGGCGAATGCTACCGGATTCTATACTGAATATCCTATCATGGATTCCATCCAAGGATACGCGTCGGTTAATGGACTTCAAGGACGTCACCAAAAAGATTGCCCGAAACATCTTCAAGAACCAGCTCGCAGTTGTCTCCAATGGCAAGAACGCAGAAGAAAAGGATATGGTGAACGTTCTCGGTGAGATTTCACCACGAATCTGTGGACGTGTCTGATTCATATTCTGGGTTTTCGTATCGTAGCGCTTTCCTATCTTTCGGATGAAGATAAGAAGAAAATGAGTAATGATGAAATCGAATCACAGCTGGCGTGAGTTGTACCTCACTGATTAACATCTGCTTCTAACATTATTTCTAATAGTACATTCATATTAGCTGGACACGATACCACAGCGAATGCGATTGCCTGGCTTCTGTATGAGCTCGCTCGTCACCCTGACGACCAAATTCGGATCCGAGACGAGATAAGACAAGTACAGCTGAGCGAAGAGGTGCTGACGTCAAATGATTATGACTCTATGCCATTCCTCAACGCTGCAATCAAGGTTTGTCCCATACATCAATATCACAGTTATTCGTAGACTGACGGTCGGCAGGAAACACTTCGAAGACATCCATTCGTTCATACCCTTTACCGAATGGCGGACCAGGATGATGTTCTTCCACTATCGGAGCCGGTTACAACCACTGATGGAAGAGTGGCTACCGAGATTCCTATCTCGAAAGGCCAAGTTATCTCTGCGTCCTTGTATACATATAATCAGTACGGCTTCTTTCTGTCGACATCTGTCGTGACTCACACTGCGTGTTTAGCCTGCCAACTGTCTGGGGCAACGACGCCGACAGATGGAATCCCGGTCGATTCTTGGATTCCGCCGAAAGGAGGCAGCTTTCGCTCGGTGTATATTCAAATTTGTATGCACATTTTTCCTCATCTAAGCTTCTGGATGCTGATGGATCTGATAGGATGACGTTCAGTGAGTAAGACCCTTTTTATGATTGAACCTTGATCAACCTCCGCAATAGGTGCGGGCGTTCGTGCATGCCTTGGGTAAGCAGCACATCTTTCATGATTGAGCACAAGGGCTGATATGGTATTGTGGTACAGCTAGAAATTTGCGTGAGCATCTATCTTTATCGCTCGATTGCGCAGTGTCTCATGCAACCGACAGCGTTATGGAAATTCAAACAGTAATAGTCGAGCTTCTCAGCAAGTTTGAGTTCAAGGTTCCTGTCGGAGTCGAACTGCTAGACGCGCCAGGGACGCAGAGTTGTGTTCCCATTGTCAAGGGACAGCTGGAAGATGGTGTTCAAGTTCCTTTGCAGGTTGCTCCTTTGGAGACCTAGTAGCGGTTAGGCTAGCTTTTCGGGTTCATTTTGACGTCAATTCTATACCTGATTTTGCGATTTAATTGAGCTCGAAAACTTATCAATGCACATCTGAACGAGAAATTTCTGCTGGTCTTTGAAGAGCCAAACCTGCTCTATCAGTTATGCGAGGAGAATTCAAATCCACCTCAGGGAATCCACGTCCCAACACCGGGGATTTGATATACCTCTGATCATAAGAGGTATGTCGTGCACCAGAGCCATGATTTTACTATTGGGTCCAGAGATCAGGCCAGTCTGGGATAAAGGTCAGCTCGATAACGAGTCTGACTGCCATTGTCACTAATGGTAGTAACGAAAGAACACGTTCTATTCATACGAGATACAACGACAACATTTACGACTGACTCAGGAAGACAACCTAAAGCCGCATTGTTGTACGTACATGATATATTTTATAATCTATCTAGGCAAACTGAAAAATAAGCATAGCAGTAACGATCAAACGACAGCGCTACAAGAAAGCAATAAAGGTGACAAAAAGACAATGATACAGTAAGAAAGGTAGGGGACAAAGGAAAGAATAGTACATGGTACAGAGCAAGATAACAACAGAGCAATTAAACGGCGGAGATGAAGGTGGATAATCAACTGACACAGATCCTAAATCCTCTCCCTCCCAAACAAGTGCCATCTCTCGGCAGGAATGATACGCATTGATTGTTACCAGGGCATATCCCCAGGAAAGCGCCCTTCAGTGTGAACTGCTCCGTGCATTCCACGAAGACGACACGACATCATATTGAGTCTGGAAATAACCGTCATTGAACCCCGGGCTATCCATTCTCTGAGAGTAGGCAGATGACTGTGAGCTTGCGACGGAGTTACAGCGCTCAGGGGAGGCGGAGCCTCGAGGAGCTATATGGGATATGTCCATCTTCATGGCACCCAAGGTGGGGTAGGGATTCGATTTTTGTTCGTTGCTACGATGGCGGGTACGTTTGCGAGGGCGCTTCATTCCTTTAGGGTTCCTGACATCCAAGGTCCAGTATGATCCAGAGCCTCGATCGGTCTTCTGTCGCTCGACCTTGACGTAAAGCGATTCGAGAGAGAGGAGGTGACGGATGCTACCCTGGGGTACAAAGTTCGGTAGTGAACGGGGGAAAAGAATTAAAGAAGACGCACTCTCCAAGATTTCTTTTCCTTCTTGTACCAATCAAACCGATCCTCTATAGCCTTCAGGAGCTGATGCAAAGTGGCTCTGTGTTGTGGATGACCATAGATAGCGAGTCGAGCGAGCTGGGAGTTTGTGTAGTCGGGACGTACACCGGGAGGGGGATCTGGGAGCGCGTCGAGATTGACGGGGACGTTGGGTGGTATGCTGAACTGCTCTCGAAGAAATGCTTCGGCGTCAGGAACTTGTTCTCCCTGATAAGAGGGGATTTCAACGTGAGAGATAAGGTTTGCACCAAAGGATGACGATAGCGACGGATTGGAATGCGCTCGCGGTACCTGAGGGAGGCCCAAGCTTGATAGTGGCGGAAGTGGGAACTGCTGTGAAGCGCTGTGGCGGAGAAAGCTGTTGGGCGTCTCCTGCTGTGCGTGGAATGGAGACGGAAAGGCGTAGCGCGCGTCTCTGGTGAAACTAGTATCGTTTACATGTGACGTCGGGACAAGCGGTGGATCGCTAGGAACATAAGAAAGCGCTGGTTGAACCTGCGTATCGTCTGGTCCTAAGGTGTAATCCAAAGATCGCTGCATAGGCAGGTCAGTAGAGTGATTTCCAGGGTAACGAAAAACCTGCTCACGTCGCGACGCGCATGTGGTCGATATATGGGAGAAGGCGCAGCGGTGTTATAAATTGGGAACAAGGTGCGCTGGACAGGCGAAAGCGGATCAATCGGCGATGGAATATTTGAATACGGCACTGTCCCGGCATATTCGAGGGCGTTTGGAATGGGAACCCTCTGACAGGGCGGGTACATGTTTTGGAACTACCGTGGATACACAGGACCAAATGCGGATTCATTGCGACGGGCCGAGGTACGAGGGCAGAAGCAAGTGCAGGCGACATGGCACATGTGGTAGATGAGGTAAAAACAAACGTACGGAGAGATTAGTGTGTGTCATCGACAGGACGTTGTGAGAAAACATACGAGAATGATTGAAAGCTATCGACAAACTGCCTCGGTTAGATGGTCTTTCTGTGCGAAGAAAGCGTCGGAGGATGGTGGGGAGACTGTACAGTAGATTGATGGGTATTTAGCGACAATCTATGAGTTTATCGTCCGGCTTTTATATGCCTTGGCTGTGGGGTCGTTACGAGGTCACCATCTTCCATGGTAGGTTATTCTTTCAGCGCCTGTTACGATTGGTCTTCTCCGGTACCCGACGAATTACTTCCGATAGTGCCAAAAAATTTAGGTGCTGGGAATAGTGTCCCACGATCCACATATCAAAAAACGTGACTTGTATAAAATTTCCTTGAGCGGAAGGTCCTGAATACAGCATCGTATACACATGTGGGACGCAGTAGATCACTTAGCTAAGCCAGGAATGTCGATCATTGCGTTGAGTCGCATTATAGGTACTGAGCTAAAGAGAACTCAGAAACATCTGTGATGTGGGAAAAACGAGGTGACGAAAAAATGAACGGTTCGACTCTCAAGCCAATGTAACAGCATAGGCGAACTCGTTTATTGAACACAGACCGCAAAAGCTTTCGTAGAGTTCTCCTATAGCCGATCTCGAGTAGGCCATATGAGAATGCGGATTAACGTAGACCCTTGAGGCTTCCGTAGTAGTAGTCAAACAAGCTAGGGCTTAAGAAAGTACGCCGTCACGCTCCAATTGACAGCTTTGAAAGCGTATGAAAGAGCTTGGCGGCCAAGAAGAGGATTTGGATACTGGGGACTTAGCAACTCCCGGACAGGTTGTACAGATCATTACTCAGAGCGGCCGAATAAGAAAAGCGGGCAAGATAAAGAGGCAGCAGACACGAGGTGTCGGTCAAGATCAAGAAGCAATCAAGAACGCCATGGAAACGCACGATCCCGACCGGGCCGTAGAGCCGACATTTTCCGCTTTGCGCTTTGATTCTCGATCCCGAATATCTTTCCATGTCATCTCTCTGTCACTGCTGGATTGTGTTCGGAATGAAGTTTCTCGTTGCTTTTCAACGATAAGTGAGAGAAAATCAACGATTTTACTGCTGCGAAAAAAGGGAGGGGGGAATAAGACACATTCACGATCTTCTCAGACTCTAACCGAGTCATAATTAAAACTGAATAACTTCAAGCAGCATGGCGCAGTGGTAGCGCGCAGGGCTCATAACCCTGAGGTCACTTGATCGAAACAAGTTGCTGCTAATCCCGGATGCCGGACATATCCTTGTTGTCCCGGTATGTTGGCACCTGGATCGCGTACAAGTTGCTAGTTCTCAGATCCTCGTTATTCTGTCTGAACTCCATATATCTGTGACACCTCGTATGAACCATTCAATTCATGTGGTAGTATCTGTAGAGGTTAACTTGTTCTCATGATTTCGTGACCTTCACCGCCTGCAAATTGTTGACGCTCGTTCAATTATCGACTACACGACAAGTCTCTTCTCACCTTTCAGAGAAATACGCCGATGGTGTCACGCCCCATCCTGCATCGATAGTCACCGTTCGGAAGAGTCATCACTTGCCTGATCCGTGTTCGATGAAGCGGGGCTAATTCAGAATTTGAAGCAGATACGAACTTCTAATCTGAGTATCTATGCTGCCTTCGAATTAGTTGGGATGATTCGATAAGAGAAAGTTTGAGGCTGTTATAGCCCTTTCTGCTAAGCTCCGACTCCCACGAATATGATACTTCTACCGCCGTTTTGACTGAAGAAAGAAGTCGGTCAAGAATACGGTAGCTACTAAATGTATGGCGCTTATACGGTGCTCTTGTCGGGTGTTTACTTTCTTATCAAGGCTTGGGGTGGTCACTCTAGGAGTAAATCATCATCATCTGCTAGCTACCACAGGTTAAGGACATGGTGTGGCCATGACTCTTGTTGTTCAATGCAAGTAATAGTATTTGCGCGACACATTTTCTCTAAGTATGCTATGATATATTAAATTATATCACATGCCGTAGAGAGACGAAAAGACAAAGGCCTAAAAAAGCCTTTGTAAGCATCACTATGATGCCACTGGACAAAACAAAGGGGAAACAAAGACACTTTATGAATGTAAGAACCTGGACAATGAAAGAGCGCACCGTATAAATGGAACCGACAAGAACGAGCCCGCCTTCCTTTCATTCCCCGCTAAGAATGCCTCTCTCTGTCAACACATCAGGGCAATCCTTCGATCACAACCTTTCACACTATTACGACCACAGAATACCATCCACCTTCGAAATGGCCCTTAGCTCTAGGATTGCCACCCTTTCGTTAGCATCCAATGCTGAGATACCTCTTCGTCGTCACGCGAAGTCGTCTTCAAGCTGCTGTCCCGTAGAACCCACGTCTTTTATTGATGGGATACCAGCCCATATGCTGCTTGACGAGCCCGTCCCCACTCAACACGCGACTTCTGAGGATATTCCAGATCGTCAATGGTGGTGCCTACCCGCTATCTCCCAGCGAACACAAGGCCAAGAGCCACTGGCGCCGATACGAACCATACTAGGGCATGCGCTAGACCTCCCTGTGCCAATTAACCTGCCCATACAGGACACAAGCCCTTTCGTCTTTGGGACAACAGAGCCAAATCACTGTCGCGCTCCATTTCCGGGTCCTCTTTCGTTATCCGCCAAACCGCTTCAGTCGCAACATAATGTTGCTCAGCGGGCACATAGTATCAACCTGTCGGAGCGAGGGGCCGCAGACAGCAGTCTACGCAATCACTGTTCTAGGCCCGCCTACATGGACGGGCATACTTTCGCTTCACCTCCCACGTCTCTCTTGGAAGAAATAGAGACGCCCCCCACTACGCCAGAAAACGGCAGGGAGATGACCATGTTCGGCCGGTACGAGGAGCTTCTATCGGACGTGCAGATAACGGAGTTTGATGAGCATGGCGCTAAGTGTCGGCTATGTGAAAAGGTGATCAGGCTCGGCCCGACCAACACGTACACCTTAGGACCGTGGGACCAACATAAAAAGACCTGCAAGGGTGATAGGATTCGAAGAGGGCGTGGATTCGATGTGAGTATTGTCAAGTTCAATGTTCTAAGCGTAGTAAAGGTTGATATATCTCTTATGAAGGATCTGATGAGTTTTGATATTATGGAGGCTATTGAGGAGAGGCATTACCTCATGGTGAGTACGGGATTTTCTTGGAGCTCGTTGTATTGATTCTGACGGAATCATCTCTTCAAGAACATGAAGAACTTATTTAATAGTTGAGAATGATAGTGACGGACGACGTTACCCGTCCAATCCGTAGCTCCAGATGCCAGAGATATATATTCCATCAAGCATATTATAGTGTTCTCTAATAGGAGATTGTATATTATCAGCGATGTATTCATATAACATGAAGTTTAACGATCTCACCCATTCAAGCGTTGTCAATTTACGCAGGTCGGTGAGCGCTTGGGCATCTGGGTGGAAGGTCAGGTTGAACCAATTCAAGGTGAAGGAGCGCTTGTAATGACACGCTTACAAGCCAGACGTCGTCAGCAACGATTTTATCTTGATTGCAATCATATGTGCTTGATCACAGGAACCCCAACGTCGCGTTTATCGACGCAGCGAAACTTCCTGTACCTGGTGATCCAAGTAACACCCCCATCATCGTGTATACTGTTGTGCGTATCCCTAGATGATTGCATGAGCGACCTGATAGACTTGGAAGAACGACCTACGTTATCGCACCATATTCGCCCGGCCCGAGATGAATACGACCTTTATTATGGAAGGCAAGCGGTCCCTATCAATATACCCGTCTCCGACCTTCGCCATCGAGCCTTCCATTCGAACGCTCAGCCCGTACTGGAAGAATCGTCTCGTGCTTGATGAACCAAATGCATTCACTGCCAAAGAAGGGGAGATCGTGAGGTTAATGATGGGTGGTGGTGGTGGTGGGATGGGAGACCAGGGTACGACGACGTCATCTATCGCCTTTGTGAACATGCGGTAGACCGGGGTATGGGAGCGTACTATGCAGGTTTATGATGCCATCGTTCCGGCGCGTCACTACACGTAACGAGTCGTATTAGAGTGATAAGAGTCCGGGGAAACGATGCAGGGACGTACAGAAATATCATCGATATCGTGAAACCTCGAATACCTGGAGGCAAGACAATCTCCCTGTGTCCAGTAACCCGAGTCATGGTAACCGTCTCGTCGTCGAACACAAGTCCGTCTTCCCTCACTGAGCCCTCACTCGCCCGTACTTAATGAGCAGATCTGTGCCGATGATCCAGATTTGTATTTGACGGGACTGCTGATAAGGGACGAGTCACGAAAATCGACACGCACGAGGAAGTATCCGACGAGGTCCTGTCAGAAACCTCTCAGTAGGAGGAGGCTGAATCTTATAAGTACGCTCAGACAAGATTTAGCGAGTCCATGGCAGTTCCCATACGACCTCGTGGGCTGAGCTATTGTCCTTGGATCGTCCGACTAAGTTATACGAGATGGGATACTTCATCGGCCGTCGGAATTTTTCCAGTTTCGATGGACATTTAATTTTTCTTGTCGTTTAGCGGCAAATGGCTCACCAAAAAATCGGCCTTCTTTCCTGAGTAATCATCTTCAAGGACATGATCGTTAAAAAAGGCTACGCCGCTTGAATACGTAGAGTTGGTTGCTCACCGAATCCAGCACACAAAGATGTGCGACATTACTTTACATAAGAGCCACATTTTGGAAGCCGAAGAGGTTAAAGTGGCTGTGGCTGTGTAATGTTCATCTCGCGACGCGTTTGTTTAGGTGTGTTGTTTTGCCACCGAATTTCCCTGCCTACCTAAGCGACTCTTCCTCTCTTCTCTTCTCTCCTCTATTTGGTGAAATTGAAAAATCCCTCCTTAGCCGACCCGCCGACGGCTTCTCTGGGAGAAAAAATGTAACGGAACAACTCGGCAAGGTCCGACTTATCTTTCGATCGTCCCACGACGACACGGAGTTTAACTGTCTTGCGGCCTATCACTGATCTGGTCTCCGCATAACTGGCATAAAATCCTCTGGCGCTACTGGCCTGCTGTTCGACGCATACCACTCCCTGGCGTGGATGTTTACAGAGCAGCGGTGGTACCACGCCGTCTGTTGAGTCTGTTCAAACACCAGCCTCCCAGAAACTGGAAGATACAGATACAAGCATTACTTATACTGTCTTCATTAGTTCTAACTTCATTTCTTTGCTTACTCTCAGATGATTGGTAGAGGTTATCTTCAGTTAGGGCTGCGCACCATCCGTATCCGTACTGTATACCGTATAGTGACGGATGCTGACGGTGTCGGTCCGTACACTTACGGCCGTCACGGTCGTGAACAGCCGTATATTCATTACGGTGAGCTCGTCCTGTAAAACATGGTAGTATGGCATCCTTAAAGTGATAAATTAATGTGCTAACCTGTCTGGCAAGTATAGAGTGCATCTTGACAAAGAAGTCGGTCATTTGGGGATGCTCTACTGGGCTCGAAGGGCCGAATGATGACATCGTAATGCCCTATGATGAAGATTTAGAGTCAGAGGAACGCCAGACAGGTAGGAAACAGAAAGGACATGAAGGTAAGCTGTTTTAATTCACTTTAGAACATGTATTGACAGCTCAAAATCCCTTGCCAAATCCTTCAGCATCGCCACATAATACGGCCGTCGGTGGCCGAATTGTACGGTACTGCTGGAAGGCTTCACGGCGTCGGTACGTATATCGTACACCGGATCCGTAATATAACGGTACGGTACGGTTACGGCGCGCAGGCCTAGTTTTCTTCACCTTATTCTCAGCGCTTGTGCTCTTGATTGAAATCGAGGCACGACTTAAGCTCAATGGTCTATCAGACAGCCCCCTTATGCCCCGCTACTACGCACCTTGTGCGTGCGAAATGTGCTGGGTGGTATGGTGCTTCCCCTTAGGACGATAGGAAACTTCACATCTGCTGTATCTGATCATACGTGAGAGGCGTGCAAGGATGCATCGCAGACAATGCGCCTTCTACATGCGGTAGCTTCACGATTCGCGCACGCCCTTCCTTTTTACCGGACCACAGCACTTCATCGGCACCGCATGATTTCTCCGTCCTGATATCACGCGAGGCTGTGACCCAACCTCATTTTGAATGCTCACAAGTGCTGCTTTTCAATGTAGGGTGTGATTTTACATCGCTGTGATACTCTTACGTGGATTATACAGATCTCCCGCGTTATTGCTCGATCCAGACTCATCAGCTGACAGCTGCGTCTTGGAGGTGGTGTCCTTTTCTCGTGGGTACCTGCAACCCTGCTAATCTCATTTTTCGCCTTATACAAGATTCCGTTAGCGTAATTTTGAAAGGTTGCTTCAGCTTCTGACTTCATAGAAGGCCTGGTATATTCTCGACTCGTCTCTATTAAAGGTTACAGCACTGGAAAGACTCCGAAGCTCACACAAAATTCAGTCTTGATCACTAGTCGTGTACTGCATGCAGGTCGTATGGGCACTTCTTTACACTCACGGCTTCTGACTCTTGTTCTATTCATTCGCAAGCAACGAACAAGCGACACAGTCGGTTCTACCCGGTAGCTTGGTTATCGGCATCTCGGCTGTCCGCAGACGCCTCTTTGATCTGATTGAACGTCTCCTCCCATACCAACTAGTAACAGTCATCCACCTATTCTGCTCTACATTGTTTGTCAACATGGCTCCACGACGAATGGCACCTGGTCAACGAGGAGGGACTCCATATCCTGCTGAGGAAAGTGCTCCCCAGCAGCGTGGAGGTCCTCTTCGAGGGCGAGGTGGGCGAAGAGGTGGCGCACGAGGTGGCGCACGAGGAGGAGGCGCACGAGGAGGAGGCGCACGAGGAGGAGGAGGGAGGGAAGGAAGTGTTGTTAGGCAAGCAGCGAGTCCCAGTGTCTCCGTTTCCCGTAAGTCTTGCGATGTTTTAGAAAGGGTCTGTCGCTGTTGTTCAATATCTGATTGTTGATTATTGTAGCCGCTGTTCAAGCCATTGGTGTCCTTCGTCCTGGGTTCGGCAGTGCGGGCAGGCAAACTACTGTTTTTGTGAACGCATGCGAAATGGATACCCCTGACATTACGATATATCACTACGATGGTAAGGTTTCTCCCTCAACAAGTCGCGATGGCTTACACGTCTTTAGTTGGTTGGTATCTTCAGGATCTGTCGTTATATGCGTATGATGATCATTAATTTCTATAGCCATTGAAAAGTCGCTCCGCCAGGCTTTCAATATGCAGCTGATCGAAGCGCTGCAAAGCCAGCACCTGGACATGTTTTCCAAAGCAGCCGTTTATGACGGCAAGAAGAATCTTTATACGAGCTACAAGTTGGATTTTGGTGATAGCCATTCTCGCCAGGTACGCTTCCTGATCCACGCTAACGTTCGATTTATTTCAATGAATGCAGTTTAACGTCATCTGGACCGAGAACAATCGCGCATCCAATTTCAAGATTACCCTCACGGAAGCGAGGGAGATCAACATGGAGTAACTCTCCTCGTCGTCGCCGTGTAGGATGAAAACTGATTTCCCGCAGAGTGCTTCGCAGATACGCGGCTGGTCAGCAATCCTGGGACGAAAATGTTTCCACCGGTCTCACAGTAGGTTTTATCGTTTATTGGTGACTTAGCTTGACCTGAGAACGCTTCAGGCTTTGAACATCGTGATTCGCATGGAGCCGTCTCTTAACCATCCATTCAGGGTACGATCGTTCTACAGCGACAAGATCAGGGCACCTCTAGCCAATACAGGACTGGAAGCCTGGCAAGGCTACTTCCAGTCAGTTCGACCAGCGTTGAATCGTCTTCTGGTCAATATAGACATTTCAACTGGCGTCTTTTTCAAACCGGGTTCGCTTATCGAGCTATGCCTCGAATTTTTCACCGGGAATCGCAGAGAAAACGCGGACAGGTATCTAAGAGCATCTGGACCGCAGGCAATACTCTCAATGCAACGACGCCGTCTCCAAAGCTTTCTTTTTGGTGTCAAGGTCGAAGTAGAGTCGGCGGCTGGTCGGAAGAAGCCTCTTACCATCCATAAGTTGACGGAGCTAGATGCTGCGTCCACTGTATTCACTCCGACCGGTGGTAGACGGACCAATGTAGCACAGTACTACGCACAGGCTAACCAAAGGCTACGGTATCCAAACATTATATGCATGCAGGTATGTCTCTTGTTGTCATAGCTGGGAAATGTGTTGATTCTCTGCCAGACTGCGAAAGGTGATGTGATACCTCTCGAGCGATGTTACGTCATTCCCGGCCAGCTCTCTCGGGCTGACCTCAATCCGGATGCTACACGAGCTATGGTTGGCTTTGCGACGAAGAGGCCCGACCAGCGACTGAGTGCGATTCAGACCGGTATCCAGGTCCGATTTTTGTTTTATCAGATGTTATTTTCTCATTCTCTTTCTTTTAGGTCCTTGCTTATGGCCAATCCCGATACGTCCGGGATTTCGGACTAGACATCAAGACAGGTTCTCTACCCATGGAGATTCCTGCGCGAATGATCAACGCGCCGGAGCTTAAATACGGAACAGGATCGAAGCAAATGACTGTTGTGAGTACTTGATTTGTTAGGGATACATATACCTTCTCTCTAAATCACCACTTATCAGCGGCCGAGGGATGGAGCTTGGAACTTGTAAGTATTGATCTCGTGGTTGAAATTACATGACGTGATGTCTCCTAGGGTCGACAAGAAATTTTTTAGGCCGATGCCTCTCGGACCCTGGATCGTTGTGATTTTTGTTCCACAGAACCGCTTCCGTCCAGATGAAGTGAATAGGACTATATCTGGTCTGATTCAAGGATGCGAAGCTGTCGGTGAGTCATTTATCTAGCTATCACCATGTCCTCGGATTCCGATTAATCCTTCCAGGCATAACGGTGCAAGACAAGCAACCGTTATGTGTCTACAAGAATGCCCAAAGCGTAATTGATCAGGTTTGCTTGCGAATATTGCATTTCGACGCAAGGCTGGCTTACAATGGCTTGTATAGTCTATATCTGATGCCCTATCGGAAGCCAGATCTAAGCGTAAAACGGTGCCTGCGTTCATTCTTTGTATTCTTCCTGACGGGAGCAACGCGGACTTGTATACGGCAGTCAAATTGTGAGTCCCCTTATTATTGTAAGAAGCGTTGGTGACTAGTGTCCTCCTCTCAGCTCCGGCGATATAAAGGTTAGTGGTTTGTAACGTACGCTTAATAAAGTCCTCACCATCCGTGTTTACAGAGAGGCATTGCCAATCAGTGCCTGCGGGTCGGCAAATGTAGAAGTGCCCGACCACAATATTGGGCAAACGTTGCCCTGAAGTAAGTTTTTCTTTGTTCGATAGTCGAATGAGGAAAATAAGCGAATTTTCTCTAGGATTAACGCCAAATTGGGCGGTATTAATGTAATCCCGGATCCGAGGTCTGCGTCTATCATTTCCGACCCTAGACAACCAACAATCATCATGGGTAAGTCAACCTTGGGATACTTGAGAGCGTAGCTGACGGTGGATACAGGCGCAGACGTCATGCATCCAGCACCAGGCAGTCAATCGCCCTCCTACGCGGCGGTGGTGGCAAATATTGACTCTGATGGCGCACGATACATATCGAAGACCAAACTCCAGTTAGGGAGGCAGGAAATGATCGAAGATTTGCAGACAATGACAAAGGTTTGGCTACTTCTTTTATGTGTGCATGCGGTTGTGGCTCATTCGGTGCCATGTGGTAGGATCTGCTCAAGTCATACATAAACAATCGAACCAAAGTAGGGGGGGTCAAGACGCTGCCAAAACGATTGATATTCTTTAGGGGTGGGTCATTGAATACCTGTTTTCCTTGTTGATAGTTCTGACCCTCGCTGGTAGACGGTGTGTCTGAAGGCGAATTCAAACGTGTTTTGGATCTGGGTAAGTCATTGTGTTGACATATGCGTTCACAAAATCGCGCTAACGTCCTTCTGCAGAACTGCCTTTGCTTCGAGGTACCTATTTTCTTATCCTTGCTACGTCTCCCCGTGCTGACGACTCTAGCTGCATGCGTTGACGCTGAAATCTCTCCACCTCCCAAAATTACGTTCATTGTTGTCGGGAAACGTCACCATATGAGGTCTGCTTGCTGTTCTTTCCTATTTAGCAGCGATTGTTGATCCGCTTTTCTATTAGGTTCTTCCCAAAGAATGACAGGGACAAAGATGCGAGAAGCGGTAACCTCCTCCCAGGTACCGTCATCGATCAAGCAATTACCAACCCAGTCGAGTTCGATTTCTACTTGCAAAGCCATGGAGGCCTTCTTGGTACTAGCAAGAGCTCGCATTATACTGCACGTTAGCTTCTTAATTGTATTCGTCACTTCGCTAACTGTCTCGTTATATATAGGTTGTGCATGATGTGAGTAGCTCGCTCGTTCTGGTCTGCGCGGACACTGATTCACTTTGCACCCTCAGGAATCTGAGTTCGGGTATGTCTTACACTTCTTATATGTACATTAAGAGAACTCATGCTCTCTACAGCCCAGACGCGATCCAAGCTCTGGCTTATACGCTCTGTTTTACCTACGCCAGATCGACGCGTTCAGTGTCCATTCCCACGCCTGTCTATTGTGCGTCTTTTCTGTTCCCCGTAGTCTCCCTTACTTAATATATTCGACAGATGCCCATATTGTTTGTAGTAGGGCAAAGACACACTATGACCCCCAGGGCACCTCGTCGTCGATCGTGTCAGGAGGGTCGCAAACCCGAGAAGAGACACTTGCCCAGCATCGAGGACAGTATCAAGAGGTACATAATGCTCAGGCAATGCGCATGTATTTCATGGTCAGTAATGCTTTGTTATAAATCAATTAACGATGAGACTAACAGTCTCTTTTGTAGTGACCTTCGTCTACTGCCATTATACTATCTTCATCGTCGGGACGTTATCATCTTCAATGCTTCTTACTGATCTAATTTGTTGCAACTCGGACATTGTTTCGTTGTTCTTTTGCTAGTTGTCCTTCCTTTTTGTTATGAAATGAAACCCTGCTCCCTGGTTTATGACATTGTATCTAAGGCGAAATGAAGGACCCGTACTTACTATTTTTGGTTTGATGTTCAAAAAGGTTTTTCCTACGCGCATACCTTGAGATTCACATAGTAAGTTCGAGCTGCTCCCGTTCTTAGCCGTAGACGTCCAGCTTCGAGTTTTTATCCAAACAAAGGATACGGCTCGCGAATTGATTCGTGGGATCAGGCAGATGGGCATCAACGTCCCTCACTCAGAAAGCATGTCGTCCTTTTACTCTAAGCGTCATATCCTATTCACCAAACCCCGCCCATAAATGAGCACGATGCTCCAAAACGTAAAACTTGGTGGCTGTGTCTTGACTCGCGACGCGTTTGTTTGGATGTGTTGTTTCATCAAGGTCACCTCCTGCCTCCGATAACTCCGAGGACGCTTAATCTTGCTCAGTCAACTGCTCAGCGCTCTGAGCTATACGCTGCACTATCACCGGGACGAACTCAGTCTTCTTTTTATTCCTTGCGGCCCTTTGATTCGATTCCGAGTCGATTCCCGTCCTTTCGGTGATCGACAATTTCTCCTCCCTGTTTGGTCCTCCTCCACCCAGAAGTCTTTTGCAATAACAGCGCCCCCCTCTGGCCCCCCAAAGTCTTTGCGACCACATTAATTCTTCCAAACATTTTTGTCTCCCCCAGATGGCTGCTGCCGTCGTCAACCAAAAGGAACGTCTTCCAACATTTTTGGCCTTATTACGGTTTGAGGACAGTAGTGGAAGCAGCGGTTGATGTTCAATCACCGCTGAAGCGCTGACAATTGATGATGGCTCTTAGTGGTCGTATTCAATTCATAGATGATAGGTGCGCTTGTCATCATTTGATTTTTTACTGTCGTGTTTAACTTTTGTGTTCCAGCTGCGTAACTTTTTGCCGCTATGTACTTGGCAGGTTTGAGGTGCGATATTCCTGGAGCGTTGACCCATCATAGGAAAATGGACAAGATGGCAGCTCCATATCTCATTCAGACCAAGGGTAGCTAGGCTCACCGCAGCTGAGTTCATTACTGTGAGTGGCAATAAATTCATTGATGTACATTCTTAAGGTTGAAGACAGAATTTAAGGTTTGGCGCTGCTGCGATGTCTGGGAAACAAGGCGGATAGTTACTGTGATGCCTTTGTTCTGCAACGTCGTTGGGATAGGCATGTATTTCGCATTTCGTGCCGGATCGTGTCTGACTGATGTGTTTTAGTTTACTCAGTTCAGCCTGTACCAGCAAGCGACGACCACACTACCAGGAGCGCGTGAAGCACCGCTCAAATTGAACGGCTCTTGCGATATTTTGGTATCGGTGGTGGTTACCATCGAACGCACATCGCGAGACGGACAAAATGATTCGGCTCAAGTTGGGGTCAGAGGCTCGGAGGCGATGCATTTTGATGCCAAGCCCTTCAAAATCAGAACCTTGTGGTTCGAGTCGAGTCAGTCAGGTCATGGGACAGGCCTTCATCAAGTCTATATTTATTCCTTTACTTACCCTGAGATTGTTGATGTAGCGCGTCTTTATCTTACTTTCAGCGCTTTTGCTTCAAATTCAATTCGAACCTCAAATTGAACTATCGGACGTCTCCTAGTGCTCTGCTAAGAAACGCCTTGCGACCGCGCAATGTACCGGACAAAATGCTTCCCCTCGGAACGATAAGGAATTTGAGAGCTACTCTGATCACACCTAAAATGCGTGTGAGAAGATACAGCAGATGATGGGCCCAGGTCTCCTCTATAAGTATGGGTGGCTTTGTGTTTGCCTTTCCTTCCCACAGAGCCGCAGCACTTCATTAGCACTGCATCATTTCTTCATCCTGACTTCTGGGGCTGCCATGCGGCCTTATTGTGTATGTGCACAGTCGCCGCTTTCTAAAGTGGGGTGGGTATTTGCCTCGTTGTGATATTTTTACGTAGGTAACAGCTCAGCGCTTATTTTTCGATTCATACCAACCAGCTGCTTCTTGATTCTTCTCGGGCGGTGTCATTGTTCTCGAGGGGTACCTATCCGCGTGTAGCCTTTGTGTCAGTCCCATTGTTCATCCCGCGCATAGTTCTTTCACCATAACTTCTCAAGGTCACTCTGAGATCTTCACAATGGTACAGGTTGGGTCCTGGGAAAGGAAAGGGGAGGATCTCGTCCCATCTCTATTGAACTTACAGTGCTTGAAAGATACGAGTCATACAATTATCTTTGATGGCTCTGAGTCACATCATTATGTATCCAGTCCAGTGCATCCTTCGCAACTTCTTACCCTGAATCTATTCATTCGCGAGTGACAGGGCCGATTCTACCCGGCAGGCTGTCAACGGAGCCATCCGCATCCCGGCTACCCACAGGGTATAAAAGGACGCGTGTTTTGCCCTGATTCGATAGGAACGCCTTCCTAACTGTCATCTACACCTCCTCTATCAACTGTACTTTTTCTTTCAACATGGCTCCACCACGAATGGCACCTGGTCAGCGAGGGGGATCTCCGTATCCTGCTAGGGGAAATACTCCCCAGCAGCATGGAGGTCCTCCTCGGGGGCGAGGTGGCGGGCGAGGCGGAGGTGTAGGAGTTACTGGGCCACAAGGCGGTCCCAGTGCCTCCATTTCTTGTAAGTTTTGTGATGCTTACATAGAAAATGTGATGTTTGTGGTTTTTTTCTAATCGTTTGATTCTTTAAGCTGCTGTACAACCTGTTGGTGTACGTCGTCCTGGATTTGGGACTGCGGGCAGGCAGATTACCGTTGCCGTGAATGCTTGTGAAATGAATATACCGGACATTACGGTTTATCACTACGACGGTAAGATATCTTTCTTCTCGCCGTGTCTATGGCTTATGCTTTTTTAGTCGGTTGGTATCTTTTGAGATCTGCAGTCAATACGTGGAATGATTCTTGATATTTCTAGCAATGGAAAAGTCGCTTCGGGCAGCGTTCAACTTGAAGCTGATCGTCGCGCTGCAGAAGCAGTACCCCGACGTATTCATCAAGGCAGCCGTTTATGATGGCAAGAAAAATCTGTATACGAGCTATAGGTTGAATTTTGGTACTGAGCATCACCGCCAGGTACGTTTCTTCACCCGAAGCATCGTTCGATTCATTTCAATGCACGCAGTTCAATGTGGCTTGGACCGAAGGAACTCGAATATCGAATTTTAAGATTACTATCACCGAGGCGAGGGAAATAGATTTGGAGTAATTCTCATTCATCTTCATAGTGCAAGACAAAAAACTGACTGTCTGCAGAGTACTTCGCAGGTACACGGCCGCTCAGCAGTCCTGGGACGAGAATGTGTCCACTGCTCTCACAGTACGTGTTGTCGATAGGTGGACTGCCTAACGTGATCTGAGAACTTTTCAGGCCCTGAACATCGTGCTACGCATGGAACCGTCGCTCAACCATCCATTCCGAGTCCGGTCGTTCTACAGCGACAAAGTCAAGGCACCTCTGGCCAATATGCCGCTGGAGGTCTGGCAAGGCTACTTTCAATCCGTTCGACCTGCTTTAGGCCGTCTGCTTGTTACCATCGATGTCTCTGCCGGTGTCATGTTCAAGCCGGGTCCCTTGGTTGAGACGTGCGTCGAATTCTTCGGCGGAAATCGCAAAGACAATCCGGACAGGTATCTACGAGCGCAGGCAATACCCCCATTGCAACGACGCCGCCTCCAAAACTTTCTCTTTGGTGTCAAGGTCGAGGCTGAGTCTGCAGCTGGGGTGAAGAAGCTTGTCACCATCCACAAGCTCACGGAACGGGATGCCGCGTCCACAATTTTCACTCCGACTGGTGGTAAACAGACGACCGTAGCGCAATACTTCGCCCAAGCGGAGAACAAGAGGCTACGGCTTCCTAATATTATCTGCATGCAGGTACGATCTTTGTTCTTGTATTCAGAAAAAGTGTTGATTGCTTGTTAGACTGCGAAGGGCGCCGTGATTCCCCTCGAGCGATGCACTATCGTTCCCGGCCAGCTTTCTCGGGCTGAACTCACTCCGGATGCTACACGGGCTATGGTGGAGTTTGCGACAAAGAAACCTGATCAGCAATTGAATGCAATCAGGGCTGGCATCCAGGTACGATTTTCGTTCTATTATATGCTCTTTGCTCATTATCTCTCCTTTAGACTCTTTCTTATGGCCAATCGCAATACGTCAGAGATTTTGGACTACACATCGACACCAATTCTCTACCCATGGGGGCCCCTGCTCGGGTACTCAACCCGCCAGACCTGAAATACGGAACGGGATCAAAGCAACCGAGTATTGTGAGTACCCGATTCATTAGGGTGCACAGTTTTTGTTAAATCACTACCTATTAGCGACCGAAGGAGGGAACGTGGAACCTGTAAGTACTAATCTCGTAACAGAAATTCGACGACCTGACCCCGCCCTAGGGTTGATAAGAAATTTTTCAAGCCTATGCCCCTCGGCCATTGGATGGTTGTGGTATTCATGCAGCCGAACCGTTTCAGTCCAGATGATGCGAAAACGGCAATAAGAGGTTTGATTCAAGGATGCGAAGCTGTCGGTGAGCTACTATTCCCTCCACCCGAATGTCTTCAGGTTCTGATCAGTCCTTCCAGGTATGCCGGTGCAAGAGAAGCAGCCGTTGTTTGTCTATAAGAATCCACAGAGCAACATAGACCAGGTTTGTGAATGTCTATTGGACTTTTGACGCAATGCTAATTTACAATGGCTTTGATAGGCTATTGTTGATGCAGTAAAGCAAAACCGAGATGAGCGCAAGGCGACTCCCACATTCATTGTGTGTATTCTCCCTGATGGGAGCAACACGGATTTGTATAATGCAATTAAACAGTATGTACAGTCATCGCTTCCAGGCCTTGGAGTATTATTAACGGGTCATACCATCTCTAGCTGCGGTGATATGAAGGTTGGCGGACCATAGTATTTCCTCACTCGTTACTCTTCCTCATCATCTTTCTTTCTCCACAGCGAGGTGTCGCCAATCAGTGCCTGAGGGTCGGCAAATGTAGAAATGCCAGACCGCAATACTGGGCAAATGTCGCACTGAAGTAAGTTGTACTTGCCTTCAATCACTGAATGAGGAAACTGAGCGAAATCCATCTAGGATTAACGCCAAGTTAGGCGGCGTCAATGTTATTCCAGACCCCAAGTCGGCGCCTATCATTTCTGATCCTAGGCAACCGACGATCGTTATGGGTAAGCAAGCCAGTTTCAGGAGACCGGATAATGTAGCTGACGGTTGGTATAGGCGCCGACGTGATGCACCCAGCTCCGGGGAGCCAATCGCCCTCGTACGCTGCAGTAGTAGGGAACATCGATTCCGACGGCGCTCGGTATATAGCCAAGACCACACTCCAACTAGGGAGGAAAGAGATGATTGAGGATTTACGCTCGATGGCGAAGGTTTGACTTTCATACGTGCTTGTTATCTGCGGCTTATTGGATGTGATACGATAGGATATTCTCACGTCGTATATGGGTTATAGAGCCAACGTCGAGAAGGTTACGACGCCGCCCAAACGACTGATCTTTTTCAGGGGCAAGTCATCGAGTAGTTGTTTTCTTTAATATTGCTGACTCGCGACTATAGACGGCGTGTCCGAGGGCGAATTTAAGCGCGTTTTAGACTTGGGTAAGTCATAGCCTTGTTATTGTTAGCCTTTGAATCCTTCCTTACTTACGTCCTTCGGCAGAACTTCCCGAGCTTCAAGGTCATTCTTACCTCCACTGCGTTCCTCATTCTGTCGTCTGATAATAACCTTAGCTGCCTGCGCCGACGCTAAAATCTCTCCGCCTCCCAAAATTACGTTCATCGTTGTTGGGAAACGTCACCATACCAAGTCTGCTCGCTTCTCTTCACTATTTAGCAACAATCACTGATACAGTTTTTCTATCAGGTTGACCCCAAAGGATGGCAAGGAGAGAGATCCGAAAAGCGGTAACCTCCCTGCTGGTACTGTTGTCGACCAAGCAATCACCAATCCCATCGAGTTCGACTTCTTTTTGTTGAGTCATGCAGGCCTTATTGGTACAAGCAAGAGTTCGCATTACTCTGTACGTTAGCTTTTGTGGTTGTGTGCGTCGTTTGGCTGACCGCCTTGTTATGTCTAGGTTGTGCACGATGTGGGTTGCTTGCTCGTCCTGATCTGCACTGATATTGACCGTCTCTTGCACCAATAGGACTTCGGGTTTGAGTATGTCTTCCGCTTCTTCATTACACACTTTGTCAAACTCACGTTCCCTACAGTCCGAATGCGATCCAAGCTCTGGCTTATACCCTCTGTTTTACCTACGCTAGAGCGACACGCTCGGTGTCCATTCCTACACCTGTCTACTGTATGTCCATTCTTTTCCTCATAGCCTCATTTGCTTAATATATTCAACAGATGCGCATATTGTTTGTAAGCGGGCAAAGACACACTATGACCCCCAGGCTGCTCCGCTGTCGATCATGTCAGGAGGATCGCAAACCCGAGAAGAGACACTTGCCCAGCACCAAGGACAGTATCAAGGGGTGCATAACGTTCAGGCGAAGCGCATGTACTTCATGGTAAGTAATACTTTGCTATAAATGGACTACCAATGAGACTGACTGTATTTTTCGCAGTGATCTTCAACCACTATCGTAATCTCTAGTGTCTTTCTCGTCGTGACTTTTACTATACCAAATGCTTCTCACTGATCATGTCTGCTGTATGCTTGTTTTGTCGTTGTTCCGGGTGCTGTCCTTATGTTTTGCTATAAAATGAAATGTTGTTGTTTGACTTTGTATACAAAGGTGAAATGAGGAAGTGAGGCGAGGACACTTTTGGTACATCACGACTCGCAGTGATGACAGCTCGGAAGATGCTGGTTTGCAAGCAAAAAACCCAATCCTTGATACAAACATCTCCCGACGCAAATTGTTTGGAATGTTGGTGCCCAAACCTACCTGCTCTTTGTGTCACCATGCGATATCCCTGAGGCAATCGGCACTTGTCGGCATATGACTGAACAGAAATATAATTCTGGCACACAACTCGTTCGAATCCAGTTGTCACCCATCTCCACCGACGCTACTAAGTTTTTAGCATCCGATCCAACGTGGGACTGGGACTCGCAGTCAAACAATCAAGTATGTAATGTCATTTCAAAAAAGAACATCGCTTAAGCAAAAACACTTGATCCAATACCCTCCTCTCAACCGTAAACCCATAAAAACGTTCCCCGAGGGCTCTCACAGTCTCTTCCCCAAAACATCCTTTAACAAGCCCAATCTCGACCGATCCCAACGCCTCCAACGTCATCCGACAATGTACCATCCCCAACAGCAGGTCTTCAGGGACAGGAGGGTTCATCACCATCTCCATAGACTTCAGCTTCCGCACCATAGACGTCTTGGACATGAACGCGAGGAGTTTCGTCGTCACGCACGATATCGAATGCCCTTTACTCTCCCGCAGCACAAACTCTTCCAAGTTGGGCGTACTCTCCAGCAGCGCAATGACTGCAGCATCATCAAATGTCGTGTTATCGACCAACGTCAGCCGGGTTAGCCCCCGAATGAATGGCGAGACAACGGACGGCAGCGTCTTGGTGCAGTGCGTGATGTTCAGCACCGTCAGGTTAGGAAGAGAGAGTTTGGTGGTGTCCAAAATCCCCGAGACGAACCGCGCGTTGTATATAGATCGGAGGGAAAGGACACGGAGCGGCGAAACGACATTATCCCCCAGTTGCGCGTGGTGGCACATCGGAGCCTTGATGGTCATGCTCTCCACATTTTCGAGGTACGCGAGGTGGTCTGATATGAGGGGGCTGTGGCAGTTTGAGTAGCTCACGCTGGTAAGCTGTTTCCACGGAAGAGCGGAAGGCGAGGAGTAGTTCTCGTGCACGGAGCCTCGGAAACGGACACGGCGTAACTTGGGCGCGCGCCGGATCAGACGCGATGCTTCGTCTAGGTCTGACATGTCGTTGATGCTCCAGCACGAGCCAATGGTGAGAGATTCGAGGAGGGGGAGGTCCAGTCTTCCCTGCCGGGTCATTGAGAGAAATCCAGAGAAGGGGATGGTAACGTCGAGTGAACGCCACCGAGCAGCGTGTTCCACACATAGTTCAATGGGTTCTTGGAAGCACTCGTTCATGAACATATCTTTGCTGGGAATGTGCATAGCAATGTCCAGCGCTCTGTGACCTGAATGCGCAAGGTAGGCGCCGATGATTTCATTGTCGCACCAACGTCCGATGAAGATGGACGACCAGAAATCAGGCGAGGATAACACGATGGTGCGCCATCGAGAGCAGACGAGCGACAGACGGATTGGAGTTACGTGTCTCCAAATTGCAGGGAAAAGATTGGAGAAAATCGCAAGGAGAAGTTCGGTGGGAAGGCGGTCGATGGGTGGGGGTATCGGGGAAATATTCTGCGAAAATGAGGTAACATCGAGTCGCAATTTCTTTAAAGGTGGATTTTCTGTCTAAGTATGCCACTATTCAGGAAATATTCGCGAATGAGCAGAGGCGACGCACCCACTGGCAGACCGTCTCCGTGTCTACAGCTCCCATCACAGCCGAGAAAGAATCAGGGTACTCTGTATCACTATTAGTACCATTTCATTCAGGAATAAGAGCAGCAACCAGGAACTCACTGTGGTATGATGGCGGTTGAAACGAAGGAGAATTTTGAAATTTGCCACCGGGTACCGGTTACCCACGATCCGGATGTACCGGTCCGGAAGTTCCACGTTCGTCTCGAATCACCCTGATGGACTAAGATTCCATAAAATGTCCTCGTCCCTCCTCCTCCAAGGTTAAGAAGCGTTTAGCTTAAGGCTTGTGTCCAGAGCCTCGCCATTATCCCCCGCTCTGTTCGTATTCATCATCACGCTGTAAGGCCCGTCCAAACCATTTATAAATTTATAATAGCGGCTCAGTCTGGCCCACTACTACTTAATCGTCGTTTCGGCAAGGGAGAAAAAATCCACAGGTTTCACATTCCTTGCGACCACAACTTCATAGCGGATTCGTGCAACTGCTTGCCCCTTGCCTACAAATTAGAACCCCATAGCAATTATTACTTATTGTACAACGTTACCAACGACTGGACCATAATTAAATTCCCGACACTTACGCTTGCGGTTACTCATTCTTCGGCGTTCATTAGCCTCGGTCTTCCATTTAGCCACGACCCACACCACCCCCGAATGCTTCTATCTCAGTCTGTGTACTTATGGCGGGAGCCTCGCTTCAAGTTGTACGAGTCTTAGAAATAGAGGAATCAAAAACGCTATTATTCCCCTCTTCCAAGCGACCTCGTACGATGGGATGAAGAGCGGAAGGTGCTCGCGTGTAAAGCGCCAGGAACAAGCGAGGCCGAAGAACGGGTTGAAGCCATGTCACGGTCAGTCATGATAATGCGGGCACTGGCAGGGAGTCGTCAGCCCTGAACAATTCGGTGATTCTTTGCTTTTTTTTTGTATGCTTAAAAGATACGATGGGCCGCCAAGCCTTTAGAAGGAAATTTGTAACTCTGAGTGATGCGTCCGATCGGTCGATATACCCTCACGGGACCGACAGTTTTGAATTGGAGCTTCCAGCATGTATATGTACTTCTGACATAAAATCTGAGCGCTAGCACCCGCCACACTGGTATCTGCGCTAAGCCGAATGCATAAAGTCAAATCAAATCAAATCCAGCTGAATGACACCACCTTCATAAAATTGAAGAACAAGGACGTCACGGTCTACGTCAAGAAGGGAAGCCAAAAGTCCAACACAACACAATTGACACGGCGTCACCGACCCCGACCCGGAAGCATAATATTGGAAATAACACACCAACAAAAGGGTAAATGGATAGGTAAATGATAAAATGACAACAGGCTAGGAAATGACAGCGTTTGACAATGACAAGCAGAGGGCGGTAGCTATGGTATCATATGTACGATGTAGCAGGTACACAAAAAGTTTTTCGGTACGAGACGAGTGTCGGAGGGTATGAGTATGTATGTATGTAATTGTCCAATAAATATACTGAACGTTCGTTAGTAGGCAGAGGGAGGTTCGTGACGGGATAGAGGGGAACGTAATGTGCAAAAAAAAAAATCGTACAACCGATAACAGCCCGACCCAAGACCAATCACGGAAAAACTAGATAGCAACGATCCATCCAAGCATGGCAGCCATGATACCTGCACCGCCGATCTGGAGCGTCGAGGCGGCGTTGGAGCTCGAGGAAGCCGAGGAAGAGGAAGAGGCGCTGGATCCAGAAGCAGAACCTGAGGAAAGTGGCCTGGTGGATGTCGCGGACCCTATGGAACCAGATCTGAACAAAAAGGTTGACAGTTAGTGTATTGTCCCACAAGGTTCCGAACAAGAGAAGGTTAAACAATAGGCTCCGATTTTCAAAAGATGCCGGGGCGCGAGGCAAGATACGCGAAGGTGAAGGAAAGAAAAGACTCACTGGGTCACGGTAACCGAACCAGAGACACTCAGGGAGACTGAAGCAGTGCCTGTTGCAGCCGTCGAGCCCGTCGCTGTTGAGGCGGCACCCGTCGCAGCAGAACCAGAGACCGCACTGGCAATCGAGAAGTCGCTGGTCTGTGCGTAAACTTGGCTGATGTTTGCAACATTCACAAACTGGATTGCAAAGCCGCTCCTACAAACAGAAATGAGCTTCGCACGGACCACACGCGCAATCGCACTCACCCAGGGTTGACTTCAGGGAGCTGCACCGTGAGTGTCCCCGCACTGGCGTTGACATTGTTCGCGACAGCGAACTGGCTGTTGAAGTCAACGTTCGCCAGCTCGATGTGGAATGTCGATGGGTCGCTCGCTGTCGTCGACCATGTAATGGTGAGGTTCCCACCGGAGGTGACTGTCGTAGAAGGGTTGTTGACAGTGAGCGAAAGAGCCGACAAGGGCAGGAGGGCGAGGGCGAAGATAGAGGACAGCATCGCGAATGGGAACCAACAACAACTGCAACAACAAGGGGAAGAAGGAAGTGCAAAAGGGTGGAAAGCGGGGGAAACTTTCTGTGCGAAACTATTTGAATCCGAAGCCACGTGGTGCGACCATGCTTCCTTTTTCCTTTTTCTGTTCCCGGGTTCCGCCAGCACGGTGTCTTGCTGTCAACTCCAAGAAGCCAGGAGAATCCTAGGGAAAAACGGGAGATTGGGTGGTTACCGGTCGAGGCAGGTTCGGCCTCTTTGCAGGCGCTGTCTGTTTGCGAAATCCTGGAGAAGTGCCAAGCGGTGGGAAGCGAGAATTGGCAGGATCATGATTTTGCTGATGGGAGTTGGGAAACAAGGAGGCGGGAAGGAAGGCCAAGCGGTGGCTGTACGGTATGTTCCGCAGCTTCGACTCCGCACGTCATGAATGAACGAATGAACGTTAATTCATTATTAGAGGTGAATTCATTGTTTCTGTTTCGTTCGAGTGTAGATTGACGTCTTTTTGCGATATCCAGAAGGGTAGAACGGTACGGCGTTTTTGTGCTTGTTTTTTTAACCAAATCTGATCATGATTCCTTATTCAATTACAACAGCAATGACATCAGATGTGGTTTCCCGAATTTTCGAGGCGAGCCCGCCTTCCCACAGCCATGCGATCACCTCGTGAAAAACAGCAATGATAATACGATGGAACGTGTTTCATTGGTCTCCATGCTGTAAAGGCACCACCTTTCCCGACAACTCGCCATTTCTGGTTTCAATGAGAAAGTCCCGGCCGCCGTACATCCTACTTGCGTGCGGAATTCGTAAACCAGCAAGTGGGAAGTACTATTTTTCCTGTCGTCACCTATTTCCTACTTCTTTTGCAGGAAGATGTCAATACCGAGCGGGCGCCGCCACTGGATGACGTACATTTCAATGTGCAGGGACACTCGTATATAAGTACGCGACTGCATCAGGGTCTTTTCGGCGAGCTCTCACGAAACCCGACTTAATGTGTCAATACAGGTGTACAAGTCGTTTGATAGCAGCATGGCGCAGTGGAAGCGCGCGGGGCCCATATACGGGAAGGAATGTCTATATCTACCCCGAGGTCACTTGATCGAGACAAGTTGCTGCTAATAGATATTAGTGAAAGGAATTTTTATGACTTCAAGTCAAACTGCGAGATCGCTGAAACAAATTCGTTTTCCCTCTGCCTGGGCTTGGTGCTACGATATCTTGTCTGATTCGTCTCTGCAACGTTTCAACACTGAATAGAGGACACCGGCAAACTTTAATCTTCCGTTTCGCGCGACCATCTCTGAATGAATGGTCAGTTTCTCTACTGATACCTCCGCTATCTATCTATCAAGTACCAGGGGCTGATCTCGTCGGATTTCCACATGGTCAGCGTATCACATCAGGGTATTGGCGTACGCTTCTTCTTCCCCTCGCTACGAACTAATGTATACACGATCAAAGATCCCGGTCTGTCTGAAGGGACACCTTGACTGATGTCAAGTCCAACAGTAAATTGAAGAGAAAAGTGTATTATATAGCCAAGTAGGTATACGGTTGGTTCCAAACTTGACTTACCTAGATGTACCTTTAGCCTTACACGCGTGTTCTTGATAGCTCAGGCGCTCCCGGGCGTGGTGCACTTCTACCAACAGATTTCGATTAAAACGGTTTTCTTTTCGTTCCTGACTCAGACTTCACGGACGACGAGGTTGACTTTCAACAGCAAATAGACCTTAACACCAATTCAGATTCAGACTATTACGTTCGAATATCTAAGGAGTCGTGTGAGCGCATGGCCAAATGAAATACAAGTCTGGCTCAACCCGTTCGATCCCGGTTGCCGCCAATCCCTCGATGAAAGCGATGCCTTTTTAATATGGCCATGCCGTTTCTGTACTCGCACGTCCAGTTTTCGTTTCTGGTCTATTCCCTCAACGACTCCAATCCCCCGTACTTGTCCATACAAAGAGATATAAGTGGCGGTAGATAAGCGCAACAGCTAGGAGATATTTATACAACGGACGTCTCTCAAGTTACAAAGCAGCATGGCGCAGTGGTAGCGCGCGGGGCCCATATAGGGCATTCGTATTAGATAGAACCCCGAGGTCACTTGATCGAAACAAGTTGCTGCTATAAGGTCTAGGGCTCCAGCCATTTTCATTTAAAATAGTTTACAAACTGTTTAAACCATTTATTCTACCGTTTTAGTTCGAGCTGGGCAGCAAACAGTAAACAAATGGTAAACTAAACAGTAAATAGTTTTGAGACCACATGTTTTCTTAGCAGCCAAAAATGCTGCTTCGACAGGCCTAGAAGGTGAAAAATCTATTTGAAAATACGAAGAGATGTCCTGAGAGCTGTCTCGAAGTGCATATGTCCACATATAAACAGACCCTAACCTCAAAGCTCGGCACTCCGGCTTGTGTGACATCACTATCACATCTGCTTCAATTCTGCTGGCTCACACACGGTTTTTGTGTATGAGTTTCATCGGTGTATGAGCTATGGTGCATATTTTTGAATATATAGACCTTGTAGAAGATTTATCGACTACTTGGAATGACTCAATAATGTAATTTCAAAAGATCACGTGATAATATCCTTTAAAACAGTTTATATATAGTTTACAAAGTGTTATTTACCATTTCCGTTTATTTTACCAGGTCTGGCAAACGAAAACTAAATGGTTGGAGCCCTAATAAGGTCGTGCATTAGATACTCTTTTTGTACCTTCAGTATGTCTTGCGACTTGGTAACTTACGGTTTTGTACCGACCCTCCCCGAGTGGGTTGGTATGGTGTTCTAGCCTTAGGCCAGTGCACCTATATATGGGCTACCGATCTCCACCCGACTTCGGACCGGAAAAGCAGGCTTTGAAACCGCTTGCAAGAACAACGTATAGATTCAATCATCACTTCCCCGATAAGCATATGCAACTTTCGTGGTTCTCTCCTTTAGTCTCGTCTGACAACCTTTCCTGAGAGTGAGCCTCTGTGTAGCTCGACTCGCTGTCTGGAGCTTGAATTCTTTGTCCCCGCGCTGCTGTATTCATGATGATGCAATGTTCTTCATTTCTCTATGTTTATGGAAGCCGATATGGATATCCATGGTCACAGGAAGCTGGCGTTTATTGACATCTTCAAGGCCAGCATCTAATTATATCGAAGTGGCGTACGACACTGTCCCTGATCTGCGCCGGTCAGGTGAACGCATCCATGAGCGATCGATATCAGACTCTCACCGTGTCGGTGAAAAGGCATGCCACCTTCGCCATATCTTCCTTGGTGATTTTCCCGTTTGTACCTGTTCCACTAGCCTGGCTTCTTACCAGAATTACAGTCGAAGTTAAGTGGCACAGACAACGGGAAATACAATGATTCGCAAGATTGTTCAGCTACTTTGCTCCCCTTTGTCTTCTACCATTCGTTGTCCTGCTTCTCCCCTCTGTCACCGAGTGGCATTCAAAGTAGAAGGTTCTCTACGCATATATAACCTGATGACCAGTTTCGTGTCAGTACTCTCGTTTGCTTTGCATAATTAGTAAAAATGACCTCTCCCAGCACTCCTCGAAGACGACCTGTGAGTTTTTGTTCTCATTTCGTTCCTCCGCTCCTTTCCAATATGTGCCCCAGCAGCTCGTCCAAATTACACCACTTGTGCGCCCACCCCGCCGGCCTTCGCTTCCACACGAACCTATACTAGTACGTCTCGATGGCAGTGAACCGGGCTTGCAGCCAGGATTTGAGTTACAAGTAAGTTGACATTCGCAGTCTTCTTGGATGCGGCTCACCGTTCATGCATAGCTCGCAATATATGGTACCGAACAAGCTAATGTAAGCACGCCCTCAACATCTGTCGTCGATATTCACTGTAGTCTGAATGCATATGCTAGACTCATCCCCAACAAATAAGCTTTGAGGTCAACACGCATGCGGTACGCACTCACTGTTCCGCTTGCAACTCAATGCGTCTCATTGAGTCCCCTCCTCAGATCCCCGGAGACCCCTACGAAACCCCCTGCTTACACAGTGGATTCGCTGTCGGAAATTTCAACATAACAACCATCCCAACCGTAAGTCTGCGCCCCTCCCCTCCCCACACCCCATCCTGACTTCAAGGTGCCCGCAGAACATTACTTGCTACTCCGCCTTGTGCGAACGCGACACCAGCGGATTCGTTCTACACCCATTTGATCGCCCAATGTGGGAGCTGAAGCGGGTCCGTATTCCTTTCAAGTCTTCCGTTCCTTGTCCTCGCGGAGTGGGCGTAAACATGACGGAGATCCTCCGTGGGAACCATACGTGCTTGAAGACCCCGGGAGAGTACATCAGGGATATGGTGGGGGTTCGGTTCATCGATGTCGTTTTTCATGTAAGGTCCTCCCTACTAGAGTGGTCGATAGCTCATCTGACGACTCTAAAAGGCTAATGGTTATCTCCCGCAATACATTCGCACCCCTCTCAAGTGTTGCCATCAGAGTACCGGTGGGCGGTATTTCGATGTTGCGTTCAATGTCGCGCTCGGGTATCAGAAGATTCTGATGGTACGTCTTCTCGCTGGAATTGTGATGTGAGCCTTACTGGTCCCATAGAGAGAAGCGCCGAACATCAGTTCCTCTCGGACGAACGCTGACTTTCCCGTCGTGAGAAATGTGGAACATCTGAATTTGATTTCACTGTATTCGGCGGATTCGTCGGCCCAGATATGGTGGGCAGAAGTCGCTCTGTGTTGTCCGGAATCTTTTGCTGTGTAAGCGACTCAGTTATACCGTGTATTGTCAAGAGGTGGCAGTAGGCGAAACCATCGCTTCGGTACTAGGTTCAGCGTGACGGGGAAAGTTCATACTGCGCTAAGCGGTTGACCAAGAGAAGATCCGAGTACGGGATAACGTACACTGTAGATATACTTTGGTTAGGTGCCCATGAATAGTCGTGTACAAGACTTATGTACTTTGATAACGGGAATACGTTGTAATCCAATGGCAGAAATGATAAGCTATTATTTTGAATACACAAGATAAATGTCTCTGACAAACCTTATCGCAGTCAATAGGAAATATTCATACCTCAACACAAAAATCTGGTCGGATGCACCAACGCCGATATTTAAGTTCTCGTAGGCCTTGAAGGAGCTCAAAGACATACGGGAGGCTGGGCGTAATACGAAGGTGCGATTTTGGAAGCGTGCATATTATTTGGGCAAGCAGGACGGCCGTTTAGAATCGTAGAGGGAGATGGACAAAGCCACGACACTGGTTTCGCAAAGCTCACAGCAGCTTGTCGCTGACTGGAAGGAGAATATAGCGCAGGGAGGGGAACGCGAACGGACACAGGGGTTTCAACTAGGTAGATCAAAGCGCGTCCATTCATCATGACACTTTTCCTTTTCTCGGTATTTGGATTCTTGCATTTATAGGAGGCATCGGGGTTCGTACAGAATAGAGAACAGCGGCAGCAACAGGGTTGTAAGCATCGCTGGTTGGAGGTGGTGGCGGAGAGAAAGAACCGGAGAACCGGCTAATTTGATCCGGACTGAATCCTGTTTTCTTTCTCCCATCATTTCAGTAGCATGCATCCGGGACCTCATCTACTAAAGGCGCGCTCTGTGGACTGGATACATATACAACTTCTTGAGATTTCCCTGCAAGGAACTTCTTGTCTGGCCCGGAGCTTCTGGAAGCGATGATAGTTCAGCAATGGTCCAGCGTTGACGGGATGTCGCGCACGTATTAACAGACGACGAGGTTGCGAAGATTTGTGTTGGTTCAGGTGAGGTTTCAGAGTTCGATGAGACATAAACGATCATAGTTAATGGGAAACCCAAGGTCGGATAATATTTTTTTTTTCCCTTTGCTTTGGGATGCGGTTCGTCGTAAAAAAAATGGTACTGTTGGCAGAAGGTATGCATCGTCTCACAGTTGGCAATTGCTGCTCATGAATTATTCTAGATTTTTAATTCCGGAAGCTCTCGATTATATCCAGCTTCATTTCTCTATCACGATTTCCAGCCTGTCCGGTCTGCAATTCCGGGGGTTCCTGACTGCTACCGTTTCCCGAGAGACACCCATCATCGCTGTAATTATACTCTACGGCGAATTATGCCCTCTCGTAGAACTCATGTTGTCTGGTTTTCGCATAAGCTCCATTCCTCAGCTTGTTTTCCGCTTAACTCGGAATATACAAACCATAACAACTACTCTGATTCAGCATTGCCAGCTGATAGCGGCTGTATTCCTGTCGTTGCCAATCGTTTCAAAGTATACGGAGGTGCATAACTCCTGCAGGTCACCTTGCTTACCTCGTTCTGGTCATTGTGAGTTTATCCTTACTAGTACTAGCTCTTCACATCGTTTCTAAAGTCGGATCTATCTATAGGGACTTGGAACCTTGATGAATTTACCCGGGGACCTTCTACAAATGATAGATCGTACCCTTTCAACATTGTATACGGATCTACCTACTACAGCTTACACCTGTTGTCTCTGGACCCGCTCTGTATGCGACTGAATGTCATACAATGGATCGTCTTCTTCATGTGCTTCAGCCTTATGGATCTGAATCTCTCGTCTTTGACTCTCGCGCCTTGTTTATCAGGACAACGTACCGGAGGGTGAGGAGGAGAGGCTGCAAGAATGGACAATATGAAACATGGAGCCCGCAGAATTAGCTGAAGCGGAAACTCGTGACGTTCTTTTCCTTGTTCTCCATTTCTCATGGTCTGACAGACTGACATGGGGAATTGTCTCGTCCCCATAGCTCTAACGATACTCTAGTTCCCTGCCAGCATTTCTCACTTTATCCATCCAGATTTATCAACCACTACCGTTCTCGTCCCAAAGTTGACCCGACCTCGTGTTCGCGGCAGGGGAGTATCGGGTGACATTGGAGCAAGACAGTCCTCTGCTGTACGTCGACTAGCACAATATTCTTCGAGATATGTCAGAGAATATGAACCCGGATTTTTATAGTATGTACTGGACATTTCCTCTCGCAATCCCAACGGAACTTATAGATTCCGCCATCACAAGATCATCGTATTTTTATTATGTGGCATCTAATAGCCCTAATAGCAAGTCCTGTATGCCTCGTCTTTCAGTCTGGTACTGCAGTCGTGTGCTAATAATTATGTTATGCAACAGCAATGCCCAGACAACTCTTTCTTGTTCCCTTACAAATACACGGAAAGATATGGCTTTGGTATGTGACCTTGTCATCCGCGGTTTGAATATAGTCGGCTGATTTTCAGTCCCTAGCTCTATGCGATGAAGCTAAACTATGGCTTTATTCGAGGTTCTTCCATGAACACTGTCAACTACGCGTCGTATCTTTTTGATATTATAATTGATATTATAATTAGATCCATCTATTGTACGCCCACTTCCGCTCTGTATGCGACTGAATCTCATACGATAGACTTTTTCTTGGGTTGCACACTTATAGATATTAGAATTGAATGTCTAGTCATCACAATACCAAGCTTTGTCCATTCAGGAAGGCGCCAAGGCCGGGGGAGGAGACACAGCGGCGGAAGTCGGGCGGTGAACACCAGTGGTCATGAGGAACTTGGAAAGTTTTCGATATTTTTCTTAGAATCCCGTTGATATCGCAAGTTTGGTGGCCTCGTTCCTAGCAGTGGTAGTACGTTTTTCTCCATTTCTTTTCAAACAGGGTCACTCATGTCGAACTTGACCGGGATTCTCTGAAATGATAAGTTTCCATTCGCTGAACAGTTTTAGTGGAACGTTGAGCAATGGAGAGTTTTAGTGCTATGTCATATGATGAGAGAGTACATCCGGTACTTCTGTTTCTCCGTGGATAATATTCTGGCATCGATCCCGTCTTTCGACTTTATTGCTTTGCATGTCCGTGACGTACGGAAAATGCAATTCGTAAGCTTTGGAAGTCATGTTTGTCTCCGGGGATGTGGAGATACGGGATGATCTTCTGACTTTCTTTCTATGTCATCCATTTTTCACTAAGCAATATACAGATACTAAATGTTTTCTTGGTGCATATATAAAGGCTGTCGCAATCCTTGTAGAGTCGCCAGGACTCACATCCACCTATATCATCATCTCCTTGAAGCTCTTAAACCACATTTCTCGTTAGTCGTATCTCTTTGCGTCAAAGAAAACTCCCCTTAACTAACAGTGCAAACCCTCTAGAACACCATGTCCGTTCTCGTTGCTACCCGAGTTGGCGGTTGGCTGCCCCGCGACAATCGAGTCCTCCAAAGCTGGCTCGCGAAAAAGATCGCTCAAGTTGCTGCAGACCCGCAGCCATTCCAGCCCGTCATCCAAGAATTCCAGAACCTTATTGAAACCGACGCAGAGATTTACATGGACTTCCATCAGATGTTCGACCAAGTGCCGACCAAGCCCCCTTACGATAATGATCCAACCGGACAACCACAGGTTCGTACGCAATTTTCATGGCTGTATTGCAGTTCAACGACTGACATACCGTCCCTCTTTCCCAGGTTCGTGATTACATGACCATGTTGTCTCTGTTCAACCAAATCATTACCGAAGCCCCCGACTTCGAGGAATCGGAATACGAAGTCGGCTTGGTCGGGTTCCCAATCAACGCCATCCTTGACTGGCCTATGGGTACACCCGCCGGCCTCACCGCGTTCGTCAACGACAAGGTGAACGCGCAGTTCAAGAAGATGTTTGACGTCTGGACGGCCTTCCTCACGTCGTCAGCTTCGTGCTACGTCCTCACCACCGACACTACCGGCTGGTTCGGCCCTGCAGCCAGTGCTGCGATGCCCAACTTCACTCAGACGTACGTGTGCGACCCCAACGCGCAATATTACGGATTTAAATCCTGGGACGACTTCTTCACCAGGCTCTTCCAGCCTGGTGTCCGTCCCGTCATGTTCCCCGATGACGACAGTATCGTCATCAGCGCTTGCGAATCTACCGTCTACAACACGGCCGTTAACATTAAAGCCCTCGACACCTTCTGGCTTAAGGGAGAGCCGTACTCGCTCAACCACATGCTCAACAACGACCCCCTCGCCCCCCAGTTTGTCGGTGGGACCGTCTACCAAGCCTTCCTCAGTGCCACCAAGTACCATCGCTGGCATAGCCCTGTTAACGGTACCGTTGTGAAGACCGTCATGGTCGCAGGCACATACTACGCCGAGAGCCCTGCGATGGGATTCCCGAACCCCGACCCCGCCGCCCCCGACCTCTCGCAGGCGTTCATCACCGCCGTGGCTGCTCGCTCGCTGATCTTCATCCAAGCCGATAACCCCAGCATTGGTTTGATGTGCTTCATAGCTGTGGGGATGTCGGAGGTGTCGACGTGCGAGGTCACTGTTCAGGAAGGTCAGGTTCTCAAGAAGGGCGACGAGATGGGCATGTTCCACTTTGGAGGGTCTACGCACTGTCTCATCTTCCGTCCTGAGACTAGTGTTACGTTCAACCCTGACTATCCTATTGGTACGGATGTCTTGCTCCATGCTCCGATTGCGACCATCGCTTGAGGTTGGCGGTATGAAGGTTTACACGATGGTGATATGAATTGTACGAATAGCAAGTAGTTGTTCTATGCTCTTATTCTCTTTTGTACGTTTCGATGCTTGAAATAAAGTTGTCTTCATGTTTGTACATGCTTATGCAGGAGTAAGGCGACCGTATGCAATAATATCAATTCACCTGAGTGTGATCACAATTCGGGAAATAGCTTCATTCCTCTTATACCATAGTACCGCTCTTTTCGTACCCCTTATACGCCGGTGGGGGATACTGTAGTTCCCTAAGTTCTATCCTTGTCCCGTCGAAATGTCGACTCCTCGCCGCAGTCTCGGATCGTTGCTGTCGTCGACGTTTGCAGCACGGTATCGAATCCCGGGTTCGAAAAAACAAAACCAACGAGGCAGCAATAAGTATAAACAGTATCGCAACGCCTGCCAGGATGCCTATTAACATTGTTGACGGAGAAGTTGTATTAGTTGTGGCACTGGAAAATGAGGGGTAAGCCACTAGCGTGCGATGATGATCAATGAGAAGGTTACTTAGCGTCTGTGGCATCCAGTGCTAGAGATGTAGAGGCATATAGTATAAGGGATATGCTAGTAGATCATGATAGTCAGCGCAGGCAGAAAGGGAGGGGCCATGGAGAGGACACACAGGTAAATCGACATAGCAGTCGAAGTGAGAGGGTATCCGGTAGGCTGGGCGCAATACTTATACAGGGCGCCGCTTTTTAAAGAACTCTGCAGACCAATAACAATAGGGTATTTTTGAGACTATGGTCAACAGAGGTTGAGAACACGAACAATCAGTGGGTGAACGTCTCACATTGGCGGGCAAGTCCGGACAACAGGTGGCATTTCTGTGACCGGAACTACTGATCGTCGATCACCGGTCACCGAGGACTTCGCGGGTATTCCCTTCCAGTTGCTGAAAAGAAGGTGATCATGGAAAGTGTCGACGGTGAGTGGACGATCAGTATCAGGGATCTTCTGTCCTCTGCGATTATGATGATTTCGAACAGATGTTGATTTTTTCTCTGATGAACACTCACTACGCAGGCGATCAATATTCAATCGTGAAATGCAGAGAAACACGTGCAATGTTGCGAGAGTATATTGATTCTGCGTTAGGTTTCTGTCTTCCTTACCTCCACGGCTGCGTTCTGACCAAGTATTGACAGCGGAAACGGGAAGTTAAAACAAACTTGGCGAGGTTGTCTTCGTCTGTTCTGCACTTCATCGATCATCCCCTAGATAAAGATTAAAAGCTGGGCTGTGGATGATCGTCGCTATGAGCACCTGGTGGAAAATCCAAGTTCTTAGTTGCATCTTTTGCACCATAGCTATCGCCCACGTTCAGATCTAATTTTATGATTGTAAATCAGATTCGGGACATTCGGCTCGAGTCCTTGATATTAAGGCGCTACGTGCATACTTGGTGATGCTCGATTGGAGAGTGCTTGGTGGTAGTTCAGAACGTTCAGGGTTTAACGGTCGCAGGTCGGGAGAGTTGGGCGCGGGCCGGTCTTCCCGTCGTAACGTGCCCTTTAGGGCTGGCTTTGTGGCTTCGTGGCCTTTATCCGAGATCCGAGATCCGCGTTGCCGTTTGCCTGCAAATTTCAATCAGTGACGACATCGTTTTCCCAACGGTTAATCATGTCTGACTAGAGTTTATCCTGGTTGCATCGTCCTGATTATTGCATATTCTCGTCGCTTTCCTCAATCCCATCACTTTCTTTAGCCTGTCCTTATTCTCGACATTTCTCACGGATCGAAGACAAGTGCCAGTGGCTTCTCATTGCTGCATGCAATGATTTCTCCGTTTTTGCATGTTGTTAGGACTAAGGCGGGTCAAAACTCGTAAATATCGTACTGTCCGATCCTTGAGCTTGCATGAAGTATGATTTTCTGAACTTCTCTTCTCTTTCTTTTTCTTTGATGCTTCATACTGAAATTACTGGAGAAGGCACGAACAACCAAGGCCTTCCATTACCAGCTTTGTTCGTCATCTGTTGAAATAACAAACAAACTTCCTCCCGCCATTTGTTTCTGGCGTTCATTGTCGTTGCAAATGCCACGCGTTATCATATAAACTGCTGCAGTTCGGGTCATCGTTGATTCCTTCCTCTTCCCCTTGTACTAATCTCCTGGACTCTTCAGAGACTCGACGCAAATCCCAGATGGCTCTTAACCAGTTTAGGGCATTATTTCGTCAGGAACATAAGCGATTGGGGCCAGATGTTTCTTCACTCTTAGACAGTGACGGTACTTTGACATATGGATTCGAGCTCTCGGTAAGTGCACGGTTCGGGGTGCAGCTTCACAATCGTCATTATTGGACACTATTCGTAGATTGCTTCGTACGGCGAAGAGACAGTAAATGTGGTGCGTTCAGAAGCCTCCTTACCTTTTATTTCTGCCACCGACCAATATAACCAGAATGACCCCGATCAACTCGTCTATGACCTCTACACCCATGAAGTAGGTCACTTCCGACGTCTTCTCTCTTTTCCCGACCCGTTCCGCCTTCATAGATACCCAGCACCGACGAGAGGGTTTTGATACCCTGTACGGAAACCTGCTTCAACTTTCCTCTGGCCAGTAATATCCACATAACCACCATCCCCGTGCGTTTCTCTCTCGTTATCTTCTACTCTTGCCTACTCTAGCTGAATCGTGTACAGGCCTGGAACCTGGTTATTGGTGGCTTGAACCGTGTCTCCATCACCGACACTAGACATAAATACCCTACACCAATGTGGACAAGCCATAAATTTTACATCCCGTTTGAATCTGCATGCGGGCATGCCTTTGCCTTAGGGGTGAGTATGAACCAGATCCTCCGCGGGAATCAGTCTTGCTTGAAATACGCGGACCAATATCCCAAGGCCCTGGCGGGACTCTCGTTTATCGATGTCGTGTTCCACGTATGTCAGCCTTCTCATGTAATTGATCCCTTGTCTGACCTCAGCACCTGTAGTCGAACGGCTACCTCCCTCAGTATATTCGGGTCGCGTTGAAGTGCTCGCATGTCTCGGCGCCACGATATATCGATGTCGCGTTCAGCGTCGCACTTGGTTATCGTACGATCTTGAGGGTATGTGGCACTTCAAGCAGTATCAACCTTCTCTCACGATGTGATAATTGACAGAGAGAAGCGTCGAAGATCTCTCCTTCACGTACGGATGAGGGTTTCCCGTTTGTGACCGATGAGGACTGCCTCAAGTTGGTGGCACTTTATTCGAAGGACAGGCATGTATGGTGGGCTGAAGTGGCTATTTGTGACTACGTTATGACTTGTAATTAGGCCCATTTGTCGTGATCAGCCAATCATTGGTTCACTGATGCTGGCATTTATTACGTGACTCGGATGTGTTGCAGTCGCGATCTCAGCTCAACAGTAGCTACGCGGCTCAAATACAACAATTGACTCCAACGGAGTGATGGAGCTTTCAAGAAAGAATATTAATGTGAAGCACAAGTTCAGGCTGGGGTAGTACTTCTTAGACGTGTCAAGGTCACATGCGCGCGATTTTACTGGGCCGTGGGAAAACGGTCGACTAGTTTCTTCTTTTCCTCCCACATACTAACACGGTAAAGACGGAGAAGAATGCGCCAATTCATTGGCCCTCCTTACATCACATCCTGTGACTGTGCTGCAGTTGGCAGATTCTGCAGAGGCGACTAATATTTGAACCCGGTATTTTCAGACATCAATTTTGACTCCAGCTGGGCGGGCGTACAGTCTCAACTTTACGCCATCTAGTAGACCTCCTTGATGTCCTAGGTCAACCATCAACAGACCCTGATTTTAGGTTCTAGTATCTGAGTTATCTTAGCAAAGACGCGTGGCACGGGTCAAATGGGAGACGATGAAGTCGAGGCATAGCTTGAAGGTCTATATTTGATTGACATCTTTTTCCACTGTAGTACATTTGTCACTGCGGGGCACGAGATGACAGCCACTACCCTGGGATGGTTATTATACGAGCTTGCCACACATCCGGAAGTCCAAAACAAAGCACGCGAAGAGATTTTGCAAGCTCGCCTGCGGAATGGTAAACTCTCCTCGAATGAATATGATTTGATGCCGTTTCTGAACGCTCCCATCAAAGTCCGTGGGGCCGAGCAAAGTTCGTCCTTGTTACGTAGTTCTGATCTCTATCATTGACAGGAAATCCTTCATTTACACCCTATTGGTCACACCCTTATACGTAGGGCAGTTCAAGATGATTGCCTCCCGCTCTCCGAACAGATCATTACCAAGGAAGGGAAGATCTTGAAAGACATTCCTATCCCCAAAGGACAGAGAATTTCTTCTGTTCGATATACACATTATACATATAATCGGTACGCGTTGCTGCTCCCGATGATAGACATTATGGGGTCGAAACATCATCAGGCTGTCGAGCATCTGGGGTCCTGACGCAGATCAATGGAATTCAAACCGATTATTGACGACCTAGGGTTGCCGAGCTGTCTCAGGCAGGTTTTCGATTTGCACTATGAGAATCGCTCTGTTCGGCTTGAGGATGTGCCTCCCTCTCGGGGATAAATATAGATTTGTCGTTGTTTCTAGGAGAAAATGAGCGCGTTTTATTGTGGAAAACATGCATTTACACAGTATTCGCATTCATAAGCATGTTTTCTGCTCTCATAAAGACCCATAATAGCGAGTCGCTGATATTTTGCCTGTAAGAGCTTTTACATAATAAAGCTAAGCTTAACTGGCATTGATCAAAATGTTCCGCGTTACGGTGGTCGGGATCCGGGGCCGACGGGACCAGGAAACGACAGGTATAGACGCGACATTTGGATTGGGCATTTATGCCCCAAGAAAAAGGTCGAAAGCAACAACAAAAATGTAAAAATAATGCATAAAAATCAATACAGGTTCCTTGTGCCCGTTGCTGGGCCAATGGAGTATTCAACCGGTATCTTGAGGGTATAACCAAGGGATATCAGAGTGAACAAACCACGTTACGACTTTTTGCGTCCGAAGAGCAATGACCTCGCGCCATGAGAGTATGGCCCATATACGGCCGGCTTGAAATCTAAGCTGGTAATATACAGAGGAGGTACTGGTACCATTATTCCGGAAAGAAGACACGGGTCAATATATGCAAGGTAATATTGAGCAGGTATGCTTCAAGTTGCAGCTTTCGTCAGGTGTACTACTTCCGATGTAATGATGGAATTGAACGATAGAATTTACGGGGAACATCAAATTTGAGTGATGGCAATTTCTGAATTATCATGAAGCCAGATACTGCGTCAATTTTTATCTATTAAATAATACTGGAGCCACTTGAAAGGCAACAGTATTTCTTGCCATAGGTCCGGCTTGGGCTACTGTTACAATGCGCTCTATATTGGGGAGAATACACACATTCTAACTTCGTTCCATTTTGCCCTCAGTTAATCTTCATTTCGCGTCTGTCTACGAGAGTTGTAGTAAGCACGAAAGTCAAGGGGGTCGCAAAAACCGAAAAAATCATATCGGGTCGAAAAAATTTTTAAGGCCTCGATGGACCGACCGACCGACCGCCGTGGGAAAAACATACCCACAAAGGAAACATCATGTAATTACTCCGGGTCGGAGTCATCCGCCAGTGCGAGCTTTCCGCCTACTTAGTCCTCTCGTCCTCGATCTAAACGCTGATAGTATACGATTTTTGTCTGCTAGCGACAACGCTGTCCTACTGTACATGACAGACACTTCCAATTTTGGATCCATCGAACTCGACGAAATATTTTTACAGCCGGTAACTCAATTCTCACTAATCCAGCCGATATCCGGCAGCATGCCATTGGCGTTTTGAGCCTTCGACATCGTTTTGACCGCTTTTCCGGCATTCTTTGGGCCATGTTAGGTCATGAATATCATATATCAGCTGAAATAAACACCTCCAGCAGCGTCTAGGGTCTCTGGATGCTAATTTACAAGAGGGGGGCAAAAAATTTTTAAGGACCTTTTGGACCGACCGACCGACCAACCCGATGTGCCGGCTTGCCGGGCCGCAACCCCCTTGACGAAAGTGGTACTACGTGCTGCGAGTGAACTTAAGGATCAAATGCTCACGAGCTCCGCGCTATACGTACGGTGGTCCGGAGGTAAGCAATGACCGGTCCAACAGTTTTTACACGATATAACGTCTAAAACATACAGTATTATCTACCTTCAGTGTGATATATACGGTTATTAAAGTACGCCAGACCGGAGACGGCGCTAAAAATAGGTCTGTAATCCGGACACGGAGCCGTGCCTTAAAGCCGCTCAAACCGATTTGCGTTATGCACTGTTACGCAAAACGAAAACCTGCCTGAGACAGCTCGGCAACCCTACGACCGATCTGAGCCTCGCGCCCCGCTCGGGATGTATGCCAATTTGTGAGTATGAGTCAACGTACTTGTATTGAAACGAAATCTGAGTTAGGATGACATTTGCTTAATCCTACATTCTAGTGACTCACTCGCGAGTCGCTCGCTCACTGAATAGGGCTCCAAAACGCGTTCATGCATCGGGTGGGTCCTCCCTTGTTTCTCTTTTCCAGCACTCAATTCTAAGTGAAATTTTCAAATTGACGGTTTGTGTAGGTCATCTCCAAGCCAGAGTCTATGCCCGGTATCTAACCTTGAACCATCATGTAGGATCATGGAAATGCAAGTCGTCGTCGTCGATCTTCTGAAGCATTTCGAGATCAGTTTATCGGAGGGTCTGAATATGCAGGAGTTTCCCGTTGCACTCATGATTGTCCCCGCAATGGAGGGTAAAGCTAATCGGGGTTCTTAGCTTCCGTTGCGCGTCTCTGTTTTGGGATGAGAGAGACTCGATTCCTATCATATTTTATATGGCGCATTTGATCGTTTCTTTGTACAAGATTGCATCGTGTTTGAGAATCGAAGCTTTTGGGTGCAAAGGATGATATAAATTCTGCAGTTTAGAAGTATTCACATCAGCGAACTACAACAAAGACCATCGCCTTCGCCTCCTTTACTTAAATTAACACTGAACGTTGTCTTTGAAGTACTGGTTGTTGTTTCCGACAATATTACCGGCGGGGCTGTATTCGCAAGTGAGGTACCTATGAAACAAGGGAGAATAAGCTTCTGATTTCACACCTGATGAGAGAGAGAGAGAAAACTAACCATCCCGGCGTCCCATTGGAACCGTTACAGTTGACCCTTCCACACCCAACCTTGGTAGTGCTCTTCCACACCAACTGCGTGAAGTGACCGGTCGCGCTCGAGAATCCGGGGTTGCTGCAGCTATACTGCTTGCCTTCGTCGCCCCATGCAGCAACCGAAGCCGATGGCGAGGCATATCCAGCAGCTAGGTTCTCTCCGTACGGTCCGCCCTAAAAGTGAGCTGAGCATAGGCTACAGCAAGCATGAAAGGAAACAACCCACGCTATGTTGAAACACGCAGGGCTGGGTATGCTGTAATGCATACGAAGCGAGGGTATCGTCCCAAGTAAGCGCGGACGCGCCATGTGCGCTTCGGTACGAGTTGGTGGTATCGAGGATAGCCGATCGGAAGGTGGCGTCGTTGGTCCAGCTAGCATCCTGAATGGAAATTCAAAGTGATTAGCACCCAAGGAATATACGGAGAACGTGAGTCAGTAGTACATCACGAGCGACGATAGTGCTATCCTGTGAAAAGTCAACATCAAGCTCGGTTGAAACGTATAGAAGCAATGACGTACAGCAGGGAAGGCCACGGTGAGAGCTGTCGCGGCGCAGACGAAAAGGAAAGCAGAGAGGCGAGCGAACGACATATTAGATGCAATACAAGAGGCGGGCTCAAGTTGGAGTTCCAACAACGGTTTCCGCCCTCCTCTTATACCCTCGTCGCAAAATCACCTGAAGGGTATATTTACCAAACGGTGGTAGGCATCTTCGCCCATATGGTGTCCTCCAAGCATCTTTGATGGGAACAGGGAGCTAGAGCCCTCGCGCACAGTTTAGGCGCGGCTTCGGATCAACGCTTCGAATGCTACCCATAACAACGGACTGCAAGTTCTATACAAACTTAGCGGGAAATTCTTCGGGACCGGAGAGTACTCATGGGTGGCGCGCTTGTATCCATGCCAAGCTACGAGGAACATTCGTATACGTCACTGTTTAGCGTCCCGGTGGAGCACCATTTGAGAAAAATATCTCGTGCTTGAGGTTCTAGTGTCGCTCCTTGCTATCCAGCGTGTGGTTTCACGAGTCAGCGCGGGGATAATTATTATCAGAAGATGATCATTTAGCGGGAGAAGCCATTAATTACTTAGCTTCTGCGACTGATACACAGTAAGTAATCCCGACACCGGCGGCATCGTAGTCCAGTTTCCGCCTGGACATCAAACCATTGTAATAATGCGATATGATATCAGGTTGATGAGGGTCGCCATCCGCGCTATTGATTCATCCCACGCACATATGTACAGGCTGAATACCATTTGTCACGCAAGCATTTTGGAGTCGTCCGGCTCAAGGCGAAACACAGATCTTAGCTTTTGTGACGTGTCATGAAGCGAACAAGACTGCGGTGGCATAGAGACGGACAGGTTGGCATGTACCAACTAATAAGAAGGCTATATAGACCATTTGTGACGTTCGTTCTTCAGAAAAGCTCTTCCCAAGGAACATCCGCATCCCGATCGCTCATGAGTCGATGACAAGTAAACAAGGTAAGGCAAGGTTGAAGGTCTATGTGTGATCTGGAAGTCGCTTCCCCAGTAAATGACTCCAAGTCTCAGATAAAGTTAGTGCTAACCATCATCACACGGCAAACGAGCTGTCCGAAAGTGCTATCAAGGCCAAGTCATATTCCAATTCTTCGGAACATTTGCATCCAGGAAGAGAAGCTAGTTGCATAGCCCAAGGCACCTGTAATCCACTCCACCGGAGGATCGATGTGTATTCCCAATACTCAATTCCCAATCCACGATCCTGCTAATGACCCTGATCCATCAGGATATTACGATTCCCAAAGGTCACAATGAGTGAATACGATATCATAGAGAAACAATGTCGGCATTCTTCTCGCCTTATCAAGCTTGGCAAGGCCCTCTTCATCATTGTCTCAAGCACCTTCAGCCAAAAGAAGGGTTGCGTAAAATCAACGCTCGTCATCGCAAGCGCTGACATGACGACCTGGGACGCGCGCGCCATAGATATCCTTTCCATCGACGTCACATACGCGAGCACCCCAAGGGTTAGAGTACGATCGCATACGATCCAGAATCTCAGAGTGCTCCTGCATGATGGTATGGAGTTCCTTGGGGGATAACGATTCGATAACATTCCGCAGCGTTTTTCCAGGTATGCGTGTCATGAGGATAGATCCTTCCCTAGATCTTGTGTTGGGAGAATGTTCGCCGTATGAGATAAAACGGGGTGCAGGCACACCCATGGAGCGGGCCAGGGACATAGCTACCCCCTCTGCTTCGCGTGCGCGCGAGCTAAATTTGAGAACGAGATTGAAGGGTAGAGAGAAGACACCATCCTCGATGAGATCTGGTCGAAAGTAGCGACAGTATATTTGAGAACCAGGACGTGTTGGCGGATCCAGCCGCGAATGAGAAGTTCCCTAGCGGATAGCTTGGAGAAGGTAACTTGAACGGAGGTGGTGCCAAATGCTATCGCGGGGAGAATAAGCTTAGAATATACTGGAGAAGCTACCGCCAACCTGATTTATAGCAAGTTCCAGGCGAAGTAGGACTTTGAAGATGAAGTCGGATCGCAAAGAAAACCAACATGTCGGGACGGAGTCCCTATTCGCCGGCTATTTCCGATATGTAGCGAGCTGCGTCATGCTTGGACTTCATTTTCTTCATCGTTAACTACAACAAGGATACAAACTCAGGCAGGTGTCTATATAACGGATAAGAAAATCAAATATTTCCGAACGTTCAATAATCCTAGTCTGGGTAGTGCCAACTTCAAAACTTGGCTCAGTCTGTGATAAAGCGCACCAGTGGTTCGAGTCGCCATTCTAGCAGGGGTGTGTATCTGCCTCCTCGATCGGTACGAGGATCTGGTGATACTGCAATTTCAAGGCTACTTTTTGTAGAACAATAAATGACTTCTGGGTTATGTCAATGGGTCGGAGGGGTTAATATTCCCATATATCTGGTAGCTGACGGTCAACTAGCTCTACACTGCGTCGTAAGAGATATCGGTAAGGCATCAATTTATTGTTCCTGTGGGGTAAAGAAGAATGCACGTTACTAGACATCAACATGAAAGAAATGGAGAGTGAAGGACTTAGAAACATGGAGGAAACAACCGCGTCGAGATCACATGGCACCGTGATTGCCACCCGTGGGAAAATCTCTGTCTGTCCTCCGGCCCACCGTTACGCCTTGAACTGTGCCATCATCTTCACAAGAAGGCCTTATACATACGAGAATTCGCCATCTCTACATGAATTTAGCTTCAGTTCGTGCGTCGTTCGCACCTTGCGCAAGCTTTGCAACTGCCTATAGGATTCGCGGTCACTGAAGGAGTGATAATATGAGATTGGGTGTAAAAGCGCTTCACGCAGATGATGGGTTCGATAAGGTTTGTGTCGACTCTTCTTCCGACGTTGAGCTCACTGATTTGACTTTGCAGGTCGATCTTTGCCGTACACGTAATCCTGATATTAAATCCGTTTCTAACTAGGCGTTCCTAGACAAGCGAAACATGACCGTGCCTGCATCTGGAAGTCCTTATTGAATCGCTGCGACGAGATAGAATCGTCGCTGACGCGCCAAAGATGGAGTGCTGATAATGACGGTGCGGCTAGTTTCTTATCACTTAACGTTTCTCTAACTTGGCATCTGTAGGTCTGTTGATTCTCGCTTCGGGTGCTTCGGGTTCCCGTTCATAGATCGTCTTTGTAAGATATGTGGCATTGTAATGTGTCGAAGAACAGACTTTTGGGTTAAGGTACGCAGTTATGCTCGCCCCTGGTTATACCAGGACTGATAAATAGTTACCAAGCTCTTGATTCCGGGTAGATTAATGACATATGCATATCCCTTTCTCGCAATGCTATGCTATCCTTCGTCTTATACAGTTCACGTCAATAGTGAAGACAACCGAACGGACTTTCCGATGACGCATCGAGGTCTTGCACCGCAACTTATATTATCGTTCTGCACAAACTCTTGTGCCCTCTACCTCGACTTTCTGCTCTTCGCAAGTACAAGTCCAGTGGCATTGATCAAATAATAGCTCGAAACTCGGATCTACGATTATCGCTCAGGAGATTCAACACTCTTGGTAACCGTAATCCCTCTGGATGTCGACTTGTCATTAAACGTAGATCCTATAATGACAACCTAGTTCATTCAGTCGTCTATTCTGTCTTGCGGTATAAGTCGCCTTCATACCTTCTTCGTTCTCGCTGCTTTTGTCCTTCCCTTTTATCTTTTTCTTCTACGCACAATTGGATTCCTGTTTTTCCTGCAGGTCTACCTCAGTCGTGCATATAACCACTGCACGGGGCATGGAGCGTCGAGGTAGGTACCTATGATTGGTGTCAATATTCAGCCATATTGCTTACGGTAGCATTTTAGCCAGAATGTCGTCTTTCTCCTCCAGGGAGTGGAACCTGGGTCAGCGACTTTTGGATGAAAGGCCCCACCTCGTCGATCCGCGTAGGTTCGCAGTACCACATGAACTGCACCATCTGCCATGAACGCTCTTTGAGCAGATGAAGCTTTTTTTCCCATCTGTGTCGACCTCGTCGGGCCCGAGCATGCCGTATACGTTGGGTCTGAACCACTGGTTTCGATTTCTCGATATCGTTGGCGAGGAGGCTGGTGGAGGTTGGTGGTGGTTTGGTCAGGTGTGTCGACGAGGTGCTTTCGATGATTAAGAAGTGAGTACCGCTGACAATGACTGTGGGTACAGGACTTGAGCCCTCGTTTTGGGGAGGCTGTTGGCTGGGTCATGATGAAGGGTTGCAGAGAAAAGGAGATACGTCTAGCGCATGACAATAACATTGATGTATGTAAAATTTGTAGGTGGCAAAGGAATAGGTGCGAGTTTATCTATTACAAGGATCACAGACGATCAATGTGACTATGTAGTACAAGCTGATGCGGCGCCGGCTATCTGTTAGAGCCACCCGAATGTTCGTCAAGACTCAGGAGAGCTCAGGAGTCACTTGAATCTCGGTCAGAGTCACTGCTATCCGAGTCATCAGAGTCATCTGGTGTATACAGTCCAGAAAGATTATCTGTATCTGGGCGTTTAGCAAGCAAATTTGCTCTACCAAAGTCGTTCTGAAAAAAAAGAAGATTAGCCTGGATAGGACAATAATACACGCGGCTTTCTTACTATTAACTCTGTGCCAGCATTGGAATGTTTGGCGAGATATTTTTCAAGAATTGTGACTGAACTCTGAAGTCGTTCCATGATACCCTTGACTTCATGATCGGTATACTGCCTTTGTTGTGCTTCCCTATTTGGTCTGTCAAGGAACAGGTGGCTTTGTTTCCTCAGGTACCCTTCATTCCTGGAAAGGTGGTCCACACGCTGCAAGCATGTAGGCCAAGCTAGATCATGCGAATGAAGGCCGGCGAGTTTCTTCAGCGTCATTTCTGCACTTTCAAGTTCACCCTTCCCTTGTCCTGGATAATCAACGAGCTGTCCACCAACAATGGCACAGATTGAGAACATATTATAAGGACGATGGATATAATTGATATGGGCATCCAGGTCGTCAAGCAGGCCCGGGGAATCTACGTTGGAAGTCTTCCTTTTCCCCCTTCCAAGCGACTTCCACACTGCTGATATGTAAGCCTGCAAGAGCCTTGACCAGGGATAGATGTACATGGTATGTTGAACCAAGTGAAGGAGGTCCAAATCCTTGAACATAGCCAATGCTGTGATGTCTCCGCTATTCATGTCGTTCTCCAGTAGGATGCCTGTGTTGATGATACATCGTGCGGACATATGCATGGGATCGCTTCGCCCATGTACGTTTATATCAAGAACCAATGGGTAAATAATGTCTCGCCATTCCGCTGGTAGATCCGGCCATGACAACTGGTGAATATGCGACCTTGAGGTCGAAATGTGGGGAACAGCATTCATCTGTAATAATATGTGAATGACGTCGGATCGGATCCCCCACAGCTGTTCAGAGTAGTTTTTATGCTTGCTTGCAAAAAAGGGCGATGCTATGAGTTGGCTGATGATGGAGGAAATGGCGGCACATTCAGGAACAGACAGTGATGTGTTGGAGTCTCCAGTGCATATTCGGAGATCTCGCACAGCAAAAAAAACAATGTCCAGGCAATTCCCACAGTAGAATTCTTCTGGTAGATGATCTGGTTGCTCCCCATAACTTGAATGAACCGTGCGAAATGAACCAGTGGAAAAGACATAGTTGATGATGGAGATAAGCAGGCGAACATGTCCCGACACTTCGGGATCGCTTCTACAGACATCAAAATCCACTAGTATTCCTAGGAGATGAAATTCGATGTGATCATAGAGCCCAAAGCGTAATGCGTCTTGCAGACCCATCCTTCGGGTTCCATCATCCTGTGGCTGTCCAATGTTCCACAATACTCCTGGATGTGCAATCAACCGCAGGAAATCACGACAGAATGGTTCATACACAGAGTCATGAATAGGTGTGTTTCCAATGTCGCACATGTGTTTAGCAACAACATCTTCAAATAGCAAGATCCATATGGAAGGGTGAAGTAGGACTGATCGACGAGTCCAGCTTTGCAAGAGATGCATAAAGACATCAGCCCCGCTTGCATAAGTAGGGGAACGGATGCTGTCATCCTGACACGCAACAATGGCAGTCAGTGCCACTGTTTCATCTGTGCAGGAAGTGATGTCTGTGGGAGGTGGGTTCAGAATAGACAAAGTGCGTCTAGTATTGTCCCATCCCCCACCCTGACAGAGGCGGAGATGGCTACACAGCAGTCGTTCCAGCTGTGTGGGCTGGGTAATGATGTTATATGTAGTAAGAGAGTGACGTGCTAAGCATCCTTGTAGGAGCTCCCATTCCTTCTCCCTGAGGTCGCTATTTTCAAATGATGAAATGAGCTCTTCAGAGTCGATGCTAGTCTGTAATCCGCCGATGCACTGTATGATCCAATTATGAACTGTGGGATTGGAAGACATGGTGTATAACCATTGAAGAGATTGGATATCCAAGAAACCAGATTGCTTTTGAATTGTCTGGAGTTCCCGTTGCCACACGGAAGGTGGTCGCAAGATAGACCTAGATTTTAACATCCATCGGAGAATTTCCCGATAGATAGCATAGAAAACAGCGGTCAATGATGTTTGGTAAGGGCATTGTGGGAAGAAGAGGGGCGCGATCAAGGTAATGAGATACAAGGCATAAGAACTTCCTGTCATTGCTAATATCATATAGGCAATGGGATGATTCAGAGCCATGAGGAAGACGACCAATCCGGCAAGGAAGACTGCGAGTGAAATGTGTAACAAGAATGGAAGAATTCCAACAATCAATGGGACATGCCATGCCTCAAAACCTACGTAGCGAAATTGGCGAATCCTACATCGATCTCGTGGAGTTCCTGAGGACGGTAGCATGTGCTGCCGTATCCACTGCTTTGCCAGAACCGCGACAAGAGCGGTGATTAAACTGAGGGAAAGGCTTACAAACCACAAACCATTTACCCAAATGTCAGACGTAGTAGGGATAAAGAGGCTGTTAGGATTCAGTGGTGAAGCAGGAACAGTGCTGATAGCAACACCGTTGATGATGGCACGTTGAATGTTGACCATTTCAAATAACAACAAAGCAGATATTTCTGAATAGTCTGCCTGCAGATTTTGCGACGTCTGTGCCACGAAAGTTGCGACTACTGCAGAGAACAGTCCGGCCTGATTTGAGTTGAGTTAAGACATGTGCAACAAAATATGTATGAAAAACACTAACAAAAACCAGAAGAACTTCTACATTTTCCTTCAACCCGCCTATCCTCTCTGCATCAAATGATTGACATTCGTCAATGAACATACGCCATACTCTGGCTGTAGGGCTGCACTCTGATCCTGGAGGGTCTTCAGGATATCGCTTTTCATAATCATCGGCGTGGTCTTCTTCATTCATTCAATATACCTTGTTCATAAGAAGTTCAGAAGCTTACCTGTCGAGATTCTCGCATCTGATTTCGTAGGTTCTGCCTGTTTTGTCGGCATTTCAGATCCGCTGTGACCCAATGGTGCGTGAAGAGGAGTCATTGTATTTTGCGTTACAGAAGCAAAAATCGGGGATCCCCGGGCCTGATGCGCCGGCAGGTATGATGGGAGGGGGTGTGAAATGACTGGAGTCGTTGACGGCCAGGGAATAAACCGTGGATATGTATGGAGGACGGGACGCCCATCAGGCCACCGTTGAGCCGGCATCCAAGGCGCTGTATTGTTGTGGCCGTCTAGATACTGCTGAGGGAGAAAGAACTGAGGTACAAAACCGGGCGGAAAGCCAGGGTCGGCAGAAATATCATCCGGCGGTAGCGGATTTACACCTGACGGTCCACTGTCTGAAGGATTGGTATCGCCACCATGAACTTCCAGGGGGTTTCCCTCTGGGCTTGGAGAAGTGTCGGGGGCCTCGTCTTGGGAAGGAAAAGAATGGAATGATTCAGCCTCATTGGATGAAGCAGGATCATCATGACTGCCTGTAAGCGACGTGAAGTGCTGAGAACCAGAGCCAGGGATGGATGAACTCGACAATTGTGGTTGACTATGATACATTCAGTAATTGCGAGACATCGACAATTGAAACGAGTAGTACATTGGTGAACGTCCCTCATCATCCTTGAGGTTTGTATCATTAGGAGAATTTGACATCTCGTGTTCAGTGGCGTGAGGGTTGTGAGTATTGCCAACAATTCTACGTGATGTGGTTGTGGGGTAAAAAGGCGACTGCAAAGATAACAGAATCCTAATTCCAAACAGCCAATTTAAATGCCGGAGATCAGGTGTATTTTCGGCCTGTACCTACATCCGAAGCGCTCATGGCACTGGCTTTAGGCACGGGAGATACAATACCAAAAGTAGAATCCTGATAGTCATAGAATTCGCATACAGTCATGAAAATTTGGAATGGTGTAATTCACAGCACTGAGCAAGGCGATGACAGCTGATCGATTCAAGTAAGTAAATTATATGCACATTGATTGACTCGGGTCGCGATAGATTCCTACACAGATTTTCGCTCGCCCCGGCAAGGTTATACAAGAAGAAAACGTGAAAATGAGGCATCGTACACGACATTCGTTGGTGTATTGATAGGAATTCTGCAATATGCCATTAGGGAGAGAGACGGCAAAAAGAAGAAAACAGCCGAAGTGCAAGTGCAGGGCAACGCAGACGCCCGGGAACGGGCTATACTAGCCGTGTGTCAAACGCCTCGGAATTTGTAGCAATACAGCCTTTGCGTGGGAGGAATCTTGCAGCCGGGTAAGAAGTATTGCGCACAGAATAAAGAACAAGAACTGCGAAGTAGAAGAACGTTCCCTGAGCCAAGTTAACTCCTAGTCGACTACGAATGAAAGGATAACAAAGGCGCTAAACATACTCGTTGTGTCGACATCGACCAATAGATTTTGGGACGAGAGAAGTTGTAAGCGCTTATTCTATCGCACGCTTCATCTAAATACAACCATCAATCAGCACCTCTAGGCATTCGTAGCTCCATGCAGGTACATCGATCTATGCAAAAATATACACCTGAGAACCTTGGCATGAAAAGTATCCAGTAAAGGCACCTCCACAGGACCTCGATTTGAGAATTATCCATTCCGTGCAGATAGTAATTTTTTGTGCGGTCAAAACAAGGTCGCCTTCTTCAATTAGCCTAAGGAAGGGCGCAAAATATAACATATGTCCGTCACTATACTCCACAACATACGGCGTCTTAGTAGATAGCTCACTTGTGACAGTTAAATAAACGCTGGATCTCCCCAAAATAAAGTTGGTTAACGATGCAGCACCAAAGGGGATATGTCACAGAGAAGGGCCTGTAACACGCTAATACAAAGTACGACTCGGGGGAAAGCTTATAGAGAGATCCTGCCATGGTAGGTAATAGACGGTGTTGAATTTGACGAGTGATAAGTCAAGAGCGTAGGCCCGAGTACTGCCGAGATGGCGGTTCTCGCACTTGGGACACTGCAAACAATAGATCAAAGCGGGCACGATGTGAAGGAATACACGCAAAAGCAGAAGGGGCGCCACGGGAGTAGCGAGAATATAATTTGCGCTTCGAGGCCCTTGACGATGACTGGAAAGCCGGTATCATCGCAGAATCCCTGAGACCTTCGATTGCCTTCGTCATTGATGCGGACTATATAAAACGAAGGGCAGCATGGCATTGCAAGATAGCGATATACACATCGTCATTCTACTTGAAAACAAGAGCCTGGTGAAATGTTTATCAGTCTTGGTACAAAATGAAACGTGAATAAATGCGTACCTCCAAACGCAAAGGTCCATTCTCTGCCGGATTATAACGCCACTGGTTATATCGAGACCCTTGATGAATGTAACAGAAGCCACTGGTGATACGAAGAGCTCCGCGAGATGTATGTCCGAAGGAGCCAGTGGACCTGCACAAATACTAAATTGCAGAAACGTCAAGTGAAAGAAATCGGATTCACCTTCGTCTTCCACGGCCTGAGCTTAAGACTTGAAGGCAAGCAGAACGTTAGCGCACTGTGCAACCAACACAGGTCAGCGTGGATCTCCACCAGTCAGAGGAAAGATGTCTATTACAAGTCAGGCCTGGGGAGGGCAAAGCTTGCCGAGAACGGAGAGCGTATAGCGAGATCACTGATATAAGTTGGTTGATTCCACGGAACTAGTAGGCCACACAATTACTACTGGAACATAATGCGCCAGCATCGAGGGTCACACGTCACGAACAGCACAATGTATGCATGAAGCTACCAGCGCTATACCTGCAGACGTGAAACCAGCAAATCAGCAAGGTGAAAGAACTGGTCGGTGCTCGTACCTTCACTACCAACCTCAGCCACGATTCGTGAATTGGCACCCGTTTCTTGATGGAATCTTCCAGGTTCGTATTGCTTGGCGAATAGATATGGACACAATTTGCCGGGCACGGAGGTGAGCTGGGGTCTACCTGGACAGAAGATATTAGTAATACTCCAACATCGAAGGAACATTGCACGCACCTGCATCGCCTATCCACGCCATATCCGATTCATGTATTTCTCCTCAACAGTTCTGGTACGAGGACTGACTACGAGCCTTGGGGCCAATCGAAATCTGCATGAGTCTGATGCGAGCTGCCAAACCGACTGTAACTGGAGCGAGTCATAAAGATGCCGGTCACGGTCAAGACGCCAAGGAAAAGAGTGATCCAAGTGTCTCCACTACCAGCCTTCCATTGGTAGCTATAGTCCCAGCGCAGCGCCATAAGTCGGTACGCATCCCTTGAGAGGAGTCTCGGAGATTCCGGCTTTTACGGTTACAATCATGGGGCACAGAGACGAGAAGGTCAAGCTAGATAGCCAAGGTAAGTGACACCCCAGCATTAAAAAAGCAGTGTACACGCCTCCATTGCCCATAATCCGTACTGTCTCCGAATCTGACTTTTCCAAGTCTCCAACAATCCTCATACAGGTAGAAAAATCCGGTGATGCTCGCTTCAAATGACTACGACTCTGAGTCTTGCATGATAAAATCCTTCATGAGGGTAAGCTGAGCGTCAAAACCTGGGGAGAACAGAACGGAGAGAAAGAGTTAAGGGAACAAAGCTACGGGATACCGGCCTTGGCCAGTGGCATGCATTTTCCCACGGACAAATTCACGGTGCATGTGATCTCAACGCGCCATTGCCTCAATTTCCAACACCTGTCTTCGACGTGCCATTTGCCATTCCTAGTTTCGTCGCGTCCACATGTGTACTATTGCGACTCAAGATGATGGCCTTCCCCTTTATAAATCCCTCACCAGTGTCGATGGTGCTAAAGACACTTCTATCCTCAACAGATAGACAATATGTACACCTATGATTGGTACGTGCAATCCTAATTACTAACGTCACAGAACATAATCTATTTACTAGGCCTCAAAGTATCGACTGCGACGACGTATGGTAGCAGAGTCTGAACACCTTTGGAATAAACGATCAAGCAACACCACACTCAGCTAGTTCCACTTTGGATACACACCAACAGATAAGTATTTAAGAGTCGACTACGTGACGTTGAAGCCTGAAGCCTGTTCAGTTTATACCTCTCTCCTACAATTCGTAACCACTAGCGGAATATACTGTGGCGGCCCTGGGAGATACTCTGTAGATTTTCTGCCTCTATTTCCATTCGGCATCTTTCTCCGTGAGTCGCTTCGCTATCATCTTCTCGTCACTGTTGTCCCTCAATTTAAACTTAGTCGTGTTTGCTTCTGCGCAGCTGCACCTATGGCTTACGAATGAAGAGTCCCGGTAGTCGCACATATAACCACTACCGAAGTCATGGAATGGGTTGCACGATCGGCGTCAAGAGTCAGCTCCAACGCTAACCGCGAATTTAATTACCGGAGAGTAAATCAATATCCTACGACTCTCCGTCCGTTTCTTCAACGTCCTCAATCCGCATCTCATCCAAAATGTATAGCCATCCCCGGACCAATCTCCGTGGTATTATCCAATATATTCCTGACGGCGGGATGGTTCAAGATATGGTTCTCCCCCGAATACGTAGAATCGTTGACTGTCGCCTTAAAATCGGAAGGTGACATTCCATACGGGTGGCCCACAAACCAGCAACTGTCACCAGTCAGCACTGCCTGCAAACAAACCTGATAGCAAAACTCACGCGACCTCCTCTTCCAGTTCTTCCGCCTTGGCCGCCTTCCCCATACGTCTATACATCCTGCTCATATGCGCCATGGCCCACAACTTCGTTCTCCAGGCCTCCGTGGAATCTTCCACCTCCTTGAACACACGCTCCGCCTCTGCCTCTTTTCCAGGCTGCTTCGAATAGCACGCAGCAAGGTACAACATCGGGGTGACGTCCTTTTCCTCTGGAGAATGGAACCTCCGGTACTGGGCCAGTGACGTCTGGATGAAAGGCTCCGCCTCGTCAATCCGCGTAGGTTCGCAGTATCGCATGAACTGCGCCATCTGCCACGAACACCCGTCGAGCAGGTGAAGCTTCTTGTTTCCGTCTGTGTCGACTTCGTCGGGCTCGAGCATGCCGATGGTGTGCATGTAGGTTGGGTCGGAGCCGTTAATTTCGATCTCTTTGATAAAGTCGGCGAGGAGGTCGATGATGGCAGTTTGGTTGGGCGGGAAGAGGGAAGGAAGGATGTTGACGAGGCGTTTGTTGACAATTGAGAATTTGTGGGTACCGCCGATGGTGATTGTAGGTACGGGATCTGGGCGGCCGTTGGGAAAGTCTTTGGGCTGGGACATGATGAAAGGTTGCAAGTGAAGGAAAAGAGGATATGTCTGAAGTCGTCCTTATATCTCAGACTAGGACTTGTATTCGGGGTCGCTACACGTGGGACGGCAATCTGAAAACGTGGTGACGCGACTCAATTGAAAGATTGCTTCCACGAATTCCAAGAAAAGAAGATTGAACATAAACACGACGAAGTCTCCACGCCACACATTCAAGTGTCGAGTATCAAGAGATGCAGACTTACCAAGGGCAAGGACCCCGCTCCCACGAACCTATCACAGCCCGAGTTAAGTATTCCCTGCATAGGGATTACTGAAAAAAGAAGCGTAGAAACCAAAATTTTGGGTATGTCAGTCAGCTGTCTCTCATGTTACGCTGCGCACGTCACTTGTATTTCCCAGCAACCTCATTCCCTGAAAATTTCAAACCTCTGATCCTCAAGACGTCGAAAACGAGGGGCTAAATTTTCGTGGATTGTTCGCAAGGCCATAATTACTGGAATATTTGAGCGTCTTCTCACCGTGAATCAGTGCCATACGTCAAACAATTTTTTACACGGACAACAACTCCGAGTCAGGTGTGTCAAGAGCACTCGGCTGACTTGCATATTCGTCGGAATCATCGGGAATGTATGCCATGGGAGAATCATCGGTGATTGTGCTAGGTTGGAGATCCTCAGCAAACACCGCGTCGTCCTAAAATGATATCGTTGAGATCAGGTAGCAGACTAGAGACTTTACTCACCGGCGCCGGGACAGAATATTCAACGACTTGTTTCAACTTTGCGACGGAAATTTCGAGCCGAATCATAATGTGCTGCACCTCGCGCATGTCATATGGCCTCCACTGCGCGTCGTGTAGCGAGAAGAATTGCTGTTCCGATATGTACTGCTGATTTTTGAAAAGGCGTTCCAACTTGACTATGCACAGAGACCAAGCTGGATCCTGAGGACGAAGACCTGCAAGCGCATTTAAGGTTTTTTGAGCACCTCCAGTGCCGCCCTTTTCGGTACATTTCGAAAGTCGCCCGCCAAGTATGGCACAGATAGTATAAAGATTTTGAGGACAATGAATATAATCAATATATGCATCGACGGGAGTGGGAATTCGAGCTGGGTGGGAAGTCTTTGATCTTCTCCGGTCAAGCATACGACAGATTGCTGAGATGTAGGCCTGGATGACACGGCACCAGGGATAGATGAACATAGTCTGCTCGGCGAATTGGAGCACGTCAAGAGTTGTGAATGTTTCTACCGCAGTGGCATCATCATTATCCATGTTATGTTCCAAGAGAGTTCCTGCATCGATGACACAGTTCGCTGGCACATAGTTGTCCATCAACCAGTTACCACGGGTGTTTGGATTCAATGTCAGTCCACAAATCACGTCTCTGACATTGCTCCACTCCGGAGGTAAGATCCCCCAAGACATGCTAGGCTCCAGATTTGAACTTTCGGGGATTATAATGCGTACCAGTATTCGTATTACATCGGAACGAATCATCCACAGTATAGGAGACGGACATTTCTCTTTACTTGCGAATGATTGAGATGTTACAAGTGGACAGATGATGGAATAAATTGCAGCGCTTTCGCGGAACGACAGCATTGCATAGTCTGTGAGATGTATCCGGAGCTCTCTCAATGCGAAAAAAACCATGCCAAAACAGTGATGCTGTATGAGGGACGGATCATCCCATCGAACTGCACGGAATGATTGTGTGGAAAGGGCGTAGTTGGTAATAGCCAAAAGTAGGCGAATACGCCGTGAAATCTCAGATTCATGGGGGTGGTCGTCGAAACTCCCTGGCTCGCTCAATCCATCAAATTTGGCAAGCACGTCCAACAAGTGGGTTTCGATGTCGTCATAAAGTCCGAACCGTAAAGCGTCTTGAAGGGACATTCTGCGAGTACCGTCATCCTGTGGTTGAGCAGGATTCCATGATAATTTCTGTCGTGTAAGTGTTTCCATGAACTTGTAACAGAATGGTTCAAATTCGGAATTGTGGAATGAATCTAGAGCGAGGGAGCGACGGGAAATCACATTTGAAAACAGAGATCTCCACAAGGATGGATGAAGAAGAATATTTTCAGTATCGGCCTGTCGGGTGAGGTAGAGAAAGACGTCGGCACCGGTTGGATGATTTCTGGGACGGAGCTCATCGTCTTGACATGCGATGGTGGCAGTCATTGTTGTTATTTCGAAGGATAACTGACTATCCGGAGTAAGCGTCAAGAGTAGGCGTGGGATAGTGGAAGGATGACTGCGTGGTACCTCCGCTGAAAAGCGGAGACGGCTACGAAGAAGGCGCTCTAATTGTGTTTCCATGCCATTTATTACAGCAGAATACCCTGGGTAGCTGTGAGGTTCTAAGCATTCTTGCAAAATCTCCCAGTTTCTCTCCTCGATTCCGGTACCTTCGAACGCAGTATGCAACACGTCAGGTTTAATGCTGGGCTGAAGCCCGCCAATGCATTGTATGATACATCTATGAATCACGGGATTGGAAGACATATCGTATAACCAACGAAGGGAGTGAACATCCAAGTCGTCGCATTGGTTTTTGATAGTCTGGAGCTCCCATTCTTGAATGGAGGGTGGACGCAGCTTATAGCGAGCCATAGATGTCCATCCGAGAATTTTCTTGTGGGCGACAAAGAAGAGATCCGTCAATGAAGTTTGATAAGGACATCCCGGGAAGAAAAGAGGCATCAGTAGGGCTGCAAGATACAGAGCGTATGAGCCTCCCGTGATCACCAAAAGAACATACGCGGTCGACTGTTCCAAATCCAGGAGGAAGACGACCAACCCTGCGAGGAAGATGGCAAGCGCAATGTGCAACAGGAATGGAAGGATTCCGATAATGATCGGGACGTGCCAATCTTGAAAACCGGTATAACGAAATTGCCGAATCCTGCACCGATCTCGTGGAGTCTCTGATGATGCTAACATATACTGTCGTATCCATTGCTTGGCGAGAACCGCGACGAGAGCTGTGACTAAACTCAAGGAAAGGCTCGTGAACCATAAGCCATTGACATAACGGTCAGAAGCGGACGGAATGAAGATAGTTGTGGGGTTCAATGGTGAAGCAGAGACGGAGTCGACCGCGACGCCGCTAGCGATGGCACGTTGGATATTAACCATTTCATAAAGCAAGAAGGCAGACATCTCTGAGTAATCGACCTGCAAGCTTTGGGATGTCTGCGCCACGAAGGTGGTCACTACCGCAGAAAATAAACCAGCCTACTTACCGAGTTCAGCCATTTGCATGATAGAAACATCGCGGAAATTGAACTCACAAACACCAAAAGGACGTCGACGTTGTCCCGAAGAACCTCAATTTTCCCCTTATCGTAGGCTTGGCATTCATCAGCGAATATCCGCCAGATCCTGGCTGTGGGATCACATTCCGATCCAGGAGAATCTTCTGGGTATTTTTGTTCGTAATCGTCCTGGACTAAACTCTCGTTGAGTTTTGCCATATGTCCTATCTGATAATGGAGAAGCATACCTGTCCTTACTCCAGACTTTATTTTCAAAAGCTCAACATGGTTTGGTGCTGCTGATGGAATAGCTTGGGGAGTATCAAGCGAAGGTGCGTGTCCATAAAGCATTGACCCAATAGGTGTATCCGAGACTTTCTGTTTCGATGTATCCTGGGGAAAACTGTGAGAAGGCTCCGGCGTGAGATAAGCATCGAATGTCGGCGAGACCGGCGCTCCAGAAATGTTTGAAGTATTCTGAGGCAGCCCGTGAAAATAGAATGGGCTGCCGTGGAGTATCTGACTCAGCTGAGGGGGAGGCGGCGACGGTAGGTTAGCGACAGATGGATTTCGGGCGCTCTGAAATGGGCCGGAGAAGGGAATAGAACCATGTGGAGGGACAGGAGATGTCCCCGAATCCGAATTTAATGCAGAGTCCGGAGGGTCAGTGGGAGAGTCCAAAGGACTTGATAGCCCCCAGGATGGCGGCATGCTAGCCCGTAAGGGTTCGCTCTCAGTAGCGCCATGTGCGTGATCAAGAGGATGAGACATGACAACGTAAGATGTCATTGTGTCATCTTGACTGCCAGCCTGCAGTAGGGAAGGCCGGCCACGAGCATTAGATAGCAATGCACCCACAGGACTGTGATACGCATGAGAAGTTAAGGTCATCCGCAGATAAGAGTATACATACGCGGACGAAGGTTGTTCCTCATCTTGTTGTCAACTGCCATGCTATTGGAGCCTGAATGCGACTCTGACTGCTCAGTCCAGAAAAAGAGAAAAGATGGGGCGATGAGAGAGGAAGAAAAGCGCCAACATCAGCTTTTTGAGCGCTCAGGGACAAGGAGCAAAACAGTTACAGGTATGCACCTCCGAATTCATATTAGCGCCAGCTACTGCCATCAGGGAAATATGCATTAGCTTTTTAAGGGTATATCATCGCCGAATTGAGCTCGTCACTTGATGCTTGAAGTTGGAATCTCTACCCGGAGTTGCCGTAGTGTTGGGATTTTGCCGGAAAGTTCTAGAAGGGGCAATCCGGCATCATGCTGAGAGTTGCTGAGTAAGCACGAGACTAGTAGAAAGTTGTAGTACATTCTAGATTACATTGCGAAGTAGTATAAATACAGGCTCTGTAGGAGCCTAGGAATAATAAGTTCATATCAACTGGCCTTACCAGCCAGGAGTCTACCCTGCGCAACACCGAGGATTCCAACACGTAGGGAGGTCAATAGGGTTAGTGTTCAAGTCGAACAATTTGCCCTAAAGTGCGACTTGCCCTAAGCTCTGCACGTGATTCTGTCGCGTCGCTGAATCAGTGTGCTAAATCAGTGTCACAGACAAAACATTGTCACAGAAAGCCTCCAGAAGCTCCCTCCAAATGTTGTCCGGCAAATCCTAGGAAGTTACCCCTCAAATATGCAACGTTCGCAAAATACGCTAAGTATCTCGGACAAATTTACCTAGCCCAAAAAAAACCGGTTCAGCTTTCAAATTTGTCTTTTTATCGTACTTCACGGAAGGATCTATGGACCCTTCAATGGTTGGTCACCCACGCCCACCGCCCAAAATATGCTAACAAAAGACAAAAGTTGTACTAGTTGGAACTTGGGGAACTAAAATATGCTACCTCTGGACAAAGTTTTTGAATTTCTAAGGCATAAGATAATCTAAAAGCAGGACAGAAATGGGCGGGAGCTTCTGGGGGCCTGCCAAAGGTGACCGGTCCAGTTTAGTCGCAGAGCTACTTCAAAGTTCAATCGATGTCGGATCCCAACGCGACCCTTGCGCGACCCAGGTCGTGACTTTCGTGACTTGGTTGGAAAGTGTTGATATTTATCAGTTGACAGTAAGCATGTACGGCGTGCCGAGCAGTGTATTAAAATATAACACAGGAAAGTATCTCCAGTTCTCGAAGCACGAAAAATAGTATACAAAGACAACCCGCTGACCGTTGGGTGGGAAATCGGCGCCGCGGCGATGATAAATCCGGTCGCATCAGACCTGCGTAGTACACTGCTAAGTTGAGGTTAGGGTCCATTGTCATCCCTCTTTGATCAACATATATTTACGAAGTACAAAACTAGCGATACAGTAATCAGGTTACAGACAGACGAACGGGAGCAGCGGGCGCTAATCGAATGAGCGAGGCAGGGATAATCATGTTCAAAGGGAACACAGTATTCCTTATCGGGCAGGACATTTTGGGGGGAAGTGAGGAGTTCGATGTGTCTAGGAGTTTCCGTTAGTATCAGCGTCTCCCGGAATATTAACTAGAAGAACGTACCGTGAGTGGGGCGCATCGACAAGTCAATAACATGTAGTAACGTTTGTCCCACATCCGGCTCGCACCTAGTAGAAACCCCGAATCAGAAAACTACTTCAAAGACAACAAGGGCATATCATATACCTCTACATCCTCATCGACTCCACCAGGGACGTCAGGTATAGGTGCCGCGGATGCAAACGCAATAGTCACTAAGAGAGAAACGAAAGATCAATGACCTTGAACCAACACAAACCGGAAAGACACTCACAAGCAAGGAGCGCAGCTATGAGGGATTTGCATTGCATGGTGATCGAAATAATGGTTCAGATAGCGAACCTTTGCAATAAGTACCACCTGCTTGAATAGCAGACCATAATCGGACAGATGTTTGTGGGGAGGAATAGGATGCGGGGAAACAAGCGTTCTGCCATTTTGGAAAGGTACGAGATCGATCATTGATGGTAACGATCCTGCAAGGGCAAATCGTAGGGTGCTGACAGCTTCGAGGGTTTAAGACATGTGTTGGCTTTCGGAATCTGTCGTCAAAGCAAGCATGAAGCTATCGATAATGACATTGTTGGTGCGACGTTTTCTACGAATCTTCGTTTCGGTGGAATGCACAGGCCAGTGGGAAAAGAGCATACATATCGGAAGCAAATGACGGCACAGGCCTACCATCGAAAACAAGCGAACGCCCAAAATAGGTTTAGCTGTTCTATTTTGATATGCGAATGGTGGAGCAATCACTCGTTTCTTTGAGATAGAAGACCGTTGAGGATAACGACGAACCCAAGAAGAAAGATACCCTAACGAAAGGGATACCCAGCGGAAAGGTAGCCATCAAATGAATACTCGATAGGCAAAATATTTGAGATTGTAGCACTCAATTTCTGAAAGTACTTTCGGAGCTTACAGTACGAAACGGAAAGAGTAATAAGGATGTCAGTCGTTCCCATGCGTTTCATCGCAACACGATGTCAGCCAGATATACGGCGCTGAGTGTGGACCTAAAGATCGTTTACAACAAAAAAGATTGATTAAGAAGGGATGGCATTAGCTGGATTCAAACCAACAAAGGCATAACCAAACCAAAGGCCTCGTCGATTACACCGTTACACAACGGAGACCACAATTCAGCTTCAAATGGACAAGCCTTTTGTCACGGAAAATGCTATGCTGGCGTTGCAATTCAGAATAAATACCGTAAGATCCTGGCTAACTTGAACGTCGGAAACGTTCCCATTCACCCTCAGCCCGAGGAGGACATGTGGGTACAGGAAGTAGGCAAGCCGGACACCGTCAATTCTAAGGGTATATCATCAGAGACCGATGCATTTCAAAGGATATGAGAAGACGGACCTTATCGCGAGCACGCCAGTCCTATGGCTTACGTAAGCGAGCATTTAGCTATAGGGTAAGCATCGAATAGATAGAGGTGACTCCGAAAAAAAGCCAGAGTGGATTTGCGTCACTTCATGTTAAGGAACGCGCCGGCGACAGGCTTGGATGAATGATAATACCACTGACGTAGAGAGAATCAAGGAGCCGTACGATTATCGATTATCACTGAAACAGAAGGGCGTGCATTTCGGGCGATGCGAAACCGATGGCGCAATGGGAACTGATAGATCTGCACATACGGAATTGACAGGATGTCAAGGCAAAGAAAAGACACGCGTACCTGCACTACCAACCGGAACCCTTCATGGAAAGATATAGTTCTAGACGAACACCGTGAGTCAGCGCATACCCTACGTAGACGGTCGTCGTCGCTCGGCCACAAAGGTGTGTATAGCAGTACAGAAATGGGCAAAGGTCGACCTAGAAGCTAGAGTGAGTAGTACACCCACGTCAAAGAAAAACGCACGCACCTCCGCTGCCTGACCATCCTGTGACCGATTTGACCGATCTCCCAAGAGTCCTGGCTCGGAGAGAAAATACTGGTAGTATTTGCTTGGAATGGTTACAACTCCGAGTCTTGTTGTTAATGAAATCCTTGATCTTGGAGCGAGCGTAGAACAGAGATTGGGAGAAGATATTGATGATGGTGCCCTACTTGAGAAGACGGACGAGCACACTCCGGTAGGTCATGTAGGCGCCGGGCGGAAGTATCAAAGAGGAAGCTCTAGCATTTCTTTGGTAACGTAGTGTGGTCGCGAACCTCTGCAAGCACCGATTCCAACCGGACAATGCTGATGTCATGGCCTGTAGCGAACGTTGAGATGCATCCGCCCCAGGGTCCATGCGAGATAAGTGACGAAATGCACGTGATCGAATCGCGGTCAAAATGTCTTATTTAAATAATTAATAAATCCCTTCTTGATTCTTCTTTCTTGGGCGCACGGTATCATACTCAAGAACGACAAAAGCGAGCAAAACAGTCACTCATTTGAAAGGAGGATTCAATACTGGACCAGGCGCAGAATTTCAGGTCCGAATTCTGCTTGCCTATGGCCAGATACTCCAACTCCGGAGTAAATGTCAGGCACGTCGCTCGCAGAATCACAGGGATGACCTGTCAGCAATCAGCTTGAGCGCTCGAGTTCCCACCTCGTTGGCCGCGCTATTCCGAGATTTTCTTTGGAGGATGTACTTGGCCGCTGGCATGGAGTCTCTCTTGTGCGATTCGAATTAAAAGAATTAACTCTGGCAGCTCAATTCTAGCGTTAATTCAAGTGGAGCTCAAGCATTGAACTAGACTTGTAAGTACCCTGTTACGACCGTTATTATTCATAAATTTATGGGTCTTGTGAACTGCAGACGTCAATTGATACGTCAAGGATTATTTAACAAATCGAACGATTTCTTCTTGGCTGGAGTTCATCCTGATTTTCTGCCGCTACCTTGCACCACGGATTGATGAGAAATTTTAACGAAGCGCTTCTGTCGTGATGCGTGGAGTGACAACGAATGCGGAACTGGAGACTTGTCACTTTGGATTATATTCGCTCGCAAAAACTTATATTCCTTTAGTCTGGCTTTGCTAGGACTCCGAGTTTCTCGAATATCCTGTGACTATGCTTCGAGTTGGAGAATCGCCGGATTCTATGGCATGTGTCAGACGCAATTTCTAGGCGTCCTCTCCTTGCGTTCATCTCAGAGTCCGATTCGGTACTACACATGAAGTTCCAGATATTCCTAGCCCGTCTGGTTAGAAGAAGCTAACAGCAAAAAAATTTCTAGCGAACCACAAAGCGTTTCAAACACCAACCCACCGACATCGTGACCTTCCGCTCCAAAACCTTCAGCGGCCCTTCATAATCTTTCCCGCGATGAAAATGGGGAATTAGCAACTAAACCACTCCACAGCCAGACTTCCAAACGATATTTAACCCTCCCGGATTTCTTTCTGCCTCTCCATCATCTCTTCTATACACACCATGAAGCTGACTAGCGCTTTCACCAAATTGTCCATAATCGCTGCCTTTGCCACCGCCGCTAAAGGCGATATCACCTGCGGTACCGCGGGGGATGCGACGTGCGTACCCACCATCTTCCGTGCGAGTTACTGCTAATAAGAGACCCTCCCCTTCCCACAGACTTTCCTCCTGCCGCGACCTCCTCGCTAACGGCTGGTCTGGCCTCGACTATAGCCGCACCTGCCACTATGGCCTCTATGAACTCGCGTACAACCCCATCTGCTCATCCAACAACTGTGATTCCTCTAACTGTTCTTGATCTCGATTTTGACTGATCCCGTGTAGGTTGCATCTACGTAACCGTCGACAACCTCTCGGATGACGAAGTCCACGATAGGGCGAACGATATCCTCAACGCTTGTGGTGCCCCGAATGTCGACAAAGTCAATGGGAGGAACAGTTTTGATACTTCTACGGCTGTTTGCGTCTCTGATGGGTCCGGGTGCGGTGATTGCTTGTACGTGCCTACGTGGTATGCTAGCATTCTGAGGTCTAACACTGTTCATTACAGCGGGGATTAGCTTCTCCAACGAATGACGAGCATTGAATTCTTTCAATAAATTCCTTAATTGCTCTAGTTCTTTGTTCGCAACTATGTATGATTTAGTATCGTTCAATATTGATATTTGAATGCCGTTTGGATGTCTGCGTTTCGAGAAATGTGATATTATCAAGCACGGTTACTAAATTGGATTTGTCCAACAGTCGGCCAATGATAGATCATGATTCACCGTGCAACACTGCCCTAATAAGACTTTCGCCTCTCACAAAGGTTCAAAAATAAAAACTAAATCCTGCGATCCTTATTCAAGGTAGGATTCCAATTCGAACGAGGTGACGAACCAGAGATGAGAGCTTTACCGCTCATCCTGTAACTCCTTGACCAGTAGACTGAGAATTACAGGCTCGAACTAATAAGAGATAAGACGTGCAGTTGCCCGTTCGCTATTCTGCGGAAGTGTCTATCCGTTACATGCCTTCCTGCTAACGTGCAGCAGAAGGAAACCGACGCGAATTGATCCCGGCCGAGATAAACGAGCGTCCGGTACGATGCCTCTTCCCTGGCAGAGCGGACGTTTTACTCCCTTTACCATAAAAGACATCATTCGTAGCGACGATATCAAATCTCTTGTTCTCTAGAATCGGCGGGCTCGCTAACAGCTACAGGACATGAGCGTAAACAAGTTGAACGTGAACTGGGAGCTTACATTGATTTCTGCCTCGATTCTCTGTAATGTTTTATACACAGTAGTAGATGATGCCAGTGAGTGAAGGACTGTGGCAGCCTCCGTAACGCATCCAAACCAACGATTGCCATCGTATCTCATCACAAGATTATCCTGAAATCGATGTAATGGACAGAAAATCGGAAGAATATAGATCCTACCTGATGAACAGATTGGGGCCTCCGAGGCGACTGAGAGCTGCGAGCGCCTTTAACCCGCAGCTGTGCATTACGGGTTTCCCCTGTAAAGGTATTCTGCAGGAGTTCCTCGCTGAAAGGTATTTGACGGAAAATGTAAGAGGCGCCTTTCGCAAATTCGAGGACCTGATCACCATTGACTAAAATGTATGAAGAAGACGAATCGAAACACCCACCAGTTCTGAGGTGTTGAACATTGGAAACCGATCAATATAGTTGTGAACTTCGGTGTCGACAGTGGGAGCGATAGGCACAAACAGGCAAGAGAAAATCCAAGCATATTCAAGGGATGGAAACAAGGCGCTGGTTTTAAATTCCTTTAAATGGCGTCAGAAACTATGCAAGGATTCGAGTAAATGATAACACCACCTGGGGATTAAATGTAGGCTTTCGTAAACGCACTTTAAAATAGCGCGCCCTTTTCGTTCTTCTCCTCGTAGATCGAAAATAAGACGGGGATTCCCTACTAACAGCTGTTAGTAACCGAGGAATAGATAATCCGGATCTGATGACATCCGCTACCAGCATTGGTAGCATCCAGATACTGTCATGCGTGACAATAACATCGCTTTCGGGAACCTTTGTAGCATATAAGCGACCTGTAAAGAAGTATAAGAAAGAATCAAACCTTAGAAAGGATGTATTCGTTGAATTTGACCGATGGATTGAGTAACTGTTCCATCAGAGTCAGTAGGCATGCATTATGTATCGGCAAGGTCGCTCGCACCTCAGTGGATCTTTCAGGGAAGTATTGTAAAACGACATAGTCTAGTTCATCGTCGCTCGATTGTCTCGCTAGTGGAATATTCATCTTTCAAGATAGGTACCATAATTAATGACTCATAATTTAGTATTGGATGAGATCGTCAAACTCACAAAGACAGATTGCCGCCAACATGGTTCACCAACACTTCTCTGCAGCCAAAATGAGCAACGAAGGTAAAGGATATAGTGGAATAAAATATCTACCATGTGGGCATCAATGATACTCATCAGTAATCGCTTCTGAAGATAATTGAATCCGAATTATTAGCAAACACGGTTGATGGAATCATTCTCACTAGTTCGTTTCCTACAATAGACCCGCGAATCGTATCCCCGTTAGCTGCCCATACCGGCACCGATACTGGCGGCGAATCATGTCTGTGATCGGAGTAGGGTGCCTTGGACCCAGCAACAGGTAGGCTTCCAGACATATCCGACGTCCCTACAAGCTGCACATCGCGCCGCCCAAATCCTGGTAAGATCTTGGCTATCCTACTCTTCTCTCTCACAGAGATGGTGAATCCACGAATGAATATGCCTTGATTCTCCCTGACGGGAAGAGGTGCATTCATGTCGATATCTTGATCGGGGTAAATCCGAGTGTCGGCCCATTCCTGGGTACTCCAAGACGACCGCAATGCTACCCGACCTTCTGCAAGACCTCCCACAAGGAACTTTATGGAAAATTGGCGAGTATCTGAAGGCCGGGACATCGCGGCAGATCCCCATGCTGTTGCCTTGTCGCATCCGGTGACAAAGTAAAGAGAACCGTTTGGCGCCTCCCGACCAAGATAGTCCGGGCTATTGACGTATTCATACCACTCGTGTGCATGTGCAAGGGCGTAGTTCCTCATCAACGATAAATTTTTACCATCAAATCGTGTACCGCCTTGTGGGAGCATCAGGACTGCTGCTTGATCCTTGGACGTCGTGAATTCGAATCCGACCCCCCCACCTGCGACTGAACTAAAGCTAAGATAAGTTTTCCATCTGGATAACGAGGCTTATGGACGCACGGTACTTCGGCTGACGCTTCCAGAACCACTGAGGTGACAGAGACATGAGAACTTCTCACAGATGAGCCTCTTGGATGTTGACAATATATAGTGCGGACAGGATTACGAGACTCCATGCGTAGGGGAGCAAAATTGGGAGGGACGCCGCCTTCATGAACAGGATCGTCGGCTTCGAGGAAGGCGTTGAAAATAAAGTCGAATCCTCCATCATCTCTGATAATCCCAACGTCACCAACGCAGATACCTCTCTCGACGTATGCTGAGCAGAGACTATAATCTGGCTCTGGGATCCGTAGGGGGTAACCGTGACCTCGAGAGAGAAGCAGCTTTGTATAAAGGACATGGGCGTGTTGTTCAGGCATTGTATATAGTGAGAAAGGGCGGGCTGATATCCGCATGGATTCAATAGGATTTCTATATAAAGGACGTAAAGCGGAAGCGGGTACAGTATCACTCACTCAAATGATTCCCAGGAGAAGCGCCTACATTTGATTGTATCGCCTGCGCATAGCCATCATGACGGAAACATTCAAGGCATCTCAGTAGGTCCGCATAGGAAAACGTCTGTGATATTCATCAAGTATGTAAACGCTAATACAAACCCTGCCCTCGAGCAAACCTCAAGTACATCAGAAGGAAACGGGCGTCGGATTTAAGGCGCTAAGTGTACCGATCCGTCGATGGCTAGATGAATTCGAGCCAGACGGCACCGGAATTTTCAACACCAAGAAAAGATATAGGCAAAACAAACGCCCAGGAACAAGCTAGCTCCCTATTAACTACTCGTTGGGGGGGTCGATCTGGAGGTCCACAGTTAGTGACACTATATCCAGGGAACAAGCACGCACCTTCAAACTTCAGTGCTTCAGCGTTCGAGGCCGGAATTCAAACATGCTTGAAGGGATCGTCAGGTGCACTTCGCAGAGAACGCGTTCATTAGACGTTTGCAGTCTGAAAATATAATTAGCGACACCTCTACTCATCGACAGCACAAGTACACACCTCAATCGTTTAACTCCGAGCGTGCATCCAAGACACAAAATTAGTTCCCATCCATCGTCTCATCAGCTCTCACTGGCATGTTCGGTGTGGCATGCTTTGACGAATGAGAGAATGGGGAGACGCGTGTTCTTGTTGATGAGCTGCACGCGCAAGCTATATACCATTAGAAGATACACGGAAAGGTTTTACAGCAAGCGCACTTGCCAAGTTCATCTCCGTTCCACATTGTAACAGAAATGAGGTCTGAGAGGCCTGAGAGAACAAGCTTGGCCATGGTGATCGTGAATCCTCAGCCGATTAGTTTACCTACGGCACAAAATTAGCAAGGCCAAATGAACTGACGCCTTTACCGCCAGTCATGAGTTGTGAATCAGTACTGACAAGGGATCTTCCAGGTTCAACTCGCTTGGCACAAACGGAGGGTCGGTAAGGGCTGACCTGGACAAATGGCGTTAGCGACACCCAGATCGAAAGGACAATGCACGCACAACCATCAACCACTTGTACTCTGTCTAACTTGTAGACACAAGAGATCCTGGAAGTATTCATTTCAAAAGGCCACGACTTGAAGATTTTCTGCTAATCGAATCCTTCGTGAGCTACCGAGTGGAGGTAATATCACCCTACTTGAGAAGATGACCGAAGATGGCAAAGCTTCAAGTATCCTCCGCTCGGTCGTGTATTTTCTCTGGTGATGTGAAGCCATTATCGTGGATTTTGCAGGTGTCGTCCAATCAATGCTTGTAGCCGCTAGTAAGCACTGGAGGGTGCCAATTCGAGGTCACCGGAGAGGACGGAAAGGAACACGAGGTGCACGTGATTCTGACGCGATCAAAAATTCACAATCTCTGATTCCCTGGTTGTATCTCTGCTTCTTAGCAAGTACCTCTCCTTGCCGTCGTTTCAAACAAGGCATATTTACACAAATATTCTTCCGTTTGTGGTGCTAGTACTACCCTAGCGGAACCGATACCTGTAAGTCTTGAACAATTTACGTCACTAAGGAAACCACGCTAGTTTCCTTTCCCCTAGGACGAAGCGACGTTTTGAATATCTGTTCTCCGTTTGCTCATCCTGATCGGAGCTGGCCCAGAAGCAGTATCAATTGACGATGGAGGTGCATGCATTATTCTTTCGACGTGGGCGTAACTGAGGCTAGCACTCTAGTTTCGACCCTTAACCTTTTCTGCGACCAGTAAACCTACCATACCTTTGCGTCGAGTAGGGAATATCAGTGTAATGTTCCACGACTCGCATCCGAAGGTACAGGCCTCATTTCTCTTTCCTTGACGTCAGGTCAATTTCGTATTCATAGATCTACCGCTGTTATCCTCATGCATAAGTTGGACCCGTTGTTTTGTGTCCCTCGTAATTCACCTGTGCCGTAACGATGGATCGCTAAGGCGTGTTTATAGTGCTGAAACATGGGAAAGGATTTATTTTGGGAATGCCTCGTTTGTCCGCCACTTTCCCGCTTGTCAGTGATCTTCTTGCCAACTGATCCAAGAAATGCGCAGATTTCTGGTGGCGTTTGATTCGAGTCACTGCTGGGCACTGATGCCTGATTCTTATCTTCTATTCCTTGTTACAGCTATTCTCCACGTCGATATCCGAGCAATGCACGTTTTTCTGCCGGGGTAATCTTACAAAATGTATTACAGCTTGCGAAACAATTGTTTCACTTGCGTTTCTCAGGTTTGCGTCTTCCTCCCACGTCCTCATGCAATCCCATCACTGCATAGATCTTCTATTGAACGATATGGATGACTTCTACGTCCCTGGCTGGAGTCGATCCCAATATTCTCTGCGTCCTCAAGCCTGCTTGCAGGATTGATTCCTGCGCGATCGACGATGCCGAGACTGACATGCTCCGAGACAGAGAAGGCGCTCGTCCGAGCGTAGACATCATTGATGTCGGAAATATTCACGAGCGCAATCGTGTACCCATCCCTGTAAGAAAGCTGTTAGTATAGGAAGCCAAGCCAACAAACGGCCGAAAGAGCTCAACACACTGCACTGGTTGATGATCTCGACAGGGAACACCCACGAGTAGCTAGGACTTGCAAAGATGAAGGCAACGTGAACTCATGATACATGAAGATGAGTTCCTTTGTATATATATATAGTTTATCTTTCAGCGTCTATTTTTAGGCAGTGCAGGTGACACATTGCTGCGTTCTGACCCTGGGCGCTGCTCGGCATTTTTTACTTCTTACCAGACGGTAGGGCGAAAGCTGCTTGGTGTGACGATGGATTGGCAGCGATTCATGCTGACTATGGAACTGGGTATGTGTACTTGCCTTGGTTTGATGCTACACATCTTCATTCTGCTACCACTAGAGGAAGAATCTCCTGATAATTACAAGGAAGAGTGGAACCATTACGAAGACGAGACTTTCTTTATGATGGATAAGGTAAGAACAGTGCTATAGAGAGGCCAGAAATAACTCATTACACGCAAATGTACAAGTATAACCCTCCTCAGGTCACTCTCTCCGCCCTCACTGAGACTGGTCGAGACGAATCAACAATCCCTGTGTTGAAACAGCGGTCATATACTGGTACAAATGTCATACCATCTACTCTGGCCGACACTCCTTGTGCCGATCTTGGTGTTCGTGGAGTTTTCGAGAAGCTTAACACGACACTCGGCACTTCATACACTCCATCCCCCCTGTTGTTCTCACTTCTTGAATCCTACATCAAACAAGGATACGATTTTGGCACGGTCTATGCTCATTTGCGTTTCTACTGGTTTAACCCGGCCATTATCGAAGAATCGTTGCACAGAGATGAAGAAGAGGACAAGAAAATGCGGAGAAAAGCAATCGTCGGTGACAGGATCACCAAGCGGGACATGCCCCCTCGGCGCATCTGGGATCTATATGCCAATCGGGTGGTCCCATTCTGGATTGCAGTCTCATACTGGCATGCGATATCGCATGCATGGGTGTCTGAGGAGGAGCGCATGAATCTGATGACACCCATCAATGGCTACGAGTGGCCCGTGCCCATGCCGAAAGATGCCGACCTTAATCTCATTCGCATCGAGATGTTGAACTTCGGAGCAGAGTATGTGTGGTTGGACGTTCTGTGTTTGCGGCAGGAGTATGTGATTAGGGAGGATCGCTATGAGGAGGATCAGCGCAAGGAAGATCAGCGCAAGGAAGAGTGGAAGTTGGACGTCCCCATGATCGGAGCAGTGTATGATGGCAGCCTTAGGAAGACAGTTAGTTTTCCTAGAAAGTCGCATACAGTGGTCTACTTAAGCGGACTGGGTCGGCCGTTGAATTTCAAGCTGGGTGATCTCGAGAGTAACCTGTGTTGGTTCAATCGGGCGTGGACGCTACAAGAGATCCCAGATGACTCTGGGCCACTCGCTGTTGGTGGGGATACCGGTGATGCGGAAGAGGAAATGCGAATGAAGGCCTATAATGCACTGGAATTTTTGCGCGACATGCGAATATGGGTGGAACCATTTGAGATCCTGTCAGAGATGCGGAGACGGGTGTCAACAAAGCCTTTGGATAAAATTGCAGGCTTGATATACCTTCTTGATGCAGAGTCTATCCCAATATATAATGGGGCTCAGTCGGAAGAAGATGCCTGGGCAGCCCTCGTGGATACCACATCGCTTTCGCTACGGACAGAGTTGTTCCTCTGCTTCCCTGGACCTGGGAATAAAAAGAAATATTGGCATCCATCATGGGAGCAGGTAATGGCACACACACTTCCGTGGGGTAATGGGAGACATGGACGCAATATCGGGTGTGTTTTTCGGATAGAGGAGATAGATTCCGACTGGTACGAGGGACCACGTGTTGACTCAGTCTATATCAACGGATTGGCTGAAACATCGAACAAAACTCGACAGGGAAAGTTGTTCATCAAGGATAGAATGGGAAAATTCTGTCCATGCACAATCGTTGCTGACCACGCCTACCCGATACGCGATGACTGGTATACACTCATAGCCCAATGTGAAAGTTATTCCCTTGGATCAAGTCGTGACTGGGTAGTTGGGCGGCTAAGACACGACGGGAAGTTTGAGAAAGTGTCCGTAATCAGGTTGGCACTGAACGATGAAGAAACGCGGGATCATTGGAGGTTCAGAACTGAAACATGGGTCAAAACAGTTCTTTGTTGATTTACTTTGGTTTACAGTGTGCTCCACGCGAATCCACTTAATTTCGGCGAGATAGGACAGTGAACAGCGGAAGACCGTTTAGTAACTACAGGACCAATAGCTTGGGGTTTCTTTCTTATCTTTCTTCCTCATTCTTATTGGTATTGGCGGTCCGACTCAGGATCGCAAGATTCCTCGGAGGGAGGTGAATGGGTCGACCTGGACAGTGGCCAGACTGGACAGCTAACGTTAGCGACGCCGCAACACTGAGAGGAAACTGATCACACCTCCATGATCCATCCATGCTGTCCATCTTGAGCATCCCCCCTGGAAGCACCTGAGTTAATAGGAGCAAAGCAGTGGTTAATTGAATCCTAAATACTTCGCGAGGCTGATGCGAACGTCAGAGCGGCCTGTAACCTGGAGGAGGAACAGAAAAACAGAGATCAGTAATTGCACCGAGTACTCAAAGCGCAGAATCCAAATTCCCTGTAGCCGACTTGAATCGTCAATCGGAGCTTTGAATACTTGTGATGCACTCTAACAATAAGCCAAGAGGGACTGCTGGTATTCTAGAATTAAGCAACGGGATCCAGCACAGCCCCAAGGAAAGCGAAAAATGAAAAAGGTGAACACGGCATTGCCTACCCATGGCACGAGCTAGAATCGAACAAGCTCTTTGCGCAGTCCCAAATCCTGATGCGCCATCATGCCGTGAAGTGACATACATAATGCGGCAAAATGGTTGAGCAGAGTATGAGGTAATTGAAATACGAAAAGGTAGTATTCGATGGGGATGAGAGAGGTATAATATAAGCGAGGTCGATGCGCCCGAGAGAGAGTCAGAGATTAGGAGAGCGACGACTCGAGTCAAGGCATGCAAGTATCACGGCATTAAATGAGGACGACAAGGCGGAAGACGAAGTGAATGACGCGTGAGCGAGGATGACCTAGAGGTAGTCCTGGACACGGTGAGATTGTGAATGTTAAGCGATTATGGGAGCAACATGAAGTAGTAGGCCTGCAGGAATGGAATCGACAAGACCATAGGTGGCCTTCCATCGGGAGCCAGTTCAAGCACAGCACAGGGAATCAGTGCACGTCTCTTGAAAGATCCTCCGCCGTCCGATTCGATTGCTGAGCACAAAAATACGGTTATGACTCGTCGTGAGCACAAGGGCAAAGGAGCACAAGTCACATCGACCTAGAAAGCTAAAATTCAGCAACACCCTGGTGCTGAAAGAGCAATAAACCCACACCGTGACCTATCCATACCGTATCAGACTTGAATGTTCCTCCTGAATGATATTCGTCCTGCTCAGAACATGTAATCCTTTACGAGGCTGAAAAACCGAGTGAACATAGAAAAACAGAGGTCAGGTAACGACCGAATCCACGAAGGCAGGTTTGAACCTGAGAAACCATAGGTCTATTACCACGTATTTCATTGCCGAACAAATCTGTGAATACCCTAAGAGAAGACAACCACACCCATTGCATGACATTAGCTGGGATCGAACCAGAAATAGTTCCTTTTCCGTAACTTGCCCGCCCGTTAGACCATAATGTCGCCTCACAGTTTGCATTGGAGATACCGGCCAACCTATATTTACGGACGGCACACGGTGGATAAGCATGTCAAATCTAAGGGAAAGTCATTAGGAGGTCGCCGCGGTACCAAGCAGATGGATCCTACTAGATGCATATGCCAATATACCACGTCCCTTTGCGTATCATGTCTGGCCTTTCAGACGTGCAGACGGACGAATATCTGTAGGAAATGATATTAGCGGTGAAAAAGTAACATGCATGAAGCAAGAGAATTTACACGTACGAAAACGCTGACGGTGACTAACATCTGCTCGGAGAAAAGCGGCTTCGATAGACTTGGATTAAATGGAGCCTGAGAGCATAGTAGGATATAAACTAGTCGAGTCCGACTTTAGGACTGTGCGCATGCAGTCTCTGGTGGCAGGGCAGGTATCACACTGTATGGATATTCTAAGTCTGAAGACACGAAATCAACTAGACATAGAGGCAAAGGAAACGAATCCCGTACCTCCACCACTATCCGTTAGCTACGATTCTGGCACAGCACCAAGACCCGATGAGAATTTCTTCAGGGGTTCCTCCAGATTTGATTCGTTTGGATGTGATAACCATAATCCAGGAACAGAGGCAAAGACTTCGACCTGGTTAGTGACACCTCAACGTAAAAAGCACAATGCACGCACCTCTATCATCTACCCATACTGCGAGCGTCCCTCACCAACAATCCTAGCAGCGTTCGCTTCATTCGGAGTCGTTGGATATACCATGAGACTGATACAGTTCAAGTGTCGAAGTGACCTGTAAACTCAAGCTAGCACAAAATGAGGATCGTCTTGTTTACGAATCGCCGGGTAGAGGCTTCCCACGGCTCACGAAACGACCATGTGACCTAAACACGGTCAGCAACCTCCCAAATTTTTACCCTCGATTTAGATTTCGCTCGTCGTCTTCGTCCACCATATAATCCTTGGAGCAATAAACATACGTATCAAAACACTGAATTATGCTCCATTAGTGGAAGACCCCGACTCGAGTGAGGACAAGGCGGGAATCCCATTCCTCTCAAGGGCAAATTTTTAGACAAGTGTAGTGATGCGAATACCTTTCTTGGCCCTGGGCATGCCCCCGGTTACTCTCCTTTTGTCAGGAGCAAAATCCATAGCAAGTCGAAAGCCAAAACCAGAAAAAAGAAATGCATCTCCTGTACAGCAGGACCTCGTATCGAACGAGGAGCCACCTGCTTGAGTGGGGACTCGAACTAGTGGTGTGCGCTATTACAGGCTAGTCCAAAAGTCCTCATTCTATAATTCGATTGATTATTCAGGTTCTTAGCGAAGGCAGAAATACATCCCAGTGAAAGACCGCATACACAACTACTAGTCGCAATCATCTTGGGATGCTAACAAGAGCGGAAAAATACCATCATTTTCCCCTTCTTCTCCCTCCGAACAGTGAAACCATTCTTACGACATCACTCAAAAAAGTGGCCTCACAAGAACTGACTCCTGAATAGCAGCACCTGGAATCGAACGAAGATGCTGCTTGGGCGATGAACCGATCCGACCATCGCTCGTCATGATGAGAAACTCGAAGAACTCCGCGTTGGAACAAATCTCGACAACAAGAATACTCTGTATATTATGCGGCTGCAGCATATCGAACAGGTTGGTGTCTGTACAGACTGTACTGGACCAAATAATGACTCCGAGGGAATATCCCAGATTTGACGCTCGAGGCTATGACAAGTCAGTTCTATTATTACATCCTCAAAAGATACGAAACCCACCTCGAGCTTTGTGTGTCCCGTAGGTTGAGGATTAGCTCCACCAGCGCCATCATCATATGGTACAGCGAACACAGCACCAGTCATTATATTAAAAATCCTATCCAGGAAGAGAAGTCGAAGCATAACGCAGAAACTCACGAGTGAGGATTACCATGAGGAATTTGAGCTGCATCACCATGTGGCGGAGAGCTAGGACACGGGCTAGTAAGTACCCGGAGATCAGTCAAAAGAACGCTATCTTCGTCAAAGACGAAAGAAAAAGTAAACACCTTGAACGACCTGCAAAGACCTGCTTGTACCTCGTATCAAAAGAGAACGTGGGTGATTCAGGGTATCCAACACTCAATGGCAAACGTGTAGACCTGCATATAGGCACCGATATCTCCTACAGCAGGAGCCACCTTCAAAGTGGACGAGCGAGGCTAAAACCACTCCCTCATGACATCCTCCACAAATGAGAACGACAATGCACAAGGAAGGTATCGAGCCATGGCCAGCTAGGAAATGGGGTAGAGCGGGAAGATGTTATACGTGTTACACTGGATGAGAATGCGGATGGTGCTCGTCTGAAGGGGATGTTCCAATCTGAGGCACGCGGGCTGGAAAACCAAATTTAGACAAAGCCAACGTTGAAAGGACGTATACGCACCACCGTTCCTCCACTGAGTCGCAGAATCCATAGTGTCATGTCGCTGTTGCGACCTGGAAGCCAGATCGAGCTTCGGGATCGTTTGAGAGATGCTGGTCCCAGGGGAGTAGGGAGAGGATGTATTCCGATTCGAGGCACGGCATTTGAAGACGAAACACAGAGAAGATGTGCCGGTCTGCCTGAAAAACCAAATATAGCAAAACCCAAACATTGAAAGAACGCGTACATACCTCCCTCCGACCCTGGGCCTGCGCGCCCATATCCCTCTGCACGCATTTCATGCGGTCAGTGTTTCGCGAGCCATCACATATGGCTTCAGAATTGTGATGAGTTTCAAGCGGATGACAACCTATCAAGTTGTTTTGAGGATGGGGCCAAGTTCGCTGGTCACGGAGTGGGAGGAGGAAGCGAGGAGGAGAAGCTTGTATTTTCCCACGGCAATTTATGATCAACTATTCCTTCCTTCCCCTTCCTCCTTCCCTTCCTCAGCGAACGAGACCAGGAATTCAGAATCATGCACCTCTAGCTTGTAAAAATGAGGATGGATGGATGTAATGTCTAAACGAAGCCCGAATAAAACATCGGAGGGACATGCACTGCAGACCAAAAGGCAGGCTCTCTTCCACTTCCATCTAGAGGAGTTGAGCCCCAGCGACGTGCTCCAGTAACTGAGCCAAGAGGCATATATGTCCGGATGCAAGCAATGAAGCAAAAACTTGCATTTGTTCAGCCAATCGAGCAAGTTCTTTGAGTGGTCGATGCACGATATTAGGAAGGTACCGCTGAATATGATGCAATCAAACAGAGAAACATAGAAATATGTAACTGCCCATACCCGGGCATGGTGAAACGTGAAAGAAGAGTATTTCTCCATGAGGCGGCCGGAGTCAAGTCACTTGGATCATATCCAGGCCAAAAGTTGTATAACTTTTCACTGATTCCCTCTAGTCGACTTGAACGACTGATCTCAGCATGGAGCGCTCTACCAACGGAGCTAAGAGGGATTGATGAGGCACTGGAATCCAAGCAACAAGTTCCAGTATGGCAATCAGGACGAATAGGAAAACCGCATTTCATAACTCGCCATCATGGCACGAGCTAGGATCGAACAAGGCCTTTGAGCCGTGCGATCCCGATGTACCATCGTGCCATGGAGTAAGAAGAGCATATATACATCATGCAACGACACAGCAGGCGAGCAAGGTGGTAGGTATAAGTATAAACTGACAGCAGCGAAGTATGGTTGATAGAGACAAAACGCTCGCGGACCACCGAAGCAACGGTAGTCGCCAAAAATCTGTGAGGTGGCTGATGCGCAGAGGAGTGAGTACCAGTCATTCAACGCTCCGAGAAGTCAAGCTGGACCTGTAGATGTGGAATGAGAATGACAACAAGCGAAAGAAAAGGTGCTCGCACGAAAGCCAATCCTCCTCCATCATCCGCGACTAGAACTCTTTCTTTGTCTCAGCCGAGAGGATTCTGGTTTGTATGAGCAGATGGTGGTAGATGCGAAGGAGATACCGAGCTTGCACGGGAGGTGGACCCGGTGAGGCGTGGATGCAGATGGGTGGAAGGGATAGATAGCAATACCACTCAACACAGACGTCTTTATCGCAGACCGAGAAGACTATATATGCGTCAGACTGGAAGTTAGAACAACGTCAAGGCAAAAGAAAAGACGCGCACCTCAATCCTGTCTTGTCCCATCCATATACCAGTTTAGCGTGCGCCGAGGTCCAGGAACATCGTCGTTAGCAGGTGAGCAGGGCTCGAGGGAGCGGTAGATCTGTAGACACAAACTTAGAACAACGCCAAGCGGACGGGGAGGAAACGATGTTGGTATGCGTACGTAGGTGAAATCTTTTGAAAAATCTGTGTTAGTATAGGATCCTTATTTTGCCTTTGGATACAATGTTATAGAGTAGGGTTTATTTTATAGTAAAAAGGAAGGACAACTAGCCAAAGAATGACAAAAGTATTGTGCGAGTTGCAAGAAATTAGATCAGTAAGAAGCATTGACGATAATGACGTTTTGACGATGAAGATAATATAATAGTAGTAGCCGAAGGTCACTACGAAAGATACTGTTAGTCTCATCGACAATCTTTCTACAACAAAGCATTATTCACCATGAAATACATGCGCTTTGCCTGAGCATTATGTACCTCCTGATACTGTCCTCTGTGCTGGGCAAGTGTCTCTTCTCTGGTTTGCGACCCTCCTGACACGATCGACGACGAAGTGCCCTGGGGGTCGTAGTGTGTCTTTGCCCTACTACAAACAATATGGGCATCTAAAATTTCAAAATTCATAACTAAAGTGGACTACAGTGAACAGAAAAGACGCACAGTAGACTGGCGTGGGAATGGACACTGAACGCGTCGACCTGGCGTAGGTAAAACAGAGAGTATAAGCCAGAGCTTGTATCGCATCTGGGCTGTAGAGAGCGTGAGTTCTCTAAGTATGGATATAAGAAGCGCAATACATACTCGAACCCAGATTCCTAATGGCGCAAAAGACGATCAGTATCAACGCAGATCAGAACGAGCGAGCGACTCACATCATGCACAACCTAGATATGACGATACACTTAGCCAAATGGCGAATATAATTAATTAGCTGACGTACAGTATAATGCGAACTCTTGCTGGTACCAAGAAGTCCTCCATGGCTTTGCAGGTAGAAGTCGAATTCCACCCGGCTGGTAATTGCTTGATCGATGACAGTACCTGGGAGGAGGTCACCGCTCTTCGCATCTTTGTCCCTGTCGTTCTTTGGGAAGGACCTGATAGAAAGGTGCATCAACAACCGTTAATAAGCAGGAAAGAACAGCGAGCAGACCTCATATGGTGACGCTTCCCGACAATGATGAACGTAATTTTGGGAGGTGGAGAGATTTCAGCGTCAACGCATGCAGCTAGAGTCATCAGCGCGGGGAGACATGGTGAGGACAAGAAAGTAGGTACCTCGAAGCAAAGGCAGTTCTGCCGAAGGACGTTAGCGCGATTTCGTGGATACATATGCTACCACAAAAACGATGACTTACCCAGGTCCAAAACACGCTTGAATTCGCCTTTGGACACACCATCTACAGGCGAGGGCCAGCATTATCAACAGGGAAAACAGGTATTCAACAACCTACCCCTAAAGAATATCAATCGTTTTGGCAGTGTCTTGGCCCCCCCTACTTTAGTTGGATTGTTTATGTGCGACTTGAGCAGATCCTACCACATAGCATCGAATGAGCCACAACCACGTGCACACATAAAAGAAGTAGCCAAACCTTTGCCATCGTCTGCAGATCTTCGATCATTTCCTGCCTCCCTAACTGGAGTGTGGTCCTCGATACGTATCGTGCGCCATCAGAGTCAATATTTGCCACCACCGCCGCGTAGGAGGGTGATTGACTGCCTGGTGCTGGGTGCATAACGACTGCGCCTGTTTCCACCGTCAGCTACGCTCTCAAGCATCCCAAGGTTGACTTACCCATGATAATTGTTGGCTGTCTAGGGTCGGAAATGATAGACGCAGACCTCGGATCTGGGATTACATTTATACCGCCCAACTTGACGTTAATCCTAGAGTAAATTCGCTTATTTTCCTCATTCAACTATCGAACAAAGAAAAACTTACTTCAGGGCAACATTTTCCCAATATTGTGGTTGGGCATTTCTACATTTGCCGACCCGCAGGCACTGATTGGCAATGCCTCTCTGTAAACACGAATGGTGAGGACTTTATTAAGCGTACGTTACAGTCCACAAACCTTTATATCGCCGGAGCTGAGAGGAGGACACTGGTTACAAACACTTCTTACAATAATAAGGGCACTCACAATTTGACTGCCGTATACAAGTCCGCGTTGCTCCCGTCAGGAAGAATACAAAGAATGAATGTAGGCACCGTATTGTGCTTAGTTCTAGCTTCCGATAGGGCATCAGATATAGACTATACAAGCCATTGTAAGCCAGCCTTGCGTCGAAATGCAATATTCGCAAGCAAACCTGATTAATTACGCTTTGGGCATTCTTGTAGACACATATCGGTCGCTTGTCTTGCACCGTCATGCCTGGAAGGATTGATTGGATCCGAAGACACCGTGATGGCTAGATAAATGACTCACCGACAGCTTCGCATCCTCGAATCAGATCAGATATAGTTCTGTTCACTTCATCTTGACGGAAGCGGTGCTGTGGAACGAATATCACAACGATCCAAGTCCCCAGAGGCATAGGCTTAAAGAATTTCTTGCCGACCCTAGGAGACGTCAGGTCATGTAAATTACGACCACGAAATCAATACTTACATGTTCCAAGCTCCATCCCTCGGTCGCTGATAAGTGGTGATTTAGAGAAAAGACATCTGTATCCCTAACAAATCAAGTACTCACAACAGTCAGTTGCTTCGATCCTGTTCCGTATCTGAGCTCTGGCACATTGAACATTCGTGCAGGAATCTCCATGGGCAGAGAACCTGTCTTGATGTCTAGTCCGAAATCCGGGACGTATCGGGATTGGCCATATGCGAGGACCTAAAGGGAAGAGAATGAGAAAATAGCATCTGATAGAACAGAAATCCGACCTGAATGCCAGCCTGGATTGCCCTCAGTCGCTGATCAGGCTTCTTCGTCGCGAAGCCGACCATCGCTCGTGCTTCAAGCGAGACGCTATTAAAAATTATGTTTTCCCGAACAGGTAGGCTTGCTAACAGCTGGAGGATATGAGCATGAGCAAATTCACTACGAAATGGTTGCATACATTTGTTTTTACCACAATACTCTCTAGGATTTCATACGCAGTGGTAGATGATGTCGGTGAGTGAAGAACTGGGCTAGCTTCTATAATGCACCCGAACCAATCAATTCCATCATATCTCATCACAAGATTATCCTGAAACGCGCTCAGTGAGTAGAAAACAGGAAGAAAGAATATTGTACCTGATGGATGGTTTGAGGCCTCCGGGGCGCCTGAGCATGTCGAGCTACTTGTTCCCGCAGGGGTTCCTCGTTGAAAGGTATTTCGCGGAAGATGTAGGAGGCGCCTTTTGCAAATTCAAGGACCTGAATATTGTTCGCTGGAGCCTGGTGTGTGAAGAATATGGATAGAAATACGTACTAGTTCTGAGGCGTCGAACATTGCGAACCGATCAATATAATTGGGGACTTCGACGTCCACAGAAGGAGTGACAGACATGAACAGACAAGGAAAAATCCAGGTGTATTCGATGAGTGGAAATAAGGCGCTCGCTTTGATTTTCTGTAAAAGGTGTCATTAATATAGGCTGCGAGGATTTGAGTAATTGATAATGCTACGTTGAGATTAGGCATAGACCTTTGCACAAGATCTTTAGAATCTAGGGTCATTTTTATTCCTCCCCGCGTGGATCGAACATAAGATCGTGTTTTCTTGACAGCTGTTAATAACTTTGGAGCAGATAGTAATCCGGATCTGAATATATCTGCTACTAGCAATGGTAACATCCAGACGCTATCGTGTGTGATTACAACATCGCTCTCTGGAACCTTTGAAGAAGTATGAGCAAGCTGTAAAGAAGTATGGGAGAGAGTTAAACCATAGAAAGTATGTATTCATTGAATTTGACCGACGGATTGAGTAACTATAATGTCACTTGTCGGTATAGATGCATTATGTATTTATAAGGCCGCGCCCACCTCAGTGGATCTCTCTGGGAAGTGTTGCAAAACTACACCATCTTGGACATCGCGGCTGGATTGTCTTGCTAGTGTAATATCTTCCTTTCAATAGGAAATGGAATGCATCGAAGGATAGTCCTACAGGCATGGTCAATGACCCACAACTTAGCCTGTGGGATCGTCAAACTCACAGAGTTAGATTCTGGCCAGTGTGATTCACCGAAACTCTTCTGAGACCAAAATGAGCAATGGAGATATACCAGAATTAGATAGTTACCATGTGATTGTTAATGATACTAATCAGCAAGTGCATCTGAAGACAACCAAAATCGTATTTTGGCAGGTGTCATTGATGGAATTATTCTTACCAATTCGTTTCCAACAATAGAACCGCAAATCGTATTGCCTTTGGCCGACCAGACAGGTGCCGATATTGATGGATAATCATGTCTTTGATCAGAGTAAGGCGCCTTGGACCCCATGACCGGCAGATTTCCAGACTTGTCCAACACCCCCACAAGCTGCACACCTCGCCGCCCAAACCCAGGGAAGATCCTTGTGATCCGACTCTTCTCTCTCACAGAAATGGTGAATCCGCGAATGAATACACCTTGATTCTCTCTGACCGAGAGAGACGCATCCATGTCGATATCTTGATCGGGGTAAATCCGAGTGTCGGCCCATTCCTGGGTACTCCAAGACGACCGCAATGCTATCCGACCTTCTGCAAGACCTCCCACAAGGAAATTTATTGAAAATTGGCGAGTATCTGAAGGCCGGGACATCGCAGCAGATCCCCACGCTGTTGCCTTGTCGCATCCGGTGACAAAGTAAAGAGAACCGTTTGGCGCCTCCCGACCGAGATAGTCTGGGCTATTGACGTATTCATACCACTCGTGTGCATGTGCAAGGGCATAGTTCCTCATCAACGATAAATTTTTACCATCAAATCGTGTACCACCTTATGGGAGCATCAGGACCGCCGCTTGGTCCTTAGACGTCGTGAATTCGAATCCTGCCCCCCCACCTGCAACTGAACTAAACCTAAGATAAGTTTTCTATCTGGAAAATAGAGCCTTATGAACACACGCTACTTCGGCTGACGCCTCCAGAACCGCTGAGGTGACAGAGACATGAGAACTTCTCACAGATGAGCCTCTTGGATGTTGACAATATATAGTGCGGACAGGATTGCGAGACTCCATGCGTAGGGGAGCGAAATTGGGAGGGACGCCGCCTTCATGAACAGGATTGTCCGCTTCGAGGAAGGCGTTGAAAATGAAGTCAAATCCTCCGTCATCTCTGATAATCCCAACATCACCGACGCAGATACCTCTATCGACATAGGCTGAGCAGAGGCTATAATCTGGCTCTGGAATCCATAGGGGGTAACCGTGACCTCGAGAGAGAAGTAGCTTTGTGTAAAGGACATGAGCGTGTTGTTCAGGCATTATATGTAGTGAGAAAAGGGCTGGGCTGATATCTACGTGGATTCAAAAGGATTTTACATAAAGGATGTAAAGCGGGTTCAGTGCTGCTCTATTGGGAAATCCACCCACTCAATAATTCCCAGGAGAAGCGCTTACATTTGATTGTATCGCCTGTGCATAGCCAACGGCAGACTTCGATTTGGGTCCTTCTCAAGAAGAGTCAGATGGCTGGGCTGGCTGCAAAAAGCTATGGAAAATCGAGTGCCCTACAAAACCAACGCAAGCTTCAGATCAGCCTGTGTAACTGTAAAATGGAGACTATTATTGACATCCCGTTGGAGAAAACTGGAACGAGGCACTGCGAGAGATTGGAAAGTAACCACGGTACTGAATGGTTTTTAGAACAAGATTTGACATGGGAAAGCACGCGATCGTCATCTGACAGGAGCAGCGTCTAGATATCGGCGGAGATCGAGCTTGAACCTCGTGTTCTAGTTAAAAGATACCGAGAAGACTTGGGCGGTTCTTGAATACGGAAAGTTCGAAAATATCCAACGTCAGTAAATCGAGCGATACTTGGTAGACTTTGAAACGCAATGAATCTGCTGGTCATTTTGAGCTCTACTGAGTGAAACTCGGATGGATTGGAATGAACGACAGAGTTTTCGTCTAAAGGCCTGCAAATGATTGCACAAATCTGCACAGCTCCCAAAATAACCGTGAGGAAACACCCACATCAAGTTCCTTATCCCCCGCCGGTTAAGGATTAGTCCATCGTCGGCAAACACGGCTCGTGTCACTAACGAAAACAGTGAGTATAGAGGGGACGATGGGAAGAAGACACACACGAATGAGGACCGTAGCGAGGATGATTTTGAATTACACGATTTTACGTGCAGAGGGAGCCAGGCCAAAAAGCTTCAAGAGCCTAAAAAATAAAGACGCAGAGAGGTGCGAATCGGAAATGCAGGAGATTGTTCCGTAAAGCCAGAGTTAGCAACACCAGACACGAGCACGTACTCCTCCCAAGCCCGTACGCGTCTCACTTAAATAGCTGTTGGAGGTTGGTGCGAGCATCGTTCTGAGGTAACAGGAGTGGGAGGGAAAGGAAGCATTCATAACTGCATTTTGTGTGCTATGAACACCATGTGGTAATCAAGCTAAGCTTAAAGAAGTCGGATCCATGCTGAGGAAAAATAGTCAAGTCACTGTTCAGGAGGGCAACTACAACTTGGGATGGACGGAACGGTTTCAACTTTGGTTATCGCATGAACTTGCCCTCAGTTCAACGACTGCTAAACACCAGTGCGCGTTGGGCGAGGGTCACTACCTGAGACAGTCTAAACCTCCGGATCAAAACACTTGGATAGCCGGTATAACTTCGAACGACTTACATCGTCTGTCACTGGGGGTGGAGGTGCACCTCCAGGCCCGCCGACCGGCGCGACAGAGATGACTACTACAAGTCCTGATGGTCAGAGTCCACGGCTGGGATGAAAATGAAGCGGATCTCACAAGCAAGAGTGAGGGTTACTACGAGCAGCTTCCAATACATGGGGTTTGGATGAAGAGGATGTTCAAAATTGAACGTGTTTAGATAGTCATCATGTCCAGACCCTCGGTGGTATCAATCTGACCGGAGTACGTCCAGACTGTGATAGATATCTTGTTTGTACCTATGCAAGTAAAAGACGCCGAGAAGATAAAAGCGTGCAGTAAGGATGAAGTTCCTGGATTGAATTCCAGAGAACCTTCCATCCTCCGTCGCTTGAAGGTCTGTCTTGATCTTTCCGTCGCCCCCGCAGGCCGATATGAGTAGCAGGGTATACAGACGTAACACCAGCCAATGTGGTCGAGAGGAGCGAACGACTGCCCGTTTTCTGTCGCGTCCAAGTACGACGCAGGAATGTGAGCTCGATCTGAGAATCCACAATTAGATCTTCAAATTTCAGTGTTCGAGGCCAAGATACAAACATACTTAAGGGACCGTCATGTTCAGTTCACAGAGAACGCGTTCATCAGACATTAGCAATCTAGAAATCCAGTTAGCAACATCTCTACTCATCGACAGAACAAGGACGCACCTCCAGCCCCGAGCGTGCATCCAAGACACAAAATTAGAGCAGTGACGTCAACCCAGGCTAACGTTATTCATGAGACTAGTCTTGTAGGTTCGTACGTGCCCATCTCCAATCTGTCGTCTCCTCCCGTTCTCTACTACCACTGACATGTTCGGTCTGGTACGCTTTGACGAATGAGAGAGACGTTAACATGAGGAGATACGTGTTCTTGTCGATATGCTGCGCGCGCAGGCTATATACCATTAGAACATAAATGGAAAGATTTTTACAGTGGACGCACCTGCCAAGTCTAGTCAATCTCCGTCCCACGTCGTAACAGAAATAAGATCTGAGAGGTAAGAGGGAACAAGCTCCACCATGGTGGTCGTGAACCCTCAGTGCTCAACCGCTTAGTTTACCTAAGGCACAAAATTAGCAAGGCCAAAAGAACTGACGCCCCTACCACCTGTCACGATTCGTGAATCAGTACTGACACGGGATCTTCCAGGTTCAATTCGCTTGACACAAACGTAGGGTCGGTAAGGGCAGACCTGGACAACTGGTGTTAGCGACACCCAGATCGAAAGGACAATACACGCACAACCATCAACCACAATCTGTACTCGGTCCAAACTCGCAGGCGTAAGAAATCCTGGAATTGTTCGCCTCAAATGACCACAAATTGCAGGTCTGCTGACAATCGAATCCTTTGTAAGGAGCGCTGACCCTGGAACAGAGTGCAGCACGGAGATAAAGATGGCAAAGCTTCAAGTATTTTCTGGTCGGTCGTGTAGTGGGACCTTTCGAGGAAAGCCATATATTTCTATTGATACGATGTTGTTATCCTGGGTCCTGCAGGCACCGACTCCGACCGATACTTGTAGCGAGCGAAGGAGGGAAAATAACAGAAAGTAGAAACACGAGATGCACGTGATCTGGACATGATGCAAAAATTCGAAATCCCCGGCTGCCTCCGGCCGCTACACCCCTGCCTCCCAGTCTCTCTTCTTGTCCTCACGTTAAAAAAACAGTCTCGTACGAAAAATCTTCCGGATGTGGCGTCAGTAATTACACTGGCGAAACGATATCTTCAAATCTCTCAATAATTTATGTCACTAAGGAAGGCTTGAGGAAAGCATGGCAATTTCCCTTCCCTGCTACACGGCCCACCTTGGAGTCAGCCAAACAAAGCGAGATGGTGAATCTTCGTTCTATGCTAGAAAATCAAGACCAGAGGTAGCCCAGACACAGTATCGAATGGTGATGGAAGTGCGTGCATTATTCTTGCGAGGGGGGGTGCTAACGATTTCCCTCTAGTTTCGACCCTTAACAGCTTCCATGACCGGTAACTCTGCCATACTTCTACATCGAGTAGGAAGTATCTGTGTAATGTTCCACGAGTCGCTTCTGGAGGTACAGGTCTCATTTCTTTTGTCTTGATGTCGTGCCAATCTCGTATTCAGATGTCTACTGCTGTTATCCTCACGCATAAGTTGGTCTCATTCCTTTGTGTCACTCGGAATGCACCCGCGTCGTAAAGATAGATCGCTAAGGCATGTTTATAGTGCTGAAACATGGTAAAGATTATTTTTGGGGGGGGAATACCTCAAAATTTCGTTTGTCCGCCATTATTCCCCCTTTTCGGTGATCCCGTCCCCTGATCCAAGAAGTGCGCAGATTTTTGGTCCTGTTCGATTCGGGTACTGCTCGGTGCCGATTTTTGATTCTTGTCTTCTGATCCTTGTTACGGCTGTTCTCAAGATGATGCTGGGGCAATTCTACGATATGGATTACAGCTTGCGAAACATTTCTTTCACTTGCGTTTCTCAGGTTTGCTTCCTTCTTCGGTGCGTGTTCTCACACAGGCTCATCCCCGCATAGGTCTTCTATCTCAAAGAACCTCGCGCGATTCGAAGAAGAAAAACAATTTATTTGACTTGAACCTGGTGCATGGAAGAGCTCGAGCTTTGAACAAGAATCGTAAGTCCGGTGTTTCACCTGTTACCATTCATCGACTGACAAAACTCTCGATGTTAGACAAAACGCAAATGTCAAGGATTATTTAACGATATGGATGCTGATCCTGACATTCCCTGAGTCCTAAAGCCTGCAGACCGGATTGATTCCCGTGAGTCCTCAAGACTTGACCTGCCTGCTAATTTGAGTCCCCCAGCTTACCAGTTTATCGCTTCCATAACTTGACTATCATCTACAAAGTACGAACCATCTATATCCACCGTCCGGGATGCTGATCCTACCCTCAGTCTTTCACCGTCCCACATGGGTAGTCCTCTCTTAAATGTACGCCAATGTATCCCCAATGAACACTCGTATTGACCATCAGCAAGGAACAAACGCTTAAGGATAAGAGATTCGAGGATAGAGTCGACGTTGTTGGTGATGGCGTACTGGCTGCCGAAGGACTGGCTGATGAGCTCGATGGAGAACACCAACGGGTAACTAGGACTCATGAAGATGAAGATCGCAACTCATGATGTATAAGGATTAGTCTCTATGTTACTTTCGGTGTCTATTTTTCGGCAGTGCAGATGATCATGACACATCGCTGTGATCTATGCGCTAGTCTTCATTCTTTGCTTCTTGCTGTCATACAGCACGACAAAAACTGCTTGGTGTGACGACGGATGCCAGCAACCCACGTAGACCATGGACATAAGTAGTGCGCTTGTCTTGGTTTAATGTTGCACATCCTCATCCTGTTATCACTAGAGGGAGAATGCGATGAATCTGACAATCTTTCGGAGGAAGACTGGGGGTATAACGACGGCCGATGGGGCGTCATAATGAATGAGGTAAGAACAGTGACCTAGAGAGGCAAGGAATAATGTTTTGTGTGCAGATGCGCAAGTACGACCCTCCTGAGGTCACTCTCTCCGCCTTCGATGAGACCGGTCGAGACGAATCGACGATTCCCGTGTTGAAGCAACGGTCATACACTGGTAGAAAGGTCATTCCCTCTGCTCTGGCCGACACTCCCTGTGCCAATCTTGGTGTTCATGGAGTATTCGAGAAATTTAACACAATGCTCGGCACTTCATACACTCCATCTCCCCTGTTGTTCTCAGTTCTCGAATCCTATATCAAACAAGAATGCAATTTTGGCATGGTCTATGCTCATTTGCGTTTCTACTGGTTTCACCCCGCTGTCATCGAAGAGTCGTTGCGCAGAGACGAAGAGAGGGACAGGATAATGCGGAGGAAGGCGATCGTCGGTGCCAAGATCACCAAGCGGGACATGCCCCCGCGACGTGTCTGGGATTTGTATGCTAATCGGGTGGTCCCATACTGGGTTGCGCTCACAGACTGGACGGGGATCTCACATGCATGGGTGGCCGAAGAAGAGCGCAAGAATGCTATGACACCCATCAACGGATACGAGTGGCCCGTGCCCATACCGAAAGATGTTGACCTTAATCTCATCCGCATCGAGATGTTGAACCGCGGAGCAGAGTATGTGTGGTTGGACGTTCTGTGTTTGCGGCAGGAGTATGCGATTAGAGAGGATCACTATGAGGAGGATCAGCACAAGGAAGGTCAGCGCAAGAAGGAGTGGAAATTGGACGTCCCCACGATCGGAGGAGTGTATGATGGCAGCCTTAGAAACATGTCGCATACAGTGGTCTATTTAAGCGGACTGGGTCGGCCGTTGAATTTCATACTGGGTGATCTCGAGAGCAACCAGTGTTGGTTCAATCGGGCGTGGACGCTACAGGAGATCCCAGATGACTCTGAGCCGTTCGCTGTTGGTGGGGATACTGGTGACGCGGAAGAGGAAATGCTAACGAGGGTCCATGATCAACTGAAATTATTGCGCGACATGCGAAGATGGGGGACGCCGTTTACGATCCTGTCACAGATGCGGAATCGGGTGTCAAGAAAGCCTTTGGATAAAGTTGCAGGCTTGATATACCTTCTTGATGCAAAGTCTATTCCAATATATGATGGGGCTCAGTCGGAAGAAGATGCCTGGGCAGCCCTTGTGGATACCACGTCGCCTTCGTTACGGGCAGAGTTGTTCTTCTGCTTCCCCAGACCTGGGAATAAAAACAAATCTTGGCATCCATCATGGGAGCAGGTAATGGCGCACACACTTCCGTGGGGTGATAAGGGATTCAATGTCGGATATGTTTTTTGGACAGAGGAGATAGATTCCGACTGGTACGAGGGACCACGTGTTGACTCAGTCTATATCAATGGGTTGGCTGAAACATCGGACAACCCTCGACACGGGAACTTGTTCGTCAAAGCTGACTTTTCGTGGTCGTACAGTGAATGCAAAATCGTCGCTGACCACACTTACCCGATACGTGATGGCTGGTATACACTCATAGGCACTGGTGGAGGGTACGTTCCATCAATCTCTGATTTTTGGGTAGTTGGGAGGCTAAGACCTGATGGGAAGTTTGAGAAAGTGTCGGTCATCCGTTTTGAATACCCTACAAGGCCCGAGAGGCGATTCAGGGATGAAATATGTGTTAAAACGGTTCTGTGTTGATGTAAGGTATGCTTCACATAAATCTACCTAATTACGGTGAGATAAGATGGCTGAGTATTGGTCGACCAAGAGAGCCAAAGTCAGCAACACCCCAGTGCTAAAAGAGCAATAAACGCATATCATGACCTATCCATACCGTATCTGACTTGAATGTTCCTCCTTGATGATATTCGCCCCACTCGGAATGTGGAATCCTTGATGAGGCTGCAAAATGGCGTGAGCATAGAAAAACAAAGGTCAGGACAACGGCAGAATCCATGAAAGCAGATTTGAACTTGAGAAACCTTAGGTTCATTACCACGTATTTCATTGCCGAACAGATCCGTGAGTATTTCAAGAAAAGGCAACCACACTTATTGCATGACATTAGCTGGGATCGAGCCAGAAATAATTCTTTTTCCGTAACTTCTCCGCCCGTTACACCATAATGCCGCCTCACAGTTTGCGTTGGAGATACTGGCCAGCATATATTTACGGACGGCACGTGGTAGACAAGCATGTCAAATCTAAGGGAAAATCATTGAGAGGTTGCCAAGGTTCCAAGGAGACGGATCTCACTAGAAGTATGCGCCATTGGTACACCGCGTGCATTTGTGCGTCGTGTCTGGCCTTGCATACACGCAAACAGACGAATATCTGTAGGAAAGGGCATTAGCACTGGAAGGAAAGCAGAAACAGTAGCGTCCGACTCACGTATACGAAAAGCCGACCAACGACGGAAAGCCGACTTCGATAGATTAGGATTGAACAAGAGTGTAATACGATAGTAAGCCGGTCGAGAGTCGAGACTCCAGCCCGATTGTAGCAACGTGCATGCACTCTCTCTGGTGACACACGGCGATCGGCATCCCAACCTGTAGAAACGAAAGAAACTAAAGAACAAGGCAAAGGAAACGAATCCCGTACCTCCGTCACTTATCCGTTAGCCATGATCCTGGCACAGCACCGAGAACCGGTCGGCGGTGAGCATTTCTTCGGGGGTTCCTCCAGATTCGTTTCGTTTGGATGTGATGGCCATAATCCAGGAACAGAAGCAAAGACTTCAGCCTAGTTATAGTGACACCTCGGCGTAAAAAGCGCAATGCACGCATCTCTATCATCTACCCGTTCTGCGTCAACTTTAGCACCCCTCCCCAACAATCATAGCAGTGTTCACTTCGTTCGGAGTCATTGGATACATCGTGAACTAATACAGCAACCGCAAGTGTTGAAGTCGCCCTGGAAACTCAAGCGAGCGCAAAACAAAGATCGTCTTGTTTATGAAGCGCTGAGTGTACGCTTCCCACGGCCCACGAAACGACCATGTGATCTAAACACGGTCAGGGGGACCCGACCAGAAGAATCAGCAGACAAGGGTCATTGTGCGGTGAAAGGTCATCTTCGTTTTTGCAAATGGGGAGCCTATCGCCGAAGGATGGCTATCCTTCATATTGCACTGGACTTACGGGTCAGTACAAAAAGAGAAGAACCGGGCCAGGCACAGCAAGAGTCTGGCCACTAAGAAAAAAATCATCGGAGGTCCAGAATTAATGGCAGCCAGGAAGTCGCGGACAACTTGAAAGAAAGAGATTTATCCTTCATGTTGATGGAAAGAACGATGCGCAAGGCTTCGCAATAAGTACCTGGATAACAGAATGTAATTATGCGGACATTCGTAGAGAGGAATAGAATGCGAGACCAACGGCGAAAAGACTACTGCGAAGGGTAGCAAAAGTGGTCGACAAAGTAGCAAAAAAAAACTGCCACTACGAAGGAGATGATTTTATGAGGATATCGGTCGTTGCTATGTGTTCACATAATTGCAACACCCAGCCAAATCTATGACCATTCCCAAGAAGAAAACGTCTACGTGTTATGTCCATGACATTAGCTGGGATCGAACCAGAAATGCGCCTTCTCGGAGTCAAGTCGCTTGGACCACATCAGGACTTTTGTGGGCCCAAAGTGGCATCCTTTATTACCGATTCTCCCTAGTCGACTTGAAAGACTGATCTCAGCATGGAGCACTCTACCAACGGAGCTAAGAGGGATTGCGGGGATACTAGAATCCAAGCGACAAGTCCCAGTACGATAAGCAGGACAACTAGAAAAAGAACAAATTTCAGGTATGTCGTAACGGCCATCATGGCACGAGCTAGGATCGAACAAGGCCTTTGAGCCGCATGATCCCGATGTGCCATCGTGCCATGGAGTAAGAAGGGCAGATATACACCATGGAACGACACAGCAAGCAAGGTAGCATAAGTATAAATTGACAGCAGCGAATAGCTTTGATAGAGACAAAACGCTCGCGGAATACCAAAGTAGTGGTAGACGCCAAAAAATCTGCGAGGTGGCCGATGCATAGACGAATGGGGACCAGTCATTCAACGCTTCGAGAAGTGAAGCTGAAGCTGTAGAAGTAAACTGAGAATGACACCAAGCGAAAGAAAAGGTGTTCGTACAAAAGCTAATCCTCCTCTATCATCCGCGAGTAGGACTCTTTCTCGCCGAGAGGATGCCGATCTGCACGAGGATGGTACCATTCGACACAAAAATCTTTATTATAGACCGAGAAGGCTGTATATATGCATCAGACTGGAAATTGGAACCATGAAAAGACGCGTACTTCAATCGTCCATCCCACCATTAATATGCATATACCAGTTCAACGGAGGCGAACAGGCCGAGAAGCGGCACACCCAGACTCGGTCGACCTGCAGACACAATCTTAGAACGAGGACCAGCGGACTCCGAGTCGGCAGAAAAGATGCTCACACCTCAGCTTTCTCCATCCCCGACTGAGACGAACCCGCCCTCCCTTCAATAGACGCATCGCAATTGATTTTATTGACAAGCCAGACGACTGCAGGGTATGCATGGCGACCGAACAGCTACAATGCATGGCCCGAATCGGACAACTCGGAAATCTGAAATCGATCTTGCAAACCAAAATTAGAGTAACGTCAAGCAAAAGAAGAACCGCCCATACCTCCCATTCTCCAAGCTGCCAGCTCCTCTAACCCCTTACCCGCGCGTCGAGTAAAGCTCTCCCCTCTCTCCCCCCCTCCCGTTCTCTGCGTAGAACCATCATCCTTCCCAGGTGAGTTAGCGTCGGTAACCTGGAGAGTGCTTCAACGGATGGCCAGGCCCAGTGGGTGTAGCGACGCGCTTGATCCTTTCACGTTCGTCTCCAACAGCGGCAGATCCCCGAGAGCTGGAGTCAGCGACACTCCAACATCGAAAGAACAACGCATTGTAGGAAATCGAATCCATGGGACGAGCTACAAAGTTACAGAAGATGAAAGCGCCAAGGAGAAGATATATTTTCCCACGGTCCACTTAGCGACGACCATGTGATCTGGCTTCTCTCTTTCAACCAGATCCCTACGCGCACGATTCTGGCCCTGTCAATCATCTACTTGAAAATACTAAACTAAAGGTACCGACGCGAGACCCAACTCGAACAACTCGACAGGGATCCGGTTCTAAAGACTCGGAGTCAATGATCTTGACTTCCGATGGACGATGACTTTTGTCGGACCTTACTACTAAATGCGGGGGTCATCCGATTACCTCTTTCAAGAATAGGCTAGAAACAGTAACGCGAGATGATTCGCCAAAAAAGCCAGATTTCTATCCATCATGATACTGCCGTTGATCTTGGCATCGTATCTACTTACGAAAGGTTCTTTGCTACACGGCATTCTGATATGTGAGTGCTATGCTGATCAGCTTTCATCTTCATAAGGATGATGTATCACTGGGCCCTGGCGTGTCCCAGACCAATGATAGTTTGGACATCTTCCCATAGCTACATTCAGCGCAGTGCATCATACCATCTGGTTATTTGACTGCGGCACCCAGTCTTCATACCCAGGAACTGCTTTCATGTTGCGTGATGTCATATTCGAATCCTATGTTGATCAGCGTTTACACCATGATCTTCATCCCGCGTTCGCATCTCAGTGGCGGTATACGATGGTTTATCTATATCCAAGACCACTGATAGTTTCAGATTTTCTCCTCACAACCGCGTTCAGATCGACTCTGTACTATCTGTCTACTTCAAACAGTACCCACCCTTTCACGTCTCGCTATATGTTGCTCCGGCTTACTATTTCGTGAGTTGTGTTTTTCATTCCGTGATCAGCACTCAAAGTCACTGGACAGATTTTGTTTCTACTTCGCTACTTCAACTGGCGGCGGCTTCCTTCCTGATGGTCTTCAAGGAGGAGATATATCAGCTGGAATATCTCTAGATCTGCCTCTGCCGGTACCTCTTGGGTGCGTCCTTGGTCTATTTATTGAACTATCAAGCCTCGGTCTCATCTTTCAACTACTCCCTTCCTGCTACAAACACCGCACTGAATTCACCAGTAATACAAACAGCCCTACTCCGACGCTGCCTTCTGCTGGTAGTACCTCTTCTGGAACTAACCTCACTTTATCGTACGTCTATTGCGCTCTAATACTCCTAACAAGTTCAGTTCATGATTTCTTTATCAGATTAACCAGCATCATTGGAAACAACACATCAGTGTCCACTAATTCTACATTTACCTCGGAATCAACATCCTCCTTCCCTCCTTCGAGTTCCTGGTCTGCAGACACAACATCTCAGACGTTCGTCTATGTCTATATCCCTTCCTTTCCATCACTTATTGCCCACGTTTCATTAGCACCTCCCAAACCACGGGGAGTGCGATCACCACTGGTGGTGCTCTACCGTAGGCATCCCCAAAGAATCTGTATTGAACTTGTATAAACCTGACTCACTTCAGAACAACCACCTCCCCAACCTCCCAATCCACGTATGTTGTTCTCCCGTTCCTTTCTAATGGAACCTTTATCGACTTATCTAGGTCCCTCCCAATCATTGGCGCCACGGTTGGGTCCTTCGTATTCATACTGCTCCTTCTATGTGCCCTCATATACACCCTCCACCGACGGCAGCACCGGAGGAAACATCCTTTCGTATTTCACCGTGATATGATGGTTCGGCAAGAGCACTCTGAATCGAATCTGCCTCTTACGCCGGCAGTAAAAGATTCAGAGAACACTGGGGATGCGGAAAAACACGCTTTGTACGGTTCTACAGACAAAGAAGACCCTGCTCCGTCAGGCAACACATACAGATCAGCAGATACAGCTACATGATGTCTTGGCGAAACAGAAAACTGAGCTCAAGACAGGATCGACGCTGGGTGGAGATGTGCAAGATGACTTGTCAGTCGAGGTTTCGAGGATCCTGATTTCGGTGTAGAGATGGCGTTATATGTAATTTCTATCTCTAGACATTCAATATTTTCTGTAAACTATACTTTACTGTTCACTCAATAATCGGTTGAAGGTAAAGCTACGGACAGAAAAACTAAAAAAGTCATTTTACTTCCAGGCCAGCGTTCTATGTACCGCGGATCCCAATTCGGCATGAAGAATGCTACCACTAGAGGCGTGACAGCAGCAATGAGTCTGACTTTGATAACGTCCCGATGTACTGGATGTGAAAGAATGAGTAACGCGGAATGGACTGTTATCCTAAAGTAAATGGCTAACCAGAAATGACGATGGGATCATCCCAGCGGTGGGATTGGGCTCAAACAAGTATGAACCTTGCAGCAAAGGCGAAAGTGAACCGACCATAGATGGGAGATAGGGTTTAGGGTTAGAGCATGCCCCTTCCCACAAGCGGTGGTGACTTGCAGCGGTAGACACCAAAAATCCGTGAGGTGGCCGATGTGCAGAGGATTGAGGACCAGTCATTCAACACTCCGAAAAGTGAACCTGGACCTGTAGATGTAGAATGAGAATAATACCAAGCGAAAGAAGAGATGCGCACAAAAGCCAATCCTCCTCCGACATCCGCGACTAGGCCTCTTTCTTTCGTGTCCACGTCGAGATGATGCTGGTCTGCATGAGATGCTAAGCTCGCATGGAAGGGGGACCTGGTGGAAGCGAAACTGAAGCATTGATGGAAGGGGCAGATCACGATACCCCTCGACGCAAGCATCTTTATCGTAGACCAAGAAGGCTATGTATATGCGTCAGACTAGAAGCTGGAACCAAGAAAAGATGTGTACCTCAATCCTCCATGCCACTGTTCATATACCAATTCAACGTAGGCAGGCAGGGCAAGAACGGTCTCAGAGTCTGCAGAAAAGACACTCACACCTCAGCCTTCTCTATCCCCAACTAAGATTGTTTCTTGCACGCCACCTCATTGATCCAGATACGTTGTTCCCGCGTTGAGGGAACCACTCTCCTCCAATAGACACATCACAGTTGATTTTATTGACGAGCCAGACGACTGCAGGATATACATAGCGACCGAATAGCTACATTGACCCGGATCGGACAACTCGGAGATGTGAGGAGCTTGAAAGCCAAAATTAGAGCAACGTCAAGGAAAAGAAGAAATGCCCACACCTCCATTCCCCAAGTTGCTGGCTCCTTCAACTCCTTACTCGCACGCTGAGGGAAGCTCCCCCACCATCATCCTTCTCAGGCAGTCACATATCAAATTAGCGGATCCTTCCATGTTCATCTCCAACGGCGGCGGGTCCTAGAGAGCTGGAGTTGGTAACACTCTAGGGTTTAAATAACAATGTACACACCTCCATCGCGTCGACTGGCGTCAGATAACTACAAGCTTGTGGCAATCAAACCCATGAGACGAGCTTCGAAGCAGCGGAGAAGATGGAAGTGCGAATGAGGAGCCACAGATCTCAAGGCATGCCCACACTCGGTCGACCTGCGGACAAAAACTTAGAATGACGCCAAACGGATTCGGAAAAGAAGATGCTCGCACACCAGCCTTCTCCATCCGCGACGCCTCCTTGCTATTGATCCAGATGCGACATTCCCCACATTGAGAGAACCAGCTATCCCTCCAATAGACGGATTGCGGTTGATATTATCGACGAGTCAGACAACTGCAGGGTATACATAACTGAGTAACCACACAGTGTGTCCCAAATCACAGCTCGAAAATATGAGGTCAATCTTGAAAGCCAGAATTAGAGAAACGTTAAACAAAAGCCGAAATACCTGTACCTCCATTCTCCGAGCTCCAGCAACAACATCCAACCCCTTACTCGCGTACAACTGTTCTCCCTCACAGTATCTCTTCCATCCATCTTCGCTTCCTATCATCTTTCCATCGTGGTCATGTATTAAGTTAATGCCGCCGGTTTAGAGAGTACTTCAGCGGACGGCCGTGGTCGAGGGTTCTTGTCGACTCGGTGTAGCCTTCCAGGACGACAGCAGGTAGACGTAGCTGAACGAACAACTGCACATCAGTCTTGAAAACCAAAATTAGAACAACGTCAAGCAAAAGAAAAAATGTTCGCACCTCCGTTCTCTCACACCGCAAATAGAAGTATTTCGGGTGTACCGGGAAGTCACGAAACTTGACCGGAAACTCGTCCCGAAACTGACCTTGCCTGCCATTTCTCCAATTTCGGGACTAGTTTATGGTCAAGTTTCTGGAGTCACGCGATAATTTCAGTATAGCTGAAAACTTTCTGTTTACGGTGTGTCCGCCTCCAGCCCCTTAACCGCATGCCAAGGGAAGTGTCTGTGCGCAGCACCCATTCTCCCTCCCGGTATATCTTCAATCCCTTTTCTCCTGTTCTCTTCCGTTCCCTGGTGGTCATATGTCAAGTTAGCGCAGGCCGCCTGGAGGGTATTTCAATGAATGGACATGGTCAAGTGTTCTTGTCGATTCGGTGTATCGACCCGCTTGATCCTTCCACGATCGTGTTCAACAGCAGCAGTTCCTAAAAAGCTGGAGTTGGTGATAATCGAATGTCGAAAGAACAATCTATTGTGGCGAACGAATCTGTGAGACAAGTTTCGAAGCAGCAGAGAAGATGAGTTAGAGCGCGAATGAGAGCATATCTTTTCCCACGGCCTATTTAGCGACGACCATGTGACACTTTGGCTTTTCCCTTTCCGAGTCAGTGTCGCGGCTCTTATCTACTTGGCGGCAATCTCGTTCTAAAGACAGAGTGAATGATCTTGACTTCACCAGCCCGTTGAACAGCGGTGTACCACGCGTGTTGTCAGTGGCCACATGCACGGTGAATTTTGGCAATGGGAAAATCACGCGGCTTTCCTCTTCGTCACGTCCCACTACATGGCTGGGGTACTAATATCTGGAGCTTTGCCCATCTTCTCAAAAATACGACATCATGTGCGTCCCCGTTACCCCTCTGGCTGCTTTGAAACTCACATCAGTTGACTTCTTCGGCTCATGAAGGATTGATCATATTAGTACCAGGCACTCATGAAATTTGCCAGCTAATCCTCAAGGATGCGGAAGTACACAAGACTGATTGGCAATGTATATAGTGCCTTTGGAAGGCGGAGTGTCACTCTCTTTGGCTCTATAGGCCCTCTTATGCACCCCAACTTGGTCTCCACCATACCGCGCGTCTATCTATGTCAAGCAAATCGCGACCGAACCGTTACATCGAACAAGTTGGATAGGGATTTTTTCTGTTGATCGGATCACGGTTCCATACAAGAATTGTAACTGCCAACGGAGGATTGGCGTCTCAAGGGCGTTACAGACTCGGGATGATTAGAGGTACACACTCTCTATCGTCTTTGTTTACTCAAGATCTTATGCCTACTAGGCCCTCACTGCCAAGTAGATCATCGATATGTACATGTCATTCCTTCCAATGGTATGGTGGTCCCTGTCGTTCGATTTTTTTGTGCCACTTGAACGGCGCCCGCATTTAAATGTCATGGAGCAGGCGCTATTAGCTAAGGGAAGTATTCCAGTTTTGCATCGTTCTCGGCCAGACTAGTATAAAGTTTACGGCACCAGGAGCAGGATTGACATTCAAAATGTTCCCGGGTCCCTTGCTGATGGGCGCCCCATCATGATTGATATGCTAGCAATCATCTGATTGTAAATGAGCCGCAGTAATGGTATTTTCCATTCACACCTGTGAAGAGCGGAATCTCAGTGACCAGTCGACGGATGGTAATTCGGTGCGTGCTCACTATACGATATTACACCAGTGTATCAAACCTGGAATCAGTGACGACGCTCAGTCTTGAAGGCAATGCACTCTGGCTGGCCCTGGAAACTAAAAATCAAAGATGCGTGGGATTTGTTCGGACCTCGGTAAACTTGTAGATCTGGGCGCTCAAAACGACACAAATTCGATGACTGCGACTCCTTGTACCCCTTCCACTACCACCTGTCCCTATCTTCTGTCCTGACTGAAAGTGCACGACTCTCCCTAGGCATAACAAGGATGTCAGAAAGCCAACCTACAGGCACAGGCGAGAAAGATGTTGAAGGGCCCCCAAGTACTGCTGCCAATACCCTACAAAGAAACCATGTCCTAACTCGGAACAACCAGACAGGTTTTACGAGCAATACGTCAGAGCCATCTACTCCTCCTACACCATTTATAGCTCCCATGTCGTCGGCATCATCACTCTCCTTCACGCCATCAGTGCAGCAGTACAATGTATATCCGAGTCATAGTCCACATTTTATGGAAACACCTTTGGATCCTTTCCCTCCACCTATCCATTACTGGTCACTTCCACAGCATTACTTCATACCCTCACGACCAGATATGCCTGCTGTAGGACAACCTCAGAACATCTTATCACACCAGGGAGGTGGTCAGGAAAGCTACATTCCGGGTGACTCGGACAATGAACCACAACCGAAGCCTCCTCAGCCTCCTCACAACCCCTACTTTTTCACACCTACACAGTTGTATCAGCCTCAGATCCATACACATCTAGGTAGTCACCAGCTGGGTGCTCCTCCACGCAGTAATCATCCAAGTCCAGCAAAACAGCAAACATACTCCCATCCCAATTCTCCGGGAGTTAAGATAGGTATGCTTCTCATTATCATATGATGCTTGTAAGATGCTCAAATAGTCACTCTAGTCCATGCTGATGATTACGAGCAGCGATATCCCGAAGACCCTCTAGGATCGGAATGCGGTCCAATGGCTAGAGTCTGGGGGATATTCCTTGACGAGTGTCAGGAATTTGATGCCGGGAGATTAGAGACTCTCCAAGACAGCGTAGATGTTCTACTAGTGTTTGTGAGTTTACCCTTGTTTATGTGTCATGACACAGGAGGTTGACCTCCTGGCCCTCAGGCTGGTTTGTTCTCTGCTGTTGTAACAACTTTTGTGGTACAGACGTCCCAAAGCTTGCAGGCAGACTACACAAAGATATCTTCCTATTTGCTGTATGAAGCAGTCAGCATCCAGCGCGCTATGGCCACTGGTGTTGCGGTTAGCTCTATTCCGATGTCTCCATTGAACCCCACAACCACTTTCGTTGCATCCACGTCTGATCGTTGGGTCAATGGCTTGTGGTTCACAAGTCTCTCCTTGAGTTTGGTAACAGCTCTTGTCGCAGTTCTGGCGAAGCAGTGGATACGACAACACATGCTGGCATCATCTGGTACTACTCCCCGAGATCGAGCCAGGATTCGTCAATTTCGTTATATGGGTTTCGAGGCATGGAATGTCCCAGCTATTATTGGGATCCTTCCGTCTCTGCTGCATATATCCCTCACTATCTTTCTCGTGGGACTGGTCGTCTTCCTGATAGCCTTGGACCGTCCGATTGCATGTGTAATACTTACAATAACCGGCGGATCATTTGCTTTGTATATCATCGCTATGTTCCTCCCCGTTTTCTCCCCGCAGTGTCCTTATCGCACGCCATTGACGGATCTCCTCCTCATGACCTACAGAGAATTGCTACGATGGACATCCAAAGAACAAGATGTGCAGTATCCTCCTTCCATTCGAGAACTGGAACTCCAAACCATCGAATCTCAGGCAGACTTCTTAGATGTTCAGTCTCTTTCTTCGTTGTACACTATGTCTTCCAACCCTACGGTTCATAGCTGTGTCATACAGAGCATTGGTGGCCTCCCGGTCAGCATCAAGTCTGAAGAGTTGGATACTGCATTCAAAGGAAGCGGAATCGAGGAGAAACAACAAGAGCTCTTACAGGAATGTTTGCAACCATGCATTGATCCCAGATATTCTGCTCTGATAAAGGGAAAGGATGCATGTATAGAACGTCTACTTCGTAGCCGTCTCCGTCTTTCAGCGGATATACGACAGAGCCATCATTCTTGCATTCCACGTTTACTTTTGACTCCAACTCCCTACGATCCACCCCTTTCCGAAGTAACGGCGCTGACTGCTGTTATCGCTTGCCACAATGATGTTCGTCCCACCAATTACCCATCCGGCGCCGACCTTTTTCTGCGTCTTGCAAAAGAGCGACAACCTGGCAGTGTAGCCCTCCATCCCTTCGTGTGGAAATCATTATTCTCCGACTTGATTTCCACCCGCTTTTTCCACCGCCTGGGTCGATCTAGTCATCGTCACGCGCTCGAGGAATTCTGCAATTTATTCAGGCGAATAATTGCACCTCCGGGAACACTATGGAATGGGGCACAGCCACAGGATGATGGTACCTACACGATGAATTTGCAGAACGCATTATCTTTTGGGCTTTACGATATCATCGAGGAGCAGCTGCTGAACGCGCTGGCCAAATTTGATATGTATTCAAACGATGCCAAGGTATCGCGGCATATACGCTTATTACTTGCTATCATCAACTACGTCCTCTCCACTCGTTCATTTCCCGCAGTGCATTGGAGTGACCCTACCCCATCAGAGAAGCTCTTTTGTGTACATTGCCTGGGTATGTTCCTATTTGCAATGCAAGATCTCCGGATATGCATCAAAGAACATGCATCCTTGTCTTTTCGCGAAAGTGCTGCGATTTCTTCTACCATAGACGAGGTCATAATGTCGCCGCTTTTCGCGAGCGAGTATAAGCCTTGGTCTCATGTATTATGGATGATACGTTACGATGTGATTCGTATCCTAGGACACATGACTATTACCCGGTCGCACAATCCCCAATCACTGGCGCATAATCTGTTCTGGCCGATCTCAGCTTCGCAACGGCGAAAATGTAGAGACATGATCTGCCGAGTGTCTTTTAATCGGGAGACACTTGATGACTTGCCGCAAGGCTTTTATGCACTAGCAAAGTGTGTTGTGGAGATGGGCGGTCTTCTGAAAGATGACATGAATAGTGGGGACACCACTGCGTTGCATACGTTTATAGATCTCGATGTCCTCGGATTTATAGGGCGGACGATGTTCATGTTTCCCTGGCGCGGCATCCTACAGGCTTATATCTCAGCTGTCTCTCGCACGCTTGAATCAAGCAATGCCGTAACAGTGTGTTCTGATACCGACTCCCAGCCTTATCACATCAATACGCATCTTAACTATATCCATTACCCTGGAAATCTTGCGGCTATCTGCATCATACTGGGCGGAAGGCTTGCGAGATCTCCTGACAAGATGGAGGATGCGAGCACGCAGATGACATTGTTAAAACTCGCTAGCCTTCGTCCGCTTGATCCTGTATGGCCTGCATGCCTCGAACTTTTGGACAAATTTTCGCGAGATGAGCCGTTCCTAAGGGAACAACTGTTCTTGACGATCAAAGACGATGCAAAAGAGACGCGATGGGAACCGTATAATGATCACGAAGTGCGGCTTATTATGGTGCGCCTTGAGGAATCTGTCGCCACTTTAAAACCATATTTTGTACAACATTCTAACACGACGGAGATATCAACTTGCCATCCCACGGTTAGTCGAGCCTTCCAATTTTTATCACAAGTCGTGGACTTATTCACTTTTAGAGCGGTTCCGACTCCGAGGACCCATTGCTGGACATAAATGCGTCTCGAGTTAGTATGTTCAGTTTAGATAATTCTGCCATACCACATCCACCAGCACCACCCTATATACCAGACGATACCGACTGATATGTTAACTATCCGATCATTAGCGTAGCTGAGAATATTTTTATGGTACTCAGTCTGAGAAACCTAGCAGAGGTCCCAAGAGACGTCCATATGCTTCAGGGCAGTTTTGTGAAATCTCCTAAGGTTCGGCATTATAAAGATGCCATCTTGGGCTCGAGACAGCACGAGTCTTCAGAACGAGTCTCCAAGCGACAGACAAGCCAAGGCGCATCAATTTTAAGGGAATGCCATTGAGTGAGGATACAAAACAGATGAGATGTGTGCATACCCTACGAGATGGCCCATGCCAACGAACTAAAGCCCTTTGTACCTGTAGGAATGCCTTTAACGCAAGAACAAAATGAAAGGAAAGAAGAGAAAGTAGCGCGGGTAGACTGAGGTGACTCAAGGAGAACGCTGCTTGACGTGAATATGTTTATCTGACTCTGAACGAAAAGTGTATGCCAAGACCGTTGATATTAGCAAGGCGAGTCTCAGCTTAGAGGGGCGTGCGCGATCTTGAAGCACGAGGTTATCAATGAACCTGCGGAGTCCAGACACGGCAGATTCGGCGAAACAACAAAATGAAGGACCAATATTACTGACTAAACAACGACTTACCTGTCCCTTAAGATATTCCACTGGTGCAGTATAGAGGAGGGTAGGAGTCGAAGAGGAGGAAGTTGGTGACATCCCGACGTCGGGTCGCCGTCTGTACCGTAACCGCAAAGTCCTGCTTGGGTGATTCTCAAGAGCCACGTAGCACCGACTGCAAACAGCTACGAGTATCGTGACAACTCAAATGTCTTGTGAGACTCGATGCAGGCTTCAAAGTAGCGTGTAGCTGTAAAATGGAGATCAGCATTGACTTCCCGTTGGAAAAAGTTGGAACGAGGCACTGTGAGAGATTGGAAAGTAAACCCGGTGCTGAATGGTTATTAGAGCAAGAGTCGACATGGGAAAACGGGATAGTAATCTGACGACAGCAGGGTCTAGACGTCGGTGGATATCGACCGTGGACCTCGTGTTCTAGTTAAAAGACGCCGAGTTTGAAAATATCTAATGTCAACGAATCGAGCGATACTTGGTGGACTTTGAAACACAATGAATCCGCTAGTCATTTTGAGCTCTACGGAGCGAAACTCGGATGCATTGAAATAAACGGCAGAGTTCTTGTCTAAAGGCCTGCAAAATATCACGCCTTTATATCTCGAGACTAAATGACTTCACATATCAGCACGGTCAGCAAGATAACCACGAGAAAACGCCCACCTCAAGTTCCTTATCTCCCGCAGGTCGAGGATCAGTCCCGCCAGGACCATCGCCGGCAAACATGACGAGTGTCACTAACGAAAACAGTGAGTATAGAAGGAACGATAGGAAGGAGAACACACGAGTAAGGATCATAGTGAGGATGAGTTTGAATTACGTGGTGGTACGTGCAAAGGAGGGAGCCATGCTAAAACGCTTCAAGCACCTAAAGAATAAAGACGCAGAGAGGCGCGACTTGGAAATGCAGGAGGCGTTCTGTAAAGCCAGACCTGACATGAGCACGTACTCCTCCCAACCCGGTACGCGTCTCACTTGAGTAGCTATTGGAGGTTGGAGCGAGCGCCATTCTAAGAAAACGGGAGTGGGAGGGAAAGGAAGTATTCACAACCGTCTTTTGTGTGCTATGAACACCATGCGGTAATCAAGCTAAGCTTAAAGAAATCGGATCCATGAGGAGGAAAAACAGCCAAGTCTTTGTTTTCGAGGGCAACTACAACTTGGGGATGGACGAGTCCGACGAAACGGTTCCAACTTTGGCTATCGCGTGAACTTGCTCTCAGTTCAATGACTGCTAAACACCAGTGCGCGTTCGGCGAGGGTCACTACCTGAAACAGTCTAAACCTCTGGATCAAAACACTTGGATAGCCGGTATAATTTTGAAGAGCTTACATCGTCTATCACTGGGATTGGAGGTGCACCTCCAGGCCTGCCGGCTGGCGCAGCCGAGACAACTACTCCAAGTCCTGATGGTCAGAGTCCACGGCTGGGATGAAGATGAAGCGGATCTCACAAGCAAGAGCGAGATTTACTACGAGCAGCTTCCAATACATGGGGTTGGGATGAAGAGGATATTCATAATTGAACGTGTTTGAATGATCATCATGTCCAGGCCCTCGGTGGTATCAATCTGACCGGACTACGTCCAGACTGTGACAGATATCTTGCTTGTATCTATGCAAGTAAAAGATGCCGAGAAGATAAAAACATGTAATAATGATGAACTTCCCCGATTGAATGCCAGAGAACGTTCCATCTTCCATCGCTGTGAAGACCTGTCTTGATCTTTCCGTCGCCCTCGCAGGCCGATATGACGAGCAGGGTATACAGACATAATAGCCAACGTGGTCGAGAGGAGCGAACGACTGCACGTTTCTGACGCGTCGAAGCCTGACGCAGGAATGTGAGGTCTGGAGATCCACAATTAGCGACACTTCATCCAAGGAACAAGTACGCACCTTCAAATTTCAGTGCTCGAGGCCAGGATCCAAACACGCCTAAGGGACCGTCATGTTCAGTTCGCAGAAAGCGCGTTCATCAGACATTGGCATCTAGAAATCCAATTTGCAACATCTCTACTCATCGACAGCACAAATACGCACCTACAACCCCGAGCGTGCATCCAAGACACGAAATTAGAGCAGCGACGCCAACCCAGGCTAACGTTATCCACGAGACTAGTCTCGTAGATCCGTACGCGCACATCTTCCATCCGTCGTCTCCTCCCGTTCTCTACTACCACTGGCATGTTCCGTCTGATATGTTTTTGACGAATGAAAGAGATGTTCATATGGGGAGATGCGTGTTCTTGTCGATGTGCTGCGCGCGCAGGCTATATGCCATTAGAACATAAATGGGAAGATTTTACAGTAGACGCACCTGCCAAGTCAATCTCCGTCCTACATCGTAACAGATATGAGATCTGAGAGGTAAGAGGGAACAAGCTCGACCATGGTGGTGAGAACCCTCAGCCGCTTGGTTTACCTATGGCACAAAATTAGCAAGGCCAAATGAACTGACGCCACTACCGCCAGTCATGGGATGTGAATCAGTCCTGACAAGGGATTTTCCAGTTTCGATTCGCTTAGCACAAACGGAGTGTCGGTAAGGGCTGACCCGGACAACTGGCGTTAACGAGATCCAGATCGAAAGGACAATGCACGCACAACCATCAACCACAACCTGTACTCGGTCCAACTCGCAGATATAAGAAATCCTGGAAGCATTCGCTTGAAAAGGCCACGACTTCGAGGTTTGCTGACAATTGGATCCTTCGTGAGCTGAGCCTGGAACCGAGTGTAATATCACCCTTCTTGAGAAGATGACGAAGCTTCAAGTATTCTCCGGTCGGTCGTGGAGTGGGAACTTTCGAGAAGGAAAGTTGTGTATTTCTTTGGCGATGCGAAGCCATTATCGTGGTTTTTCCACGTATCGTCCAATCAATGCTTGTAGTCGCTAGTGAGCACTGGAGGGTGCCAATTCGAGGTCACCGGAGAAGACGGAAAGAAACACGAGATGCACGTGATTTTGACGCGATCAAAGATTTCATATTCCCTTATCTCTGCTTCTCGGCAAGTACTTCTCCTGCCGTCGTTTCAAACAAGGAAGATGTATACAAATAACCTTCCGGCTGTAGCATCCATATTGGCAGAATAAGTATCTGCAAGTCTCTCAACAGTTTACGTCACTAAAAAAACACGCTACTTTCTTTTCCCCCACTACACGTAACACGGCGCACCTTGGGGCAAAGCGATATTGCGAATGTCCATCCTATGCTTGACACCCAGTGATCAGAGGTAGCCCAAATACGGTATCGAATGGTGATGGAGGTGCGTACATTATTCTTTTGACGGGGTGTGACTAACGATTTCTCTCTAGTTTCGACCCTTAGCAGCTTCTGTGACTGGTAAATCTAGCATACGTCTACATCGAGTAGGAAGTATCTGTGTAACGTTCCACGAGTCACATCCGAAGGTACAGGTCTTATCTCTTTTGCCTGGACGTCGTGCCGATTTTGTATCCATAAGTCTACTGCTGTTATTCCCATGCATAAGTTGCACCCATTGTTTCGCGTCACTCGTAATGCACCTGTGTCGTAACGATGGATCGCTGATGTGTGTCTATAGCGCTGAAACATGGGAAAATCATTGTGGCATTATTGTATAACCACCATTTTCCCATTTTTCAGTGATCTTCTAGCCAGCTGATCCAAGAGATGTGCAGATTTTTGGTCCCGTTCGATTCGGGTTACTGCTCGGTGCCGCTGTTTGATTCTTGTCTTCTATTCCTTGTTACGGCTGTTCTCCATGATGACGCTCGAGCAATGCACGTTTTTCTGCCAGGGTAATCTTACGACATGGAGTGCAGCTCGCGAAATGTCTCTTTGACTTACATTTCTCAGGTTTGCATCTTTCTTCAAGTTCGCATGTCCTCATGCAGGTCCGCCCCTGCATAGGTCTTCTATCTCAAAGAAGTTAAGAACCTGGCGTGATTCGAACACGAAACACTTTAATCGATTTAAACCCGTGGCATGGTTCGAGCTTTGAGCAAGAATTGTAAATCCCGTGCTTCACCTGTTATTATTCATCGACTGACAAGGCTCTCGATGTTCGACAGAATGCAAACGTCAAGAATTACTGAATGCGATCCTGATCTGATATTCTCTGCGTCCAAACAGGCTTGATTCCCGCGCGATCGACGACAGAGACCGACAAGCGCCGGCACGGAGAAGGCACTCGTCCGAGCGTAGACATCGTTGACGTTGCAAATATTCAAGAGCTGTAACATGTACTCATCCCTCTTAGAAGCCGTAGTATGGGAAACCAAGCCAATAAACGACCGAAAGAGCGAAACACACTGGTCTGACCGATGATCTCGATAGAGAATACCGACAAGTAGCCCACCTGTCGTCCTTCAGGTGTTTGTTCGACAGATAACAAAGACGCAACTTATCATATCAGGAGCTGCAAAATTGCACATCGCGAAGATGAAGGCAACGCGAACCCGTGATACATGAAGATTAATTCCTTTGTATATATCTATAGGTTATCTTTCAGCGTCTGTTTTTCGGCAGTGCAGGTGACACGTTTCGGTGGTCTAAGCGCTAATCTGTATTCCTTGCTTCTTACCAGACAGCACGGCGAAACCTGCTTGGCGTGGTGATGGATTGGCAGCGACGCATGTTGGCAATGGAACTGGGTATGTGTACTTGTCTTGGTTTGATGCTATACATCCTCATTCTGCTACCATTAGAGGGAGAATCTCCTGATATTTTCGACGAAGAGTGGGCCTATTATGAAGACCAGTTTAAGTTGGTAATGGATGAGGTAAGAACAATGTTATATAGAGGCAAGAAATAATGCTTTGCACGCAGATGCGCAAGTATAACCCTCCTGAGGTTACTCTCTCCGCCCTCACTGAGACCGGTCGAGACGAATCAACAATTCCTGTGTTGAAACAACGGTCATACACTGGTAGAAAGGTGATTTCCTCTGCTCTTGCCGACACTCCCTGTGCCGATCTTGGTGTCCATGGAGTGTTTGAGAAACTTAACGTGATACTCGGCACCTCATACAATCTATCCTCTACAATGTCCTCACTTCTCGAATCTTACATCGAAAATAATTACGATTTTGGCATGGCCTACGCTTATTTGCGCTTCTACTGGTTTCACTCCGCCATCACTGATAAGCTGTTGTGCGAGAAACAGAGGGACGAGAAAATGCGCAGCCAGGTAATCGCCGATGACATGATCACCGAGCGGAACATGCCCCCTCGACGCGTCTGGGATCTGTATGCTAATCGGGTGGTGCCATACTGGGTTGGGATCATATCCTGGCAGGGGATATCCCATGCGTGGCTTGATGTGGAAGAGCGTGTGGATGTGATGACACCCATCAACGGGTACGAGTGGCCCGTGCCACTGCCAAAGGATGCTGATCTTAATCTCATTCGTGTCGAGATGTTGAACTTCGGAGCAGAGTATGCATGGTTGGATGTTCTGTGTGTGCGGCAGAGGGATGGGATTAGGGAGGATCTACGCAAGGAGGAGTGGAAGTTGGATATCCCCACGATTGGAGGGGTGTATGGTGTCCGCTACAAGGACAAGTTGGATGGAGTGGTATGTTACTTAAGCGGACTCGGTCTGCCGCTGAATATCAAACCGGGCGACCTTGAGAGTGACCGGTGTTGGTTCAGACGAGCATGGTCACTACAGGAGGTCCCAAACGGCTCTGATCCGCTCATCGGCGGGGATACTGGCGATGACAGAATCATGGACAAGGATATGCAAACGACGGTCTATGAACGTCTGCGATCCTTGTCCCAGATGCGACTAATTGGCATGCCATTTAACATCCTGTCACAGATGCAGGAGCGGGTGTCAATGAGTCATTTGGACAAATTTGCAAGCTTGGTATGCCTGTTCAACATGAAGTATATCCCAATTTTCGATATCGAAGGCTCGGCAGAGCATTTCTGGGCAGCCGTTATGGATGCCATGTCGCGTTCGTCTCGGGCAGATTTCTTCTTCTACTATCCTGGGCCTGGGAACGGAAAAGTATTTTGGCGACCATCGTGGGATCAAGTGATGACATCCATACTTCCGAGGGATGAGGGGCAGCCCAATGTCGGGGGTGTTGATCGGACAGAGAAGATAGATTCTGACTGGTATGAGGGACCACGGATTGACTCGATCTATGTTAATGGCTTGGCGGAAACATCGGGCGAACCTCGATGGGGGAAGTTGTCCATCAAGGATAATACGGGGGGATTTTGTGAATGCAAAATTATTGCTAACCACACATACCCAATACCCGATGGCTGGTATACACTCATAGGCACCGGTGGACGTCGCATTCGATCAGGTCGTACCTGGGTAGTCGGGCGGCAAAGATATGGCAAGAAGTTTGAGAAAGTGTCAGTGATCAGTTTGGCAGATGATGAAGAAGTAGGAAAGTTGCGGGAACTCGGAGTTGAAAGATGTCTTCACACAGATATTTGTTGATTTAATTGGGTTGACAGTGTGCTGCACACTAGTCCACTTAATTGCGGTGAGATAGGATGGTAAACAATGGTAGCACATTATTTACACAACCCATAAGGACCCGATAGTCTGTAGTTTCTTTTCCATCTCTCTTCCTTCTTATTGGTATCAGTCGTCTGATTCAGGATGGCAAGAATCCTCGGAGGGAGGTATATGGGTCGACGTGGACAGTTACCGGACTGGACAGCTAACGTTAGCGACGCCGCAACAATGAGAGGAAACTGGTCATACCTCCATGACCCATTCAGGCCATCCGACCTGAGCATCCCTCCCCGGCAGCGCCTGAGTTACTGGGAGCAAAGTGGTGGTTGATCGAATCCCAAATCTTTCGCGAAGCTGATGCGAACTTCAAAGCAGCCTGTATTCTGGAAGAGAGAAACACGGAGATCGGTAACGGCATAAGTAACAAGAGCAAAGAATCCTCCAAACCCCCTCTACCCGATTCGAGTGAACAATCGAAGCTTTGAATACTCGTAATGCGCTCTAACAACAGTGCCAAGAGGGACTTCTGGTATCCTAGAATTAAGTAACGGGATCCAGTACAGCAGCAAGGAAAGTGAAAAAGGTCTAGATGGGAGTACCCTACCCATGGCACGAGCTAGAATCAAACAAGCTCTTCGCGTAGTCGCGAATCCCGATGCGCCATCATGCCGTGAAGTGACATACATAATGCGGCAAAATGGCTGAGCAGGATATGATGTAATTGAAGTACGAAACGATGGTGTGCAGATGGTCCTGTTTCGATGGGGACGAGGGAGGTATGATATAAGCGAAGTCGATGCACCCAAGAAAGAGTCAGAGACTTGGAGAGAGACGACCCGAGCCTATGCATGCCGGTACCACGGCAGTGAATGAGAACGAAAGGAGGAAGACCGTGTGAACAAGGCTGAGTGGAAGGGAGACCTAGACACGGTGAGATCAATGCTAACTAATTAGAGGAGCGCGATAATGTAGTAGACCTTCAGTAACCTCATTGACAAAACCACTACCAGCCTTCCGTCGTGGTTCCAAGGAGACGGATCCTACTAGACGCATACGCCAGTACATCACGTCCCTTGGCGCGTCGTGTCTGCCCTTGCACACCCGCAGACAGACGAATATCTGTAGGAAAGGTCATTAGCACTGAAAGGAAATCAGAAACAGTAGCACCACACATACGAAAAACCGACAGCGGCCAACGTCTGCTCAGACGGAAAGGCGACTTTGATAGATTGGGTTTAAACAATCCCAATCTATCATAGTATAAGCCGGTCGCATCCAGACCTGCAGACATGACATAAAACAGACAGAAATGTGAAGGAAACGATGCCCATACCTCCACTGCTTATCAACCCTACGCCTTTAGCTACGATTCTGGCACAGCACAGAGGATCGATGAGCAGCTCTTCGGGGGTTCCCCCAGATTCGAGTCGTTCGGATGTGATGGCCACAATTCAGGAACAGAGGCGAAGACTTCGACCTAGACAGCCCGGGTTAGTGACACCTTGGCGTCAAAAGGCTAAGCACAATGCACACACCTCTATTATCTACCCGTACTGCGAGCGCCACTCTCCAACAATCCTCGCAGCATTCGCTTCATTCAGAGTCTTCCACGGCTATCCGCTAATCGTTGAATATATCATGAGACTGATTCAAGTCAAGTGTTAGCGCAAAACGAAGATCGATCAATGTTGTCTTGTTTAGGAAGCGGCGGGTAGAGGCTTCCCACGGCTCATGAAACGACCATGTGATCTATACACGGTCAGCAACCTCCCAAAATTTCCCCTCGATTTAAATTTTCGTTCGTCGTCTTCTTCCACTATATCCCCTAGGAGAAATGAATATAAGTATGACAACAAAGAACTATAGCCCATTAGTGGAGGACTCGACTCGAACGAGGACAAGGCGGGAATCCCGTTCCTCTCTCCTGAGGGAAAGTTATTAGACAAGTGCAGTGATGCGAATGTCTTTCCTAGCCTTGTGTACCCCCGGTTTCTCTTCTTTTGCCAGGAGCAAAATCCATAGCAAGTCCCAAGCCAAAATGAGAAAGATAGTGTGACATTTTTATCCCTACAGCAGGCCTCGGATCGAACGAGAACCCCTGCTTGGGCGAAGACTCGAACAAGTGATGTGCGCTATTATAGACTAGGCCAGGGAGTCCTGTATAGAGACCGCGATGGACAACTGCTCGCTGGTCGAATACATGAATCGAGCAATAATTAGTACCGCCTGACAAATCTTGCACAGAACCAATTTAGTGCAGTATTTATGTGTGAAGAACAGATCTTCTAAAACCATTTTTGCAACGTCCGATTTGGCACTCAAAAAAGCGGCCTCGGAGAACAGACTGGATAGCAGCACCTGGAATCGAACGAGGATGCTGCTTGGGCGATGAACCGATCTTAGCATCGCTTGTCATTCAAAGGACTCCGCGTTGGAACGAATCTCAACAACAAGGATATTCTGTATTATGCGGCTGCAGCATATCGAACAGGTTGATATCTGTACTAGACCAAATAGCAACTCTAAGGGGATATCCCATATTTGACGCTCGAGCCTACTACAAGTCAGTTCCCTTATTGCATCCTCAAAAGATATGAAACCTACCTCGAGCTCCACGCTTCCCGTAGGCCGAGGATTAGTCCCACCAGTCCCATCATCGTATGGTACAGCGAGCACAGCAACCGTCACTATATGAAATTTTCAATCTAGCGGAAGGAAAGTCGAAGTAAAAAACAGAAACTCACAAGCGAGGATTACCGTGAGGAGGGATTTGAACTGCATCGTGGTGTGGCGGAGAGATAGGACAAAGACTAAGTAACCAGAATCAGTCAAAAGAACGTTATCTTCACGAGGGGCGACAAATACACATCCTGAACAACCCTGCATCTGGTTAGAGCAAAGAGAAATCAATCTGATCGCAGCAGTGTCCAGACGCGGGCGGAGACAAGAGGCCGTGGACGATTGCGGAGTCCATTCAGGGTACCCAACATTCAATAGCGGACGTAGTAGTAATTGTGAAAATGTGGGTATGCGCCAGCGATTACAACAACAAAGCCGCCGAGCTGTCCATCCAGATTCCATAGCTAAACTACTCCCTCACAAAAGAGAATAGGAGGGTATCGTAGTCATGGCCAGCTAGTAAACGGGGTACAGCGGGACATGACGCATGAGCCAGCGTAAATGGTGCCCGATCTTCCAATATGAGGCAGGCAGGCAGCTCAATCAAATTTAGAAAAAGTCAGGATTAAAAGGACGTCTATGCACCTCCCGTTCCTCCATGGCTTATAGTTATAGGCCGTGACCCATCCTAAGTCACAGAATCCATCGTGTCGTGTCGTTATTGTGACATGGAAGCCGGATCGAGCGTCGGGTTCGTCTGAGAGACACTGGTCCCAAGGGGAGTTGGAAGAGGACGTGCGTCGTGTTCCCATTCGAGGCGCGGCATTCGAAGACGGAACACAGAGAGGATATGCGGGTCTATATGCAAAACCAAATATAGCGAAACCCAAGCGTTGAAAGAAAGTGTACATACCTCCCTCCAATCCTGCGTGCCCATATCCCTCTGTGTGCATACAATGGCATTTCACGCTGTCAGTGTGTCGCGAGCCATCATGTATGGCCTGGGAATTGTGACGAGTTTCAAGCGGCGGATGGCAACCTGTCAAGTTGTTTTGAGAATGGGGCAGAGTTCGCTGGTCGCGCAGTGGGAGGAGAAAGAGAGGAAGAAAAGCCTGGTATTTTCTCACGGCAATTTACACGGTACACGTGATTCTGAGGAATCAATTCTTCCTTCCTTCCCTCAGCGAGCGAGACCAGGAATCCAGAAGCATGCACTACAGTCCTGTACAGTACTGCGTAAACAAATCTTCAAATACAACTCTCAGTCTTAGCAAAACAATGAGCAGGGATGAATGCACAATTTCAATTCCCTCTAGAGGAGTTGAACCTCAGCGGCGCGCTCAACCAACTGAGCTGAGAAGGATTGCATATATGTCGGGATGCAAAAATACACATATCCCGCATTTCTTTAGCATCATAGTTCGAGCTCGAATTGAATAAGCTCTTTGTGGGGTTGTGACGCGCGATAGCGGGGTATTAGGAGGGCACCGTGCTAAATATAACGCAAAAAAACAAAAGAACACAAAATATGTAACTATGCATGAGTAGTGACTAGTGCTAGTGAAACTTGAAAGAACATCATTTCTCCTTGAGGCGTCCGGAGTCGAGTCGCTTCGACCACATCAGGACTTTTGCAGGCCGAAAATTACATCACTGTTTACCGATTTCCTCTAGTCGACTTGAATGACTGATCTCAGCATGGAGCGCTCTACCAACGGAGCTAAGAGGTGATTGATTGATTGCTGGTAAGTATACAAGAATCCAAGCAATATAGCAGCACTACGAGTAGTAAAAACACGTATTCTGGCACATTGTGATAATCATCATGGCACGAGAATCGAATACGGTCTTTGAGCCGTGCGATCCCGATGTGCCATCATGCTATAGAGCCGAGAGCCGATATAGAACATGGAAAAGTGGTATAAGTATAATCGACAGCTTTGATAGAGATGAAAGAAGTATAATACGAGCGCTCACGGCTAAGACAAAGCCTTGACCCAAGAAGACTCTTGGAGAGACCACCGAAGCAACAGTAGACACCAAAAATCAGTGAGGTAGCCGATGTGCACCGGTTATTCACAGGCCGAGAAGCAAAGCTGGACCTGTAGATATAAAATGAGAATAACACCAAGCGAAAGAAAAGATGCTCGCACGAAAGTCAATCCTCGTCCAGAATCCGCGACTAGGATTCTTTCTTGTCTAAGCCGAGAAGACGCTGGTCCGGTACGAGGAGATGGTGGTGGGAGGACGAGCTCGCATGGGAGGTGGAACCGGTGAAGCGTGGATGCAGATGGATGGAAGGGATAGATTATGGTACCGTTCGACGCAGACACCTTTATCATAGACCGAGAAGACTTCTATACATGCGTCAGACTGGAAGTTGGAGCCAAGAAAAGACACGTACCTCAATCACCCATCCCACCCTTCATATACCAGTTTAACGTGCATTGTGAGAGAACGACGTCAGTGCAAAAGAAAAGACGCCGTACCTAGAGTAACGTAGGCAGAGGTCCATTAACGTTAGCAGGGCGACAGGCAGCCGCAGATCTAAAAGTGCGTCCGAGCTTGATCGACCCTGCAGACACAAGCTTAGAACAGCACCAAGCGGGCCGAGAAGAAAAGATGCTCTCATCCCAGGTGAGCGACACTGTCCCGAATCAGACAGCTCAGAAATGTGAGGTCGATCCTGGAAGCCAAAATTAGAGCAATGTCAAGTGCAAAAAGAATAAACGCCTGCACCTCCATTCTCCAAGCTGCCAGCTGAGCCCACCCGCGCGCTGAGGGAAGTCTCTGTGTGCACAACACCCATTCTCCCTCTCCTCCTCTTCTCGGCATGGAACCATCGTCCGTCTCAGGTGGTCGCATATCAAATTACTGCCGGTAGTCTGGAGAGCACAAGGCCGACAGCCGTGGTCGAGCGTTATTGTCGACTCGGTGCATCTTGATCCTTCCACGTTCATCTCTAATAGTGGCGTGTCCTAGAGAGCTTGAGTTGGTGACAACACAACGTCGAAAGAAAAAGCCATCGCGGCGAGAATCGAATCCGTGAGACGAGCTCGAAAGCAGCGAAGATGAAAGCGCGAATAAGAGCATCTTCTTTCCCACGCCCCACTTAGCGCCGACCATGTGACGATCCAGCTTTCCTTTTCACTTCAGGTCTTCATGCGCACGATTCTGGACCTGTTAAACGTCTGCCTAGAAATAATAAAATGGAGGGTACCAGCACGGGACCCAGACTCGAACAACTCAAGGGGGATCCGGTTCTCAAGACTCAGAGTTAATGATTTTGATTCTTGACTTCTGTACGCATGAAGCGTCGATGACTTTTGGCGGACCCTACTACTAAATGCGTGGGTCCTCCGAATTCCATCTTCAAGAACATAGCTGAAGAAACAGTAACGCCAGATGATTCATCCAAAAAAAACTGAATCGCTATCCGTACTACCGTTGATCCTGGCATCGTATCCTACTCACGAATGGCTTCTCTGCTACATGGTGTTCTGATATATGAGTGCTATGCTGATCGGCTTCTATATCATGATCTTCACCCCATGCTCGTATCTCGGTGACGGTTCATCTGTATTCCAGACTATTGGCAGTTCCGGCTTTTCTCCTCATAGCCACGTTCAGATGCCACGCAACCGACTAGCTATCAACTTCACCACGCCGCCCACCCTTTTCACGTCTAGTGCATGTACAACTATCATGTCTCACTATATGTCGCTCCATGCTTATTCGTATTCGTAAGCTGTGTTTTTACATTGCGTGAAGTACTTCGAATTCACCGGATAGGTTTTGTTTCCATTTGACTACTTCAATCGGCTTTATTCTCGATGGCCTTGAAGGAGATGCCCCCAGCTGTGCTTCTGCCAGTGCCCTGGGAACCTCCTATGTACGTTTGTAGTCCATCTATTGAACTATCAAGTCTCATCTTTCAATTCCTCGTTCTCTACTTCAGAACATTTACCTTTGAAGTCAACGGTAACCTTGACAGCAATTTTCTGATGGGCCAGACTGTTTCTACTAGTAGTCCCCGTCCCGGAATTAATACTAGCGTTACAGCGTCGTCTCTGTAAGTTCATTGCAGTCTACATTAATCTTAACGAGGCTGGCTCGTATTTCTTTGTCAGAACGATCAGCTCTAGGAGCAACGACACGCCAAGTCCTCACGTCAAAAAGGCTGATTCATACAAATTTTTATCTGGACGTTGTGTCAGACTTACGCTGGCCTGAATCAAAACGTGCAACCTTACTACACGGCCTACCTTCGAACTAGCCAAGAAAACGACGTCGTGAACCTCCGTTTCATGCTTGATACTCAATATCAGAGGTAGCCCAGACCACGGTGTCGATCGACGATGGAGGCGTGTACATTATTCTTTCGAACACGGGAGTTACTAACACTAGCCCTCTAAGTACGACCCTTACCCTTCCCTTGGCATGGAATGGTTCGTAATATATGATATACGACTTTCCGACAGACGAAGAACTCTATTGACCAGCGTTTTTGTGAGTCGTCTTCTTTGAAACGCCTCAGCCTCTTAATAAATTGCCCCTAGAATTGATGTCGCCGCATTTTCCTTCATGTCCGAGTCTCCTGTAAAGATGGATCGCTGAGGTGTGTCTATGGTGCTGAAATGTGGAAACATCATCGTAGCATTATTGCGTAATGAGAGGCTCAGGACATGCGGAAGAATGTCTTTTCGGAATACCTCTAATTTTCGTTCGTCCACCATTTTCTCGTTTGTCAGTGATCTTCTTGCCAGCTGATTCAAGAAATGCGCAGATTTTTGGTCGCGTTTGATTCGAGTTACTGCTGGGCGCCGATGCCTGATTCTTGTCTTCTGTTCTTTGTTACAGCTATTCTTCATGGTGATTTCTCGAGCGATGCACCTCTTTCGGCCAGGATAATCTTACGACATGGGCTACGACTCACGAAATGTTTTTTTCACCCGAGTTTCTCAGGATTGTACGATCTTCCTTCACATGTCCTCATGCAGGCCCGCCCGTCTTCTATCTCAAAGAACCTTGCACGATTTGAGGAAGAAAAACAATTTATTCGATTTAAACCCTGGGTATGGAAGGGCTCAAGCTTTGAACAATAATTGTAAGTCCTGTATTTCACGTGTTACCATTCATCAACTGACAAAGCTCTCGATGTTAGACGAAACGCAAACGTCAAGGATTATTTAACGATATGGATACTGATTTTGATATTCCACGAGTCCTCAAGCCTGTCTGCCGGACTGATTCCCGTGAGCTCTTATGACCTACCTGCTAATTTAAGTCCCCCAGCTTACGAATGTATCGCCTTCATAATATGACGCATCATCTACAAAGTACGTACCTTCTATATCCACCAATGAACACTCGTATTGACCGTCAGCAAGGAGCAGCCACTCAGACCGGAGACACTGCAAACTCACCCGCACCGTACTCATGTATGTTGTGTCTGTCTATGAGAGAGACTGACGCTGATGAGGATACAGAGACTGGCGAGCTGACTGGCTCCGAGACGGAAAGGGTACTTGTTCGAGCGTAGACATTATTGATGTTGGAGATATTCGCGAGCTCAATCATGTACTCATCGATGCAAGAATCTATCAGTGTGGGAAACCAATCAAACAACCGAAGAAGCGAAACGCACTGAGCGAGGATCTAGGAGAGGGTAAAGCTGAAAGAACCGAGGATAGAATTGACGTTGTTAGCGATGACGTACCGGCCGTCGAAGGACGGGTTGATGAGCTCGATGGAGTACACTGGCGGATCGCTAGGACTCGTGAAGATGAAGATCACAACACATGATGCATAAGGATTAGTTCCTTTGTTGATATGTATATGTTATCTTTCGGCGGTGCAGGTGATCATGACACATCGCTAGTCTTCATTCTTTGCTTCTTACTACTAAACAGCACGACTAAAACCACGGATTGGCAGCAACCCACGTCGACTATGGTCATGAGTATCTGTGCTTGTCTTGCTTTAATGCTGCACATTCTCATCCTGCTATCACTAGAGGAGGAATACACGCCCGGGGCTTGGCCCAATGATTCTAAATGGGTAAGAAGAGAGAACAGTGTTCTAGAGTGTCAAGGGATAATTCTTTGCATGCAGATGCTCCCGTACCTGCCGCCCCCGCTGGAGCCGCTGGAGGCGCAGCTGGAGGTGCGGAAGCTGCGGAAGCAGGTGCGGAAGCTGCGGAAGCAGGCGCGGAAGCAGGAGGTGCTGAAGGTGCAGCAGGCGCGGCAACAGTCACGGCTGGAGGTGCTGGAGGTGCGGCTGGAGGTGCTGAAGGAGGTGCTGAAGGAGGCGCGGCTGCAGGCGTGGAAGCAGGCACGATGGTCCGTCATTCTCTCTGCCCTCGCTGAGATTGGTCAGGACGAATCCACGATTCCTGTGTTGAAGCAACGGTCATATACTACCAGTGACACAAAGGTCATACCATCCGCACTGGCCGACAAATCCTGTGCCACTCTTGGGGTTCATGGAGTGTTCGAGGAGCTCCAAAGGATACTATGCGGCACTAACATTCTCTCCCCCAAGATGTCCTCACTTCTCGAATCCTACATCGAACGAGGATACGATTTTGGCATGGCCTACGCTTATTTGCGCTGCTACTGGAACCACTCCAACACCATTGAAGATTGGTGGCATATGTATGAGGAGGATGACCGGAAAAGGCGGAGAAAAGTGATCGTCGATAACAAGATCACCAAGCGGGACATGCCCCCTCGACGCATCTGGGATCTTTATGCTAATCGGGTGGTGCCATACTGGGTTGCGCCTAAAGACTGGCATGCGATATCACATGCATGGGTCGATGTGAAGGAGCGTGTGGATGTGTGGACGCCGATCAACGGATACGAGTGGCCCGTGCCCGTGCCGGAGGATACCAATCTTAAACTCATCCGCACCGAGATGTTGAACCTTGGAGCAGAGTATGTGTGGCTGGACGTTCTGTGTTTGCGGCAGGAGTACGCGATTAGGGAAGCTCACCGTGAGGAGGATCTGCGTAAGGAGGATCTGCGCAAGGAGGAGTGGAAGTTGGACGTTCCCACCATCGGATATGTGTACGACAAGAAGCGTAAAGTGGTATGCTACTTAAGCGGATTGGGTCGGCCACTGAGCTTCAAAGAGGGTGATTTTGAGAGTGATCGATGTTGGTTCAATCGGGCATGGACACTACAGGAGATTCCAAATGGCTCTGATCTGCTCATTGGTGGTGATACCAGTGATGACAGGTTCATGGAAGAGAAAATGCAAACGAGGATCCATGAAAAGTTGAAATCACTGCGCAGGGTGCGATCATTTGCCACAACATTTGACATCATGTTATTGATGCGGAATCGGGTGTCTACAAAGCCTTTGGATAAAGTTGCAGGTTTGACATACCTTTTCAATGCAGAGTCTATCCCAATATACGATGGGGCTCAGTCAGAAGAGGATGCCTGGATGGCCCTCGTGGATGTCATGCAGTCTTCAAAGCGAGCAGAGTTGTTCTTCTACTACCCAGGGCCTGGGAACGGAAACAGATCTTGGCGGCCATCATGGGAGCAGGCAATGTCATACACACTTCCATGGTGTAATATGGAACACAATACCGGGTATGTTCGTTGGATAAAGGAGACAGATTCCGACTGGTACAACGGACCACGTATTGACACAATCTATGTGTATGGATTGGCCAACCCATCCGACAGCCCTCGACAGGGGAAGCTACTCTTTGAGGAGAACACGAGAGGATCTTGTGCGTGCAAAATTGTTGCTGACCATACATACCCAATACCCAATGGCTGGTATACAATCATAAGCATCAGTGAAGGTTTCACTCTATCAGATCGTATCTGGGTAGTCGGGCAGCTAAGACGTGATGGAAAGTTTGAGAAAGTGTCGGTGATCAGTTTGGCAGACAAAGAAGAAAAGTTGAAACATTGGGGACTCAGAGTTAAAAGACGTGTTCACACAGTTCTATGTTGATGTAATAAAATTTATAGTGTGCTTCACACAGATCTAATTGCGGTGAGATAGGATAGTATATAGCAGTAGGACGTCATTCAGGGTAAACACAGGATCCGATAGCCTGCGATTTCTTTTCTACCTCTCTTCCTTATTCAAATTAGCATCGGTGGTCTGACTCAAGATCACAGAATTCATCGGAGGGAGGTATGGATCCACGTAGTCCCCGGGCTGGACAGCTAAAGTTAGCAATGTCACAACACCAAGAGGACATTGATCACACTATCATGATGCATCCACGCTGTCCAACTTGAGCATACTTCCCTAGAAGTGCCTCAGTTACTCGAAGACAAGTGGCGGGCCTACCGAATCCAAGGTCCTTCGCGAGGTTGATGCGGACTTCAAAGTGGTGTGTATTCCGGAACGGAACAAAACAGTTCAGCGATGGCACTGAGTATTCAAAGCGAAAAATCCTTCAAATTCCCTCTAGCCGACTTGAATAAACAATCAAAGCTTTGAATGCTCGTGATGCACTCTACCAACAGCGCCAAGAGGGACTGCTGGTATGCTAGAATTCAAGCAACGGGGTCCAGCATAGCAGGAAGGAAAGCGAAAAAGGTCTAGATGGAATCGCCCTACCCATGGCACGAGCTAGAATTGAACAAGCTCTTTGCGCAGTCCCGAATCTCGATGTGCCATCATGCCGTGAAGTAACATACATAATGCGGCAAATCCATGGCTGAGTAGGGCATGATGTAATCAAAGTACGAAAAGATGATATGCAGACGGTCCTGTTTCGATAAAGACGAGGGAGGTATAATATAAGCGAGGTCGATGCCCTCCAGAGAGTCACAGACCAGGAGAGCGGCGACCCAAGCCAAGACATGCCAATACTACAGCGTTGAATGAGGACGAAACGGGTGGAAACCGAAGTGACTGACACGTGAGCGAGGCTGACCAAGAGGTAGTCCTGAACAAGGCGAGATCTTGAGTGTTAAGCGATTACAGGAGCAACATGAAGTAGTAGGCTTGCAGGAATTGAGTTAACAAGACCATAACCAGCCTTCCGTCGGCAGCCAGTTCCAGCGCGGCACCGGGAATCAGTGCACATCAACTGAGAGATCCTCCATTGCCAGGTTCAATTGGCTGTGCACCAAAATACGGTTATGATTCATCATGAGCGCAGGGGCAAAGGAACCTAAGTATTGGTCGACCTAGAGAGCCAGAGTCAGTAACACCTGAGTACCGAAGGGCAATAAACGCACTTCATGTCTTATCCATACCTTATCAGACTTGAATGTTCCTCCCGTAACGATATTCGCCTCGCTCGAAGCATATCCTTCGTGAGGGTGATACAGGCTGCAAAACGGCCTGTAATACAGAGTGAGGATAGAAAAGCAGATGTCAGGATAGTGACCGAATCCCGAAAGAGAGATGTGAACTGAGAAACCCTGACGAAATGGACGCTTCGTTATCTGCCATAAAGTTATCCCAGCCAAGATGTATACGGCTCAAGCATCATGGAGGATAGGCATAACAATGAACACGAGGCGATAACAAGAGCTCGAAGAGCACAGCACAAATCGAACGCGATGAAACATGTTATTCCTTGAATTGGCTGGCCTGCGAAGGGCGGAAAAAATGATCAACGAATGAGATTGTGGTGTGGCTGTTCAATACAAAAGAAGCTACCAGACCAAAAGATACAATCCTTTGAGGGTACCACACACTTCATTACAGCACCCAGCGAGATCCATGATTATTCCGAAGAAAAGACAGAATCGCCTACGGCATGACATTAGCTGGGATCGAACCAGAAATAATTTGCCCGCCCGTAACACCATAATGCCACGATGCTCCCACAGCTTGTGTTGGAGATCGTAATGATGCTAGGATAAACCCAGTGAACAAGTACATCAAATCTAAGGGAATATCATCAGGAGGCCGATGTGGTTCAAAGGATATGGACCCTGCAAGATGTATACGCCTGTTCACTGCGCGTCGTGTCTGGCCTTGCATACGCACAGACAGATGAATATCTGTAGGAAATGTCATTAGCACTGAAAGGAAAGCAGAAACAGTAGGCACGACTCATGCATGCGAAAAGCTGACCAATGCAGAAAAGACGCTCGCACCTCAGCCTTCTCCATCCTCAACTAAGACGAACCCTCCCTCCAATAGACGCATCGCAGTTGATTTTATCGACGAGCCGGACGACGGCAGACAGAACAGCTACACTGATTCAAATCGGAGAACTCGGAAATCTGAGGTCGATCCTGAAAGCCAAAATTAGGCCAATGTCAAGCAAAATAAGAAACGCCCGCACCTCGATTATCCAGGCTTCCAGTCGAGTTTCTCCAACCCCTAATACACCCGCTGAGGAAAGCGTCTACCCCTCCATTGGGCTGTGGACCCGGCCGTCCTTTATTGGGACCTGGCACCAGTAACACCACCACCACTATTCCTCCTGTTCTCCACATGGAGCCATTGTCCTTCCAAGGTGGTCACATATCAGGTTAGCCCCGGAGGCCCGAGGCCTGGAGAGTACTTTGGCGAACGGCCATGGCCAAGTGTTCTTGTTGACTTGGTGTATCGACCCGCTTGATCCTTTCTCCCACGTTCGTCTCCAACAGCGGCGGGTCTTAGAGAGCTGGACTCGGAGTTGGTGGTACTCTAACGTCAAGAGAACAATGTACACACTTCCGCCTGGTTAGACTGGCCTCAAAAAACTACGAGTCCTGTGCCCTGTGGCCAATCGAGTGCGCGAGATAGGCTTCGAAGCAGCGGAGAACATGAAAGCGCGAAAGAGAGCATGTCTTTTCCCACGGTCACCTCCACTTAGCGACGACCATGTGATCTCGCTTCTCTCTTTCAACCAGATCCCTACGCGCATGATTCTGGCTCTGTCAATCATCTTCCTGAGAATAATAAACGAACGGTACCGACACCGTGGGACCCACAACCGACGTGACGAGAATCCAAATTTCTCAGGACGCAAATATAAAGAGTGAATGATCCTGACCTCACTAGCCCATTGAACGCGTGATGCATCGAGGTTTTTGTCAGACCCTACTAAACGCGTAAGCCACCCGATTCCCTTTTTCAAGAACAAGAACAGGCTAAATAAACGGCAACGCGAGATGACCCCCCCAAAAAGCTGGATCGTTATCCGTACCGCCTCTGATCCTGGCATCGCACCCTACCCACGAAATGTTTCTTTGCTATACGGTGTTCTGATATGTAAGTGCTATGCTGATCAGTTTCGTCTCAACTCATATTTATATCTCAATGAGGATGACCATGTATCATGTGTATCCCAGATTTGGATGTTTTCCTCCCAAAACTGCATTGCAACTATGTACTATACCATCTACTTATTTACCGCCCCTCTTTGTACACAAGGGCCAAGAACCGCTTCCGTGTTGCGCGATCTCGTATTCGAATGCCATGCTGATCGGCGTTTACATCATGATCTTCATCCCGTGTTCGTATCTATGCGATGGTTCACTGATAGATTCCACTTTCCTCCTCACAGCCACATTCAGATGCCATGCAACCGAGTCTATCTCGCCTGTCTGCTTCACCACAGCACCTACCATTTCACGCACACAATTACCACGTCTCGCCAGATGTCCCTCCAGCTTATCTCGTAAGTCATGTTTTTCATTGCGTGAAGTACTCAAATTCACAGGACAGGTTTTCTTTCTGGTTTGTTACCTCGAACGGCTTTTTTCTCGATGGTCTTGAAGGAGATACACCATTTGCATTTGGAAAGCCTCCGCCTGGCCCGGTGCTTCCTGGGTGCGTTCGTTTGGCGTTCGTAGTCTGTCCGCTGGTACCGAACAATCAAGTCCGAGTCTCATCTTCGCTTCCTACTGGCGCCAATAGTAACCCAGAAATCATTGCTCTCACGCTTCCGGGCCCAGTATCAATTCCTACTAGTAATCCTGATTCCGGAACTCCAACCACTGTCTCAACATCGTCTACGTAATTCCATTACCCTCTATTACTCCTAACGAGACTGGCTCATGATTTCTTTGTCAGAATGACCAGCTCTGGGAGCACCGACGCATCGATCTTCACCAATCCTTTCGGGACAACACCCTCCAATCTTGCTTCAAGTTCCGGCTCTGCAGGACCAACGACTCAAAGGTTCGTTTATTTCCCACTCCTTCCATCGCTCATCGCCCATATCTCAACAGTTCCTCCCAAACTACGGGAAGTACTAGTTCGATCACCACTGGTAACGCTTCATCGTACGCATCCCCAAAGACTCAGTATTGAACTGTAAACCTGACTCACTTCAAAACAACCGCTGCTACTTCCCAATCCAGGTATATTGTTCTCCGTTCTTTTCTAAAGCAACTTTTACCGGCTTATCTAGGTCGCTCCCAATCATCGGCGCCACAGTTGGCTCCTTCGTATTCATACTGCTCCTCCTAGGTGCCCTCATATACACCCTCCACCGACGACAACACCGGAGGAAACATCCTGCCATATTTCACCGCGATATGATGGTCCGGCGGAAGCGCTCAAATCCGGTAAACGATTCAGGTACTTGCACGAATGCGGGAAAAGGCGCTTCGTATGGTTCTATGGACAAAGCAGACCCTGCAGTGAGTTCGGAATATTCGCTGCCTGCCCCCAGACATACAGACCACTAGATGGAACTACACGACGCTTCAGCGAAGTGGAGAACAGGCTCAAGACGAGATTGACGGGGGCTGGAGATGTACAAGAGGAGATGACATGCCAGTCAGGGTCCTGATCTCGGTGTAGAGATGGCGTTAGATGTACTAGGCGTTTATTGTATTTTCCGTAAACTATGCTTTACTGTTCGCTCAATAATCGGTTGACGGTAAAGCTACGGATAGAAAAAGACCAAAAAAAATCATTTTACTTCCGGGCCAGCGTTCTGTGGACCGCGGATCCCAATTCGACATGAAGAATGCTACCACTAGAGGCGTGACAGCAGCAATGAGTCTGACTTTGATAACATCCCGATATGCTGGGTGTGAAAGAATGAGTAACGCGGAATGGACTGTTATCCTAAAGTAAGTGGCTAACCAGAAATGACGACGGGATGATCCCGACGGTGGAGTTGGCCTCAAACAAGTATGAACCTTATAGAAAAAGCGAAAGTGAAGCTGACCGTAGAAGGGAGATGGGGTTTAGGCGTGGAGCATGTCTTTTCCCGCAAGTGGCGGCGACTTGCAACGGTAGACGCCAAAAATCTGCGAGGTGGCCGATGCGCAGACAGTTGAGGACCAGTCATTCAACACTCCGAAAAGTGAACCTCGACCTGTAGATGTAGAATGAGAATAACACCAAGCGAAATAAGAGGAGATACTGAGCACGCACGGGAGGTGGACAATTGATGGAAGTGGTAGTTATGGTACTACTTGATGCAGACATCTTGATCGTAGGTCAAGAAGCTCTGTATATGCGTCAGACTGGAAGTTGGAGCAAAGAAAAGACGCGTACCTCAGTCCTCCATCCCGCTCGTCATATACCAGTTTAACGTAGGCCGAGGATCATGAACGTTATCAGGTGAGCAGGGCGAGAGGGAGCTGCAGATCTAAAGCTCTGGGTTGACCTGCAGACACAAACTTAGAACAACGTCAAGCGAGCTCTAGAACTCTTTCTTGCGCACCATCTGTCCCCTTTGTCAAACGAACCCACCATCCATTCATGTTGTGAATGATATTATCGACGAGCCAGACGATTGCAGGGTATACATGGCTGAGTGAGCAACCGCACAGTGTCCCGAATCAGAAAACTCGGAAATGTGAGGTCGACCTTGAAAGCCAAAGTCAGAGCAACATCAAGCAAAAGAAGAAATGCCCGCACCTCCATTCTCCAAGCTCAAGCTTCAAGCTTCAAGCTCCAAAGGGAAGTGTCTATGCACAGCACCCATTCTCCCTCTCCTCTTCTCGGCGTGGAACCATCGTCCCTCCCAGGTGGTCACGTATCAGCTTAGCTCCGGCGGTTTAGAGAGTACTTCAGCAGACGGTCGTGGCCGAGTGTTTCTGCTGACTCAGAGTATCGGCCCGCTGGATCCCTCCTTCCATGTTTGTCGCCAACAGCGGCGGATTCTGGAGGGCTAGTGTTGGTGACAACAAAGATTCGAAAGAACAATGTATTGTGGCAAATCGAGTCCATGAGAACAAGCTTAAAAGCAGCGAGGAAGATGACGGCGCGAATGAGAGCATATCTTTTCCCACGCACCACTTACCACCGACGACCATGTGATCTGGCTTCTCCTTTTCTCCTTTTCACTCAAACCTTCACGCGTGCCATTCTGGTCTTGTCAAACATCTGCGTAGAAATAATAAAACGAAGGGTACCAGCATTACTGAATCCCGACTCGAACAATGTTACGAGAATCCCATTTTCTTAGGACGCAAATAGTGAATGACCCTGACTTCACCAGCCGGTTAAACGCGTGATACGTCTATAGCTTTTGGCGCACCTTACTACTAAACGCGTGCATCATCCGATTCCCATATTCGAGAACAGACTGAAGAAACACAAGATGACTCGCCAAAGAATCCAGATCGCTATCTGTACTGCATCTGATCCTGGCACCACACCTTACCCACTGAATGCTTCTTCGCTATCCGTTCTGATATGTGAGTACTATTAGTATGCCGATCAGCCTTGTCTCGACTCATATTCGAAGGCTATGCTGCACGGCTTCTACATCATGATCTTCATCCCGCATTCGTAACCCAATGACAGTATACGATGGTTCATCTATATCCCAGACTACCGATAATTTGTGTTTTCCTTCTCACAACTGCGCTCAGATTGTCCGCAGTACCCTCCCTTTTCATGCCGCGTCTCGCTAGATGTCGATCCAGCTTATATCGTAAGTCACTCTTTCCATTGCACGATGTACGAGATAGACACTCAATTCACCGGACAGGTTTCGTTTCCGTTTTGACACTTCGACCGGCTCTGTTCTCGGGAGATAGAAATAGACCAATTGGCATGCCTCTACCGGTGCGTTCATAGTCCGTCTACTAGTTTTGAAATATCGAGTCTCATCTTTCAATCTCTCGCTCTCTACTCCAGAACACTTATCTTTGAAGTCAATGGTAACCAGGACAGCAATGTTCTGCTGAGCCGGTCAATTTCTACTAATAGTTCCAGTTCCGGAATTAATACCAGTGTTCCATCGTCGTCCTCGTATGTCCACTGCGGTCTATTAATCTCAGTGAGGCTGGCTCATATTTCTTTGTCAGAACGACCAGCTCTAGGAGCACCGACACACCAAGTCCTTGTGTCACAAAGGAAGATTCATACAAATTTTCATCTAGACGTTGCGTCACGCTAGCTGAATCAAACCATGCAAGTTCCCATTCCCTTATTACATGGCCCACCTCGGAGCTAGCTTGACAAAGCGACGTGAATCTCCGTTTTATGCTTGATACTCAATATCAGAAGTAGCCCAGACCACGGTGTCGATCGACGATGGAGGTGTGTACATTTATTCTTTCGAACACGGGAGTTACTAACACTAGCCCTCTAGGTACGACCCTTATTACCCTTCCCTCAGCGTGGAATGGTTCGTAATATACGATTTACGAATTTCCGACAGACGAAGAACTACATGAACCGGCATGTTGTGAGACATCTTCTTTGAAACGTGTCAGCTTCGTAATAAAATGTCCTTAGAGTTCATGCCACCGTGTTTTCCTTTATGTCCGAGTCTCCTGTAAAGGTGGACCGCTGAGGTGTGTCTATGGTGCTGAAACATGAAAACATCATCGTAGCATTAGTGTGTAACGGGAAGCTCAGGATATACGGAAGAATTTATTTTGGGAATACGTCAAATTTTTGTTCGTTCACAATTTTCCCGCTTGTCAGTGATCTTCTCGCCAGCTGATCCAAGAAATACAGATTTTTGGTCGCGCCTGATTCAAGTTACTACTCGGCGCCAATGCCTGATTCTTGTCTTATGTTCCTTGTTACAGCTATTCTCTACGATGATATTTGAGCAATGCACGTCTTTCTGCCGAGATAATCTTATGGCACAGGTTCCGGCGCACGGAAACATTTCTTTCACTCAAGTCTCTCAGGATTGTACGATCTTCCTTCGCATGTCCTCACGTAGGCCCGCCCCTGCAGGCAATTTTACGACATGGGTTACGACTCACGAAACGTTTCCGTTTCTTTCACCAGAGTCTCTCAGGATTGCATGATCTTCCTTCGCATGTCCTCATGTAGGCCCACTCCTGCATCGGTCTTCTATCTCAAAGAACCTTGCGCGATTCGAAGGAGAAACACAACTCATTCGATTCAAACTCGGGGTATGGACGGGCTCGAGCTTTGAACAATAATTGTAAGTCCTGTGTTTCACCTGTTATTATTCATCCACTGACAAAGCTCTCGATGTTAGACGAAATGCAAACGTCAAGGATTATTCAATGATGCGGAGCTGATTCTGATATTCCCCTTGACCTCAAGCCTGCCTGCCGGACTGATTTCCATGAGTTCTCATGACTTGACCTCCCTGCTAATTTAAGTCCCCCAGCTTACGAATGTATCGCTTTCATGACTTGACCCTCACCTACGAAGTCCGTACCTTCTGTATCACCGTCCGAGATGCTGATATCACCCTCATCCTTCCATCGTCCCGTACGTATACCCCTGCTTTAAACGCACGTGAAAGTATCCCCAATGAACACTCGTATTGATTTTCAACAAGGAACAAACGCTCGGAAGGAACAAAGGCGCTACAATTTCCCCGGCGCCGTATTCATGTCTGTTGCGTCTGTCTGTGAGAGAGACTAACGCTGATGAAGATGCAGAGACCAACGAGCTGACTGGCTCTGAGACAGGGAAGGTACTCGCTCGAGCATAGATATCATTGATGTTGGATATATTCACGAGTACCCATCCCTGCAAGAATCCATCAGTGTGGGAAACCAATCAAACAACCGAAGAAGCAAAACGCACTGAGCGAGGATCTAGGAGAGGGTAAAGCTGAAATAACCGAGGATAGAGTCGACGTTGTTGGCGATGGCGTTGTGGCCATTGAACTTGAAAGACAGGTTGATGAGCTCGATAAAGAACACCAACGGGTCACTAGGGCTCGTGAAGATGAAGATCGCGACTCATGATGCATAAGGATTAGTTCCTTTGTTGATATGTATACGTTATCTTTCGGCGTCTATTTTTCGGCAAGATAATCATGACACGTCGCTGTGATCTAAGCGCTAATCTTCATTCTTTGCCTCTTACAGCCATATAGCCCGACTAAAACTGCTTGATGTGACGACGGATTCCAGCAAACCACGTAGACTATGGACATGGGTATGTGTGCCTATCTTGGTTTGATGCTGCACATCCTCATTCTGCTATCACTAGAGGGAAAATCCGATGAATCTAATGTCCTTTTGGAGGCATATTGGAAACATCGCATCCGCTCACGTGGATTCATACGGTATAAAAAGGTAAAAACAGTGTTCTAGGTGAGCAAGAAATAATGCTTTGCATACACAAGTACAACCCTCCTGAGATCACACTCTCCGCCCTCACTGAGGCCGGTCAAGACGAATCGACAATTCCTGTGTTGAAGCAACGGTCATACACTGGTAAAAAGGTCATACCATCTGCTCTGGCCGACACTCCTTGTGCCGACCTTGGTGTTCATGGAATATTCGAGAAACTTAACACAATACTCGGCACTTCACACATTCTATCCCCCATGATGACCACAGTCCTCGATTCCTACATCGAACAAGGATATGATTTTGGCACGGTCTATGCTCATTTGCGTTTCTGCTGGTATCACCCTGACACCATCGAAAAGTTGCGCAGGCATGAGGAGAATGACCAAGAATTGCGGAGAAAGGCGATCGTTGATAACAAGATCAGCAACCGGAACCTGCCCCCTCGACGCCTCTGGGATCTTTACGCTAATCAGGTGGTACCATACTGGGTTGCACTCACAGACTGGCGTGCGATGTCGCATGCGTGGATGTCTGACGACGAGCGCGTCAATATGATGACACCCATTAACGGATACGAGTGGCCCGTGCCTATGCCGAAGGATGCGAACCTTAATCTCGTCCGCATCGAGATGTTGAACTGCGGAGCAGAGTGTGCATGGTTGGACGTTCTATGTTTGCGACAGGAACAGAACATTAGGGAGGATCACCATGAGGAGGATCAGCGCAAGGAGGAGTGGAAATTGGACGTCCCCACGATCGGGCATGTGTATGATGGCTTGTGGCGTAAAGTGGTATGCTTCTTAAACGGACTCGGTCGGCCGCTGAATTTCAAGCTGGGTGATCTCGAGAGTAACCGATGTTGGTTCAAGCGGGCGTGGACGCTACAGGAGGTCCCAGATGTCTGTGATCCCCTTACTGTTGGTGGGGATACTGGTGATGCGGAAGAGGAAATGCTAACGAGGGTCCATGAGCAACTGGAATTATTGCGCGACATGCGAAGATCAGGGACACCGTTTACGATCCTGTCGGAGATGCGGAATCGGGTGTCAACAAAGCCTTTGGATAAAGTCGCAGGCTTGATATACCTTCTTGATGCAAAGTCTATCCCAATATACGATGGAGCTCAGTCGGATGAGGATGCCTGGGAAGCCCTCGTAGATACCACGTCGCCCTCGCTACGGGCCGAGTTGTTCTTCTGCTTCCCCAGACCTGGGAATAAAAAGAAATGTTGGCATCCATCGTGGGAGCAGGTAATGGCGCATACACTTCCGTGGGGTAATGGGGGACATGGACGCAATATCGGGTGTGTTTTTCGGACAGAGGAGATAGATTCCGACTGGTACGAGGGACCACGTGTTGACTCAGTCTATATCAGTGGGTTGGCTGAAACCTCGGACAGCCCTCGACACGGGAAGTTGTTTGTCAAGGCTGACTTTTTGTGGTGGGACGGTGAATACAAAATCGTCGCTGACCACACTTACCCAATACGTGATGGCTGGTATACACTCATAGCCACCGGTGGAGGGTACGTTCCACCAATCGCTGATTTTTGGGTAGTCGGGAGGCTAAGAGATGATGGTAAGTTTGGGAAAGTGTCAGTCATCCGTTTTGAACGACCTGGAAGGCCCCAGCAGCGATTCGGATTTTATAAATGCGTTAAAACAGTTCTGTGTTGATGTAATGTATGCTTCACACAAATATACTTAATTATGGTGAGATTAGATGTGAACAGCCGTAGGACATTATTTAGACTAACTTCAGTGCCCAACAGTTTGGAGTTTCTTTTCTATATCTCTTCCTTATTCTTATTGGTATCGGCAGTCTGACTCAGGATCACAAGAATCATTCGGAGGAGGGTGTATGGGTCGACCTGGACAATCACCGGCCGGACAGATAAAATTAGCAACGCCGCAACACTGAGAGGATCCTGATCACACCCCCACGACCCATCCATACCGTCCAAATTGAGCATCCCTCCCTGGAAGTGCCTGAGATACTGGGAGCGAGGCGGTGGTTAACCGAATCCTAAATCCTTTGCGAGGTTGATGCGAACTTCAAAGTAGCCTGTAATCTGGAGCAGAGCAAAACAAAGATCAGTAATTGCATCGAGTACTCAAAAGCGAAGAATCTTCAAAATTTCCTCTAGCGGACTTAAATGACCAATCAAAGCTTTGAATACTCGTGATGCGCTCTATTAACCGAGCCAAGAGCGACTGCTGGTATACTAGAATTCAAGCAACAGGATCCAGCACAGCAGCAAGGAAAGCGAAAAAGGTCTAGATGGGATTACCCTAACCATGGCACGAGCTAGAATCGAACAAGCTCTTTGCGCAGTCCTGATGCGTCATCATGCCATGAAGTGACATACATAATGCGGTAAAATAGCTGAGCAGGGTATGGTGTAATTGATATACGTCGGAAAGATGGTACGCAGATGATCCTGTTTCGAAGGAGACAAGGGAGGTATGATATAAACGAAGTCGATGCGACCAAGAGAGGGTCAGAGACTAGGAGAGCGACGACCCGAGCCAAAACATGCCAATGCCATAGCATTGAACGAGGACAAAAAGGCGGAAAACAAAGCCAATGACGCATCAGCGAGGCTGACCAAAAAGGGGTCCCGGACGCGGTGAGATCAATGCTAAGTGTTTAGAGGAGGGCGATGATTTAGTAGGCCTGCAGGAACAGAATCGGCAACAAGCCTTCCGTCGGCAGCGAGTTCCAGTGTGGCACCTGGAATCAATGATGTCTCTTGAGAGATCCTCCCCTTTCCGGTTTAGTTTTCTGAGCACAAAAATACGGTTATGGTTTATCATGAGCACAAGGACAAAGCTGCCTGAGTATTGGTCGATCTAGAGAGCTAAAGTGAGTGAAACCCCAGTGCTAAAAGAGCAACAAATGTACTTCACGACCTATTCGTACCGTAGTAAACTTCGACGTTCCTCCTGAATGACACTCGCCCCGCTCCGAACGTGGAATCCTTTATGAGGCTGTAAAACGGAGTGAGCATAGAAAAACAGAGGTCAGGATAACGACTGAATCCATGAAGGCAGATTTGAACCCGAGAAACCATAGGTCTATTACCACGTATTTTATTGCCGAACAAATCTGAATATCCTAAGAAAAGACAATCACACCCATTGCAAGACATTAGCCGGGATCGAACCAGAAATATTCCATAACTTGCCTGCCCGTTACACCATAATGCTGCGATAACGCCCTCACAGTTTGCGTTGGAGATACCGGTCAACCTATATTTACGGATTGCATGCGGTGGACAAGCATGTCAAATCTAAGGGAAAGTCATTAGGAGATCGCCGCGGCCGGGTTCCAAGGAGACGGATCCTACTAGACGCATACGCCAGTACACCACGTCCCTCTGCGCGTCGTGTCTGGCCTTACATACGCGCAGATAGACGAATATTTGTAGGAAAGGTTATTAGCACTGAAAGGAGAGTAGAAACAGTAGCACACAACTCACGCATACGAAAAGCTGACCAACGTCTGCTTAGAGGGAAAGGCGACTTTGCTAGATTAGGATTCAACGAAGAGTGTGATATGATAATATAAAACGGTCAAGCCCAATTGTAGAAACGTGCGCAGTCTCTCTGGTGACACACGGCGGTTGGCATCCCGACCTGCAGGCACGAACTCAACCAGGCACAAAGGCAAAGAAAATGAAGCCCGTACCTCCACTCGGTGTCAAAAGCACATTGCACGCACCTCTATTATCTACTTGTACTACATGCGTCCTTTCCCAACAATTCTAGCAGTGTTCACTTCATTCGGAGTCTTCCATGGCTTTCCGCTAATCGTTGAATATATCGTGAGACTGATACAACCCAAGTGAGCGCAAAAAGAAGATCGACCAATATCGTCTTGTTTAGGAAGCACCGGGTAGAGGCTTCCCACGGCCCACGAAACGACCATGTGATCTAAACACGGTCAGCGATCCTCCAAAATTTCCTCTGAATTCAAACTTTATTTCGTCCGTGTTAGTCCACCGTATATGATCCTACTAGGGGCAATTAATATTAGTATCATAACAAAGAACTACGCCATTAGTGTAGCCTGGAGGACCTTGGTTTGAACCAGGGCAAGGCGCTCACGAGTCACCTACGGCTCCTCTCAGGGCAAATTTTTAGACAAGTGCAGTGATGCGAATATCTTTCCTAGCCCTGGGCATACCCCCGGTTACTCTCCTTCTGTCAGGACCAAATACATAGCAAGTCGGAAGCCAAAACCAGAAAAAAGAAATGCACCTCCTGTACAGCAGGACCTCGGATCGAACGAGGAGCCACCTGCTTGGGTGAGGACTCGAACTAGTGGTGTGCGCCATTACAGGCTAGTCCAAAAGTCCTCATTCTATAATTCGATAATTCAGGATCCTAGCGAAGGTAGAAATCCATCCCCGTGAAAGACCGCGATGCACAACTACCAGTCGCAATCAGAGTTTTCGTGTCGGAACAATAACAAGGCCGAAAAAATAATCTTTATTTTTTGTCTTCCTTCCCGGCAATGAAACCATTCTTGATTCTTATAACGTCCTATTTGGCACTTTGCATAAAAGCGGAGGCACAGGCCGGCTGCAGTATCATAGCGGCACCTGGGATCGAACAAGGAAGCTGTTTGGGCGAGGAATCGATTTAACCATCGCGTGTCATTCAAAGGACGCCGCGTTGGCATGAATCTCAAAAAACGGATAGACTTTGGTATTCAGCTGTAGGGCGTCGAACGACATATATTTATATTGAACCAGATAGCAAATCCGAGGGGATATCACATGTCTGACGCTCGAGCCTACTACAAGTTAGTTCCCTTGGGCCTTATCACATCCTCAAAAGATACGAAACCCACCTGCAGCTCTGCGTTTCCCGTAGGCCGAGGATCAGTTACACCAGTGCCTTCATCATCAAGTACAGCGAACAAAACGACAGTCACTATTAAAAATCCAATCCAGGAAAGGAAGTCGAAGCAAAAAAAACAGAAACTCACGAGTGAAGATTACCGCGAGGAGGGATTTGAACTGCATAGTGCTTGTAGGGAGAGCTAGGGCACAGGCTAACAAGTACCCAGAGATCAGCCCAAAGAACGCTATCTTCGTTAAAGGCGAAAGGTATGCATCTTGAACGACCTACAGAGGCCTGTTTGAACCTCGTATCAAAGAGAACGTGGACAATTCAGGGTATCCAACACTCAATGACAGCCGTGAAAACCTGTATATAGGCACCGGTATCTCCTACAGCAGGAGCTGCCTTCAAAGTGGACGAGGGAGGCTAGAACCACTCCCTCATGACATCCTCCACAACCGAGAATGACAATGCACAAGGAAGGTATCGAGTCATGGCCGTCGAGGAAACGGAGTACAGTGGAAGGATGCTGGTAACACATGTTCCTGGGCTATTGGATGAGAACATAAACAGCGCCCGTCTGAAGAGGGTCTTCAAACTTGAGGAAGGCGGGCTGCAAATCCAAAGTTGGAAGCCTACGCACGTCCCGTTCCTCTCCGGCTTAGAGTTATAGGCCGTGGCACAGGCGGAGTCGCAGAATCCATCGTGTCGTGTCGTTATCGCGACCTGGTTGAAGCCAGATCGAGTGTCGGGCTCGTTTGAGAGACACCCGTCCCTGGGGAAGCAGGGAGAGGACATGTTCCGATTCGAAGACCTGTAAATGTAAAATTAGAATGATACCAAGTGAAAGTAAAGATACTCACACAAAGGCCAATCCTTCTCTGACATCCGAAACTAGGACTCTTTCTTGTCCAAGCCGAGAGGATGCCGGTTTACAAGGGGAGATGGTGGTAGACGTGTAGGAGATACCGAGCTCGGTGGACCCAGTGGAAGCGAAACTGAAGCGTGGATGCATACGATCACAATACCACTCGAGGCAGACGTCTTTATCGTAGACCGAGAAGACTATATATGCGTCAGACTGGCGGCTAGAATGACATCAAGGCAAAAAAAAGGCGCATACCTTCAATCGTTTCTTGTCCCATTCGTATACCAGTTTAGCATGCGCTGAGGTCCAGGAACGTCGTCGTTATCAGGTGAGCAGGGCGAGAGGGAGAGGTCGATCTGTAGACACAAACTTAGAACCGCGCCAAGTGCGAGGAAGAAAAGCTGTTCCCACGCTGGCCTTCTCCATCCGCATCGTGGTGGATATTATTGACGAACACTCATAAGAGTTGATAAAACAGACAACTGCAGAACAGCTACATGCTGTCCTGAATCAGATGACTCAGAAATGCGGGGCCGACCTTGAAAGCAAAAATTAGGACAATGTCAAGCAAAGAAAGAAACGCCCGCACCTCCATTCTCCAAGCGGCCGGCTCCTCCACGTGCGCTGAGGGAAATGTCTGTACGCCGGCCTTATTCTCCCTCTCCTCCTCTTCTCCATCGTCCTTCCCAGGTAGTCGCGTATCAAGTTAATGCCAGCGGTTTCGAGATTACTTCAGCGGAAGGCCGTGGTCGAGTGTACTTTCGATTCGGTGAGTCGACCCGCTTGATCCTTCTTTCCATGTTCGTCTCCAACATCGGCGATTCCTAAAGAGCGGGGTTCCGAGTTGGTGACAAGACAACGTCGAAGGAACAACATATCTTAGCAAATTGAATCCATGAGACGAGTTTCAAAGCAACGGAGATAAAAGCGCGGACCGGGAGAGCGTATCTTTCCCACGGTCCACCTAGCCGCTGACGACCACGTGACTCTCTGGCTCACGGTTCTTATCAGCATGGACTCCGACCCGTTCTAAAGACTTGGAGTGAATGATCTTGACTTCAGCGGCCAATTGAACGCGTGGCATGCCGATGGCTTTTGGTGAACTCTGCTAAATGCTTATGCGCCGTCCGATTCCCCTTTCAAGAAGACGCCCCTGGAACCAATCACCGTCAAGCTGTAAGCTTAAGCTTGTATTGAGCGCTTAAAATCTGATCTCGTTGGCCACATCAAGGTTTCCTTTCGAGAAGTGGCTTACTCGGAGTCTGGCCGTAAGACTACACCAAGGGAAGTGTTCCGTCAATGTCGGACAGTCTCGCGAGGCTTATCACACATCTACTAGAACCAATAACATGAAAAAATGGCATGGTCGAAGGGAAAGACCTTGTACACAGATAATTTTCTATGCGATTCAAAACAGAAAACTAATTCTTACTTTGAACCTGAGGAATGAACGGAAGCGAGCTTCGAACAAGAATTGTAAGTTCCATGTTTCACCTGTTATAAAGTATTCATCAACTGATCAATCTACAGATGTCGGATGGAACATAGACATCAACTTCCCTTGCACCACGGATTGGTTTATTCCTGCAAGTTCTCGTAACTTTGAGTCCCCCAGCTTACCAATTCAATTGAGCAGTGCTGCCATAAATTGACCACCATCGCTACAAGGTACGTACTTTCTCTATCTGCCATCGGAGACACTAGTAATCCTGATTCCCACCCTCAGCCTTTCTTCGTCCTGAGGTCAGAATACTTTTACTGTGCGAAGACTATTAAGGATGATTGTTTCTTTTTTCTCAGGAAATGGATGATATCATCGACATATGTTTCATCGTATACGAAACCTGGTGAGATCCCCCAGTTCCGTTTTTATTCTTGTCATTGCTTATTACTGTGATTGTGTCGTAATGAATGACTGTGTTATTTAGATATAACGAGGTGATATCTTTAGTTTCATATAACACATGGATCCCTCTTCAGCGCCTGAAAAACTATCCCCAATGAACACTCGTATTGATCTTCAGGAAGAAGCGTGCCCTGGGTTATCAATATCTTAATCAAACCAAGGAGAGCAAAAGCTCACGCATAGTGATGTCCGGGTCAGGCTTAAAGCCCGCGACCCGGCCTGACCCAGCCCGACTCGACCCTGAAAAGCCCAGCCCTGGTGGAAGGCTTTGGCGGACTCAAGGCTCGGCCTCAAGCTATGGAAAGCCCGAGCCCTGGTCGGTTCTGGTAGCATCGTAATATAGGCTTTGTAAAGGGTGAGTCTGATTTCTTTCTCACGTTAAAGCTTCAATATGATGACTTACAGCAGAAATTAGCATGAGGATGTCAAAAGCCCGGCTAAAAGCCCAAGCCCAGCCCAGCCCAAGCCTGACCCTGAGGCGGGCTTGGGCGGGCTCAGGGCTCGGGCTCACACTTTGTCAAGGCCTGACCCTCCAAAGCCCGGCCTAAGCCCTAAAAACCCGACCCGACCCGACCCGACCTGGACATCACTACGAGTCACACATCAGAAATTATTCGCTGCACTCTCGGTGAAAAAGAAAGCCCAAATCTCCTTTGATCCGAACAGCACTGAGACGTAGGTCCGTTTCATTTATGTCTACAAAGACGGGTGCTCATTCGATCCTCAGTCAGACAATGAGGTGTAAGTTGGATGAATGCGGGTAGTTCAGCCTTTCGTGGTTGGGTAACTTCCGCAACCGAAAAAGCGGCTTTCAGCAATGCATATCCCATGGAGAGCGTCAATCATCATCAACTCCGGAAATGCCAGTCTTCTTTGAAGTCCATCAACGGCAGTGTCCCTGATGCTGACTCACATACCACAGCTACTTGCGCGTCTCACGCTTGAATTGCCCAGACGGAAGTTTTCAACCGTATTTGATGAAACCAAATATAACTTTCGCCAAGGAAAACTCCCTTCGAATGTAATCTCAAAGCGCTGCAAGCCACAGGGTGGATATAAATAACGCGTTCTTCCATTAACGCTAGCATAACAAATGTTGTCGCCTCCCCCAGTACCGGTAGCTGACTCTGATATCCCCCCGCTGGGAATGACATTCGGTGCGGTTTATATCGGTGCTACCATAGGAGCCATGTATGCATTCTTTTCCTTGTGATCTACTACCTATGCTCATCGTGTGTTCTAGTTTCTATGGAATAACCATTGTGCAGACCGTCATCTACTACAAGCAGTACCCTAATGATCCAAGGCTCTTTCGATATGCTGTACGTTTAAAAAAAATACACTTTCATAAGATTCTTCAAGCCCTGATATCCAAGCAGATCGCGTTATTGTGGTGCGCTTACAGAATGCCGCGTAATTATATACCCAGCTGTATCCTGATGTTTGCTATAACTCTAGCATTCTCGATACACTTCACGTTGTGACAAGCACTCATGTCTTGTATTTTTATCTGGTTGAATCGTTCGGGAATTGGCTTTCTCTGTTCAGGACTGTATGGTACGTCCGTCTCGCACCTGTCATGGATACAACTGAGTTTACACTGTGCTGGTAGGAGTTTTCTGGTGCGCCTAACTCCCCACTTCATCCATTATGTGAAATTCCCAAGTTCCTTCGGCCTTTAGTTGCAAATTCTACTCAATGTACGTGAATTTGGTATGATATTGCACCGCTCTCTGATTATTGACTAGACGTTAATCATCGTCGGCGTCCAAGCGTGTGTCTCCTTTGGTTGATTTTTGAAACACTATCGGAAATCCTCATTCACCGGTGTTACAGCTTATATGCCGTTAGGATATGGAAATGTTAGTTTCTGTTGGCATTAGCTTAAACAGATCCTGACTGTCAGTCCCCAAATAGTTGGCCGTAACTTCCATGTGGTCCTTCCGTGGTTCATTGTACGTGCTCTTCTTCTCCTTTTCACAGTACTCGCACAGACATCTTTGGAATCACACTCGCAGTTTCTTGCTGTCGCTGCTTCTCTCAGTGAGACCACTTAAATTTGTCATAATGAGTGAAGTTCTGAATGCTATTTCGAAGCCGCTGGAATCTGTGAGCATCGATTATATATATATACAGCACTGACATATGGAAATTGTTACTAGATGTTATTTATGATACGTATGGACTATGCCTTTTTACGATGACCGTCTCCTGAACTAACCTTGTCACCAGATACACCCTCCCAAGCCTTTTTGACAGGCCGACCATGAGAGTAGGCTTTTGTAGTTCTGTAATCGGCATATGGGCACTCTAACACGTAACTGTTTCCTAGACATCCGTTTATGCAGTCTTCTCTACATTCGTAGGGGCGGATTTCTTCATCGCCACTACAATGTGCTACTACTTGCACAAGGGCAGGTCAGCGACCAGCTTCTCCAGGTGTGTTGCCTACTCCGTCAAAAATATGGTGTTCACGTCAAGCACTGCTTGTAGTACGACGAAGATTATTATGGGATTGATGCGGCTGGTTGTGATGTCAGGTCTGGCTACGAGGTATAATTCTGACTTGTCTGATATGATGGCAGTTAATCATAAATGCTGGGTCTAGCGCAAGTTCGCTGTTTGCTCTTGTGGCGGTATTGACTCATGGATCTTCGTTCCTCTCGCTCCTGACTTCATCTTTCATACAGGACATTGTTTGGCCAAATAGTTTCATTTGCATCGCAGTCGATTCCATTCTACCGAAGCGTGCGTATCAAAGTCTGCTCAACCGGTTTCTTGTTCGTCTCTAACTGTTTACTAATAGTCTACATAACCTCCTTGCTCTCAATGCAAGTTCCTCTCCCCCTTGTATTTGAATAATGTTCTAACTTCAAATAGGCTGAACGCACGCAACGTGCAAATGAGGACGGGAACCAAAGAACATCCTGTCCATCAGACGATACTCAGGTTTGCTCCTCATACCTCTGGTAGCAGCGGGCCAAGTGATTCAGCAGAGAGGGTATGTAGTAGCATCCTTGCTGCATTCATTGAAGGTGCTACAGAGTCTTCCTTTCTCCAGAGCATCGACATAGCCCTTTCCGTAATGGAAAGAGGACATTCAAATACCTGCCCCGAGGATATGACATTCACTTGAGCAATTACTCAATAACGCTGTCCTATCAAGATAACTAGCTCGGTTGACTGCCAGGACATGCCTACCATCTATCTATTCTTGCTTATACTATTGCTTGTATGTCTTATAATGCGTATTTTAATGAACTCTTTCTTCTTTCCTTCTTTCTTCGGTGAGCGAGATCAAGCATCCGGAAGCATGTACTTCTAGCATCCCCAGTATTTTACCGTGTAGCGTAAATGTCTCGCTATAAAATTTTCAATCCGACCCTCAGGTTTCCGACTCGGAGTGAATTGCTCCAATATGCCCGATTTTAAGTCATAGGTTCCAGCATAGCAGCAAGGGAAAGCGAAAAAGGTCTACAAGGCATCACCCCACCTATAGCGCAAGCTGGAATCGACCAAGCTCTTTGTGCGATCCCGATTGCGCCATCATGAGATAGAATACATAACGTAATAAAACAGCCAAACAAAAGGGCATTATATAACTGACAAAGTACGAAGTGACAGCTGTTTTGATGGGTACGAGGGAGCATTCGTAAGTTAGTCGATGCGTCCAGTAAATACACAAAGTCAGAGAGCATGTCGTGGTACATAATCTACCAGGCACGGTGCAAGTCCTTCATCTGGCCGACAAGACTATTACTAGTACGAGTAGGGAGGTTGAAAGAATCTGCGATCCAAAACCATAATACTATCCCATTAGTTCCCTCTAGCGGACTTGAACCTCATGGACCCCTTTAATAAGGCAGAGGCACGCTCCACCAACTGGGACGAGAGGGCTTGTTCATGTCCTGTATTACGGTATCATTAAACGGAAGCCAACACATCCTGCTATAACACTGGAAGTACGGAATGACGGCAGGCAGAGAAGCGGTACATACTAGATGGGAGGAGATACAATAAGTACGAGTTTTCCCACTAAAGAAACAAGGACTAACTCATTGAATTGGACAGCAATGATCCAACAAAGACGGTAATAAGGATCTAGGTTAAATGGACGATGCACGGGAGCGGGGAAAGAGGCAGACAAACAGACAGAGACGGAAAGAGCCGTCAGCACTCGGTCGAGGTAGGCAAAAAAGACTGCATCTGCAAATTAAAAGTTAGCGAAAACCCAACGTCAACATTGAAAGATCACGTATTGCGCACCTCCTTTCAGTCCCTCGTGTCCATATGTCCTTCCCAAAGGGCAGACGCGCTCTACCAGCCGAGTTGAGAAGAATTGCTCATCATATGCTGGAATGAAGCGAAAAACACATGTACATGTCTCGCATCTCTTTGGTATCATGTGAATCAAGCAAACTCGCACGGTATCATACAACGAGATAAAGGGTTATTGTCACCTCATAATGCACTCGGTGCCGCTAAGGTGACGACACAGCTAGTAGACAGAGTAGCGTGCTAATTGATAGCAACGATAGAGTACGGAATGAGAACCGAGGCGTAGACCGTCCTGTTTGGAAAGGAAGGAATAATACAAGGAACAATATGAGCGTTCGCAAAGGTCGACGTCCCCAGTACATAAAATAATATCAATCTAAAGGTGGCTGAGCTCGCGCTGGAGATGGACCCGGATTTGGTGGTGGAGGCTGACCTAGAAGCGTGCTTAATGAAGGGAAAGGTGGAAGGATGGATTAAGGAGACTCACGCAGACAGCAGAACCACTCGCACCGGCACTACCACTCTCGCTAGTAGACCCCGTCGACGACGCAGATGCTGAAGAGCTGATTGGTTCTGAAACGGAGAAGGTACTCGCACTGCACCGGGACTATCATCACCGAGAACAGTTGAGCATAGGCGGAGATCAACAAGCAGTTTGTCAGGTTGAGAAGGAACTGGCATTACAGACACGAAATTAGAACAATGTCATACGGAGGAAAAGGATGCCGTAGACGATTGCCAAGTCCATTCAGGGTATCCAACGTTCCATGGCGAACAAGGCAGCAGTTGTGAAAACCTATGCATAGCCACCGGTATCTGTTACAGAACAGTCGCCTTCAAAGCAGATGAGTCTGCACCAATCAGCTCCCTCGTAACATCCCTCATGCAATGCACAAGGAAGAAATCGTGGTCACAGCCATCTCGGAAACGCGATACAGCGAGTACTGGATGAGAACATGGATGGCGCTCGTCTGGAGGTGTCTCCCTATTCGAGGCAAGCGAGCTGCAAAGCGAAAGTTAGAAAAAGTTAAGGCTAAAAGAATTGCACGCACCTCCCTGCTACCCCATCCGCACCCGTTCTTCCACGGCTTAGACAGCGATGCACAGAAACCATCGTGATTGCGACCCGGAAGCTGGATCGAGCGTCGAGCATATGAAATTTGTCTTGCTTGAGAGATTGACAGAGAGGTTCGCCGGCGGTAGATTAGGAAGAAGAAGAGAATCATGTATCTTCCCCGCCTCCAGACACATCTTCTAATCCGAGACGGAGGGAGGCGCCGCATGTAGACTAAATTCAAGAAGGATGCACGACGTCGAACTGCAAAGCCAAATTTAGCGAAACCCCCAGCGTTGAAAAATTTCCATGCACCTCGCTCCAATCCGGCATGCCTGTACTGGTATTGTGGACAGTGGCCTTGAAACCAGAGTGCGGAAGGCCATGTGCACAAAGCTCAGCGTCTTGTTTGAGCGGATGGGAGTAGCAAGAGGTTCAGGAAGAGAAGCGCATATACTACGGAATTTTCCCACGGTAATTTACGCGGTACATGTGATCCATTCCGTCTTTCTTTCCTTGGCCAGCGAGGTCAGGAATTACTCAGAAGCACGTACCCGATTCTATGATCCCCAGCGTTGTAACGCGTGGGGTAAACGTCTCACAATTAAAAAAATACAACTCTCAAGCCTCCAAAGAGTAAGAATTGGAAGGATGCGCGTACTCTTTCTCCAATCTTCCCTTCTGACTAATAAAACAGGACAATTTCATATATCTCCCAACAAAACAAAAAATATTCTGATGCGTAGGTCAACAGTAATTCAACCAGGGTCGTGGATTACCACCCGAGACAGTCTAAATCCCCGTATCAGATTGAACAGCCGACTCGGATGCAGCTTACCATCGTCTGGAGATCTCGGTGCATGTCCATCGTATGGCGTCCCTGATACGACCGCCATTACTACTGCGAATCCGAATCCTGATAGTCAGGATCCAAAGTTTGACAGAGGACAAGAAGGGTGCTCACCGGCAAAAACCACTACGAATAGCTTCAGATACATGTTTCGATGTAGGAGATCCTAGACAGAGTCGCATTTAAATACCAAAGCACTCGATGGTAATAATCTGACCGCAGCACTTCTAGGTTATGATGGAAATACTACTAGTAGTAAAAGAGGCCGATATCGCAAAAAGAGCAACACAAAGACTCGGAGCAGAAGCACTCATTGACTTCCAACTCAGGGTGACGGTCAGGTACGAATCATCCGCAGATCAAAAACATAAAACCCCTCCTCAATTCCCTCTAGCGGACTCGAACCCCACGACGCGCTCTACCAGTTGAGCTTAGAGGGATTGATGTGAAGGATAACAAGACCACGATGGGTACAGAACTCGACGGGGAAGGGATAATACGAGAAAAGAGGCAAGAAGGCCAAGTCGACAATACGCAGTTGAGCTTGTAGGGTGGATGGAATGGGGAGACTCGCGCGGACCGAGAACTATCATCACCCGAAAACAGTTTAGCGTAGGCCGAGATCCACGAGCAGTTGGGCAGGAAATCATTCTGAAGATAGAATGACATCACACGAACTTTTGCCCTCACGCACCACCCTATTCATTCAGGCACAACGGGGAAACTCTCCATAAGCGGCAGGACGAGCGAGAACAACTTCCAAGCAGAACTGCAGACCTTGGCACAAGTACTACGCAGCTCAAACATTTCTTTAGCCGAGTGAGTGATGGAAGTAAAAAAGAAGAGCAGCGATGCATATTTTCCCATGCTAAACCATCGCACTAGTTAACGAACAGGCAAAAAACATACTCCAAAGTAATAGGCTATACCCTCTGGCCGACTTCACGCGCTCTACCAACCGAGCCAACTTGAAGAGGGGCTGCAAAGGGATGAATATCGGTAGTAATAGAATTTAAGACAAGAATCTTACTCCAGGCGAGTGAACAGGACGTAAAATCTTTTCATCGAGACTTCCGGATTTCTGTTTCCCTTCCGAAATCGGAAAAACTTAAAAAGATCAATCAGCAGTGCGAGTGCGGAGCAAAGGCTTTTGTAAGAAATGCAGCTCTTTACAGATCCGGTGAACAAGAAAGGATTTTTGACGTGCCAGGAAGGAGAAGGTCTGCCGTATTGTTCTTGATTTGTGCGGTAAGCAATTCAATTGAGAGTAAGATAATAGAGAAAGAGGGGCAAAGGCTACCGAAATAGGATAGAGAGGCATCTGGGAATGAGGCCCCTCACCTCGATCTCTTTTATCGTAACGGAGTAAAGGGTTGCCGGTGGGCACTGGGAAAAAAAAAAAAACTTGGACCGTTCAGTAAAGAAAAAAAGGTACTCTATGCCGAAAACTGTATTCCCTCTAGCCGACTTGAACGACTGACCTCGTCATAGATGTAAAGGGCGATCTTCATACTAGTGACGCGCTCTACCAACTGAGCTAAGAGGGACTACTCATGCGTCTGGTAAGTACCATCTATTATCATGCTGAGAGGAGAGAAGATAAGGGTGCGTTCAACATAATGACAGTATCTCGTTAAAGGCGTCGAGCGAATGTGAATGCCATCGCTGGAAGAGAGAACGCCGCAAGATAAAAATTATTTCCAGGTATCTATATGTTCCCTAGCCGAGTTGAACGACTAACACCCGTCATTGACGACTGAGCTAAAGGGGATCTGGCTGTGAAGTGAACGAGAGGGATCAAAGGGTCAAGGGCATACACGTCGGAACCAGATGCGACAAGCGAACACAGGATGAGACGTCCCCGTCTTGAGTATAGAGTCGAACGAGCTCGCCAGATCGGTGGCGCCATACTGCTGAGCCAGAATCTTCGCGAATACTGAACGAGGTCTCGGGATAGATCATAAGGGCAGTGTACGCAGCAAGGGTGGAACGATAGCCGGACGTGGCTTTGAATGTGCGTAGGTAATGTGGTGTTATGGAAATTTGACATCCGCGATGAGACACGGCGAGGAGTGTCCGTGTCGTACCTTGGCTTGATGTACCGACGAACAGAGGCAGAGGGTAGTGCTCGCGCGAGATGGGAGACGAGAGCGGGTGTCAATGATGATGAATGTGCGACGGAAGGCCATTAAGAAGGAAGCACAACCCGGTCAGATGAACGGAGCCCCTTGTCATAATGATTGATCAAAACTTTTTCACGGAACTTCTTTTCCCACGTGGCCAGCCGACCCTTCAAATAAAACCCTTGTCACTCCCACAAAATTTTTCCCCTCCTTTCTCCAAGCCTTCCTTCCTTTCACGATGTTCTCCATCCTCGTCGCCCTTGCCGCCCTCCCTCTGACGCTCGTACACGGTCTCACCATCAGCAACCCCACAGAGACCGTCACCTCTACCGGGCCCATAACCATCTCGTGGACCACCCAATCCGGTGACCCGTCGACGTTCTCTATTGAGCTCATCAACCAGTCTTTCAACAGCCAGTACGCCATCGCCAACAATGTCGACTCCAGCCTCGGATCTCTCAGCCTCACCCTCCCTCAGATCCCTGCTGAGTATGTTTTGCTCTTTCGGTTCTTTGTTGGTTTCCCACGCTAACGGATTGCCTGTTCTGCAGGGATGGATACACGATTGAGCTCGTGAATATCTCCAACATCAACGACGTCTACGCTCAGACCAGCACTTTCTCCGTCTCAGAGCCAGTCAGCTCGTCAGCCTCCGCGTCGTCGACGGGGTCTGCCAGTGAGAGCAGTAGTGCCAGCGGTAGTGCCAGTGCCAGTGGATCAGCTTCAGTTTCCGGGTCTGCGTGAGTCTCCCTAATCCTTCCACCTACCCTTCCCTTCACTAAGCACACCTCTAGCTCCGCATCTGGCTCTGTTTCCGCCACCGCATCCGGGTCCACCTCCCGCGCGAGCTCAGCCTCTGCCTCGGTATCAGGCTCCTCCACCCGCGCGTCCTCCACCTCTCCCTCCGCCTCATCAGCCGCTGCTACCGCTTCTTCCTCTGCGTTCAACGCTGCCTCGCGCGTGCAGATCGGAGGTGCCGGTGTCCTCGCTGCTGTCTTGGCATGGGTCATCGCTCTCTAAGCAGACACTTTTTTTCCTTTTGGACAAGACTTTTTTGGGGCTTTTTTACGAACGATTACGCACACTCATACTTATTATATATACCTCTCTCCAAAACGTTCTTTTGATGGACTGTCTACGTATTGTACTCTTTACGTACCGTCAACCCGACCCGTACTTATCGCCTGTCGTTGCTGTCAATCAACGTCCGTTCTCGGTTGTTTTGTCGCGCCATTATTGCGTTGTATTCGGTGGAGTTGAGCGATGGCTGAGTATGCTAAGGTTTCTTGACAGCCATGATGAGACATAGACTAAACACATATATTCCCTCTTAGCTCAGTTGGTAGAGCGCGTCACTAGTATGCGCCCGGCAGTGGTCTATGACGAGGTCAGTCGTTCAAGTCGGCTAGAGGGAATGCTTGAATGCTATATTAAGAATTTTTGGTCCATTGCATGCGATTTGGTATTAGAATTGGCTAAAGGTTTTCAATAACATCGGACTCGAATTTCGGTGGCTGCCTAGTACTTGTTGTCAACAGCCGGTGCTGAGCAGTGAGGAATCAGGTTGGTGAAATAGAAAAGACAACTTGATAATATGTGTCTACATGGATGGGATGCAGGAAAATACATTCCTCTCTCTTCAACATCTCGGTGCGACTGACCCTTTGGCTTTCTGGATTCACCACACCTGTGTTGAGACACGAGATGATGACGTGCACGTTGACTGTTCAATCTGCCGCTCTTCATCTTTGCTCCTCATACTGGGACACAATCATGGAAAAAAGAGATCAAGGCCGCGGACGGAGTCGGGATGCTGCACCCGAATGAATGGAGGGTACATGAGAATGGCCTTTCCTCCGCTTGATGCGGTTCAACTTTTTTTCCCCTCTCGTCTTGCTCAACCACGTATAGAGATCTCAACCCACACTATCTATTCTCCTGACTAGTCCCCTTTTCTCTCTGCTCGTCGGTTAGTTTCCTCCCTTCAATGAACACACTTCTAGCAGTCTTCTTTCTTCTCCGTTCTGCGGAGAGACTCGATTTGTTGTGGCTCTGCCTTGTGGTTCCGGGATTCAACTTGCATCTTGCAAATTCCCAGTGCTCCCGTGCTCTGCTTTTCTAGTATCTACTTGGGCCCACCAGTATCCACATTATGGTGTAGTGGTTTAAGAGGAACGACTCTTTCTGGTTCGATTCCAGCTAATGCCTTTAGTATATCAACTGCATCTTTTTTCCTGCATGTGGCAGAGAGCTCGGACACTGGTTGTGGGGAAAGACTCGCCGCTCGGATGTATTTGCAGAAGGGGTGCACGAGAACGATGGTCTTTTCTTCCGCTCGATGTCGTCCTAAATTTTTATCTGCAATCCACATTATGGCTTAATGGTTCAAGAGGAACGAGTCTGGTTCGATTCCAGCTAATGCCATTTATATTCGTCGTTCCAAGGGGGCTCTACTATTTCCTGCAGTCAGATATGCTGGATTGTTGCAGAGGCCACGGGGAAATGTATGGCTATTATTCGCTGCTTGCCAGCTTGTCTCGTGGAGGCGATCCTGTCTTTCCTTGGGGTGGCGGCTTGAGAAATGGAAGCCGGGTGTCTTTTCTCTGAATCATAGCATGTCAAGTCTCCGAGGCTTCACATGCACAGACTACCATGCAGTTCGGATTCCTCATCCTTACTCGTGCATGAATGTTCATCATGCTCATGCCCACCATGTAATTCCAAGGCAATTAGACATGGCAAGGAAAGGAAGACAGCTTTTTCTGCTCCGAGCTCGTCGGCCTTCCTTCATTTCCAGGACCGGCTCCTTCTTCTCTCGTCGTGGGTGAGTCCTTCTGTCTTTACCGTGAAGAGCTCGTATTGTATTATCTCCCCCAAGCAGGATCACTTTTCTCTGCGTGCCTACAGGATGTGTTGGCTTCCCTCTAATGATACCGCACTACAAGAGATGAGCAAGATCTCTCAGCTCAATTGGTACAGCGCACCTCTGTTGCTCATGTGGTTCAAGTCCGCTTGAGGGAATTCCAGTTGTTGATACAAATGTTGATTTTTTTGTCTACAGATTCTTTCTAAATTCCGAGTCAACTTCCTTAGTGGTCGTGTCGGCTACGGGGACCTGCATCCCTGTCTGGTAGATGAAATGGCGTAACTCTGGTAAATCGTTGTTCCCGATTATTTCGGCCTTGTCGTGATGCGTAGATTTAGGACGTCTCAGCGTGACCCCGGAGTACTAGGAAGTCATTCTTGTTGGGATTTGGCAATCCGGCATCATGCCGAAGTTGCTTATTAAGGTAGAAGTCGTAGGAAAAGCGTGGAAAGTTCTAGTAAAAGTACATTTAGTATAAAAGTAGGTACTGTAGCATAGATCCTCATGCGTTTGCAGAGCTCAGCCAAGCGCAATACTATTGGCTTGCTACTGTGCATGTGACACTGGGAACGAACCGATACCCCATTTTCCAACAATTCTGTAATAAAAGAAAAGATTGTCTCCATACCTTCTGCGTTCCGTTTCTAATCCTGCTCGTATGATAGCAATTAGTTTTTTCTCAGAAAATCATAATAAGGTACGGAGATGGCGGGAAGGAAGGAAGCAAGCCACCGTGGGAAAATAATCACCTCTTCCTCTCACTCTGCGACTAACCCCATCCTCGTAGCCTTGAGCCAAGACACGGGGTTTGTACACATGGCCATGCACGCACCATTTTTCAGAGAGCACGATACCAGCGCCACATGAACCTGAAGGATGGAAACGATTCTAAGCCTCGGAGGGACATAGGCACGCATGTGCGTGCGCGTTCTTTCAACGTTGGAATTTCGCTAAATTTGGCTTTTCAGGTAGACTGGAATCGACTGGGAGATCCTTCCAGTATTTCGTCTCTATACGGAGCCGCCTTCGCGAGGAAGATACATGTTTCTCTTCTTCTTCCCAATCCACCGGCGAACCTCTGCGTTATTCTAGACTCAAGCTCGATGCTCGATCCAATTTCCAGGTCGAAATAACGACACGACACGATGGCTTCTGCGCGTCACGGCCTACGATTTTAATTTCTAAGCCGTAGAGGAACATAGATATTGGGTGTGGACGGTGTTGCAGACAGGTGTGTACATACACGTTATTTATGTTGGCTTTTTCTTACTCGAGCTTTACATGTTACAGCTCGCCTGCTTCGGATCGGACAATTGGAAGACCAAAGCGCTGGCATTTATGCCGGTTCACATCCTACTGTACCTGCCGGCTGTGACTGAGATTCCCTCCCGTTCTCTTTCACGAGGAATGTTCTGAGAGAGAAGCCATGGACCGCTCGGCTCAGTGCTGCTGTAGGAGATACTCGGGTTGTCTACTTACTATTCAATACGCGTATTTATCCGCGACTCCTTTGGTTTTCCGGATCGACGGTGCATATTTCTTGTCGTTTAGCTTGCCTTGACTACATTCCCCTTTAACAGACATGACCTCACTGAGGAAAGAAAGGTAGCCTTTTCTGCTCCGATTGTCCGTTCGGTTTCGTGGGTATCATATTATCTCCTCCAAACAAGATTTCCGTACTACAGGATGTGTTGGAGGCTTCCCTCTAATAATAACGCACTACAAGACATGAACAAGCACCCTTGACTCAGTCGGTAGAATGTGTCTGCTTTACTAAGGGGGTCTATGAGGTTCAAGTCCGCTAGAGGGAACTATGACAGTAGCACGATAATTTTGTTTTTGGTCTACAGATTCTTTCAAGTTTCGACTTCTCAACTTGTAATCATTAGCAGTGCCATGGACAGCACTCCAGCTAGTATTAGATGAAACGGCGTAACAGTAACAAGTAAGGTCGCCGTTCCTAATTATCTCAGCCTTGTCGTGATGTGGAGCTCTAGGAGCATGTCACACAGATGAGTTACTACTAGGGCTTCAAGACCATCTGTATAAGAAGATATTTGTCCGGGCCATTCGCCGTCGGGACTCGGGAGTCTTTCATTTCTATTACTAGTGAAAGAGACAGCGTCCCTTCCATTTCCGAGTCTGCTAGTGGGTTGCAATCACGAATCACAAATTGTCCCAGCAGAAGCTTGATATTTCGAAAGAAGACCACAGTGCGATACAGAGCTGGAGGAGCGGAAAAGAATGAATCACATGGGCCGTGTATTTTTCCGTGGGAAAATACCCGCCTCCCTTCCCATTCCGATCCACCACTAAGCTTTGTACACATGGCCATCCACGCTCCAATTACAGGCCTCCATACCAGTGCGACGTGAACTTGAAGGAATTGAGATGATATTCTAAGCAGTGGAGGGACATAGGCGTGCATGTGCGTGCACGTTCTTTCAACGTTGGAGTTTCGCTAATTTTGGCTTTGCAGTCCGACGGGAGAGATCCTTTCTGAATTTTGTCTCGACGCGGTGCCAGCTTAGCGAGGAAGATACATCTTTCTCTTCTTCTTTCCAATCCACCGGAGAACCTCTACATCCCGAGGCTCGATCCAATCTCTAGGTCGTAATAACGACACTGTTATGAATACGTGAGATAGCGTAGTAAGTTGTGTACGTAGCTAGGTAGTATTCGTAATACAGTTGAGCTCCTTTACCAAGGAAAGGATCCGAGAAGGGAAGTAAGTCGACGAGCGCTAAGCGTAGTCGAAGGAATGACTGATCAGCCCAGAAAGCGCTAAGCGTAGCTGTCTCCCATTCTCAAATTCACACAAAGTAGAATGATAAATCAGAGAGTAGTTCTTATTTCGTAGCTAGAAGAATACTTATATACTGAGGAAACTGCGAAGAATATTCTAGTAGTACAGCTTTATTGAGAATGTTCTGCGGTTTTCTGGTACTTTCAGGATAGGAAAGGTATGTACGGAATGTGCGAGAAGTTAAGAGAAACAATTAGTCCTTGTTTAGGCGTCCGAAGACTTAGTAAGACTCGTAGGTATGGCATATCCATAACAGACACGACACGATGGCTTCTGCACGTCACGGCCTACGATTCTAATTTCTAAGCCATAGAGGAACGTAAATATTAGGTGTAGACGGGGTTGCAGACAGGTGCGTACGTACATGTTCTTTATGTTATCTTTTTCTTACTTGGACTTTGCAGCTCACCTGCTTCATATCGGACAACTGGAAGACCAAAGCACTGGCATTTACGCAGGCTCACATCCCACTGTACCTGCCAGCCGTAGCTGCGATTCCCACCCATTCTCTTTCACGAGGGATGTTCTGAGAGAGCAGCCATGGACCACTCGGCTCAGTGCTGCTGTAGGAGATACCACTGTCTACTTACTGTCTGGTACGCGTATTTGTCCGCGACCTCTTTGGCTTTCCGGATCGACCTTGTGTCTTGTCTACATCGATACACAAGAAAAGGGCTGCGAGGGCCTTCTATTCCCGTTTTAATTTTGTAGTCTACAGTGGGTAGGTTCCTTCTTGTCTTGTACAACTGTTGACGTTAATGTGTGACGTTCATATATTTTGGCCTCTTAATGAGATAGTTATTCACTCTTGGGCCTGCTAGTGAGAGTCGACCTCAGTGTCGATCTCGGCTACTTGAGAGTTCTCCTATTTGCCCGTCTTTCGTTAAGCACGCTTCTAGGACCAAATATGGATTCCCTTCGTGGCGACCATGTTTGGGACAGTCTCGCCCGCATGTCGTTTACTTCGCCTTCCATGCCAGCTTGCCTGTTGATTTCGTGTCTTTACTGTGTGTATGGGCGTAATAGCGTGCAAAAAATCCGACGAATGCAAGTTAAATTTTTTCCAGTCGCAAGTTACTTTTAAGTGCACAAGTTCGCGTCCCTCCCGCAAGTAAGTGTTTTCCTATAGTGATGTACACACCGGCATTATTTGTTACCATAGATCTCTGAATAAGATCTGGGGGCGCGTGATCGGATCGGGACGAGGTGGCCACTGAACCGGCCGACATTATTCTATTTTGGTGCTTGACACCCGTCATTCCGCCATTGCCATAATGGCCCGAATTCCTCCAGCGTTCTATTCATCTTTACCTACTTCTCCATTACTTATTCAGTGATGAATTCAGATACATTTCCTTTGGGTGTTTGATCTTTGGATTCAAAGCCGCTCAGACTCAGTCTAGACAGTACTCCCTTATAGATTTGAATGCTCGGAATTCGGCAAGACAGCGATAGATCGAACTCAGTGGGGCGCACTGAGAACGTCATTTCAGAGGGTTCAAGGGTTCACGACATGGCCTGCTGAACAGCATAGGTACCGTATTCCTTCCCAGAATGTTAGTGTTCATATCTTTCGTGACCAATTGTCGGGTATCCGGACGGCTGGATGGAGATTTGTATATTACAGCCTAGGCCTTGCTTATTCTGAAGCTATATCCAATAGCAAACTTGCGAAATTACTAACTTGTGGAAGGATATAAGCGAACCTGGGGGTTTATAACCAACTTGCGAGCGGAAAAACGCGACTTGCGCCAATGTGAATTTTTGCACGCTATTATATGGGCATAATAGTGTCCGGAAAATCGAGAGGGAGTAAGTGCACACACAAGTCCATCATAGGAAGGATTCGCGCACAAGTTCAAGTACGTCATGATCCTCTGAAATACACAAGTGTCAATAACGCGCATCTTGACACGTACCATGCTCACAAGTTGCTACTTCTCATGCACAAGTTAACTCTCTGTCCTCCGACGAACTCAAGTTGCTCCAACTTCAAACTTACCTCTCTCAAGTCATGATTTTGATTATGATCGACACAAGATTGATCTCCCGCTGAATTTCATCACAAGTTACGGTCTGGTCGATCTCGCGCAACTTTTATCCTCTCGTCGTGATGCAAACAAGTTGAGTACGTCCTGTTGCCTTTGAAAAACCCTATTTCTCATTATTTGGTTCAGGGGAATGGGTAAACGAGAGCCCGTTTCGGAACTTCCTCTTTCTTCCCGCCTTCCTCCCTGATCTCATTTTCTTTGTGTCTCTACGATGTTCAAGATACCTGCCGAGCGTCTGGGTGGCTGCAATAAATGCGGTGTACTGTGTGGACAGTTCTTTCCTCAAGAGGAGACTGCCCAGGTCACTGGCGATTCCGTTGCACCGAATATTCAGTGCGCCATTTGTGGTTGCAAAGCGGGGACACATATGGTATCTCCCATCTTCTCTCATAAAATATTGATCTTCATTCTCATCTACTAGACACATGGCGCCTCCGATGCATCGAATCAAACCAACAGGGAGACGGCACCGCCAGGAGAAGACAAGGTACTGTGACCTCGCGACTTTCCGTATATTGTGCTCAAGTATGGGATCAGCCTACGTCGACGACTTTTGAGAAGGATACAAAGAGCACAGAGCGGCCCCAGATGTGTTTTTTCATCGCTCTTGATTGCTCCTGCTTATGAACGGCACCTCCCTAGCCATCGGGTCCTCAAAGCACTGGTGGCCCATTCGGCAGTTCAGCATCCAGTAAGCGCCCACGGTCTGCCACTGAGTCAACGATGAATGCTTCGCGACCACCGCCAACGACTAGAGCACCGTCGGGTAACATCGGAAAGCCGCCCTTCCGTGATATGGCAGATAGGAGGAATGCACGGCGCGAGCAAAATATATCAGCAGGTTTTGATCCCGCGATGGAGGTAGGTGGGGCTCCTTGTCCATGCCAATCATTGTTGATATCATTCTCTACTCTTAGGCATCGAAAAAGAAGTTTGCCGAGACGCTTGGACATCCGACAAAGAAGAAGAAGATAGGCACGAAGACAGACTCTGGCGCGTCGGCTACATCTGCGACTGCAAGTTCGAAACCGGCCGATGTAAAGGAGGAGTGGAATGTTGGACTTGTTGAGGATACAGATGCGGTCTACCAGGAAAAGTATCCTAAGCCTGACCGGGACAAGTGCGTAATTTCCATCATATTCGTCGTGAGCTTTTTACATAGATATGGATAGAGTTATGGCCTTATACCAACAGCGATACATACGCAATGTGATGCTGTCCAGATCTGCGAGCGACTTCGATATTCGGCAATCAATCAACGCTGTGTTTGCTGATCTGCAACCTCAATCACTCGATTCCTATGGGGAGTTCACTGTTCTCATCGCCATAGGTGCCGGACAAGGAAGTAAGAGCTACCTCGTTCCACTGAGGCTGCTACACGAGAATATGCTCACTATAGGCGACTTGGATATGTAAATATGCCGCTTTTTCACCTATGTATTATTGCTGACATTGTTTTAGGGCTAAGAACAATGCAAAACCACGTAATATGTTATCGGACACGCTGAAGAAGCTCTTCTATATCGCATTGCCATGCGGAGCACCAAACCTGCGTTTAAAGGTTATGAGCAGGAAGAGAAAACAGAGCAGCGATGTCGATATGGATTCTCAAGAAGATTACGAAGGCGAGGATGAAGGTCAAACCGTCCATGGGGACGATAGCCCAGTAAGTTCTTTTGTATCGGTGTAGCATTTGTGGCTGATCCAAAGTCAGTCAGTGGCTTCTGAGAACGTGAACAATGGTGCAGCTCAGGTAGGTGCTACTGGTAGTGTCCTAGCGATGCTTTTCTGACCTAGCGAACATTCATGATAGAACAGCGACACCTTCCAGAGATATACCGATGACAGTGGCAACGTCTGTGAGCCTGATCCTTCTCAGGTATGTCTTTTAGAACCTGATAATGCTATTTATCTAAATTTTTGCGTCATGATGACAGCCGTCTTCCAGCCGTATGAGCAATGACGGGTCAGGTACCACCCAGGACCATACCATGCATGAAGAACAATCTACTGATGAGTATATCTTTAACACGTTCACAAATGTTTGTCCAACGCCATATTCTCTGACATTTAAACTCATGTATTTTCAAGATTCCCCCCCCCCCCAGGAAAGGAGACCTCGGACGATGAGCCTCCATTCTCACCGTCAGAGGAACTCTTTAGTTGTCTTCCACCGGGTGATTACTTGGTTGTGACTCGTCTTGTCACGTTTATGGCACGACCAACGCCTGACCAAAACTGGGTGAGTGATTTGGCCTTGTGAGTGGATAATAGCTCACTCCGACCTTGTAGTGGGCACCGTCAGCGAAGAAGGTTCATCCGACGTTTCAGAACTTCACCCCTGAAGCCACTGGCCTCACCGCATTCCTCAGGGCAATCCGAGCGGCTGGTCCGCATGTCTTCCCTCCATCTAGCGTTGCGACATTTCTTGACCAGGCATGGGAAAAGAGTGCATTGAGCGCTGTTTTCCCTCGTCTTGCCAATCTAACGATGTGGACTGTGGTGGATGAAGAAGAATTTGATGCCATCTTCGCACTTGGCCCAGGCGGTCTTCTAATTCTCACCGAGTTTCTGGCAAGTGTATATGATATCTTTTGTAAGGAGCTTCTGTATGTCATTCCACACATTTACATCTATTTAATACTCATGTATATCTTTCCTGGCCAGCGATTGTCAAGAGCCATCTGTGATCGCAGTCCGAAAGAAGTATTACGAAAGTGCAACCGTCCTTCTGACTCTTGTGCGAAAAGTCAGAAGCAAATATCATCGTTCTTTATGGGACCCTGCCAGTGGCTTCCGTGAGCTGGCTGTGCTGCTGCACAAAAATTCACATCAGTTGCCGGTATGTTTCTTTTGTCTTTTGATGCATCATACGCTGTTCTTATAGTAGCTGATTCAATAGGTCGGTGACCCGAATGACAGGATGTATCGAGAGCTTCAAAAGATAAATATGAGTACGATGACTGTCGACCACGTTAAGTTCCACCTACGTGATGCTTTTCACTCTGCTACCGACCCGACGGACATGTTTGAAGACGTCGTGCGTGGCGGGCCATTTGGGCTTGATGGGTTTTATTCTAGCTATGTCCAGTATGTACTGGATGTGATGCCAACCTCGGATCCTCGCTTCAATAGCATGCATGACCTTCTCCTGGCGACCAGCAAAGCGTTAGGTCGAAAGGTAGCAAACTATCTCAAGAAGGTTTGTACTCCTTCAATCTCTGTTACGTCTCAATGGCTGATGAAATTGTGCAGCCAAGCAGTCGGCGAAATGAAGATGGTAATTAAGGTAATCAGGTAGGTCACTTTGTCTTTTCTGCGTTCGCTTTGTGTTCGCCAACATCACTCCGGATCAGGAACCACGCAAAACACGATCGTCAGGCACCCCAGCTCCAGGCCAAGCTCACAATCCAAAGTATACTGCGTGATCCTTGTATGCAGCTTTCAAATAATAATATAATCTTTTGCTTCGCCTATAGAACCGGAGAATGGAGAGTCCCAAAAGACGCAAGAGCTGATACTGATACCGCTGATGGTAATCTGACTTTTCATTTCTATGCGAAAGACTGATCTATAAATATATAGACATGACGAACTCAGACTCTCTAGCATCAGACTGGTATGATGATGTCAAAGAGACTACTGATGATATTAAGACCCGTCGCTCACGTAGACATCCAGTATCCGTACATGATTCAGACTCAGAGCCAGATAAAACCGGTATGGTATTATTCTACAAGTTTAACTGCAGATACTTAATCAACATCAGATTCCAGTCGTACTAACACAAAAGCCTCCTCTTCTGAATCTTCCAAGCGCCATCCAGATCCACCGCCTTCGTCAAAGCCCAAGCCTAAACCACGGCCCCGTCCAATTCCAGTGGAAAGTGCCCGAGTCCGCGCAGCACGAAAGCTTGTTGATGAAAACCTTCCGCTCGAGGCTCTGATGAATCGGCTACTTTGTGATTGGCCCCACCCGAAGCCTGAAAAGCGTCCGAAAATGGATAATTGGAGTGTGCTCTCTCTTAAGAAAAAGGCACAGAGGTTGCAGCTTGTAAGTATCATCTCGTACTACTCTACAGAGAGAATATGGCTTATAATAACTGGGTTTGATTCCATCCTAGGTGTATCACTCGGATAAGAATGTGAATGAGACTGAGGAATGGAAAAAGATTTCAGCTGCTCTTGTGACAGCGATAAATGTAGCTATTGAGTCGGCAAGGCTGTAGCATTCGAATAGATGTAATCAAATATACGTGATTGGCCACAGCTTAAATTGAGCGTTTTCGCCTTGTTACCACCACCATTATGGCGTCGCATGGCCTTAACCGTGATCCTGTCCACCATTTCCTCACCGAAAGCTATTCAATATGCACAGAGGCTCTCTTCATTATTAACTCACTGCCGAATGTAGAGCTGGCTGCAGTGGAACGTGCAGTTCATCAGCTCTATGCTGTCCGCACTGTATTCCTTTCCCTCGATGATCCTCATCTTCAATCTGAAGATATTAATACATCTGTGGATTATATCTATCAGGTCCTTACACCTTTGCAGGATTTTCTTGATAATCCACTGCCACCGCCATCCAGTAGCATTCCACGACTTTATACCGGAAAGAGAGGACGTCCTCGATATATTCTGGATCTTGATCGATGTGTCCTCTTACATGATCTCGGAAATAGCTGGGAGGCCATTGCTGATGCGCAAGTGTTGCCCGCAGTGTTTTATATGAGCATATGAACCGTGCAGGATTGTCCACTGCGAGACGAGAGCATACATCTATATCAGATGAAGAGCTAGATGAGATCGTCGCTGAGATATCCATCGCTCATCCCTTCAGTGGATCGTCACCTCTCATGGGTCTTCTAGAGTCAAGGGGCATTCATCTTCCTCGAAAACGAGTGCAGGATAGCCTGCGTCGAGTTGATACCATAGGTGTACTTGTGCGGTATGGTTTTTGATTCAGTCATCTAATTCTTCAGCTGAAACCATTTCCTTAGCTGGTCTGGAATAATCAAGCGTCGTGTGTATAAAGTCCGTGGGGCAAATGCACTTTGGCATAACGATGGCAATGAGAAGCTTCGCCCTTGGGGTTTCTGGGTCCATGGTTGTGTAGATGGCCACTCCCGACTGATTATATACTTGGAATGCTGTTCAAACAAACGCTCTGATACAGTTCGCACATTGTTCCTGCGTGCAGTCCGAATTTTTGGATGGCCCAGTCGTGGACGAGGTGATTATGGCAAGGAGAATAATGGAATTGAACGAGAGTTAATCCTGCATTGGGGCGAGGAACATAGAGCCTATTTGCGTGGGCGGTAAGTACTTCAATTACCTGTTTTTTCTTTGTATCTGATTGTGTGAAAATTGTAGCTCAACGCACAATGTTCGAATTGAACGGTTATGGGTAGATGTTCGCAAGGACAGCCTGGAAACCTTTCGCAAAATATTCACCTATCTAGAGGAGCAAAACCTACTGGACATGGAAAACTCGGTGCATCGTATATGCCTGTTTTTAGTCTTCCATCCGCGTATTCAGGCATCACTCAATCGTACTCGAGATGCTTGGAACCATCACCAGCTGCGCACCGAGCATTACAAGACACCTATTGCGATATATGAACTAAGCCGAGAGAAGGCTATTCGACGAGGATACTGGACTGGTGATCCCGGTGATCATGCAGACCAAGTCCGTGGTGATCCCCACTATGGAGTCGATGGTGATATTGAAAATGACTACCCATATGCACCGCCCGAAGCCGTTCAGGAGCAGGATCCAGCTGACACAGAAGTTAATCATGACGAAGACATTGATATGGCAAGGAAGTTGATGGGAGATTTTGATTTCGAAAGAGATGATTTGAATTGGGGAATAGAGGTGTACTGTGAGGTGGTATCTATTCTTACAGCCATCCTGGCATCAGCAAATGATTGTTCAGATCACTCAGGCTCCGAATGATTTAGACTGGCTCAAAATATGCAATGATAAACCTGTTTTTAAGCTATGTCTTGTATGGATAATATAAGTCTTTATTCATTGAGAAGGCTCCAAGCTGGGATGCTTATATCTAAAAGGATACATAGAATATCATTTATAAATACCTGTATTCATCCTCCTTCGATCCGTTTAGGTGTTGGTGAACGCTGAAGTGAACGCGACCACGAGTGATCTGCCGGGTGTTGCCGATTTGCCGAGAATATGGCCGAGAATTAGCACCCAACTTGTGCGACATCGGCTACCCCTTGCCTTACTTGTGCGTGCCCTACACAGCTGTTTTTACTTGTGTGATGGGATAAATTATTTCACCTGCACTTGTGCTACTTCCGAGGATCATGACTTGTGTGCATTCATTCCCCATCTCAAACTTGCATGAATTGGCAGTACATGGGTAACTTGTGTAGACTATTCATTCTGCAAACATGTGTTCGAAATAGAGAAGGATGTACTCGATTTTCCGGACAGTATTACGCCCATACTATTACGCCCATATGTGTGCATCGACCCCTTGATGAACGCTCATATTATGCCCTCTTCGTCTCTATCAAAACAGCTGTTGTTCCGTCCTTCCTTGCTATAGCACCCTCAGGCTGATCGGCTGTTTCCTTCCGTTATGCATATCACTCCATAGCATGATCGCGCAAAGAGCTCGTTCTATTCTAACTTGTGCGATGAGAACATCTTTGGTTTTTTTGTTTTTTTCTGCTGTTATGCCAGAACCTATTGCTTCGATCCCTTTGGCTCCAATGGCGTCACTAGTATTGAAAGCTTCGATTGGTCACTCAAGTCGGCTAGAGGAAACTTCCAACTTCCAAGAGGTTCGTTGCTTTCTGTACTTAGTTTTCGAGACCTTCAACAAAGTGGCTTGGTTCGTAGGGCCCTCGATGCCACATTGGAAGAGAGATCGAAAAGAAACTCCGGGCTATTGGGTCTTGTAGGTAGTCCAAATAACGTCCTACCGCTGTTCACCATCCTATCTCGCCGCAATTAGATTTATGCGAAACACATTGTAATCCTGATTAAATCAACAAAGAATGGTCGTAACTTTTTTTTCAACTCTGAGTTCCTGAAGCTTCTCCACTTCACTGTCTGCCAAATGGATCACTGACACTTTCTCAAACTTCCCATCCTGTCTTAGCCGCCCGACTACCCAGATATTACCTGATGCAACCCAGGGCCGTTTGGTGCCTATGATTATATACCCGCCATCGGGTATCGGGTATGTGTGTTTAGCGACGATTTTGCATGCACAGGATTCCCCCGCGTTATCCTTGATGGACAACTTCCCTTGTCGAGGATTGTTTGATGGGTCGGCCAATCCACACACATAGACCGAGTCAATGCGTGGTCCCGCATACCAATCTATCATCTCTGTTGAATGAACATCCCCGATATCGAACCACCCGAGAGTCTGCGGAAGTGTGGGCGCCATCACCTGCTCCCATGATGGCCGCCAAGATTTGCTTCTGTTCCCAGGCTCAGGGTAGTGAAAGAACAATCCTGCCCGAACCGTAGATTGCATGGCATTCACAAGGGCTGCCCAGACGTCCTCTTCTGATTGCGCCGCATCATATGTTGGGATAAAATTTGTCCTGAAAAGGTATACCAAGCCTGCAACCTTATCCAAAGGTTTTGTTGACACCCGATTCCGCATCTGCGACAGGATGCTGTAGGATATGTTCCATGATTGCATCATGGCCAAAGTATTCAGTTGCTGATGGACCCTCGTTTGTATTTCCTCTTCCACGAATCTGTCATCACCAGTATCCCCAGCAATGAGCGGTTCCTGGGCAAATGGGACCTCCTGTAGCGTCCATGCTCGATTGAACCAACATCGGTCACTCTCGAAATAACCCAGTTTGAGATTCAGCGGCCGACCCAGTCCACTTAAGTAGCATATCACTTTATGCTCGCTGTCACCAATCTCGAGGTTCTCATATCGGAAGGTGCGACCACGATACACATATCCGATCGTGGGGACGTCCAATTTCCATTCCTCCTTGCGCTGATCCTCCTTGCGCTGATCCTCCTCACGGTGATCCTCCCTAATCGCATACTCCTGCCGTAAACACAGGACATCCAACCATGCATACTCTGCTCCAAAATTCAACATCTCGACACGAATGAGATTAAGGTTGGCATCCTTCGGCATGGGCACGGGCCACTCGTATCCGTTGATGGGTGTCATCACATTCATGCGCTCCTCATCAGAGACCCACGCGTGTGATATCCCCACCCAGTCAACCGCGAGCGCAATCCAGTATGGCACCACCCGATTAGCATGCAGATCCCAGAGGCGCCGAGGAGATACTTCCCGCCTGGTAATCCTGTCATCGGTGATCATCCTTCTCCGCATTCTCCTGTCACCCTCTTCATCCCTGCGCAACGACTTTTCAATGCTGGCAAAGCCAAACCAGTAGAAGCGCAAATAAGCGTAGACCCTGCCAAAATCCCATTTTTCTCTGATGTACGAATCGAGAACTGAGGACATCATGGGGGATAGAATGTATGAAGTGCCGAGTATCGTGTTTAGCTTCTCGAAAACTCCATTAACACCAAGATCGGCACAGGGAGTGTCGGCCAGAGCAGACGGTATGACCTTTTTACCAGTGTATGACTGCTGCTTCAACACAGGAATCGTCGATTCGTCTTGACTAGCCTCAGCGAGGGCGGAGAGAGTGACCTCAGGAGGGTCATACTTGCGCATCTGCATGCAATGAATTATTCCTTGCCCCTCTAGGACACTGTTCTTACCTCATCCATTATCTCTTCTTCGTATTTCTCCCACTGATACTCCGGAATATCATCAAATTTTCCCACTAGTGATAGAAGAATGAGGATGTGTAGCATCAAATCAAGACAAGTGCACATACCCAGGTCCATAGACGATATGAATTGCTGCCAAGCCATTGTCACACCGAGCAGTTTTCGTCGTGCTGTATGGTAAGAAGCAAAGAGTACAGACTAGCGCTCAGATCACTGAAACGAGTCACCTGCACTGCTGAAAGATAGACGCCGAAAGATAACGCATACATATTAATAAGCAAGCAAATCTTTATGCATCATGGGTTGTTATTTTCATCTTCACGAGTCCAGTTCATGTGCGTGACGGTAGACTAACACTAATGTTCCCGACTCTCCCAATCTTTTCCCCTTTCGCTGCAGAAAACAACGAAATCTTGAGGGAGATTCTAGTCAGCATGTAGGCCATGAGCGATTTTTGTAGAACTGAGTCTTACCGAAAATTCTAGTGCCCGCAATGTGAACACACCCTGATGTTAACGCTGGTTTGAGTTCAGGAGGTAGCCGAATATTCTGCACCATTTTCCTGCCAAATTTACTGTTGACTCTTCCTCATCGCAAACATAATGCGTAACCCTTGGTTGGCCCGAAACGTCCTTCGATGGACAATATTTTGAGGTTGCGCGGCGCCTGGGACATTGTTCTTGATATCCAGGAGTAAAGATGAGCAGAGGGAATGAAATGAAAGACTAGTGACTCACCGGACTGCCCTGGTACATGGATCGTTCAGTGATTCCAATTTCGGTACGAGTCCCTGTAGAATAAACCGACTTGCGATCATCTCTTTTGGGAAGGTTCGCTATTTCATACGCCGTAAGTTATGGTTACACACATTGACGAGACCAGGTCGCTTATGGATACGGTGTTCTGCAGTAGAAACTGTGCGACCGAAGGCTGCTGAATCTTGAGGAGGTAACGCAGGTCCTTTCGGTGTTTCTCCTCTCCTGCGATATGAAGATGGGCGTAATCGAGGGGGCTGCATACTGGGGGTTTGCATTTCGATCACTGCTCGAAGCTTTCAAGAAAACATTGAAGAGCTGCTAGAGGTCGTGTTAGGCGACTTGGACAGAACATGGTAAGCAGACACGACATATGATCACCACTCCAGAGACCTAGGTCGCAAAAGTCATCTTTATTCTCGAAAGTCGTAGCCAGTGTTCAATTTGTCAATGGCATCATCCTACGTTGAACAAAAATGAATCGACGAATGAGAGATAAGAGTCGGACCAAGGAAGCTCACTTTAATCAGCCGGTTGGGGTGATGGATAACAAGAGGAACATTTTGGAGCGACATCATCATGAACTCGGTGAGGGCGCCTATTCCCGTGGCGATGATGAGTTCATCGCAAGATGGCCTACGATAGGAACCATGTCACTGAGAGCTGGTACGACCCTTCAGCATCGTTCCTGGAAGCTCGGCATGCCGAGAAGACCATTATCATCCCGTACTTCGAGTTCGCTACGGATCGTCACAAGTAACCTCATAGCGCCCAATTTAGTGGCCGTTCTCCGGCATTGGTAGCCTGACTCTGCTCCTCCTGTTTTCCATTTGTATCCTTGGATAGCGCTTCCGAAATGCGGGCAAAAAAGGCAGACGTGTGCATCAAACGCAAACGAAGGTAGTTTGGTTGTAGGCGACGATAAGAGCTTGATTTCGGCAGTAACGTTTTGCTGACTCTTTAAGCTTTAAGCAGGTCCTCGAAGGTGCCGTGTTGATATTATCCCAGCACGGTCTGCGAGCTGGTAACCTTAAGCATGGCTCATCGCAACAAACCGAAGCACATACCTACGGGCGAGGAGAATTCTGCGTTCGACCCTTGCGTGCGTGCGTTCAACTGCGTTTGAATGCGTTCAACTCGGATGCGTTTGCGTTCCTTCGATGCGTTCACATGCGTGACCCCATAATAGTTACTCTACCTTCAAGAATAATACTATCATGTGTATTTACATGGCGCACTTACCTACTTTTGATGTATTTCCTGGACATGTATTGGCAGCTTTCTATGACTTAGAAACAGTGTGAGACTATCTTGGAAAGTCATAAAGGCGTTGATTTTGTTGTAATATGTCTTAGAACATAATCCTCCTACTTCAGTATCATTTCGTGTTGAAATAGTTGTGAACCCTTGCATTTTTTGGACTTTTGGTAAACCAAAAAACTTGTGTGCACCTCTCGAATCGACGCAACTCACTTACGCAACTCAACAATAAGTCACGCATGCGTTAATAAATCGAACGCGAGCGTCATTGTAATAAACGCACGCGTTGCCCAAACTAACGCATGCGTTCGAGACAAAAGGCAAACGAGAACGCAAATGTGACGATGGTTGTGACGGCGTGTCACGTTTGCGTTAGGCTGTGTTGAACTCGAGTTGAACTGTGGTGGCTTCTCCCGTTGCACTTCATATGTGCTCGGCTACATTCTCCAAGCTTAAGAGAGATTCTCCAATGGATTCCTGCTGTATATATCTCAATATAATTTGCGGAAACCTACCAAGATTTAGCTGAGACCCCTTGAACTGGTTCTCTTTCCTCCGATCTGTTTATATTGCTCATACTAATTTCATACCTCTAACATAGTCCAATATCCATGGAAACCCTCGAGGCGTGTCTTCTGGAGGGAAATATCCACATGAGTGATCAGGTGGGTTCACACTTAGCCGGGGAGAGTGTCCTTCTACGGGCTGAGACCTTGTTCCCATCAAATTACGGTGCTGAGATCTTTTACGAGTACGTTATACTGTTACATTCCGCCTATTTGATAGCTAAAGTACATAAAAGCATTATTACGCACGAACGCATCTTTGTCGAGTTCGCACACGCAAACGCAAGCGTGACAAACGCATGCGTTTAAACGCAAACGCACGCACGCGAACGCGAACGCAGAATTCACCGTGCCCCATACCTACTAGATCCCCGCTTGAACACTCGTCTCAGCAAGTTTCTCAGCTCACGCAAGCCCGTCTTCATGCCAAAAGTTCAGCGTCACTTTTCTTCGGTGCGTCTGCAGCTCCTCCTCGATAGCCCTCATGCTATCTTCTCAGCCGCTTTTCCTTCGAATCGACTTGTTGCTTTATCTTGTACTAGCTCTGTCGTGTGCTGCTCCTTTCCGAGGAGCCCTAGCTGTGTCTTCTTCTTTGCGAGACGGCGTCCTTATGATCCTAAAATATCTGCGACCACGACGTGTCCACATCCGTGCTGATTTCTCGGGATCGTGTGGTCTTGTGGTTATTAACGAGATTTTCCGCAGTTCCACCTAGTTTCCATATTAAAAATGCATAAAACACTTCAGATAGCTACGCATCCGCTATGATTGCACTGTGTAACACTCGTACAAACGGTTCTTACAGCTAGTCCTTGGTCTGTTTGAATTGTAAGGATTTCGGAACGCAGGCTAGGTGTCTAGTCCTCAAGCGGACGTACTGCTGGTTTGTGGACCATGGCTATCATATTGTTAGGGTCACAATAATAAGGAAGAAGATATCACGCACCATTGATCCTTTGGTTATCCGACAAAGCTGATCGGTGTCGAAAGGAGAGTGTTACTGTCACAGATTGTCACAAACGCATCGAGGTCCCGGTTTGCCTTCAAACCATCATGAATCTGCTATGAATGGTCTGTCATCGCACATTCTATCCTCGCCTCCCTCTATCGATAGATCTGCATTCTGTATAGAATTACGGGTGGTTTCCTTCATTAACTATCTTGACAGTTGAGATCTCACAGGTAGCACGAATGTCATTCCAGCCGTTCAACACCTCGGGAGTACGCCCTCTTTCACGTAAATGCGACGCTATGCCATATTACTTCTCTGCAGGGTAGCAAAGGCCAGGAAGGGCAAACTACCATGCTTTTATTTTCACTTTTTCAGTCACCATTTCTCAAGCTGCACGTCTTGTCTCCTATTAGTTCAAGCCTATAATGCTCAGTCTACTGGTCAAGGAGCGGTAAAGCTCTCATCTGGATCGTCTCCTCGTTCTAATCGGGGACCTACCTTGAAAGAAACTGCTACACTTGTTTTATTATAGAACCTTATCGTGGACTTCGTCATCTGAGAGGTCACGTAGATGCAGCCTACAAGCAAGGGAACGGCTAAAGTAACAGTCAAGAGTGTCAGGAGCGAGCAGCGCACAGTTGTTGGCTGAGCAAATGGGGTTGTACACGAGGAAGCGAGGACCATAATGGCAAGTGCGGCTATAGTTGAGGCCGGACCAATCGTTGGCATGGAGGTCGTGGCAGGATGAAAGACTGTGGCGGGTGCGGGTTCGTTACTAGCAGTAACTCGGAACTCGGACGGGAGACAGAGGGTACGCACGTCGCATCCTCCGCGGTACCGCAGGTGATATCGCCATTGACGGTGGTGGCAAAGTTAGCGATTACGGACAATTTGGTGAAAGCGTTAGTCAAATTTATTGTTCATCATGTACAGAAGGGACGATGTGGAGGTGGTGAGAAGGCGGGGGGGCTTATATATCGGTTAGGCATCTCGCTGTGGAGTGGTTGAGCTGATAATTCCCCGTTTTCATCGCGGGAGGTCACGATATCGGTGGGTTGAAACGCTTTGTGATTCTCCAGAAAAAAATTTGCTTACCAGATGGGCTAGTATTGTCCGAGTTTTGGCGTATAGTACAGGAATCCGTAATCCGTGTCGCAAGATTACCCTCGCTGAAAGACAGGTATCCCTTGAGCATCATGGAGTATCGCTGTAACAAGGAGCAGAAGACAAGAATCGGGTGCCGGCACCGAGCAGTAACCCGAATCGAACGGGATCAAACACCTGTGCATTTCTAGGATCAGCTGGCGAGGAGATCACTGAAAAAAGGGGACATGATGGAAGAGCAAAATTTTCAGTCTAGGGATCGAACCAGAAAGCGTCCTGAGCCTCTCCTTGCACAATAATGCTACAATGACGTTCCCATGATTCAGCACTATAGACCCACCTTAGCGATTCATCTTTACGACGCGAATGCACTCCGAGTGACGCGAAACAATGGGACCAGCCTATACATGAGGATAACAACGGAAGACCTATGGATGCGAAATCGGCACGACGTCAAGGCAAAAGAAATGAGACCTGTACCTTCTGATGGAACTCGTGAAGTGTTATACAGATATTCCCTACTCGACGCAAAGATATGGTGGGTTTACTGGTCACAGAAGGGGGTAAGGGTCGAAACTAGAGAGAAATCATTAGTCACCCCCGCGTCGAAAGAATAATGCACGCACCTCCATCACCACTCGATACCGTGCGTGAGCCATCTTTGATCACTGAGTATCAAGCATAGAACGGAGATTTGCGATGTCGTTTTGTTCGGCTGGCTCCAAGGTGGACCGGGTCGTGTGGCTGGGAAAGGAAACGGGCGTGCTTTCCTTAGTGACGTGGATGGTTCAGAGATCCAGTTCCGCCAGTGTAATTACTGACGCCACAGCCGGAAGATTCCGCGAACGACGCGTCTAAAGTTGGAATGATAGACAAGCGGAATTCTCACCTGAGCTGTTGTACCTGGTTCAGTATTGAATCTTCATTTTTTAGAAGCGACGGACCGATCGTTTGGCTCGCTTTTATCATTCTCGAGTAGGACAAGTACTGTGTCCAAGAAGAATCGAGAAGGAATTTATTGATTTCAAATTTCTGGTCGCGTTTTTATCACGTGCATTTTGTCACTTATCCCACACGCACCGCCAGCCCGGCTCAACACTCGCTACTTACAGGCCGTGACATCAGCCTCCAGTTGGAATCAATGCTGCAGAGGTCGACAACTACGCTACGTCAGCCAAGAAAGTACATGAGCTTCCTCTTCACTACTTCCATCTACACGACCTACCGGAGCCTGCTCGCCTATCTTCCCAAGCAGGATGCCCTGACCAATCTCCGTTCCCCGCTGGCACCAGGTTTACCTTCATTAAGGGTTCGATTAGCCGCAAGAGTTCCCGTTGTAGTCATTTGATGGAAATGGCGCCAGGACGTTCTACCTGCACCAGAACTATCAAGGAGTCAGATAAGTCGGACACAGTATGGATAGACGACGGAGGTGCGCACATTGCTTCTTCGACATCATGGTGTCACTAACTCTAATTTTCCAGGAGACTCTTATCCACTTTCATATGGCCATATATTTATGCCGAGCCAGCGGAACCTTGAAGATCCCCTCAAGAAACGTACACTGACTGACGATGCCGTGCTAGAACTGAAACTGTTAGTGGCGAGCTGGTATAATAGGTATAGGTATATGCATTGTTTCCTCTGCCTTGACGTCTTGCCGATTTCATGTCTGCAGGCCTATTGGTACCCTTGCACGCGGAGGACTGCACGCGTTCCTCTGAATGATTTCGCATTGGTGGTCTTCTCATACGTCCAAGGCTATCGCATACCCTTTCCTCAGCAGGAAATGACTCGTAATCCAAGTTGACCGGGTTTTTTTTCGCGTACCACCTCGATTTTATGCAGTGCGTTATTCTGCCTGCCTTTCAGTTTGTTCTTGTTCTAACGTCGTCCCTACAAAACTGCTGCCTTCTGTGTTCATATACGACGCAAGGTACGCCAGAGGCTGTGGCTTACTGGCATATGCATTTAGGGTTTGTCCATCTTATCTTCTTTGAAACACATCGGCTTTATTAATGATATGTATCTAGGATTGACGTGCTCTGGTTTGCCTTGCTCTTTGTCTTTACCTTGGTATCATCAGTAAAGCTTAAAGATCCATCGACCAGTCTTTCAACGTCAACAACCAGTACGCCATCACCAACAACGTCGATTTCAGCTTCGGATCTCTCAGCCTCGATCTGTCTCAGAGCCCTGCTCAGTGCTTTTTCGGTCGGTTGTTGGTTTAAATTCCCGCACCAAAGGACTCTTGCTTGGATGGGAAAACGATTCAGTTCTTGGATATCTTCAACATCAACAATGTCTACGCTCAGACGAACACTCGGCACCTTCTACGTCTTGGAACCCGTCAGCCAGTTGGGGTCTACTAGTCGGAGTGGTAGTACCAGTGCCAGTGGATACGCATCAGTGTTCGCTTTCTGGTCCGTGTGGGTCTCCTCGTTCCTTCTATCCACCCTTCCTTTCACTAAACACTCTTCTAGGTCCGCATCTGGATCCGCCCCAATCCCACGTGTCGTCTATTAGTGCAGATCTCTATTGCCGCCTTGCATTTGATTGTCGCTGTCCAGTGCAATGGGTGAGTCTTTGTTTCTTCACTGCGAAAGTTCGAATTGTATATCTCCTCAAACAGGATCATTTATGTATCGCTTCTCTGCGTGCCGTCATTCCGTATTTCAGGATGTGTCGACATCTGTCTAATGATATCTCAGTACTGTCGGATGAGCAAGTCCTCTCGGCTCAGTTGGAAGAGCGCGCCTCTGCTTTACCAGTGGGGTTCATGAGGTTCAAGTCCGCTAGAGGGAACTAGGAAAGGCGAGTCGCAATTTTTTGGTCTGCAAGCTCTTTCTTCCCAATAGTTACCTGCTCGTAGTGTCAGGATTCGTAATGGTCATGTCGGCCACGCCAGATCGCACCCCCACCTGTAGACAATGTAACAGTAAGTCGAAGTTACCAATTATTCAACCTCGTCGTGATGTGTAGATTCAGGACGTCTTGAGTGGTAACCCCTTCGCCCCATCACACAGTGTTGAGTTAATAGGGTTCCAGGCCCATCTGTATAAGAAGTTCTTTCTCGCCATTTGTTCGGAGTCGTTCAGTTCTACTCTTGTTTAATTAAGTTTGCAATCAGGAATTCCCCCATTCCAGTAGAAGCTGGATAGTAAGAGAAGACTGCAGTGAAGTGCGAAGGCGGAGGGAAGCCGGAAGTACACGCTTCTAATTCTATACCTGCTGGAGAATGTATTTTATCGTGGGAAAATTCACGCTTCTCTTCCTCTTCTCACTCCCTTACGCTCAAACAAGACTCTGAGCATTGTACACATGGCCCTTCACGCCCAGGAAGGGATGGAAACGATTCTAAGCCTTGGAGGGACATACTAGGCGCGCAGGGTTGGAGAGATGTGCGCGTTCTTTCAATGCTGGGGTTTCGCTAAATTTGGCTTTGTACGAAGACTCGCGCATTCTTCTTGAATTTCGTCTCCATACTCGGTTTGGAAGATGTGTCTGAGGGCGGGGAATAGCTTCTCTTCTTCCCAATCCACAACCGGTGATCCTCTGTGTCATTTTCCCAAGGATGACAACTTTCATACCTTCCATACTTGATCCAGCTTCCGTGTCGCAATAACGACATGACACGATGGATTCTGCGCATCACGGCCTACGACTCTAAGCAGTAGAGGAACGTACACAGCGTGTATGGATGGTGCGTACACGTTTTTTCCAATGTTGGAGTTTTCTAACTTTCGCTTTTCAGCTGGCTTGCCTCGGATTAGAAGACACCTCCAAACGAGCGCCATTCTTGTTCTCGTCCAGTGGAGCATCCTCTCGCTGTATCGCATTTCCTAGTAGGCTGTGACTACGTTTCCTTCCTTGTGCGTTACCATTCTCTTTTGCATGGAGGATATCACGAGGGAGTTGATTTGTGCCGTTTATCCTGCCTTGAAGGCGACTGTTGCTGTAGCAGATACCGGTGCCTATGCACAGATTTTCGCTGTTTTCCATTGAACGTTGGATACCCTTAATGGACTTGGCAATCGTCCACGGTCTCTTTTGATACGAAGTACAAACAGGCTTCTGCGGGTTGTTCAAGGTGTGTACCTTTCGCCCTTGACAAGGATAACCTGACTGATCTCCGGAGTCCCCAAGTACTTATTAGCCTGTCGTAGCTCTCCCTACAACGACTATGCAGTTCAAATTCCTCCCCGTCGTAATCCTCACCTCGTGCGTTTCTACTTTCTGCTCCGACTTCCCTTCCCGGATTGAATATTGTAATATAGTTGTGATGATGGCGGGACTTCCACGCGAGGACTAATCCTTGATGTACGAGAAACGCAGAGCCCCGAGGTTCAAGTTGGGTTTATATATGTTTTGAGGAATGTCATGAGGAAACTGAATTTTTGGCAGGCTCGAGCGGCGCCAGATATCTTGCTATTTGGTCTAGTACAGACCTGTCTCATTCACCCAAATGATACAAACCCTTCTCTTCTTCCGGAGATTCGTGTCAACGTGGAGTCTCTCGTCATGACAGATGATGGCTGGATCGGTTCATCACCTAAGGAGCATCTTCGTTCGATCCTAGGTGCCACTATGAAGTCTCCCTTGGCGATCCCGCTTTTTAGGTGGCAATTACGAACGGTACTTTGGGAAAAGAGGATGTTATTTCCTCGTGAGTGAGCGGGATTCCCGCCTGTCCTCATTCTTCCATTGATGGTTTGTTTGATTCGGCCAATTCAGGGAATAATATATTGCGCGTGTTTCTTGTTACAGGCTGCTTTGACGTTTGCGTCAGCCTCGCGAAGGATTTAGGATTTGGTTGACCACCGCTTGGCTCTGAGTAACTCAGGCACTGCAAGGAGGAACGACGCGGTATGGACGGGTCATGCAGGTGTGATCAGTATCCTCTTGCCTTCTTCCGATGAATTTTGCGATGCTGGGTCGGAGTCGACCGCCGATACCAACAAGAATAATGACGAAAGATAGGAAAGAAACCCCAGGCTGTCAGTTCCTGTAGTTACTAAATAATGTCCTACCGCTATTCACAATCCTATCTCACTGCAATTATATTTGTGTAAAGCACGCTGTAAACCCAAGTAAATTAACAAAGAACTGTTGCAACAAATTTTTCAGCTCGGAGTGTCCGGTGCCAATGCTCCTCCGCTTCTTTGTTCAGTGCCAAAGTGATTAATGCCACTTTCTCAAACTTCCCATCATTTCTTAGCCGCCCGACTACCCACCGGTACCAACATGCCGCAGATATCATTACGTACCGGTCATCGGGTATTGGGTATGTGTGGTCAGCGACGATTTTGCATACACAGCTTTCCCCCTTGTAATCCTCGAAGAACAACTTCCCCTGCCTAGGGCGCTCTAATGGGTTGGCCAATCCATACACATAGATTGAGCCGACACGTAATCCATGATGCCAGTCGAAATCCATCTTCTCCATCCTATTAACATCCCCAATTCTGGACCAGTAACCATGCCACGGAACCGTGTGTACCATTACCTGCTCCCACGATGGTCGCCAATATCTGTTTCCGTTCCCAGGTCCAGGAAAGTATATGAACAACGCTGCTCGCAGTGATGGCGACAAGACATCTACGATGGCTGTCCAAAGTTCCTCTGGGGACTGATTCTCATCGTATATCGGGATAAATTTTGCCCGTAAAATGTGTATCAAACCTGCAACTTTATCCAAAGGTGATGATGCCATCCGATGCTGCATCTCGGACAGAATGTCGAATATCGCGCGATTGGATCGTACCCTGAGCAGAAAATGCAGTCGTTCATGGACCCTTGTTCGTATTTCCTCTCCCATGCCATCATTTCCAGTCTCTCCCACCGATAAGTGGATCATAGGCAGGTGGGATCTCCTGTAGAGTCCACGCTCGATTGAACCAACACCGGCCACTGTCAAAATCGCCCAGTTTGAAATTCAGGGGTAGACCCAGTCCGCTTAAGTAGCATACCACTTCAGGCTCCTGGTGAATATACACCCCTCCAATGGTGGGGACATCCAACTTCCACTCCTCCAAGCGCAGAGCTTCTTTACGAACATCCTCCTCTTTATGATGATCCTCCCTAATCGCATACTTCTGCCGTAAACACAGAACGTCCAGCCACGCATACTCAATCTTTGCTCTAAAATTCAACATCTCGATGCGAATGAGATTAAGGTCGGCATCTTTCGGCATAGGCACAGGCCACTCGTATCCATTGATGGGTGACATCACATTCGTGCGCTCGTCGTCAGACACCCACGCATGCGATATCGCATACCAGTCTGTGAACACACGCGGAGCAATCCAGTATGGCATCACCCGATTAGCACACAGATCCCAGAGGCGCCGAGGGGGCATGCCCCTCTTGGTGATCTTGTCACCGACGATCGCATTTCTCCGCATTTCCCGGTCATTCTCCTCATACCTCTGCCACATCTTTTCGCTGGCGTCGGGGTGGAACCAGAACAAACGCAAATGAGCGTATACGGTGCCAAAATCGCATTCTTTTTTGATGTAGGATCTGAGAACTGAAGATATTTTGGGGGATAAAATGCGTGAAGTGCCGAGTATCGTGTTGAGCTTGTCGAACACTTCACGAACACCAAGATCGGCACAGGGTGTGTCGGCTAGAGCAGAGGGGATGACCTTTACACCAGTGTATGACCGTTGCTTAAACACAGGAATCGTCGATTCGTCTCGACCGATCTCATCGAAGGCGGAGAGAGTGAACTCAGGAGGGTCGTACTTGCACATCTGCATGCAAAACATTATTACTTGCCTCTCTAGAAAACTGTTCCTACCTCATCCATTATGAATTCACTTTCGTAGTCTTCATCCCAGTCTGAGTCTGAGTCTTCCTCCGAAATATCGTCAGATTCTTTGGGTTCACCCTCTAGCGATACAGAATAAGAATGTGTAGCATCCAACCAAGACAAGCATTCATACCTATATCCATAGTCAATGTGCTCCGCTGCGCTGTATAGTAAGGAGCAAAGAATGCAGACTAGGTCTAGACCACTGAAACTTCTCACCTGCGCTGCCAAAAGACAGGTGCCGAAAGACGGGTGCTGAAAAATAGCATATGCATAAACACCAAAGCTAAGCCTTTAGACGCCTTCGAGTCACGGTATTGAAGTACGCGATGGCAAAGGCAGCATCTTGCGTAGAGCAACGACGAATCAACGAACAGACAAGAGTCCACCAGGAAAGCTCACTTGAATCAGCCGGTCGGCATCAGGATGATAACAAGTCGCCATAGCGAGCAGGAACTTTGGGAGTAACACAAACCGTGAACTCTAGGAGGGTGCCACGTGGATACTCCCGTAACCATATTAATCCCGTCGCAAGATGGACTGCGACTGTGGGGAACCATACCGATGGTTCGTTGCATGTCCCACTTCAGTGTTGTTTCTGGAGCTCATGCGTCATGCCGAAAATGCCCTTATCATCCTGTATTTTGAGTTTGCTGTGGATTATCACATTCTACATCGTAATGCTTGTTCTAGCAGCCATTCTCCAGCATTAGCAGCCTGATTCTTCTCCTCTCGTCTTCTATTCGCATACCTGGAATCTGGATCGCACTCCCGAAATGTTTGCGAAAAAAAAGGTCGATGTGTGCACCAAACGAAGACAGTCTGGTCACAAGCAACGGCGGGAGCTGGTTTTCCACTGCAACGCGTTGCCGACTCTTTAAGCAGGACCTCTAAGGTACGTGTTGATCTTCTCCCAATGTGGTCTGCGGGCTGGTGACTATGAGCATGGCTCATCGCAACAAAACGAAGCACATACCTGCTGAATACCTGCTCGAACACTTGTCTCGGCAAGCGTCTCAGCTCAAGCAAGTCCGTCTTCATCCCAGAGGTTTAGCGTCACTTTTCCTCGGCGCGTCGGCAGCTCCCTCTCGACAGTCTTCATGTTATCTTCTCGCCCGCTTTTCCTTCGAATCAACTTGCTGCTTTATCTTGTAGCGGCTTGCTTTCCAGGGACTCCAGCTGCGCCATCTTTGGTATTCTCGGGATGGCGTCCTCACAAACCATCTGCGACGTGGAAGTGTCCTCATACGTGCTTGTTTCTCGGGATCTTATGGTCGCTGATAAAATATTCCGCAGCTACGCCTAGTTGTCGTTAAAACGGTTACACCAATTCAGATAACTACGCACTCATTATGATTGCTTGTCGCACCAGTACAGACGGTGTTTACGGCCCCTGGTCTGTTCGAATTTGTCAAGTCTTAAAGCGAGTGTATTGGTGGCTTGTGGATGACCATGCCTATGACATTGTTGGGGTCAAAATGACAATCAAGAAAAAGAAATTACGCACCACTGATCCCTTGGTTGTCCAACAATGCTAATCGTCGCATTGAGCGTTGCTTGTGCTTGCATTGAGGAAGTTGTCCTATTCCGGCCAGAGATTGCGGGATCGTCAGCAGTAGAGTCGTCGCTCAGAATTCGAAGAAGGCAGCTATTCATTTTCCGGAGCAAGTTAATCTATTGGCGTTGGTGGGTGTCGAAAGGAAAGTGTTACCATCACGGATTGTCACAACGTGTCGATGGTGCGACCACGGGCCGGGTTCCAGCCGCTTCAACCTGATGAATCTGTCCAACTGCCACATCGCCAGGCTGTCAACAGATCTCCTCCCTGTGAAAAACTACGGGTGGATTTCTCCATCAGCTACCTTATATCCTTATCTTTACAGTTGAAAATCTCACTGGCAGCGGCGCGAATGTCTGAATTATTCCGGCCGTTAAACCACCTTGGGCCGGGAGTACTCAGTCTTTCACGGAAACACGACGCTATGCCGGAAAGGACATCACTACGTAGAACTAGGCGACCCACATACGATGGCTCGATGATTTCTGCTCATATCTTCTGGTGTCGGGATCAAGAAAATTCCAAATTGAGATTATATTATACGAGATACCATGCTCCGTCGCTTCAAGGACCAGGTTCGCCAGCGTGATCAATTCGGTATGTGTACTTGTAAATTTTATTACGGGATCGAAGCTGATTGTTCCCAGCTCGTACTCCTACCGCTCACCCGCGTCCATCATATCAATTTCCATACTAGAATTCATCATTCGCGAACAGGTACGTATAGCCCGCTTCAGTTTATGCGATTGAAGATGAATTAATTGTACTGTCATCCACGCGCTTTATACTCATTATGGCGCTGTATTCAATCAGGGAAATTCGCCATTCCTGCAAGCTTCTATCTTCTCGGCTTCTTTTCCCTGCAAAAGGGAGATTTTTATCACAGCATGGTCAGATTGATACCATCGAGGGCCTGGCCAATGCTCTCTGAATATTTAAACCCGTTCAACGCTTGATGTCTTCTACGTTGAAACATCATGTATCTTAAATTGATCGTACTAACCCTCGCCCTCGTTTGTGGGAACCATCTCACTGGCTTCCTGATTATGCGTTCTAACCACCAGACTTTGTAGTGGTCGCTTCGGCCTTGCCAGTCGATGGGCCTGGAGATGCCATACCGCCAACCTCACTGACAGGCGATGTAAGTCGTTCAAAGTTATATAGGCTATCCAAATGTTTGATCCAGAGGTTTAGACGCTCTCAGGTAGTAGCCCTCGTCCATCGCGCACCGGTATCGAGCGGTCGTTGAACTGAGTACAAGCTCAGCCTTTGAAAAACATCTCAATTAATCCCACTGTGTCCGAGTTTTACACAATAGATGAAAGATCAAAAACTAGTAAAGAATATGATCGAATGAGGTACGTCTGTAAAGTTTTACAGTAATGTCTGTCTACGTCTGAAGATAACGATTACATCTATTTCGCATGTGCATCTTATAATAAACCATAGCATTAGGTAGGGACGTCTGTACATCGAGACCAGGACCCTCTAAACCTCAACATTGACCGGCATGTTATCAATAAATCCAAGCGCCCAGGAGAATTTCCAAGGTCGGCGATCCTCGCCTTAAGCTCTTCTTGCATGTCTTCACCCTGCATCAAATCCGTCTTGAGTTTTCCGCCTCTCTAAAACGTCATGTAGCCCCATCTGGTGGACCACGGTTTGCGTGTGCGCGAGCAGGAGATAGGATCTCGGATCTGTTGCCCAACCAGGCGGTGGGCACGGGCAGCGAATATTCCAAATAGTCCTTGGGACTCAGCGCAATGTCTTCTTTGTCCATAGAACCGTACGATGTATGTTTCTCTGCATCCCCAAAGTTCGTGTAAGCATCTGAATCTTTTACTGTCGGAGTAAGAGGCAGATTCGACTCGGATCGCTTTTGCCGAACCATCATGTCGCGGTGAAATATGGCAGGATATTTCCTCTTCTGCTGTCGTCTGTGGAGGATGTATACGAGGGCGCATAGAAGGAGCAGCAAGAATACAAAGGACCCGACTGTGGCACCGATGATTGGAATTATTTTGGATTGCGAACTATTGGTAGCAGAAGATGTGGAATTCTCATTGGTGGATGAAACTGGCGGATGAGACCTGGATAATCTGATAAGTCATCAAGACAGGTTGAACGGAGAATGACATACGTGGATTGGGAAGTCAAGTTCGTAAGAATTGTAACTGAGTAGCTGGTAGTTTTGAAATGAGTGAGATTTACAGTTCAATACAAATTATTCGAGAATACGTACGATGAAGTACTACCAGTGGTGACCGAACTCCCTGAGGTTTGGGAAGAGCTATTGAAACGTGACCGATGAGCTACGTGCGTACATGGAAGGAGCGACAAACAGACGAACCTCTGAGTGGTTGTTTCTCCGGACCCGGGGTTCATCGGAGGATTGGTAGGTATTGGCCCAACATTACTGGTTGGTATTGATGCGTTAGTTACAGTGGTGCTCCCAGAGCTAGTTATTCTGACGAACAAATCATGAGCCGGTCTTGTTAAGGGTAAAAGAGCGTAATGAACATACGTAGATGATGCTGGAACGGTGACATTAATTCCGGAACCGGGAGCACTAGTAGACTGGCTGGGCAACGTGAGAATACGGCTGCATATACTACCCGCGAATTGGGTAACGCTGTTGTATTAGGAAGCAAGAAGTTGACAGATGAGACTTGAGAGTTCAATAGACGGACGACGAACGCACATAGGAAACGAGGGCACTTGCGGAGGCAGAGATGTGCAAGCTGATGATACCTCTCCTTTACGACCATCAAGAGAGCTGCCAGCGGAAGTAGCGAAGTGGAAACAAAACCTGTCCGTTAAATTTGAGTACTGCTCACGCAATGAAAAAACACGAATCTTGAAAAATAGTAAGCTGGAGCAACATATAGTGGCGAGGCATGACAGGATGGGTACCGTTGTGAAGCAGACAGAATAGTATAAGTCAAGCTAATGCGGCTGTGAAGATCAGTAGTCTGGGATATAGATAAATTATCGCACACCGCCATTAAGATACGAACGCGGGATGAAGATCATGACGTAGACACTGGTCAGCATAGGATTCAAATACTATGAGATCACGTAACACTGAAACGGTTCTTGGATACAAAGAGTGGGTGTCACGGTCAAACAACTAGATAGTATAGATGTACTGCACCTAATGCAGTTTTCTGGGGGACCTTCCACAACACGATGAAATCAACAGAGGTCTGTTTTAACACATCTTTCAACATGGAGTTCCCGCAACTTCTCCGCGTCTTCACCACCCGCCAGACCGATCACTGATACTTTCTCAAACTTCCCATCAGTCTGCCTTAGCCGCCCGACTACCCAGATAACACCCGATCCAGTGCGAGATCGACTGGGGCCTATGAGCGTATACCGGCCGTTTGGTATCGGGTACGCGTGCTCAGCGACGATCGTGCAAGCACAGAATCCTCTCGTGCAATCCTTAATCAACTTCCCCTCCCGAGGGCTCTTAGACGGGTCAGCCAATCCACATATATAGATCGAATCAATAAACACTCCCTCATACCAGTCTGATTCTGTCCGACCAACATCCCCAATATCATGCAACCCTTCATTCCACGGAAGCGTGCGAGCCATCACCTGCTCCCATGATGGTCGCCAAAACACATTCCCATTCCCAGGCTCTGGGTAGTAGAAGAACAAATCTGCCCGTAGCGGAGGCGCCATGACGTCCACGAGGGCAGTCCAGGCATCCTCTTCCGACTGAGCACCGTTGTATATCGGGATGGACTCCGTGTTGAAAACATATACCAAACCTGCGACTTTGTCTAGCGGCTTCGTTGACACCCGCTTCCGCATCTGCACTAGGAAGCACAACGTCGAGACCATACAACGCATCCTGTAAAACAATTCAAGTTGTCCATGGACCCTCATTAGCATTTCCTCATTGATGAACTTGTCATCGCCCGTCTCCCCACCAATAACTAGATGGTAGCCTTTTGGGATCTCCTGGAGCGTCCACGCTCGATTGAACCAACATCGGTCACTTTCGAAGTCACCCGGTTTGAAACTCAGCGGCCGACCCAGTCCGCTCAAGTAGCATACCACTGTCTGCGTGGTGTCATACACGTATCCGATCGTGGGGACGTCCAATTTCCATTCCTCCTTGCGGAGAGCCTCCTTGAGCTGATCCTCCTCCCTAATCGCATACTCCTGCCGCAAACACAGAACGTCTAACCACACATACCCTGCTCCGAGGTTCAACATCTCGATGCGGATGAGATCAAGGTTCGCATCGTTTGGCATGGGGACGGGCCACTCGTATCCGTTGATGGGCGTCATCACATCCATACGCTCCTCCTCAGACACCCATGCATGCGATATCGCACACCAGTCTGTGAGCGGTGTTACCCAGTATGGGACTACCCGATTAGCGTACAGATCCCAGACGCGTCGAGGGGGCATGTCGCGCTTGGTGATCCTGTTATGGACGATCGCCTTTCTCCGCATTTCCCGGTCATTCTCCTCGTCCTTGCATCTTCTCTGTTCGATGGTGGCGAAGTCAAACCAGTAGGAGCGCAAATGAGCGTAGACGGTGCCGAAATCAGAGTTTCGTCTGATGTAGGATTCGAGAACTGAGGACATCAGGGGGGATAGAATGTAAAAAGTGCCAAGTGTTGTGTTCAGCTTCTCGAAAACTCCGTGTACACCAAGATTGGCACAGGGAGTGTCAGCCAGAGCAGACGGTATGACCCTTGTACCAGTGTATGACCGTTGCCTCAACACAGGAATGTTCGGTTCGTCCCGACCAGTCTCAGCGAGGGCAGAGAGTGTGATCTCAGGAGGATCATACTCGCTCACCTGCACGCAAAGTGTTATTGCTCGCCTCTGTAGAACACTGTTCTTACCTCATCCATTAGAAAGTCCATTTCGCCCCCGTAATTGTCCCTGTCTTCCTCCGAAAGATTATCAGACCCCCTTCCTGGTGATAGAAGGATGATCGATGAAGATGGGTACCATCACACCAAGACAAGGACACACCTACGTCCATACTGTACCGCCGATCCGTCGTCACACCAAGCAGTCTTAGTCGTGCCGTGTGGCAAGAAGGAATGAATGCAGACTAGCGCTGAAACGTGTCGCCAGCACTGCCAAAAAAATAGATCCTGAAGATAGACGCCGAAAGATAACAGATACATACTAACATCCGGGCTAATCCTTCATCGTCCTACATAGAGCAAACACAAAAATGAATAAATGAGAGATAAGAGTGGAATTAGGAAAGTTCATCTTGATCACTTGGTTGGCGTGATGGATGACTCGGTGCACACTGAGAAGGAATTGTTTAAGTGGCATGAACTATTACTGTATAATCTCGATGAGAATACCACGTAGGTCCTCCGATATCCATGATGAGTTCTGGAGGAAAACGTGCGTCCTAAGAATCGATAAGTCAGTCCGTTAAACATGGCGCGAATTCAAGAGTGTCACTGGCATCGATATTTGCATATGAGGAAGAAAAGTACAGGCAGCAAAGATTTGGAAGGCGACTGCGAAATTTGGGAGAGGGTATAAGATCGGAAACGAGGGACACGATCCTGGGAAGGCGACAGTTAGGGTGTAGCAAAGAGACATGTCATCATGGAGGGTAATCTATGATGCCAGGATCAAAGGCAGCATTTTTTTGCTGAGTTGAGCGTGTTCTTGAAAACAGGAATCGGATGGCATGCGCATTACCATAAGCATTTAGTATCCGGGCTCCGCCAAAAGCCCGCGTTCAATGAGCTGGTGAAGTCCAAGCGCCAAGATGATTCGCTCTTTATATTCGTGTCCTGAGAATGGGATTCTCGTTGTGCTGTTCGTGTCGGAGTTCATGTTGATAAGAATCGTGAAAGACTAAAGGGAGAAGTCAGAGAGTCACATGGTCGCTGCAAAGTGGGCCGTGGGAAAACATATGCCCGGTCCCCCATTCCCGCTTTTCATCTTCTCGGCTGCTTTGAAGCTCTTTTAACGTCGGGGTGTCACCAACGCCGAGGCCCGCTCTCGGGGATCCACTGCTGTCGAAGACGAACGTGGAAGGAAGGATCAGGCGGGTCGATACCCGGAGTCGACAAGAGCAGTTACCCGTTGGAGTACTCTCCAAGTCCAAACCGCTGGGACTCACTTGATATACGACCGACGATGATTCCATGCTGAGAACGCGAGGATAGGGAGAATGGGTAGAGTGCACAGACACTTCGGGTAAGAGGTCGGCTGGCAGCCTGGAATATGGATGTACGGGCATTTCCTCTTCTGCCTGACGTTTCCCTAATTTCGGCTTTCAAATTTCAGGATCGAACTCTCATTTTAGAGTTGGCTGATTCGAGACAGTGTGTAGTTGTTCACCCCTGCCTTGTATACCCTGCAGTCGTCTGGCTCACTGGTTCTCTCAATGTGGGTAAAGACGTATCTGGATCAATGAGGTGGTGCGCAAGAACAAGTCGTGGTCGCGGATGGAGAAGGCTAGGTATGCATGTGAGCATTCTTTCTTCCGAGCCCTATTGATGTTGTTCTAAGTTTCTGTCTACAGGTCACCCAATCGTGCGCACGCTGTTACATCTGCGTGTACTTCTCGTCTTGTCCACTAGCTAACACTCATGGACATCGGTACTCTTCAAGTAAACTGGTATCATATGAATGGAACGAGGGACGGTCGAGGTACGCGTCTTTACTGTTGCCTTGACACTTCCAGTCTGACGCATATATAGAGCCTTCTTGGCTTACGATCAAGATGTCTGGCTTCTGGGTCATGTACAGCCTGTTTGTTGTGTTATGTACATTATTTCATGGCATGATGGCACGTTGGAACCGCGCACAGGGCTTGTTCGATTCCAGCTCATGTCATTTGGTAACGGAGCAGAACTTTTTATTTACTTTCTCCTGCTGCCAGCCACTTGGAAGTGTCCCGGTGATATTACACTCAGCTCCTTTTCTTTCCACGTACTGTGGATGGAACACATGCAAGTTGCCCCTTGCAGGAAACCCTATCTCCCTTGTACGGTCGGCTTCACTTTGGCTTTTGCTACAAGGTTCATACTTATTTGAGGCCAGCCCCACCGCCGGGATCATCCTGTCGTCATTTCTTGTTGACCGTTCGCTTTAGCATCCCATGTTACTCATTCTTTCACATCCAACATATCGTGACGTTATGAAAGTCGGGCTTGATGCTGCTGTTGAGCCTCTAGTGGTAGCATTCTTCACGTCGAATTGGGATCCGAGATACGCAAACGCTGTCGAGAAGACCAAAGGGTGTAAGATGATTTTTCTAGTCTTTTCTCTTATGTGTCTGTCCGTGGTGTCCCATTAACCAGTACCTTGCATTATCGAAAGCCAGTAATGAAAATTATCGTATGTGTATACAGCTATGAATGTCAAGTAGAGTACAGCTTACGCAAAATACAATAACGTCTGTCTACGCACGGAGATAACAATTATATCTATTTCACGTCTGCGTCTTATAAATCGTAGGACGGTCAACGTCCCCATCTTTACATCAAAACCAGGACCCTCGAAAACCCGACCGGCATGTCATCAGTTCTCCTCTTGCACATCTCCACCCAGCGTCAATCACGTCTTGAGCCTGATCAGCTCAGTTTTCTGTTTCGCTGAAACATCCTGTAGTTCCATCTGGTAGTCTGTGTGTGTTGCCTGATGGAGCGGGAAGCGAAGAACCGTACGAAGCAAGTTTTTCCGCATCCCCAAAGTTCGTGTAGGCACCTGAACCTTTTACCGGATTTGAGCGCTTCCGCCGAACCATCATATCGCGGTGGAATATGGCAGGATGTTTCCTCCGGTGCTGTCGTCGGTGGAGGGTGTATATGAGGGCGCATAGAAGGAGGAGCAGGAATATGAAGGAGCCGATTGTAGCGCCGATTATTGGGAGTGTTTTGGATTGCGAACCACTGGTAGCAGAAGATGTGGGATTCTCATTTGAGGATGAAACTGTTGGATGGGACCTGGATAAATTGTGAAGAAAGGTTTCATTAGAAAAGGACGGAGAGCGACAGACATAGATTGAGTTTCATTTGCGGCTGGGGAGGTACTAGTTCTGAAGTGAGTCAGATTTACCGTTCTCAACACGAATTATATCAAAACGGCGTACGATGAAGTGCCACTAAAGGTGGTGAAACTGCTTCCTGTAGCTTGGAGGGAGCTGTTGAAACGTGGGTGACGAGTGGTGTAAGGAGCAAGGAATAAACGAACCTTTGAGTCGTTGATTCTGCAGAGCTGGAACTGGAAGGAGGTTTGGAGGGTGTTGTCCCGAAAGGATTGATGAAGATCGATGCATTAGTACTCCCAAAGCTGGTCATTCCAAGAAAGAAAGTATGAGCTAGTCTCGTTAGGAGTAATAGAGGGCAATGGACGTACGTAAACGATGTTGAGACAGTGGTAGTAATTCCGGAATCAGGACTACTGGTAGAAGTTGACGGGCCGGGCGGCGTGAGAGCAATGCTTTCTGGGTTACTATTGGTTCCAATAGTAAATGATCTGTAGTAGGAAGCGAAGATGAGACTTGATTGCTCGATACTAGAAGACGGGCTACGAGCGCACCCAGGAGGTGTCCATGACGCCAGCAGAGGCACAGCTGGTGCATTTCCTTGAGGTCCACCGAGAATAAAGCCAGTCGAAGTAGCAAAATGGAAACAAAACCTGACCGGTGAATTGAGAACCTATCATGCAATGGAAAGGGTGACTTACAAAATCAGCTGGATTGACATCTAGTAGTGAGATGCGGTAATTGTGTATGAAAGAGTGGGTGTGGTGAAGTAGACAGGTAGTATAGAGTTGGTTGTGTGGCATCTGAATGCAGCTGTGAGGAGAAAGCCGAAACTATCAGTGGTTTGAGATACAGATAAACCATCCATCGTATACCGCCACTGAGATGCGAGCGCGGGATGAAGATCATGATGTAGACGCCGATCAGCATAGGATTCGAATACTATGAGATCCGGAAATACGGAAGCAGTTCCTGGGAACGAAGAGTGGGTGCCGCAGTTAAATAAACTAGATGGTACGATGCACTGCGCCGAATGTAGCTTTCCGGGGGGAATGTCCGAACTATCAGCATTCTGGGATATGCATGATTCATACATCATCCTCATTGAGATATAAATATGAGTTGAGACGAAAGCTGATCAGCATAGCACTCACATATCATAACGTCATGTAGTAAAGAAGCATTTTGTGGGTAAGGTGCGATGCCGGGATCAGACAGCATGGATAGCGATCTCTTTGTGAGTCATTTTGTGTTGCATACCGGTTTCTTCATCCCGTTCTTGAAAAAGGGAATCGGATGGCATACGCGTTTAGTAGGGTCCGACAAAGCCATCGATGCATCATGCGTTCAACGCGCTGCCATGGAGCCAGGATCATTCACTCTTTATATTCACGTCCTGAGAAATCAGGATTCTCGTCACGACGTTCATGCAAGGGCCCCATGGTTTAGTATTCTCAGGCAGGTGGTTGACAGGGCCAGAATGGCGCGCGCAAAGATCTGGTAGAAAGAGAAGCGAGATCACATGGTCATCGCCAAGTGAACCGTGGGAAAAAAATGCTCTCCTTCGCATTTTCATCTTCTCTGCTATTTTGAAGCTCGTCTCATGGATTCAAATCACTACGATGCATTGTTCCTTAGACATTACAGTGTTGCCGACTCCGACTCCAGCTCTCTAGGACCCGCCATTGTTGATGATCATGAAAGGATCAAACGTGTCGATACACCGAGTCGACAAGAACACTCTTCCATGGCTGTCTGCTGAAGTACTCTCTAAACCGCCAGCGTTAATCTGATATGTGACTACCTGGGAAGGATGATGGTTCCACGCGGAGAACAGGAGGAGAGGGGGAATGGGTGCGAGGCACAGACCCTTCCCTCAGCGCGGGTAAGGGGTTGGATGGAGGTGCGGGCGTCTCGGCCTCTTTTGCTTGGTGTTGCTCTAATTTTAGCTTTCAAGATTGACCTCACGTTTCAGAGTTGTCTGATTCGGGACAGTGTGTAGCCGTTCGCTCAGCCATCTACCGGTTCGTCGACATCGATAATATCAACTGCAATGTGAGGTCACATCTGGATCAGTGGGGTGGTGCGCAAGAAAGACTCGTGGTCGCGAAAGGAGAAGGCCATGGTGCAAACATCTTTTCCTGAGTCCACTTGACGTTGCTCTAAGTTTGTGTCTACAGGTCGACCGAACGTGGACGTTCTTTTAGATCTGTGACTCCTCGCCCTGCCCACCTGCTAGTGTTCATGGACGTCGGTGCACGTTAAACTGGTACGGGATGGAGGATTGAGGTATGCCTCTTTTCTTTTGCCTTGACGTCGTTCTATCTTCCGGTCTGACGTGTCTTCAAGATGTCGGCGTCGAGTGGTGTTGCGATCTATTCTTCCATACATCTGCATCCACGCTTCACCAGGTCCACCTCCCGTGTGCGCTCAGCATCTCCATGTCTACCATCGAGACTGGCATCCTCTCGGCTTAAACTTAGACAAGAAAGAAAGACTCCTAGTCGCAGATGATGGAGAAGGATTGGCTTTTGTGCGAGCTTCTTTTCTTTCGCTTGGTGTCGCTCTAATTTTACATCTACAGGTCCAGCTTTGCTTCTCGCTCGTGAATGATTGGTCCTCACTCGTCTGCGCATCGGCCACCGACTTTGTCTCATCTGTGAGCACTCGTATTATACTTCTTTCGTCTCTATCAAAGCTACTCCGCTCCCTGTCAATATATACTTATGTCACCTTGCTTGCCTGCTAAGTCTTTCCGTGCCCTCTGCACTTCATGGCACGATGGCATATCGGGATCGCACAGCTCAAGGACCTAGTTCGATCCTAGCTCGTGCCGACATGATGCAAGAGAGCAATACCAGTGTTTTTCCTATTCGTCCTGCTGCCATATCAGGGTTTGTAGGTTGCGTTCCGGTATACTAATTGGCAGTAATCCCTCTTAGCTCTGTTGGTAGAGCGCCTCACGCTGAGATTAGTCGTTCAAGTCGGCCAGAGGGAATACGGTAAACCCCTGTTGTACGGGGCGGGACTGGGGATGCTAGAAGAAAGTACGTGCTCCTGGATTCCTGGTCTCGCTCGCTGAGTAAAGTAAAAAAGAAGGGAAGGGAGGGAGAGTTGATCACACTGATGTAGCGTGTAAATTACTGTGGGAAAATATACACGTTTCTTTCTCTCTTCCTCCTCTCACTCCGCGACCAGTCATCTTCAAACGATTCGACAAGTGACCATCTGCTCGACCCCCATCACAATTTCCAGGCTGCAAATAATCATGTAATATGATGGCTCGCAAAGCACTGACAGCGTGAAATGCCGTTGTATGCGTGCAGAGGGATATGGGCGCGCAGGTTCAGGGTTGGAGGGAGGTGCGTATACGTCCTTTCAACGTTGTGGATTCGCTATATGTGACTTTTCAGGTAGACCCGCACATCCTCTCTGTGTTTCGTCGTCAAATGCGTCTCCAATCTAAACACGTCCGAGTCCTCTCCCTGCTCCCCCAGGGACCGGTGTCTCTCAAACGAGCTCGACGCTCGGTCCGGCTTCCAGGTCGCAATGACGACACGACACGGTGGATTCTGCAACTCTGGCCACGTCACGACTTATAACTCTAAGCCGTAGAGGAACGGGACGTGCGTAGACGTCCCTTCAATGCTGGCTGTTTCTAACTTTGGCGTTGCAGCCCACCTTCCTCGAATCTGAAGATCCTCTTCAGACGAGCGCCTTTTATGTTCTCATCCAGTGACCCGGGAGCATGTGTACCAGGATCCTTCTGCTGTACTTCGTTTCCGTAACTGTGATTTCTTCCTTGTGCAGTAAAGGTCCCTTTTGTAGGGGATCGTTATAAGGGAACGGTTTAGCCTGCCATCAATCACTCGTCCGTTCTGAAGACGGGCTGTGCCTACATAGTTCACCGCTGCTACCACGTCCGCTACTGAACGTAGCAATCATCCACAGTCCCCTTTGATACGAGGTACCAAACAAACCTCTGCGGGTCGTTCAAGGTGTGTACCTTTCCTTCCGCCCTTGGACGAAGATAGCTTGACTGATCTCCGGATTCTCCGGGTACGTAAAAGCCTGTGTCCCATCCCTCCCTACCAGCTCAAATCCCTCCTCACGGTAATCCTCACTCATGAGTTTCTGTGTTATGCTTCATCTTCCCTCCCTAGCTTGAATTTTTCATATAGTGACTGTTGCTGTGCTCGCTGTACCAGACGGCGATGGCACTGGTGCCAGTATTAATTGATAATCCTCCGTCTACGTAAAACGCGGAGCTCAGGGTGGGTTTCGTATCTTTTGAGGATGTAATAAGGCCCAAGGGAACTGACTTGTAGTATTAGGCTCGACGTCAGATCCCTCGGATTTGCTTATCTGGTTCAACACAAATATATGTCGTTCGATGCGCTACAGCCGAATGGAAAAGTCTCCCTGTTTTTTGATATTCATGCCAACGCGGAGTCCTTTGAACTCTTGACATGACACGCAATGGCTAAATTGGTTCCTCACCCAAGCGGCTTCCTGGTTCGATCCCAGGTGCCACTATCATTCTGTATGTCAGCGTCCACTTTTAGGCAAAGTGCCAAATACGACGTTGTAAGAATCAAGAATAGTTTCATTGTCGGGAGGGAAGAGGAGAAGAAGAAGATGTCGTTTTTCTGGCTGTGTTATTATCCCGGATGAAAACTCTGATTGCGACTGGTAGTTGTGCATCGTGGTCTTCCACCACCAGAACGGACTTCTGGACTAGCCTGTAATAGTGCACATCACCAGTTCGAGCCCTCGCTCAAGCAGGTGGCTCGTTCGATCCGAGGCCCTGCTGTACAGATAGTATAATGACGCATTTCTTTTTTCTTGTTTTGGCTTTTCGATTGACTGTGGATTTTGCTCCTGACAAGTCACAAAAGGAGAGTGACCAGGGCCCGGAAGGATATTTGCGTCACCCTTGCACTGAGAGGAGCCGCTAGTGAGCGCCTTGTCCTCGTTCGAGTCGGGGTCCTCCACTAACAGGGCACAGTTCTTTGTGTTGACACTAATGTTTATTTTTCCAAGGATCATACAGTAGACAAAGACGGCGAGCGAAATTTAAATCGAGGGAAATTTTTGGGAGGTTGACCGTGTTCAGGTCACATGATCATTTTGTGGGCTGTGGGAAGTCTCTACCCGCCGCTTCGTCAACAAGACGATATTCGTTTTATGCTCACTCGAGTTTCCAGGCCACTTCACACTTGAGTTATATAAGTCTCACGATATATTTAACGAATGAAGCAAACACTGCTAGGATTGTTGGGGAGGGACACTCGCAGTATGGGTAGATGATAGAGGTTCGTGCAACGTGCTTTTGACACCGAGGTGTCGCTAACTTGGGCTGTCCAGGTCGAAGTCTTCCCTTCCATTCCTGAATCATGGCCATAAATGCCGAGTGAGTCAAATTGGGAGGATTTCCTGAAGAAACATGCATTGTTGCTCCTGCTCCAGGTTACAGGCCCTTTTAAGTTCACCACAATCCCGCGAAAATTTGAGGATTCGGTTAACCACCACGTCGCTCCTAGCAACCCAGGCCCTTCCATGGGGGGATGCTCAAGTTGGACAGCATGGATGGGTCGTGGAGGTGTGATCAGTGTCCTTTCAGTGTTGTAGTGGTGCTAACCTTAGCTGTATAGCCCAGCGACTGATCTCGCACATAGACCACACAAAGAGCTTGTTCAATTCGAGCTCGTACTACTGATCCTGAACAAACGCGAGACACGTGTTTCTTGCCTCATAGCTTGCATCCCAAAATATATGTGCAGCTCCTCTCAGCTCCTCTGGTAGAGCACGTCGCTGAGGTTCAGCTCCTCTAGATGGAAATGAAAATGAAAATTCACCTCCTAAAACTAAAGTTTTTTTGGTCTGCAATCTATGCTAGTTCGAGTTGGACTTTGTTTAGACTTTGCATCCCTTCCGTCCCTACTCATTTTACAATTCACTCCGAAGGAAGCCTGAGAGATGCAGGTACCGAGACATTTATGCTATAGGGTACGAGACTGGGGAGGCTAGACGTAAGTACATGTTTCTGGGTTCCTCGTCTCCTTCGCTGAGAGAAAGGAAGAAGGAAGAGTTGATCACATGTACCACGTAAATTTCTGTGGGAAAATAAACACCTCTCTTTCTCTCTTCCTCCCACTCCACTACCAGCCATCCTCAAACAGCTTGACAGGTGTCCATCCGCACGAACTTCGTCACAATTTCTGGGCCACATACGATGGCTCGCGAAGCACTGACAGTGTGAAATGCCACTGAATGTGGAGAACTGTATGCGCGCAGAGGCGTATGTGCGTGCAGGCCCAGGGGGCATTGAAGTTGACAATGCACATCAGATTAGATTCTCGTAGCTGAGTATACAGTGAAATAAAGGGGTGTCCGGAATAATACGTATCTACATGCATGGGATGTGTGATGCCGTGAGAAAGTATATCATACCCTCTCATCTCGCAGTGACAACACAGCTATATTTCTTGAAACGCACCGTATTAAAATATGAATTATAAGGCATACAAGCAAGACTACAAACAAGAATAGATAGATGGAGAGCATGTTCTGGCAGTCAACAGGCCTAGTTATCTTCGTTATTGACTAATTGCTCAAGTCAATGTCATATCCTCGGTGCAGGCATTTGAATGACCTCCTTCCATTATGGAAAGGGCTATGTTGATGCTCTAGAGAAAGAAAGAGTAGCACCTTCAATGGATGCGGCAAGGATGTTACTACGCACCATCTCTGCTAAACCACTTTCCCCCCTGCTACCAGAGGTATGAGGAGCCAACCTGAGTATCGTCTGATGGACAGGATATTCTTTGGTTCCTGTCCTAATTTGCATGTTGCGTGCGTTCAGCCTATTTGGAGTTAGAACAATATTCAAATACAAGGGGGAGAGGAACTTACATTGAGAGCAAGGAGTTTATATAGACTATTAGTAATCAGTTAGAGACGAACAGGAAACCGATTGAGCAGACTTTAACATGCACGCTTCGGTAGAATGGAATCCACTGTGAGGTAAATGAAACTATTTGGCCAAATGATGTACTGTATCAAAGATGAGGTCAGAAGCGAGAGGAACGAAAATCCATGAGTCAATACCGTGACAAGAGTAAACATCGAACATGCGCTAGACCCAGTATTCATGATTAACTCCCATCATACCAGACAAGTCAGAATTATACCTCGTAGCCAGACCTGATATCACAGCCAGCCGCATCAATCCCCCAATTATCTTTGTCGTACTACAAGCAGTTTCCTTGACGTGAACATTGATCGTATTCGTGACGGTGTAGGCAACACACCTGGAGAAGCTGGTCGCTGACCTGCCCTTGTGCAAGTAGTAGCACATTGTAGCAGGCGATGAAGAAATCTACTCCTGTGAATGTAGAGAAGACTACGTAAACGGATGTCTAGGAAACGGTTACGTGTTAGAGTGCCCATATGCCGATTACAGAGCTACAAAAGCCTACGCTGATGGTCGGGATGTCAAAAAGGCTTGGGACGGTGTATCTGGTGACAGGTTAGTGCAGGCGACTATCATCGTAAAGAGGCATAGTCCATACAAATCATAAGAACATCTAGTAACAATTTCCATAAGTCAGCGCTGTATATATATAAAAGCAACGCTCACAGATTCCAGTGGCTTCGAAATCGCATCAGAACTTCACTCATTATGACAAATTTAAGTGGTCTCACCGAGAGAAGCAGCGACAGCAAGAAACTGTGGGCGAGATTCCAAAGATGTCTGTGCGAGTACTGTGAAAAGGAGAAGAAGAACACGTACAATGAAATATGGAAGGACCGCATGGAAGTTACGACCAACTATTTAGAGGCTAAAAGTCAGCATTCGTTTAAGCTAATGTGAACAGAAACTAACATTTCCATATCCTAAAGGCATATAAGCTGTAGCACTGGTGAATGAGGACTTCCGATCTTTCAAAAATCAATCAAAGGAGACACACGCTTGGACGCCGACGACAATTAACAACTAATTAATAATCAGAGAGCAGTGAAAGATCACACCAAATTCACGTACATTGAATATAAGTTGCAACTAAAGGCCGAAGGAGCTTCGGGATTTGAAATAATGGATGAAGCGGGGAGATAGGCGCACCGGAAAACTCCTACTGGTAGAGTGTAAATTCAGTTGTACTCATGATAGGTGCGGGAGGGACGTACCATACCGTCCTGAACAGAGAATGCCAATTCCCGAACGATTCGACCAGATAAAAGTATAAGACATAAGTGCTTGTCACAACGTGAAGTGTATCGAGAATGCTAGAATTATAGCAAACATCAGGATACAGCTGGGTACATAATTACGTGGCACTCTGTAAGCGCACCACAATAACACGACCTGCTTGGATGTCAGAGCTTGAAGAACCTTATGAAAGTGTATTTTTTTTTTATGTACGGCATATCAAAAGAGCCTTGGATCATTAGGGTACTGCTTGTAGTAGATGGCGGTCTGCACAATGGTTATCCCATAGAAACTAGAGCACGTGATGAGCATTGGGAGTAAATCACCAAGGAAAAGAATGCGTACATGGCTCCTATGATAACACCAATGTAAACTGCACCGAAAGTCATTCCCAGCAGGTGAATATCAGAGTCAGCTATCGGTACTGGGGGAGGTGACGACATTTGTTATGCTAGTGTTAACAGAAGAGCGCGTTATTTATATTCACCCTGTGGCTTGCAGTGATTTGAGATTACATTTGAAGGGTGCTTTCTTTGGTGAGAGGTTTCATCAAATCCGGTTGAAAACCCTCCATCCAGGCAATTCAAACGTGAGACATGCAAGTAGCTGTGGTATCTGGGTCAGCATCAGGGATGATATGGTCCTAATTGGTGAAGGGAATGGAGATGCGAGGGAATGAGAGCACTTATAGATGGTCCCTGATGTTGATGGACTTCAAAGAAGACTAGCGTTTCCGGAGTTAATGATGATTGATGCTCTCCATGGGATATGCATTGCTGAAAGCCACTTTTTTGGTTGGGGAAGTTACGCAACTACGAAAGGCTGAATTACATGCATTCATACAACTTACAATGCGTTGCCTGACCAAGGATCAAATGAGCACTCATCTTTGTAGACATAAACGAAACGGGCCTTTGTCTCAATGCTGATCAGATCAAAGAAGGGGCTTTCTTTTTCACCGACAGCGAAGCGAATAATGTCTGATGTGTGAGCTTTTGTTCTCCTTGGTTTAATTAAGACGTTGATAACCCTGGGTGCTCCTGATCCTGCAAGGAGGTGTAGGTGAAAGATATACAGAAACAAAAGAGGGACACACCCAGTGTCCTCTGGTACAAGCAGTTGTTCCTTCCTGAAGGTCAATACGAGTGTTCATTGGGGATAGTTTTTTGGGAACTTAAGAGAGGTATCCATGTATTATATGAAACTAATGAGATCACCTTGTTGTATCTAAATAAAACTGTCATTCATTTTCGACACAATGCAGATCACAGTACTAGGCAATGACAGAAATAAAACAAGAACTGGGGGATCTCACCGGGTTTCATATACATCGATGAAACAGATGTAGATGATACCCTCCTTTTCCTAAGAAAGAAGAAACAATTATCCTTAATAGTCTTTGCACAGTAAAAATATTCTGACCTCAGGACAAAGAAAGGCTGAGGGTGAGAATCGGGATTACTGGCATCTCTGACAGCAGATAGAGAAGGTACGTACCTCATGGCGATGATGGTCAATTTATAGCAGCACCGGTCAATTGAATTGGTAAGTTGGGAGACTCAAAGTTCTGAGAACTTGCGGGAATGAATCAATCCGTGGTGCAAGGGAAGTTGATGCCTATGCTCCATCGGACATCGGTAGATTCGTCAGTTGATGAATACTTTATAACAGGTGAAACATGGAACTTATGATTCTTGTTCAAATCTCACTCCCTTCCATTCCTCGGGTTCAAAGTAAGAATTAGTTTTCTGTTTTGAATCACACCAAACAAGATAGAAAATCATCTGTGTAGAAGGTCTTTCCCCTCGACCATGTCTTCTTTTCATGTTATTGGTTTTAGCACATATGTGATAAGCCTCAAGACTGTCCGACATTGACGAACATTTCCCTTGGTGTAGTCTTACCACCCGACTCTGAATCAGCCACTTCTTGAAAGAAAATCTTGATATAGCCAATGAGATCAGATCTCGAGCGCCCAATCCAAGCTTAAGCTTACAGCTTGACGGTTATTGGTCCCAGGGGCAGTCTTCTTGAAAGGGGAATCGGATGGATGTGCATAAGCATTTCGTCTAACATCAAGAACTTTATCAGTTGATGAATGGTAACAGGTGAAACACAGGGACTTACAGTTATTGTCCAAAGCTTGAGCCCATCCATACCACGGGTTTAAATCGAATAAACTGTGTTCTCTTCGAATCTGCACAAGATTCTTTGAGATAGGAAGACTGATGCAGGGGCGGGCCTACGTGAGGACATGCTGAAGGGAAGATCGTACAATCCTGAGAGACTTGAGTGAAAGAAATGTTTCCATGCGCCGGAATCTGTGCCATAAGATTATCTCGGCAGAAAGACATGCATAAGCATTGCTCGAGTATCGTCATAGAGAATAGTTGTAACAAGGAACAGAAGACAAGAATTAGGCATTGACGCCGAGTAGTAACTCGAATCAGACGCGACTAAAAATCTGTGCATACGCCGGATCAGCTGGCAAGAAGATCACTAAAAAGCGGGGAAAATGGTGGACGAACGAAAATTTGAGGTATTCCCAAAATACACTCTTCTGCATATCCAGAGTCTCTCGTTACACGATGGTGTTTCCACGTTTCAGCGCTAGGGACACATCTTTACGGGAGACATGAAGGAAAATGCGGCGGCATAAATTCTAAGGACATTTTATTAAGAGGCGGACGTGTTTCAAAGAAGACGACTCACAAAAACGCCGGTCAATATAGTTCTTCGTCTGTCAGAAATTTGTATGTCGTATATTGCGACCCTTTACGTGATGATGGAAGGGTAAGGGTCGTACCCAGAGGGCTAGTGTTTGTCGAAAGAATAATGTACGCACCTACATCGTTGATCGACACCATGTCTGGGCTACTTCTGATCTTGTGTGCCAAGCATAAAATGGAGGTTCGCGATGTCGCTTTGGCTAGCTCCAAAGTAGGCCGTGTAGATTTCTTTATTTTAGCGTCCTGAGGCTGCTTTCGCTCCTATACGTTCCTCAAAAAAAAAAGAAGTCCAGAAAACGGGATTCTCGTCACGTCGTTTGAGTCGGGATCTGGCAATGCTGGTACCCTTCGTTTTATTATTTCTACGCAGATGTTTACCAAGACCGGAATGGCTCGCGTGAAGGTTTGAGTGAAAAGCGGAGAAGCCAGATCACATGGTTGCCGGTGTAAGTGGGGCGTGGGAAAAGATATGCTCACTTTCGCGCCGTCATCTTCCCCGATGCTTTCAAGCTCGTCTCACGGATTCGAATCTCGCCGCATTGCATTTTTCTTTTGACGTTGTCACCAACTTTAGCTCTCTAGGACCTGAGACGAACATGGAAATATCAAGTGGGTCGACACACCGAGTCAACACGAACACTCGACCACGGCCATCCGCTGAAGTATTCTCCAAATCGGCGGCGTCAACCTAATATGTGCCCACCTGTGAAGGACGATGGTTCCACACCGAGAAGATGGATGGAAGAGCTTTACTTGGTGCGAGTCGGAGGAGCCGGCAGCTTGGAGAATGGAGGTACGGGCGTTTCTCTTCTTTGACGTTGCTCTGATTTTGGCATTTAAGCTCCTCACATCTCCGAGTTGTCCGATTCGGGTCAGTGTAATTGTTCGGTCGTCATGTATACCCTGCAGTTGTCTGGCTCATTGATAAAATCAACTGCGATAGGTCTATTGGAGGGGCGGGTTCGTTTTAGTTGGGGATGGAGAAGGCTGAAGCAAGTACTGAGGTGAGCGTCTTTTCTGCCGACGTGGAGTCGTCGTTTTAAATTTGTATCTGCAGGTCTACCGAGTCTGTACCGTTTCTCGGCCTGTTCGCCTATGTTGGACTGGTATATGAATATTAATGGTGCGATGGACGATTAAAGTGCGCGTCTTTTCATGGTTCCAACTTCCAGTCTGACACATATATAGAGCTTTCTTGGTCTACGATAAAGATGTCTACGTCGAATGGTACCATGATCTACGTCTTCCAATGCCGTCCATCTCCCAGCATCTCCTTGTGCAGACCGGCATCCTCTCAGCTTAGACAAGAAACAATCCTAGTTGCGGATGTCGGAGAAGGATTGGCTTTTGTGCGAGCGTCTTTTCTTTCGCTTAGTGTCTTTCTCATTTTCCATCTACAGGTCCAGATTCACTTTTTGGAAGCGTTGAATGACTGGTCCTCAATCGTCTGCGTATCGGCCACCTCGGCATCTGTTATGAATGTCAGTTCGGTAATATTAGTCAACAGTCACCGACCACTTACTGCGCTAATCATCGCGAATATTATAAAATTTTCTTCGGTTTTCTCTCCTTTTCTTTTTCATTTCTTTCGATACTCTTATAGTAGATTCTCTTGACCGTCCTCTTCCAGAATCTTCACTTCAGTACAATATATATATTGAGTATCGTAGTACGCCCTGGGGCATCTTAATCTTACCTTCTTGACTCCACAACCTAGTGTGAACCTAAGTGAAAGAGGTCGGTTACGCCAAGCGCTTGCCGAACGACTCACTTACCGACTACGCCAAGCGCTTGCTAAACTCTCGGTTGGAGCCTTCTTGGTAAAATTGGACTCATTACTCTTCTACACTCACTCTCGGCTCAAACTTTGATTAAGTACTACTGAATCGTACTTCGAAGAATTAGCCACATTCTTAACAGCGTCTATCGTTGCTTCAAAGAGTCTTTCGAAACGAGACTTTGTCTCAGTTGCGAGTGCCCATATTATACTTCTTTCATCTCTATCAAAGCCGTTGATTATACTTATACCACCTTGCTTCCCTGCTAAGCCTTTCCATGATGTATATCAGTCTTCAGCCTCCCACTTTATGGCATCATGGTACTTTGGGATCGCACAACTCAAAGGCCTTGTTCGATCCTCATGCCATGATGATTATTATAATGTGCAACAATACGTGTTTTTACTATTCCTATTGCTACCATTTTACTTGGATTCTAGTATAGTTACTAACAATCAATCAATCACCTCTTAGCTCCGTTGGTAGAGCGCTCCATACTGAGATCAGTCGTTCCAGTCGACTATAGGGAATTGATAAGGAATGATGCAATTTTTGGCTTGCAAAAGTCCTGATGTGACTCAACTCGACGCCTCATGGAGAAATAATGCTCTTTCAAGTTTCACTAGCACTACTCACTACTCACGCATACTTACATATTTCTGCATTTCTTTTGTTTTCTTGCGTTGTATTCAGCACGGTGCCCTCCTAATACCCCGCCGCTATCTCTCGTCGGGACCGCACAAAGAGCTTATTCAATTGGAGTTCGTACTATGATGCTGAACAAATGCGAGATATGTGTATTTCGCTTCATCGCTTGTATCTCGACATATATGCAATCCCTCTCAGCTCAGTTGGTTGAGCGTACCACTGAGGTTCAACTCCTCTAGAGGGAAATGGAATGGTGCTTTGGTCCCTGCTCATTTTTTGCGAGTCAGAAGCCTGAGACTTGCATTTGAGGATCTGTGTACGCCGTACAGTACAGGACTGGGATGCATACTGCTGGATTTCGCCGAGGGAAGGAAGGAAGAATTGATTCCTCAGAATCACATGTACTGTGTAAATTGCTGTGGGAAAATACCAGGCTTCTCTCTCTTCCTTCTCCCACTTTGCGACCAGCGAACTCTGCCCCATCCTCAAAACAACTTGACAGGTTACCATCCGCTTGAAACTCGTCACAGTTCCCAGGCCATATACGAGGCACCGACAGCATGAAATGTCATTGAATGCAGAGGACTGTATGCAGGTTGGAGGAAGGTGTGCACGTGCTTTTTCAATGTTGGGGGTTCGCTATATTTTGATCTTCAGGTAGACCCACACATCCTCTCTGTGCTTCGTCTTCGAACGTTGTGCCCCAAATCGGAACATGTCCTCTCCCTCCTCCCCTGGGACTGGCATCTCTCAAATGACCTCGATGTTCGATCCGGCTTTCAGGCCGCAATAACGACACGCCATGCTGGATTCTATGACTCGGACCATGTCACGGCCTATAACTCTACGCTGGGCAGGAACGGGAGGTATGTAGGCATCTTTTTAATCCTGGCTTTTTCTAACGCTGGTGTTGCAGCCCGCCTTCCTTGAGTTCGATAACCCCCTTCAGATGAATGCCATTTATGTTCACATCCAATAGCCCGGGAACAATGTGTAGCAACATCCTTCTATTGTACTCCGTTTCCTCGATGGCCATGACTTGATACCTTCCTTGTGAATTGTCGTTCTCGGTTGCAGAGGATGACATAACTTATGAGGGAGCAGTCTTATCCTCGATCGTTTGCTTTCAAGACAGCTCCTGCTGTAGGAGATATCGGTGTCTATATGCAAGTTTTCACGACCGTTTGATGCCCCGAGTCGATCCTCCACAGTGCGAGGGCCTCTGCGGGTTGTTCCTTCTGCCTTTGACCAACATTCTCCAGGTGCTTGCCTGTCCAATCTCTCCCTGCTAGCAGCGTTACGGCCTTCCAGTTGAATGAATGAGGGTTGCTTGCTCCTGATACTGAATATTTCAGAGTGCTTCTTCCAATATCATGCAATCTCTTACCAATCCTTCTGTTTGGCAGGATATTGCCTTACCTGGTGCATCTGTTGATCAACATTAATGTCTTTGAGTCTCATTCATTTTACGCACGCAGGCTTTGATTGGATGTCAAACTTTCACGACACCGACTTCTCCTCTGCTCACCCGCCTCTCCAATAGCAACAATAGAGCGTCAGAATTTAGTTTGTATTATGGTTTTCTTCTTGTTGTACTATGCAATTTGTACATGTTCCCGAATCACACATCAAACATCTGTACTTTATTGGACACAAGGAATGATAATAAAAAATCCAGGTAAATGAAGAGATTCATTGGAAGACAGCTTTCAGCCTTGGGGCGAGATGGCGTGCTGATGAAGATGACAAAAGGACTTCTAGGAGGTGTGTTCTCGTGGACACAACTGTAAGCAGACCTAATTATCTTTGCTGTGTGTGGCCTGGATGCGACACTAGGCGTTACAGTGAGAACAAAAGAAAACATCCCTCAATTTCCGACTGCGACATCAACGAAAGAAAGTGATTTTATTATGCATGTTTGGAATGGAGGTTCGACCACGTGTAAACGGTGGACACGAAATCTTTCCAGTCCGGGCAGTCCCGAAGTTTCAGTTCTGCCATGATGCTCACAGGCCCTTACACCATTCTTGATTTCAATCTATGATCGATGGACTTGGAGTTTGCATTGGTATCCCCTCCTGGAGTCACGCTGATCTACCACATGGCTACATGCGGTCTTAGCTTTAGCGCTGACAGATGTCTCATTTGTTGAATCACTTATACGCCCCCGACCTTGTGCAACAAAGTCACGGAACACTTTCAAGGAGTTCAAGTGAAATTTTTTGTTGTCACAGAGCTAATGACAACAATCATCATCTCTTCCAACCTTGATGGACCTATAGTGCCCCTCATATAATGGAGGGTTTGATATGTCATCCCCATAAACTACTACTCCACTGCTCTTGCTTTCCCCCATGGCAACTCAGACAGATATTCTACCGGACCTTACCGATCATGAAAAAGCTTTCATATTTCAATTCCTTGATGCTAATCTAAACTCCGGAATTCTCTACGCGCTATTGCATGGTGGGCAACGATGTTCAGTATCTTGATACATAGGTATTAACTAATGACAGGCATCTATACCAGCATTCTTGCTGTTACGCTGTGGAATATATGTGAGCTAGGAGCATCTCCACTATGACATCTAGCTGAAGTAACTCTCACAGTCATCAACAAATGCTGGCCAATCCGATGAGCTATGGTCACCGTTATCATCCTTCTCTATGCTCTGATTACCATCAATTTTGGTGCCAATTGGTCACACACACACTTCGCATTCATCGAAAGCGGTCAAAGTTTTCAGGCTGTGTATTCTGGTCTTCAAGATATCCAAGCAGCTTATTGGGAGACGGGTATTGCAGCCCCCATGAGCACCGTTCTCGCAGACTTATACATGGTGCATACAATTCCACTTGTTATTGCCTACATCGGCTTACCATTGTTTCGACTCTAGATTTGGTGCTGCTGGATGGTTTGGGGATGACGCTGGCTTGTTATTCTGCTTCCAATACTTTCCCTGGCTTCTGCGATTGGTATGGCATCTGGTCTCATCTACATGTTCCATGCTTATAGTAATACCCATCCTTTCATATAGTGTCAAAAATCATAATAGTGTATTACGATTATGTCGATACGGCCGCGGGCATATTTCTTATACTCTATATATCATCCGCTCTGGTGATGACATTATCATGCACCTTGCTTATCATTTACCGCATTATTACTGCCACCAGGCTTCGCCGTGGAGCTGAGGGTCGACTAAGAGTTTATCACCGTTTCATTGAAATACTAGTAGAGTCTTCGGCACTCTATTCAATAACTCTGATCCTATTTTTGGTTTTCACCATTCGCAACCGCCAGGGACAATATTACCTTGATATTGCAGCCAGCATCGTGAAGGTGCGTTTACGTTCTCACACTCCATTATCATTTACCAAACACCGTGTGTAGGGAATTTCTCCAACGCTTCTCGTAGGACATATCACTGCAGGTCGCCGGGCCCGCCCAGACGATTCCTGGCAGGAAAGCGTGGTCGCTTCAACTTCAATCTGGTCTCAGTCACAAGATCTCAACTGAACGAGCACCCAGGAAAACATACCAACTAGTGCCCTTGACTGTGATCTCGAAGCTCAATGGGAGATTTCTATCAGGGTGAACCAATTCGCCTGTATTATACACATCTCTCCAACTGAAACGAGATTATTACTTCTTAGGAACTTGCTCTTGCACTTCGCTCTGCTTTGACCGATCGTGCCCATCCAAACACTGATATTGCTCCAGAGAGTGGGACGTCCGAGCCCTACCTTGAGAATCACTCGCTCCTTCAAGACAGCTCACCCCCTTCTGAGCATGTCATCCACGGTTCTACTGTTGTGGACGAGGAGGCAGTTCCAAGTCGATGAAGACCTATTCTTACTATATCGAACATAGTACACAATAGCCCATCTGTTGTTATGGCAGCCCTGATGTCCTACCATATATATATGTATGTTGCGAGGGTTCCGAGAATGTCGTATGCATCATTGCATTTAAAATAAGCTGTCCAATTTATAATAGACTAATATCTATGAGCTTACTTATCTACACAACGGAGCAGATTCTCAGCCCCAGCCTAGAACATCCGCACGCAATACTACCAAGCTGCTCCATAACTGAAGTCGGAACATACCAGTCCAACGCCCAATGGAAAACTTGAAGGACATCTAACTTCAAGTCTTGCTCCATTACTACAGATGCACTTTCTAGACAATCGTCTTACGGTCCGATGGTAGAAGGTGAAGGATGCTATAACAATGGCTATTCATCTATTTTCACGTCCTGTTTTGGCTCGTTATCATGCTGCAGCCTCGATGACTGGCTCTGATGGATATTCTGAACTTTGCTTAGCCGAGGGTACCTACGAACAGGTTGATACAATTCCAGCCGTGGTATAAATGCAGTACCTTGGGAGCATCAAGAGTCGACATGACCCAGCATCTATGTCATGGATTTCATATCTTTTCCGGTCTGTACATGAGTCAACACATGCCTTCTCTTGGCCTTCTCGGCCTTGACCCTGGCTTACTGGTATTTTCTCTCATTTTCTCTTACTTTCTCTTACTTTCTCCCTTCTTCTTGCTAATACTAGAATAATAATGACTCAATTCCTTACTAGTGGTATATAAGTATTGTACTTGCCATTGTATTAGAATCTTAAGCTAATTTTACTCCTCTTCGAACGTCCACTTAACTGTGTGAACTAAGGCCCTGTTCAGGTGACACAGCTTAACCCGGCCCCAGAGCCAAAATTTAAACTGGCCATTTAAGTCTGCTTAACTTGGATTATTCAGCATGTCACTCCATTGTCACCTGCATCCTGACACCGATGCTGTGCTCGCTCTGCCCGCCCTCCTGCTCACTATACACAATGACTACAACAATGCCAACAAGACTAGGAAATATAGTACTCCTGTGAATGAAATTGAATATCTAGACAAATCAACACAAATTTGGAAGAATACTGCTCCCATTGTGTCAGTCAGTGAGCGGCACAGGCGGGGAAGTGCTGGGACGCCCTTCGATGATGTCGGTGGCAGCATTGACGATTGCTTGATGTCATTCGGACATCATCTGCATTCATCCGAGTTATTCCGATCTTGTGATGTTTGTGACCAATTCTCTTAGCCTGGCCTGGCCGGGTTAAGCCATGTCACCCAAACAGGGCCTAAGCAACCTTGATCGGTTATGCCTAGCGCTTTTTGGAGACCCTGTCAGTTATGCCTAGCACTTGCTGATGCCCGTTAACTATGCCTAGCACTTGTTAGCACCCTTATGGATCCCTCTTGGTGGTTGGAACTCAGCTTTCGGACATCCTCACTCACAACTCGGGTTTTACTTGAGTAATCATTACCTCGTGTATCAGCTCAAAATACCCTAATCCTTAACAGTCTAGCAACAGATAGATATGAATCAACTTCAAGTTAATCCTCGACTTGACATTCAAAGATGCCAAGAAAGTATTTCCTGCCCATGGCTCGCAACAATTGGTCATCTGGTACAGACTGCAGGAGGCATGACATGGCGAGTGCAAGATGAGGTAGGTCATGTAAGAACCACGATGAAATGGAATGGAAAGACAAAGGACTTGGACTGAGCCATTTGTTCATCCCCTACACGACGTCCAATTCTTCACCTTTTCCTATCCTTTGAATTCACTCCCAACACCATGGAAGCGAACACGCTTGCCTCACATAACAAAAATTACAATGCTTCTCACCTCAATGCTTCTTTTATCTCATTACCACGGGGTTGAATGAGTCTATGGGACCAATAAATTTCAAATGCTTAGAGGTGTGCATGGTCCTCAATAACACAAATGGCACCAATTGACCCACAGCTGCGAAATAGGGAAGATGGCAAGGCAGACAAAATGATAGTCATACATCCACTCATACCATGAGTCAACTCTTCATTGACTGGCACGGTTCTGTCGCAGCACTGCGAATTGATGTACATATTGTGAGAGGATCCTCATGTGCCATTCACTCGGCAGTTATAGTGCATTGAGGCTTAGATCTGTTAGACGTAGTAGTAGTAGTACAAGACGCACATGGACATGTATTTGATATTTCTTGCCTTTTTCATTTTGCGATGCACAGCCTCACATCTCAGCTTTTACCAACACGCTGAGATGTGAGTACCTCTATGTATATCCATACTATTAGTTTACTTACTATCTTGCAGTAACATTCCATTACATTATCCAGGTATATAATATACAAGATTTTACCAACACACTGAGATTAATGTTCCATTACATTATCCAGCACCACTCGCTTTTTCTTGAGCCTACTTTCCATTACCACATCCAAGTGCCGACCTTGTAACTCCAACAGGTTATGGGCCCCGCTACCAGCATGTCAACAACAACTGCTATAAAGCTAGTCAGCACAACAAAGCTCACAGACGATGGATCAAACTGGGTAGTGTTCGAAGAAAAACTCACCAACAAGTTTCTGGACAAGGGTCTAGACCGACACCTACAAGGAACTGCTCGTGTACCCCCTCACCCAGTTGAGCACAAGGGAAAATTTTACCGGTCAACTGACACCACATTTTCACACCCCCTCTCAGATGATGACCTGGAGAAGCTGGAGGATAAGCTTGAAGAGTATGAGCAGAAAGAGGCAAAGATGTGCACCATCATTTATGAATCCATCTCTGACTCTACCTTCAATGAGATCAAGGGTGAAGCAACAGCTGCTCTTGTCTGGAAAAAGCTCATTGCTGTCATGACAGGCAAGGGCGATCTCGTACGTGAACGCCTCCTTACCCAGCTCAGCAACATGTCCTGCCCTGATGAAGGCAACATGTGAGAACACCTTGGTGAGATGAAGATCCTCCATGAATGTATTGAGGGCATGGGCCTGAAAATCGAGGACAATCAGTACACCTCAATGATCCAAAAATTACTCCCACCTTCATATGACCACATCCACCGCACCCTCTCCACTGCCAGCAAATTTACTGGAAAGCCCCTCACATTGGACATCCTTGTTGCTGCACTGCAAGAAGAATGGGATGAAGAAGTAGCATTGAAGGCCACAGCTAAGAACATGGTGATGTCTGCACAATGACAGAACAAGGGGAAAGGTCAGGGCTTCAGGAGAAAGTCAAAGAAAAAACCAGACAGATCCCACCTTAAATGCATGAACCCGGCATGTGGAAGAACTGGCCATCTCATTGCGGACTGTTGGAGCGAGGGTGGTGGAAAGGAAGGTCAGGGCCCAGCTTCAAAAAAGAACAAGGCTAAAGGAAAAGGGAAGGCGAAGGAGTCAGCATCAGCAGCCATTGACAAAAGTGATGATGAGCATGTTATTGCGGTTGTAGCTGATGACAACAATGACTTAAATGTGGCCTTAATGTGCACATCAGACTATGAGGCTGAGGGTGATGCTCATGTAGCAAGGGGAGAAGAAGTTACAGCAATAGCTGATTGCGGAGCTTCGAAAACATACTCACCCGAACATTGGAGATTCAAAAATTACTCCAACATTGATCCGAAGCCCATCAAAGCTGCGAATGGAGAAGTCTTCTATGCAGTAGGTAAAGAGGACCTTCAATTACCATTACCTATGGGTGAAGGAGAGAAGCCCACCATTGTGAGATTTCAAAATGCATACCATGCACCAAAAATGGCATACACCCTCATATCCCTATCACACATCAGCCATGCTGGATTTCCCATCCACATTGAACCCACTGACCATACCATGTATATCCACACACCATGACCCAATGCTAAGGTCATAGCCAAGATCCCTGAAGCTGAAGGCTTATACATCATCTCAACCCCAGGTACACACCAGACCATGGGAGCAAAACCAGATGTCGCTATGGCAGCAGGTAAGCTCAAGGTGAACATCACTGAGCTACACAATATCTGTGCTCACTGAAGCCATGCCACCCTCCACCACATGTATATTGACAGCCATATTGAGGGAATTGAGCTTGATCTGGACTCCAAACTGGAATTTTGCGAGACCTGTGTGAAGGCCAAAGTGAAACGCAAATCGTTCCCCAAGCAGGGCCAATACGAGTACACCAAGAATGCTGGCAACAAGGTCGTTGGAGACTTGATGGGCCCGATGTCTGTCATATCACTTGGAGGAGCACGCTATGCCTGCACATACCATGACCTACACACTCATGAGTCAAAATCTGAGTACCTATCAAAGAAATTGGGTACCTTTGGGTCATACAAGCACTATGAAATCTGGATCAAGGTCCAGCGAGGTGTCAAAGTTATAAAGATTCTGGGTACGGATCGAGGGGGAGAATTCCTAAGCAAAGAGTTCACTCAGCACCTCAAATCAAAGAGAACAGAGTGTCACCTTACTGTACATGATTCCCAGTCAAACGGAATTGCTGAACATTCCAATGGGTATCTGATGGACATGACAAGAGCATTCCTAATCAGTTCAGGATTACCAAAATATCTATGGGCTGAAGCTCATTGGCACACTGAATGGGTCTACAACTGCACCCCAACAAAAGCAATACCATCAGGGAAAACCCCATTTGAGATGGCAACCGGCAGAAAGCCCAACATTTCTGGCCTTCATCCATGGGGATGTCATTGCTGGGTTTGAGTAAAGACACCGGAAAAGCTGGGGGAACATGCTATTGAGACTTGCTTTGTGGGAATTGATACTGAAGCCAAAGGCTGGAGGATTTACTGGCCCAGAAAGCGAAGGGTCACCATTGAATGCAATGTTTACTTCAACAAGAAAGACTTGACTCCAGAACCATTCGTCGTCGAGGGGGAGGATGAAGATATCGACTCTCCTCAGGCTCCAAAGTCATGTACAGTCCCTCAGGAGGCCCTATAGCCAATATTGTATACAACAGGCCTGTAGTTACAGGAAATTATTAGTATACAAATGCCTGATAACCTGAGTTGTATACAATCATGGTGCTGAGTAGTATACAATCAGTTGGGGCATAAATGCTACAATCCCATGGATCACATGATCATTTGAGCTGGCAGATGCTTACAGATGCTTTGCTTCTGCCCTCTTGCTCATCGTCGCCACCACCAGCTCCCCCTGCCCCTGCACCTATACCGATGCCATCATTTTTTGAATGACGTATGGTGATGCCTTCCCTTATTCCACCCCGCTTCTCATGGATATTTCCGACACCTTCCCCTTGACGGATCTCATTTTCGATCTTGATTCCTGTGCTTCTGTGAGCTGTGGTTCCTGGCTCGTTCCTTGCAGATATTGATATTTGCTAGGGAGAGAACATACGCTATTATGGGGAAGCCGAAAATCTCAGATTGGACATGGATTTCTTTTGGTACATGGCCTTCAGGTAAGCATTTTCAACAGTTGCCTGTATTATGAAGATATTTCCACTGCAGCACAGGGAACATCTTGGTCAACATATGGAAGAACATATCTACAAAACATATGCTGTCGTGGTGCTGAAAATTCTAGATTTGACAAATGGAATTCTTTTGGTATGTGGCCTACAGGTAAGCATTTTCGACACTTGCTTATTCTATGAGAATGTTTTCACTGAAGCACCGGGAGCACGTTGATACGCCTGGTATCAGGCTACCCATAGATTTTGCGATTTTACATCAGTTTATGCAATCTACAAGCGGTACAGAGAGCTACAGTGGAGGCTTCGTGCTGGTAGCTAAATACTACATAAAGAATGAAAGCACGGCAGTACAGAATGGACTTAGAAACGATGTCTCGAAGAGTCAATTCTACCAGCCGTCAACACGCCAAGCTAAGCCCCACCTAAACAAGACTATTACAGTCAAATCTCGGGGACTCATCTGTATGGAGTATAAAAACCAAGAAGTTAAAGAATGGAATGAACTAGATGCCTTGTCGCCTTGACAAGTAGAAAGAACCTGTCAAGAAAAATTGCTAAGTCGAGAAACAGATCAGCCTTCGAGATCAACTCAGGCTAGGAAAGGAATAACCTTGGAAGAATGAATAGCCGCGTTGGGTACCGAGATGACCGACCTTGATCACGCTGTGATCAACAGAATATAATCTCGGACCTGCAGTTGATCGCGATCAGTGGTTACATCCTCGAGATCCTGCGCATACTGCAGTATTTCATACATACGGCATGCGGCAAGCCTTGCAGACGGAAGAAGGAGCACCCATGGACTAGTAGGGCACTCCTTGGCGACAGAATAACCCAGCGCAGTCGCGTCGAACTGAATAGAAACTACGGAATGGCACGATACTTGTAGGATAGTGACTCACCGTTTGTATTAATTCCAAAGCTCATACCATAATTACTGTAGATACGGGCTCCTATACCTAGAACACGAATCGTATAAATTAGCAGCGACTAGACACATAACGGCAGGAAAGCATTCCCCTGCGTTTGTGCTAGTAGCCTGTATAGCTACCTAATCAATCACTGGTTTTATTGCATATCCTCGACTGAAGTGAATTAAGTTACCAAAGTCAACCCATAAGGGCGACTACAGTAATCTAGAAGAGTTAAGTAGGAAGTAGAGCTGTCCCCGCGTTTGCGCCTTGCTAGTTAATTGAACTGCTCTGCGGACAAAGGCCTCGTGCTCTCTCTCTCCGAGATTAGCAATCTAGACGTGCTGAGTTGACTTTAAGTCAAAAGACCTCATCTAGTTGAAGTAAAATCAGCCCTAGAACACTTTAAGTTTGAACAATCGTCGAGTTCAAGGAACTCCAGAGTCTGTGTACTCTTTGCAAGTCTTGTACTTGAAGTCAGAACCTGAGCGTTCTTTGTAGAGTGATTTTGCACTCTTTGTAGACCTCGGAGTCTTTGGTTGTTTGATTATTTGAAGTGTCCGCTAGAAGCTCTTCTAGACGACGTCAAAATGAGTATAACTTGCTCGACTATACCTTACAAAACAAGTTCATAAAACCCCGCTATCGCAGACTAGTGTACTTTGTGTAAAACACATCGAAAGAAGAATTGAAGTTGTTTTCAGACAAAACCCCACTAGATTATCTAAATCTAAGTACATCGTGAGTGCTTCTATCGTACTCACCCTCGAACTTATATACATTGGTGATAGTGTGTGTGTGTGTGTGATTTAGTATCCTGATTGACAATCTAGACGCTTGTTTCATTTGCGCGCTGCCTGTTACTGAGCACATCAACGGGTGAGCCTGTCGATTTGTATCCCGGCTCTAACCCACGGGTCCAGTCAGTCGGTATGATTGGTTGGGTGGAAGATGGGTTCATATCATAAGAGGTAGGGTGTTCCGTCGATCCATATCTGGTTCCAGTTCCAGACATATGCGAAGTATCTTCAATACTCCTCAAAGATGAGGTCAAAGTCTGCTCTTTCATAGACCCACCACTGAAGCTCTCTCTGGGATATGAATGGTGGCCCGATGTCAAAGGTTGGTTCCAGGGTAAGGAAGGGTTCAAGCTCTGGGTGAGGTCCAACTTCGTTATATCGGGCTCAGGCCAGGTCCCGTAGTCTTTGGCAGATTCTGCACTGGCAGTAGGGCCAGTCACTGTGGTCTGCCTGATCGAGCTCTTCCGGGACTGGGTTTAGAACATCGGTTGTTCCGGCAAGGGAGTGCGCTCCCGTGAACCACCAGAGAACTGTGTCATCCTCGGTTCCACTGTCTGCAAAGATGACTCAGCGCTCTGGCTGAGGGGAGTCGGTATGGGGGTGGTCCCCCCATGGGTCATTGTTGGCATAGTATGGGGTCGGTACTCTAGTTCCAGGTGACTGGAGTGGGATGGGGTTCTCTCCCTCGGTGATAGTGTCGAGGGTTCTCCCGATGGAAGATGTGGACTTGACTGGTGAGATTCGTGCAGTTGCGGTGTCTGCAAGGTTCCTGAGGTCTGCGATGGTGATAATTCCCTCCCTGGCTGGGGCATGATGTTCCCTTTCCCACTCGGCGATCTTGCTGGGGTCAGGTTGGATTGGAGGGTCTGGAATGTATCGATTTGAGCTAGGGATTGGCAATGAATAACATTGTGGAGTGTCAATCCCATAGACTCGTCGGGTTCTGTCTGCTGAGTACCAGGATAGCCAGCTGGCGGAGCTGGTCAGGGACCCAGGGCCCAGGATTCTTGGCTCTGGGGAATTCCCTGTCGTATCCCTAGGCCCTCCTTCCATTGTCATGCCTCTTCCACCCATGAAAGGGCTCTCCCCAGGACCACTGGCTGTGCTCGTCTGTTGACCAGGCACTTCCAGGGTCTGAACTATCTGGGCCGCCACTGCTGCTTCCCACATCGCACCTGGCATTTGGTTGGACCCACTCTCCTTTGATTGCTCCTGGTGCTGTACTTCTGAGGCATATTTCATGGCCTCGGTCTGTGAGGATTCTTCCTCTAGCAACATCAATGTAGATCCTTCGGGCTTCTTGTACGTGTAGCTGCTCTCAGGGACTGTCGCTGTCGTTTGGAGGGATATCGAGTCGTCTGGGGTCTTCTTCCCAAAGGGAAGTCCCAACTTCTTCGCTCCTGCTGCCATTTTGCCCTTCCAGGTCTTGCTGTGAAGGGATATGGTCATCCTCTGGGGTGAGGTTTTCAAAGCCGGGTATGGGTGAAGCTCTGCGACTGAGGACTGTGGCGTGCTTGGGCGGAGTCTGATGGGAGTGAGGTGTCTGGTGGAGGATTCATTAGAGTCTGTTACTTGCTCACTCGGGAGGGTCGGTGCTCTTTGTCAGATTCGGTCTAGCTCGTAAGTGTATAGGAGTACTGTTGACTCCAAGGTGGCCATGAAGGTGTAGGCTTCTTGGTCTTCTGGATTCATACGGTCACCATTGTTGAACAACAATGAAAGTACTTCCGAGTGTACTGGTTACGATCAGCAGTATAACTGCAGTTATTGTAATCAGTCATAGTAGGAACACGTAGAACAACAGTGTAACCATTGGTTCGATGGTGAGGGTATGCGAAGCAAGCTTCAGCTAATTGTAACGCACTAACTTGGATTGTACAACGTTTACCTCCAAACTGTCACTCGCGTTTGGTGATTCAGTGTGATGAAGGGTGTTGCAATCGCTAGGTCAGGAACAATAGTTCTTAGGCATGAAACAGGGAGTTTCTGTGTGAAAAGTTAGGAGTGTATAACTTTAGCTGAAGCTGGGGTGTAAGACCACAGCGAGGCTTGCTTAAATACATTATGGTATTTACTAGTGTATACTGTTCCGTTGTATCAGTGTGTAATGTCCCAATGCAATGCTGTCTTCTGTATTGTATGGTGCTTGGTATAGGAGAAGTCCTCCTGCGAGTAAGAAGACTAGCATGTATGGCACTATCTTCTGAGGAGCGTACGTGGCACCCTATCCATCCTAGGATGTGATCAGAGTCGACCTAAAGAAGTGTGACTGGGTGAAGGAGGGTCAGGCCCATAGGAGTGTGATCAGACCCATGAGCCATCAAACAGATCATGTGTGTGATCAATTGGGTCATGAATGGTGCAGATCAGGTACGAGGAATGATGACAAGAGTCGAATGATGAGTTGCTGAGATAAGATGAGATAAGATAAGATAAGGTGAAAAATAGGGGTGAATTCATGACACAAATTGGATGACTCAGGGACAGCTGATACTAACAAAAATCATTGCCGACTTGCTAAGCGAAGCTGCAGACAATCGGAGAGCAATGATTCTCGCTTGTAGACACTAGAATACTGTACTGTTTCTTATCACAGAAGTGGTAGCCTCGTAGGTAAGGGAATGTCTTGAAAGCACCATTAAACCATTATTATAGATATTGATTAGGAAGTTTAGATGATTTTAAGGTATTTTATAGTAAAAGATATGCCAAATAAATCAATACGAGGCCACAGAAGGACGAAAAGCATGTCGGGCAAGTTCAACTCCAATGAAACGCAAATGTGATGAGTATGTCACACTTGCGTTCAAACCTTGTAACGCATGCGTTTTTGTCTCTTGACGTGCATGGGCTGCCTGTGCGTTTGCATGAATATTTAAACGCTTGCGAGAATGTTCAAAACACTTGCATTACCATGTGAACACATGCATAAATCAAGCTAACGCATGTGTTAATGATTCAGACACAACCATCACGAAGTTGATGCATTGCATTCATAAGATGGGACTTGTGTTAGGCCTGCAGTCGATTAATTGTGTATCTGGGGCACCTTGTATGTAACTTATTTGATGTATGTTGTGTCTGAAACAACTGAATTACCTCTATTAAGTATATATAACATTGTTCTGACATACTATGCTCATCCGGAAATTAAGATATATTCGAAGGACTCAAGAACATTAAAGAGCACTCGCATTTGTAGACAATGGCATGCACATGACACCATATACATGCAATGATGGAAACGCAAATGATCGCACCTGAAATGCAAATGAACGCAAACAAAACACAAGCAAATGCAAGCACGCAGCACGCAAATGCAGAATTCTCCTCACCCGGTGAAACACAGGGCTTACAATTATTGTTCAAAGCTTGAGCCCATCCATGTCACAGGTTTAAATTGAATAAACTGTGTTTCTTCTTCGAATCGCACAAGGTTCTTTGAGATAGAAGACCGATACAGGGGTGGGCCTACGTGAGGACATGCGAAAGAAGATCGTACAATCCTGAGAGACTTGAGTGAAAGAGGTTAGAGGTTAGAAACCCGGTATGCAGTCCTAATAAGGAACACCGGGGGTTCTGTGCTGCCACATAATGTGTCACAGACCATAGCAGTACCGTGCCGCTGTGATATCCACCAGGTGTCAGCTGGGAACCTCTCATGGATTTAATACTGCTATAGGTACAATCAATTCAAGAAAAATCAATGAGTACCCTAAGCAAGGCGACAACACCGGGTCAAGTGTACTAATATAATTAGCTAGCAGATTTCCAGAGTGATTCCGGCGTGATGTATATCACTGTCACTCCAAAAATCTCCAGTACATGATGTACATATTGCGCTAATCTTGGCTCCAAGGGGGGAAGCTGCAACAAGCATGCCAAATGGTCATCAAACTCTAACACATCCCATGTGGCACAAAGGCTCAGAGACAATGCATGTGCATCAGCGATGAATAAACGGCGAAGCTCTACCAGTCCAGGAGCAATAATACAATGGAGCAGGACATGTACCTCATCCTCAACGGCGATTTTGCAAAATCAACACAACCACCATTCTCGGGGAATTGGGGGTGGTAGCGTTTCCCCCAGTGAAGGACCTCGACGGTGAGGATATGCGATGATACAAAAAGACATGTGAGAGCCTTGCGATGAGTGGGAACCATGGTTATTATGAGATAAGTACAATGGCTCGGTGTTCGCTGACGTGGTTGCAAACCATGTAATCATTATGAGAACATCAAGACAGATGGTCTGTGGCCAAAAAAACTGCCGTGTGATGGCTAGAACAAGGACAGAAAAAACGGATGACAACCACCATCCTCAAACCCAAGAACAATGACAATAACCAACAAGCGTCATCCATCAGGTGGGAAGGACCATCGCTAAACCTGAGAACAATGACAATAATCACCGACATCCATCAGGCAGGAATATCGGTTTCTCTGATTTGGGGCAAGTTCAAGCAGAGGTTGGCGTAACCGACAGCCGATGAAGCTCTAAAGCTCAAGGGAAGGAACACCATGTGTAATAACACCATTGACAGGGTTCCTCTTGGTGCAAGCAGTACAAGGAGATAAGGACCTCCAGTGTAGAACTCCTCAATGGCAGGAATAGAAAAACAATGAATGAGCCCATGAATATAGGGGCCAGCAAGGAAAGGACACTGGGACATGGAGACTTTGTGACAAATCCCTGTGGTAGCAGTAGCCTAGCCAGGAACACACCATAGCACAAAAGCTATGGAGCATGGGCATGCATTGATGCTTGGAGCAAAATACATAGAAACGTCGCAGCCCCTATTTTCTGCTGGGACATCGCCTACAAATTTCGTGCAATTTGCACCCCATCCAGCAGAATAAGGTCTCACTGAGGTATGTGCGATATCACCAGACACACTCAGAGGCCATTCGTGTAAGAGGGGTCAGAAAACCGCATCCGTGAGAATCGATGATGATTTGTGTATAAATCCATGCGATGAGGTAAAGGTGAATCCAACAGCATTGGCTTGGCTACCAGTGACTAAACAATATGGTGTGGGTCGTGTGGGGTCAAAGTTCATGTTGAGATCTGGCTTGAAGGAGGCTAACATACGAAATATTTCCGTGTGCCGGAATCTGTGCCATAAGATTGTCTCGGCAGAAAGACATGCATAAGCATTGCTCGAGTATCGTCATAGAGAATAGTTGTAACAAGGAACAGAAGACAAGAATTAGGCATTGACACCGAGTAGTAACTCGAATCAGACACGACTGAAAATCTGTGCATATGCCAGATCAGCTGGCGAGAAGATTACTAAAAAGCGGGAAAAATGGTGGATGAATGAAATTTTGAGGTATTCCCAAAATACACTCTTCTGCATATCCTGAGTCTCTCGTTACATGATGGTGTTTCCATGTTTCAGCACTAGGGATACACCTCAACAATACATCTTTACAGGAGACATGAAGGAAAATGCGGTGGCATTAACTCTAAGGGCATTTTATTAAGAGGCTGACGCGTTTCAAAGGAGACGACTCACAAAAACACCGGTCAATATAGTTCTTCGTCTGTCAGAAATTCGTATGTCATATATTGTGACCCTTTATGGGATGATGGAAGGGTAAGGGTCATACCTAGAGGGGCTAGTGTTTGTCAAAAGAATAATGTATGCACCTCCATCGTTGATCGTCACCGTGTCTGGGCTACCTCTGATCTTGAGTGCCAAGCATAAAATGGAGGTTCTCTATGTCGCTTTGTTGGCTAGCTCCGAGGTGGGCCCATCTGTTAAGCCCACTATATCGTAGATATAGAAGCTGTTAATTATGTATTTTAACGGCTACTACAAGTGCGAGGGAGAACAAAACTTACGGTACTCGAATAATCATTTGTTAAAGGTGTCCAGGATATGGTCAGGTAATAAGGAACAGGGACCGGTTTGTCATCAGCATCATAGCCCCTGCATGTATTCGGCAGTGTGTCACTCCCGAAGTTGCCGAATGCCGATGGAGGCTCCCATACCTCTTACTCGCTGTGCCCCGTGATGACTATGGTATAAACTCAATATCTCATCAAAAAAATGCGGTAAAATGGTCATAAATCAGGAATAAATAATATAATACAGTATGCAGAATATTTTATATGGACTCACAGTGAAAATGTATCTAGAAGGGTAACAAGCTGCTCTTCAACCTGATCATCTGTATCATCCTGGTCATCATCGTCATCAGCATCAATACCATCAACAGCACAATCTGGATCATATAAGTCACCGCCAGTCATTGCATGACCAGTCTCATCAGCAACAGTAGCTTCTGACAATGTCGGTCCATTCCATCCTGGCCTGATTCCTGCCACCTTCCCTATCGACAAGGAAACCATGACACCAGCTCTTCCTGATAGATGAGGGAAGCGTTTGTGATGCTGGTCATAAAAATGTGCCCTTTCGAGACGATAACAGCAGATTTGATGTGCCAAGGTTGGCATGATCTCTCCAAGGTGACTCTGTTGTGCTTTGAGGTACTGATCCTCATCAGCCATGTACGTGAGTAAGCGTGGAATCTCAATATTGAGACGGTCGACCTCCTCCTCAGCATGCTTGATCTTAAAGTATCTGTCCATCATTGCTCGTCCAGCTGGTGTAGCCCAGGTTTTCTTGGACATGTCTTGAATTCCTTCGCGTGTGCCGGGATCTCGTAATAGGTCGAAGTCTGATAGAAAAGCATAATCAATGACCTGTTCCCATCGGAGGGTAGCACGAGGTGGATCCAGAGCACAAGCTGCATTATTGTATCGCTCTAACGCTGTCCATATGGCCTGCAAGCGTGATTGCAGAGCCTTCCCAATATGCTTCCTCATTTTATAGCCTAAAGATCATGTTCATAATGACAATACGAAGCATGTTGATGTACTTACCAGTGTGTGACATATTCATCTTCGTCAATTCGAAGATCCAAGATATGACCAGGTGCTCCAGGTTGTCAATGGCATGCTGGTATGTTCACATCTTCATGCATTTCTTGTTCTCCACCCATTTCTTGCATCCAATCTCCCAGCGTTGAGTCTCCAAATGTGCCTCGAGAATTTGAACTGTCTTGAGTGTATTGTCTCGCTTCTCTACAAGATGTTGGCGGGTGGTCTCTGTCTTGTGAGTTTGCCTGTCAATTGTTTCTGCTGTCACGATTGTCCAAGTTTGGATAGCTTCATCCACCAAAGCTCTTTATTGGTTAGTTCTTCTCCCAATGTCGAAGGGCTATCACTTACTGTAATGTAAACAGCTCTAAAAGAGCTGTGTAATACTCCATCTCAAGAGTCTCATGCAGTGGTTCCTCCGATAATGTTGCGAGGTACTCCTCCTCTTCCTTCAGCCAATCTTCAAAGACTGACTCACTGTCTATTTCAAGCCGCTTCATAGAATCTTCTAGAAGTGGACGTTCTTGTAATATGTCCAGCACCTGATGATAGTTGTTGCACAGAAAGGCACCTAGAACCAGTGTCAAGTCAGTCAACGATGATACGCCGTCTACGTGTTCACACCTAGATTTTGTGATTTTATAACAATACTGTTGCAGGTCTATCCTATACTAGTCGTATATCAAGGGCTATAGTTGAGACTTCGGACTGATAGTCAAGTTAGCATGCTACTAGTCGAGTCAGGACTTAGGAATGATACCACTAGTGGGTCAGCCCTACCAGCCGACCGGACTAGCACCTCCAAAACTAGTATGACTTAGTAAAATACGGTCACTAGTAAAGAATACAGCTGCTAGCACCCAAACAAGAAGTAAGAACCCACACAGATCTCAACTATTCAGTCACTAGTGGACCGATCTGGGCATGAACACCTAAGTCAGGATGACTAGTCATGCGAGCACTTCTGAAAGGACTTAGAAATGAACCAGTAAAGGCATAACCCTTAGCCCAGATCCGGCTAGTGTGATACAGATCTCATACGATCAGCACTAGTATAGCCAGGCTGCATCCCGATCACGATCGAGCAGTTGCTACAGGCACAGTTACCTGACTATTCGTATAGCCGTGTCACTAGTGGAGCACTGCTGGGCAAAGGGTGCGGAAATGACCCAATAGCGGAGTCCCTCGACCTGCTATCCGACAGAAAGAACAGGCTAGGCCGACTATTGCGTGATTATTCACCATATTTCATGACTAGCCAAGACATTCTTACCAATATTACCCCTAAAGAATCTATTTATATTTATTCTGTACCTGTCTCTGTAGTATATAAGTAGTAGAAGGGGCATCCTCGCAGCCAGGCAAGCCATCCCCACGATTGTGACCTACTAGTCCATATTCTAGTGCCCCAATTTAAGGCTTTTGTGCTTAACCTCGACGAAGTGTCTACTAGTTGCTTAGTCACCTATAGTATTGAATGAATTGAAGTGTCTTAAAGTTACTATCCCGTCTTGGAGTGACTCAGAGCGTTTCGAAGTTAGTTAAAGTATTTTCTCGGAGTTAAAGTATTTGTTCTTAGGCCAAGAGTGCCACTAGTCGAGCCTAGGGTGCCGCTAGTCAAGTGTAGACCGCTTGTGAGACCCAGTATTTGGCCCAGAGTGCCACTAGTTTCAAAGTATCAGAGTTAGACTGAGCGCAGTTGCTCAACCCAAGCCACTATTCATCCAATCGTGTCTTAAAACCCCACTAGCGTGAGTATTACATCTTGTGTAGCTCACTAGTACCAAATATACGTCTTTAAACAACCTTTCCCTGATTTGTTGAAGTCTGCAGAGTGCTTCTATCATACTCAAAACACCCAAACTCAATAATATTGGTGATTTGTGTAGAGTAGTAGAGGGTTTTAGTGTTGTGGTGTTCATATCCATTCACTAGCCTTTTGTCACTCGCTGGTTCCAAGCACATCATCTGGATGCTTGCACAGGCAGCATCATTGTACCCTCTATGAGATTTTTGCACAGGCAGCATCACAGTATCCTTGATGAGGTATCATTTCTATCTTCATGACACTCTGGCAGGTGACATTGCCATATTCTCTAAGAGGTGTGACTTCTATTTCATGATGTTTGCATGATGATGGATGATATTGTGGCATCCCCTATGAGGGTCAATACTAGTTTCCTGAGGTTTGCACAGGCAGCATCATGGTATCTCTTATCAGGTACTATCTCTATCTTCTTGATGTCTGGTGTCCACATAGGCAGCAGTGCAGTATTCTCTACAAGGTGCTGCTGCTAATGTCTTGGTGTCTGCCACAGGCAGCATCACCATATCTTCTATGAGGACCATTCATATCTTCTCAATGCTCACACAAGCAGCATTGTGGTACCCTTGATGAGATGCCATCTCTATTTTTCTCAATGTCCATATAATCAGCACTGGGATATCCTCTAATACAAGGTGCTGCCTCTAGCTTCTGGATGCTCATGCTAGCAGCATCATGGTATCCTCTATGAGGTACCATTTCTATCTTGATGCTCACACTGGGTATCATCTCTAAGGACCATTATTATCTTCTTGATTGTTTGCACCATCACTGCCCCCTTGATGTTTGCATGCCATCACAGTACTATCCTCCATGGGTGGTTTTTCATTTTATTGCACTGGCAGCACTGAGACATCCCCATGAGGTGCTGTCACACACTGATAGCATCATTTATCATATTCTCAGCTGTTACTTCCTCCTCACTAGGACCAATGGCATCACAGAATCCTCTTGGAGGGTCATTACTATTGTCTTTATTATCTTCTCAACACTTGCATCAGCAGTGTTATGATATTCCCTATGAGGGACATTAGTATCTTCTCAATGTGCCTGCACTGAGAGTGTCGAGATATCCTATGAGGGCCATTACTATCTTCTCCTTTATTATCTTCTCAATGCTCAGGCTTGGACCAGCAGTGTCATGGTACCTCCTATTGAGGACCATTATTATCCTCATCTATTATCCTCTCAATGCTTGCATGGGTGGGATCCTAATACCCTTTTATGAGAGGCTGTTATTATCCTCCCAACACTTCCAGCAGTGACATCACAATGCTATTGGAAGAGGCCCATACATACTGCTTTGATGCTTGCATTGACAACAGGCAGTGCTTGAAAAGGGCATTATTGTGATACCTCCTTCTACATACTATCATCATCTTAACACTCATACCAGCAAGGTTTGCATATCCTTATTATTATCAGTATCTCATGGGATGATAGGAGGTACTTATATCATTTCTCCATGTTATCTGGTGCCCACATTGGCAACATTGTGTCATCTTTCTCATAGGTTCTTCCTGTCAGAGTCATCTATAATAATTCTATATCACCTCTCGCTCTCTCTTGCTTGGTACCCACATTGTTGACATACTAGGTTTATTGATATCCTTGGGAGAGGCACCCTGTCCCATCTTCTGTTCTTCTTGATGTTCACAGGAGGGAGACCTTGCCATCTCTTTCGAGGTAGCATATTGGTATCCTCACATGAGACATTCATATGATCTTTGTCCTATTCTCTCCCTGAAACCCATATTGGGTGCCTATACTGACAATGTCTGGGCACCTTCATCAGAGGTGTACATATCCTCCCTCAGGGTTCTCATCTTAACACCTGCATTGTTAATACTAGGTGCTTGCTGCAGGAATGGAATGACTCATCCTCCCATGCAGTGAAATCATCATAAGATATGTCCATACTATTTCTTTCTCAATGACATCTGCAGTTTACACCAGCAAAGCCAAAGGATACAGCCATATTGTTCCCAGATACCTCTTCCCTCTATCTAGTGTTGCCATGGCTGCTGCCACAGTATCTCAGGGAGAGGTGTATGCTTGCTTGAGTGACATCTCACCATTATTAAATCATGGTATCTAGTTAAAGGGTGTCTATATTGGCAACTATCATTCCTCTGGTAACAGATGTTTTTCCTAGCATCGTATTCTTAGCACTGGGAATGCAAGAGACTTATATTATTTCTTGAGGCTTCTTTCTCGATTTTCGATGCTTGATTGGCAGTAATCCAGCAGATGCATAGGCTACACCCATGATTTTACTCAGTCTCAGGTTTCATGAGAGATACATCATATACTGACACTGTGACCTTTCTGCAACTCTATCAAAGCTTGGATCAGTGATGCCTGGTGTTACCATGGACCCATACTCAGATGGTCATACTATTGCAATACCACCCATATTGCTTGATATCCCATATATTTCATGCTCATATGATGTAACACACCAACTCAGACTACAACATCAGTCTCTACTCAGTTACTTGTGTTCAATGATTCTGAGATAAAGAGGCATTATAGGCTTTGTTAAGAGTGACATTAGTCCTTAGTCACAGAGCTTGGAGTCAGGTAAGAGTTGGGAGTATATAATCTTAGCCGAAGCTGAGGTTTGAGGCCACAGTGAGGCTAGCTTAAATACACATTTGTTATCTCTACTTGCTATATATGTATAGATTGTCCAGACCAGCATAACTGTATGTTAGAAGTACTTCTTGAATTGAGAAACGAGGTGTGTGCAAGGTGCAGTACTCCTGACTGTGGTTCTCAGGTAGAGAAGCACAACCTTTAATGAATGAGTGTAAAGAGTGCATATCACCAACAGAGCTGTGGGACTCTGTCTGCATGGCCCTTATCCCATAGACCACCCTTGACTAGCAGTTTGTACTGTTGAACCACTAAAAAGCATGATGGTACATGCAAGCAGTGGAGTCGATGCAATGCTGAGGGATCAAGGGTGTAGTGAAGTGGGTCACAGATGAACCGGATAAGATATGAGGAAGGATAATGAGAATTGGATGACATGATGATAGTGATAAAATAAGATAAGATAAGACAAAAAATAGGGATGAATTCATAACACATGATACATTTTACAGTACTACTAGCACACCATACATCATGAAGACAGTTTTAACTTTTCAATGGACTCAGATGTTGTAGACAGTAGAAAGTATTAGAAACTTACCTCCATGAGAATCTCACTAGCTATATTGACAATATTGACTCTTAGTTGCAGCCAATATTCAGATTCTACAAGCCTCCAACCCATGTCTTCATCACAATTGCCAAGCCCTCGTACCTCAGAACCCAGCAACCTGACTGCAAGATGGGTTTTTGGCTTGTTGGGGCCCACTCCAAACCCAGCTTAATACTTGGGATATTGGTTGAGTAAAATCTTTGTTAAGAGACTCTGAACTGTTGGGAATAGATGTCAGCAGAGGATATGAATGTATTGTACTGTTTTGTTCAATTCAAACCTTGGTGTAACATGATATGTATTTGGACCAATTTAAATGCTTGAACAGTAGGGATGATCACTGTGACTGCATTACAGTGTATATAGATGGTCTCTACAGATACAGTCCTGGTGCTGTGAGTGCACTGGCATAGGATCTTACAGTATGGATACAGCCTGGCAATTGACCTCTATAGACCATATTTCATGGTGAAGTTTGACTGTATATAGCATTGATGGATATACATCACATCCATACTTGGTATACTCTTGAAGTGCCATATTTGATACTTTGGATCATTAAGTTACTTTACTCAAATGTTCTACCTGAGAGTATGTCCTTGTTCATGCAAAAATATAGTGCATACCCTCTTGTCCTACATCCTTATGGACACAACTATGTGCAAAATATGATCAAGAAGGCTTCAGAAGTCAATGATATTGTGCTCGCTGCTTCTTGTAAGCTGCCAGGAGGACAATAAATGATATTCCCACATTGATTGACCTTGTATCATAGGTATGATCATGTACAATATATAGGGTCATATATATGACTGTCAGAATCATTGTGAGATCTGCCCATGGCATCATAGTATGGCTACTATGGACCCACCATACTATGGATACAGTGCACACCCCTATCATTTATTGACCTACTACATTCACAGCTATCAACTTAACATAGACAAAGATCAAAAAATATGAGGGGAATCAGAGGATGATGTACCACTCACTTTAAGTATGCAGTATATATTATTTCAGGCAGCTCTGTTCACAGCCATATGCATAGCCATGACAATTATAAATGTAACAATCCACAGTGTGCCAACCTCCAAGAGTTGATTAGGCATTCACAGTACAGTTATGAGAACAGCTGTGGCTATAGATCTAAGCAGCCTCCTCCTCTATGGCTGTATCTGTAACAGTACAGTGCAGATCCCTACATATAGTTGAAGTACAATTATTGAAGGAGTAGTAGGTGTAGGTGACCTTATGATGATATTAAAGCAAATAAATATGATTTCAATGAAGCTAATGACACTCATCAAGTTTCAATGACATGCTGCTTACTACATACAAAAGTACAGAGAGTATGAGACTTCTAAGTCTTGAGACAAAGCCAAAATAATAACATCTATTCTGATGTAGCAAGGGAATCCAGTGGCTAAGCTCACATTGATAAAGGCTGGTGGCAATGTGGCAACATTTAAACTCAGCCAGAATAGTCCATGGCATGAGAATGGCCAGTTAATTCAAAGTCCGCTAATTTTATATAAGCAAATTGTGTGGCTGTGATCCACCTCTCTTAATATATAGATGACTCATAGGAGGTCTTAGAGCTTTGCTCTATTTGGTGAACCATATCCAGGATGTTAGCATAATCCTGAATCTGCTTGTTGTGAGCTTCAGCTCTGTTTAGTGCAGCTGGATTCAGTCTCGCATCCTGTTTCCTGTTTCTGGTTCACCAGATGCTCAAGACTTGGACCTGTTTTGCATTGGGATCTCAGACCCTTCCATGGGTTGGGATTTGGACTTCTCCCAACAATTTCATACCCTTAATGTTGGCAAGAAGTTCATGTCCACCCTCCTTCCTGATCCCACACAATGTTAACCAGATCCTCTTTTGACAAACCACTAGAATACACATCAAACTGTATACTAGTGTCTATTCTGATACACTATATCATCCAGACCCATAGTAGAGTCTGGTCTCTCACTCAAACCAGTGAAATTAGCTTATCCAGCTCACAGAGGAGTACTACTTATAAGCTGCAGAAACATATCTGGTGGATGACAAGAAACATTGCTATGAGTGGTCGTCTATCCACCCTCCTTACTTTCTCATTGCTAATTCTCAATTATTGGCAGGATACCTCAACCTGCATTACAGCATCTCTCTCAGTGCCCTGGACTCACTGCTTATAGGATGCTAGATATCATGGCCTTATTCCAGATATCAGTAAATAAGTCAAAGAACACATGGTGTCAGCATCTATTAAGAATGAGGCCAGAGAAGAACTATTCAGATGGGATGATGATGCAGGGAGAGAATGAGTTGAGGAGAGCACTTTTAAAGAGAGTAATTGTTGGATATGGTGATGACTAAAGAGAGTAGATAATTAAGCTGTGTATTTGATGCATCGATAGTAATATTGAGATGTTGAGAATATAGTTAGTGTATGCTCACTGTATTGTATGCATTATGAATGTATAAGGTATTAGTTATCTACCAGTATTAGCATGATGGATTTGATGCATTCTAAGAAGACAAGGATTCAGACAAGATTTTGTAAGAGACTTCAAATAATCAATAACCAATGGTAGAGAAAAGACAAAGAAATAATATGTATCTATAGGGATTTCTACTGTGATAAATAGGAAATGAGAATGATATATGGAGAAGAGGTCTTGACTAGCAAGGAGTAAATAGTAGATATAAAGTATAAGTTATAATGAGAATAGAGGTCAAGAGAGTGTGGGAGACAAGCAAAGGAAAATAGATCAGGACTTTGCCCAACTAATCACTGTTATGAAAATGCTTGAAAGAAGAAAGTAACCTAGCTATATAATCTCTATTTTCTCTAACTGAGCCTCTGTGTCATCACTATTCACTCTCTGAGAGCCCCTCTGAGCATCCTCAGGCTCATCTACTTGCTCAGCCTGAGCTTCAAGATCACTATCAAGATTGATACTGATTATAGAATCTTCTTGGATGCTTGTCTGACTTTGACCTTGCCCAAAGTGGAGAGAAGACATGATGCTTCCCTCCCATGAGTCATCAGGACGAGCATGGCCTGCAGCAACACGTCCAATAAGGAGTGTTGGTGCAATTCCCTAAATAAAGTGACATTTATATATGAAAAAAAAAATAGATATATCTCTTACTCTTGCAATTAATGTTATAACTTCAACATAGTCTTCTCCCCAGGTATTGCAAGCAAAATTGGCCACATAGAGGATCAAACATATGGAATAAAGAGTAGAAGATTCCACTAGAACTTCAATAATATGTCGGTAGATTCCGAGTGCACCCCTTATTCCATTGTTTGTTTGTCCTACACTCAGAATACGATAGACGATAAGTGCAGTGCACCATAATGTTGTAGCCAGAGTGAATGATGCATAAAGCATCAGATAAAAATAACTAGGCCAAGTGTTAGATATAAAGAGTAGGTGCATGGTTATAGTTTTGAACACTAGATTGAATGTAGATCAAATAAAACAATATAAGAAATAGATAACTTACCAACACCACATATTAGACAAAGGCTGGGAAGTACAATGACTAGCCAGTGCTTTCCCCAAATCATCCAGCAACGCCAAATCTGGAATTCAAATGATAAGCTATAACCAAAATTTCCATTATCATCACACATACCATAATAGAGTCAGCAAGTATACCACCAATTATGCCTGTAACACCCACTCCTATTGTTCCCAGAATATTATTGGTGACATCTTTCAGATATCTAGTCCACATGTTTTCCCCATAAGAAATAAATTCAGAGGAAAGAAGTGACCAAGTCATGCCAAAACCAATGATAGTCATAATGTAGAGGATGATAATAACCACAACCATAGCTTGTCCAATATGCTGAGACTTGCTAATAGCTAGATTATCTATTTCAGTCCTAATAACATAATGAACATAGTATACACAGTACACTCACTGATGTTCCACATTGTAACAGCAATAATACCTGTGTATATACCTATATATGTTCAGAATTAGACACTAAGTTTTCAACTTGGATGAACATACTCACCAAGCAATAGAGATAAAAGTATGGTTGAATTCAAAGAAGCATCAGAGCAATTTGTCAAATAAGCTATATCACTGTCAGTAAGTGATATTGGAATGCTAGCATTAGTTTGAGCAGTCATTAGAGACTTGCAAAGAACAAGTAATTCTGAGAGGGAGGGGGGGGAAGATATACTTGTGAATATAGTATCTATGATACTTTTTATAATATATATAGGATGTCAGCACACTGCTGAAATATTCTTAAAATACATTTGGTAGTGAGTCATGAAGAGATGATCACTTTGGTGCTCTGATGATTCCAGTCCTATTGTTAGATTGTTTGAATCCAACAGTGTTGATTGTAGTATATAAATGTTAAAACAGATCCAAAGTCATGGAGAAAAGAGATTTCTTTAACATTCTGATGACTCCAGTCTTTTACTAGATTATTCAACATCCAATGTCATTTATTGTAGCCAAAAAAAGAGGCAAAGAGGCATATACATATAGAAACATCTCATAACAAAGTGCCCTGTTGAGTATTGGGATTTGATGATGCAGAAGATGCCAAGAATCCTTCTTCTGTTCCATCACTGATCACTACTCTCTTGATCACATATCTTATGCTCTCAATCCATCTACACCTTATAGTGTATAAGACTGAGATGAGATCTATGTATGTCTTATTCCTATTCTCTGTCTATTGATATATTATAATACTAGCTACATCTCATATAAATATGCCAAATTAAATTATGACACATACTTATTCTAATATTAAGGAGGTGACTACAACAACTAGTATAGTTGCAGGGATGCTAACTGGTGCATCTTAGGTTACCTAAACTATATCTTCTTGTACTAGCTTTGTTGCCACATCATATGAGAATTTGCTGTAAATATGTTCATCAGTTTTGAATATATTATATTAGTGCAGATGATGCAGAGCATGCAAAGGGATGTATGAATGTGTATGAGAGGAGGGATCACAGGATAGGTAAGTAGGTGAGTGGTCAAGGATTGTGCTCTACACTAATAACTTGCTTGTTGGAAGATAAGTTATCATCTCAGACTAAACTCAGACACCCACACACTGGGATGAGGTGGGATTATGCTTCATGTATAGTGGCAGACATCACATTGTGACAAACTTTGATGTCAATTATTGTTTTGCCTAAGGCTCTCACAACTCAGCATGCTTTAGCCTCATAATGTAAATTTAAATATATCTTGATCATATGTACATTTCTATAGTGCCATGAATTTGGCTATTGGATGGCTGTGTAATTATTATATAATATTCTTATATAGTAATTAAGTTTGAAAATTTATTATTATTCCATCTGTCAGAGAAACTTAAAAGAGACATGACTGGATAATTTGGAGCCCACTACCACTGCTTCCAATCCTCTTGAAGCACCTTTCACTATATAAGAGTGTATGTTGAGGATATAAAAGGAGTAGAGCTCTCAAATAGGCAGTCATGATATTATTGATCTTCCAGAAATTTGGCTGTTTTTATCTGTCTAAATTCTCACAGTCTAAAATAGCAGATTTGGCTTTAAACATATCTAGTTTTCTTCTAAAAAAGTTGAAATCTGGGTTAAAATATCAAAATTGCAGTTTGATGTGAAGTGATATCCTTCACCAGTCTCTGCACATATCCTCCCCTCCCTCAAATACTGTTTCACCCTCTTCTCATAACAGACAGGAAAGAATGTCTTATTGCAATTTCCATTAGCAAACTTTCACTGGCCATTGAGAGACCAATATAGTGAAAATGAGGAAGTGTCATCCTCAACACCATCAAGTGATGGGGGACAACATAAGATGGGGATACCATGATAGCTGGCTGAAGGCAGCTTATAGGGAGAGAATGGGATGAGGTAGAAAGAATGGGGGATTTTCAACATGGACACACTCCCTGCATGCATTCTTGTCATGAATTCACCCCTATTTTTTACCTTAGTCATTTGTTTCACATAATTTTTCCTCAATTGTCATCCGATTCTCATCATCACTCTTTAAACCCCTGTTCAGCTCATTCATAACCTGTTCCATTACTCTCACATCACATCCTGATCTTCCATCATTGCATCATCATTCCGATCACCAACAGTTGCTTCTACATCACTTGATCTCTGGTTCGCAGCAGATGAGCTCAGTCATTCCTACTCAAACAGAGTCCCAACTATATGGACTCCTGCCTTTCAGAACCACGCTCATCTCACTGGCCGCTCACCATTGGATGGCTCCTTTGTTGACAATCTGCCATTGGCTTATCACACTCATTCTTTATCATGAAACCATTGTAGCATAGTTATTTTTGATGTACCTAATATGTATTTAAGAAGCCTCAGCTGTGGGCTTACACCCCAGCTTCGGCTAAGGTTATACACTCCCAACTCTTATCTGAACTCCAAGTTCCATAACTATCTAAGTCCTGTCATCTAAAACGCAGTCTGCATCACTACCTTAGTTTTGCTTCACTGAAGTGCGAGTGACAAACTAAGGCCCAACCTTGCTTATCCGAGTTGGTGCTTGACAATCCTCTTCTGCCCTGTCATATTCTATCCACCTTTGACACAAAAAAGAGTCAGCCCTCCTTCAAATAAACTATCCTTCCTAACATAGACAAAACACTTGCAATGAAAGGGTATCAAGCAGAGGTGCAAGAGGGTGTTGGATACATGGTGTATTGTCAGCATTGGGTTGTTAGGTTGGTGTTGGTGTTGACATATCATAGTGTGGAGAATACACATTGAATAAGAGGAGGTAATGGTAGAATCTAGTGAATGAATGAGGAATAAGAGCATAAAGTGCTAACAGATGTTCTCACATATGGATTGCATGCACATCAGAGAAAGATGATGCACACACAGCACATTGTGTTGCTCTTCTACCAGAGTACAAGCAATGAAGCAGCTATTATCTTGTAAGATACTATCTGCTGCAGGGCCTCAATCTCTGAAAGAAGGGCTTGCATGTGGGGTGAAACTTAAGGATATTGAGGGAGGCTGAAAATATTCTGAAATTAGGAAAAATACAAGGAAAAGAAAGACACAAAGCTTACCAGAGAAGTGGAACCTATTCAAAAAAGGTGCAGAACAAGATGGGAGATTAGGCTTCAAGAAACAGAACCCTCAGGATGGTCATTAATTTAGTATTCCCACCATTGTTGCATCTGCAGCCTGTTTACACATGTAATTTTGCAGTTTGATACATCATACATGTATACTAAGATACAGTGAGCATGCAGACTAAATGGACACATTAACACTGAAGTGATGCAATGTATGGAGATAATAACTAGTTATATCATAAGGAGCATGAGAACATTAACAGAACTTAGTCATAGCATTATATCTGATAGGCATGCTTTACAAGAAGGCCAAACCATAAATCCACTTGCTGCATGATATGACTAGAGCTCACTCATATGAGAGCTAAGGAACTAAATCAGATTGCATAATGATGGATGATATTGAGTGAGCTCACTAACTATGATATATCATATCCAAAAATCCAGGGAATTCCTAATGCAATGATGAGCCTCTAGGCTTTATGCACTCTGAAATCATGGAAACAACCTACAATTTATCAACTTTGTCCCTCTAGCAGACTTTCCCTAATTCAATAATTGCAAGCAAAATGCAATTTAAACCAAGTCAATTGGTGCTCAGCATGTGAAGCTATTAATTTGTGTATGATATCATTAGCATTGGCCCTATTGATCCTTCCCTTCTCCCCATGGACTTCATGCCTTGCAGTCTAGACCCAGCACTGCCACCCCATATGAAATCCACCTGCAGTTACAAATTATCCATATGCAGCCTTCCAAAATGCATCACATAGTTAAAACTATGGCAAGTCAGCCACAGACATAGAGAATTATTCATTGAAGTATTGGAGAGCTGATTAGTGAGAACTCTTGGTCACATTAGTATAGCCTTAGTTGCAGTAACTGTGCATACTTACCAATCCTTGCTAAGTAAGTACTTGAATAATCTATGCTACAATAATACTAGTTGCTAGAGTAAGGTAACTTAGTTATCCAATATAGCAATGAAGAGGCTGGTTGTGCACACCTGTGGAATAGTGAGCAGGCTAAAAGGCAAACCTCAAAACCTACACATACTCTCTCACAAACTACATAAACTACAATCACTCTCATAAGTTTTAGGAGGAGCAATTATTTCTAATGTGACCTAATGATACTTCAATATCAAGTAGAGTTCCTCTTATTCTCAATGCTCTTAGCAAAGCTAAGCTTTCTCAGGTGAATCCCTAAGTCTAGAAACTTTTACAGGAAGGCTGTTCACTAGCATGACACAACCTTCAAGGCAGATTCAAGTTAATATACACAAGGGACACTGATCCTGACAGAAACAGAGATGATACACAACAAAACAATAGTGAGCTTGCTAAAAGAACACCACAGGCAATCACTGAATTAGCCTGCTCACTACACAACTGTATGTAGGGGTTCTCCAACTGACTCAAACAGAATATCTCAACTCAAAAACACTTTAGAAGTGCTCAGAAACAGATTCAGAAATGGAACTTTGAACAGAACTGACACAGAACAGACTGAAATGGAATAGAACAGAACAGAACAGAACTCAGATTTCCACTTCAAAACATTCTCTGAAGACTTATCACACTTAACAGAACAGAAATAGCATCACTGATTCATATTCACTCTGAATAAGTTCTTAAAAGTCTTATCCAAAATGTATCTCATATTTCTCTAAGTGAGCTTGCTAATTCTATGCAAAGCTTGAAGTCACAAACTGATCCTTCATCACAGCACTGCCTTCAATACATGCACTGGAACTGAGGGGCTTGAAACTTGGCTACTACCTACTAGAACCATCCTACTTATACTACAGGGAATTTAGAATTACAAACATCACACAGTACCCAGACTTCTACATGTATAGCACATCACTACTGCTGCCTTACTGAGCATCCAAGTTGGACTTCCCAGTTTTAGTCTCATTTCTATAATGAGCTTGCTAAACACATGCTAAGAGGTGCTCTCTTGACACCCACAGGCTTGTTCTCTGATGACCAATAGGTCTAGGTGCACAGAACTATCAGTTCTGGCATATCTCTTTCAAGGCTTCTTGTAGACATG